GACACAGCACTGAGAATACGCTCCTCAAGTCGATTGAACTCATCGAAACATCCCCATGCACCAACTTGACAAAGCCCAACGAAGATACGACCCATAGCTTGGAAATCAAAAGTCTCGTCGCAACAGAAGACCAAAACGAAACGCCCCAGTTGGACACCAAGAGCTTTGACAGACTCCGTTTTGCCTGAATTTACGTTAGTCTGAGAAGTCGGACAATAAAGACAACATCCTTACCTGTACCAGCAGGTCCAAAAGGTGAGCCTCCCAGCTGGTTGTCAAGCGCCTGAGTCAATGTCAAGTATACTCGGTCTGTCAACGGTGTCTGGACAAGACGATCAGGGACACCGAGATACTCCCATCCGTAAGGGAACGATGCATCAGCGACGCAGATGTCAAGTCTGTTTAACGGGTTGTCCACAGAGCGGTTCAGATAGAAACGCATCTGCGCTAGCCACGTAAACGCCTTAGTGTCTGCGACACGTTGCTGTATGAGGGTACGCGTAACGTCTCTTTGGTGGACCAGTTCGGTAATGAGGTGCTCGCACTTGCGGCGAGTGACAGGGCTCAGTTCCTGCAACACAATGTCTGCAAGAAGGTCGAGTGCCTGGCAGACTGTTTCAAGTGGCGCTTCTGGGAGCTTGCCAGATTCGAGAGTGGCATCAACTGCAGTAGTCCATGCAACTTGAACAGCTAGAGTAACCAATTGTGCAGGATATTTCTCCATCCACGTCATGAGCTGGTCCACCTCCAAGGGAGAAGGAGTGCCATAGAAGGACTGTAGCTCGGTGACAGCATCGCATAAAAGGTCCGCAAGGGACAATCGCATCATGGATTCAAGCTTTGCAAGCCAATCGTTGATCTTGGGGAAGTCCTTGAGCAAAATAGGCTCGGTGAATTTAACCTCCTCCCCTTCGCGCGAGGCCATGCCCTGGATCTGAGTGAGGTCCTCATCGAGCTTGATGGTTGAAATACCAGCAAACATCTTTTTCAGGTGCTTCATAATACGCACGATATCCTTGCTATTACCGATAATCTCCAGTAAATCTTCATCACCCACAAAGTAGAACCGAGGGAATGAAGACCGTTCGCGCTCGAGATATTCACCAAGCGCTTTTTGAATCTTGTTCAAGAGGTCCGCCAAACGCTCCAAGCTCTTCTGGATGCCCTGGATGTTCATAACATCTATGACGAATGGTGACTTGTACACTTTTTTCATCACAGTTAAGAACTCTGCGTTAATATTCTGGAAGCGGGAGCTTTCCACCGGAAGGAGGTGTTTGATGTCCGCACTGCCTGAGAAGATGCCTTCTAGATATACCCATTGACGCTGTACATCAACCCAGATATCTAAAACAACATTCAGTGGATTTCACAGAGCAGAATAACCAACAATCATACCAAAGAGTACATGAATCCTGTTGAGTTTATCTTCCCATGACCCTGCTTCTTCCTCGAAGACTGGGAGCAAGTTAGAACGGTATCAACGTGAAATCAAGTCTCATACCCTTGTAGTAAGGCGACAATTTCATTGCAGTCAAGGAATTCAAGTTCTCACTGCACTTGTTAAAGAGGTCATCCCATCCTCTGGAAGTAGTATGGTGAGTATTCTGCGTGGCCCTGCTGAAGATAGCTTACTTGATCAGACGACACTTGTTCTGATAGTTAATAAGATCGAGCGTGTAGTTTGTCCATATTTCCTTCACTTGCTTGATATACTCTTCGAGGGCCATCTTCAAGAGAGTGTTAAGCATAATGAAAGAAATATCGTAATGCCACCCACCTCCCCCTGCGCTTGGATGATAACCTCGCGTATCGGAGTATCATTCTTCTTCAAGTCCAAATCGTAAACATGGCCAAGAGTCATACTGTAACAATCAGCACGTAGTACCGATAAGTGATAGCATAGAACCAACTCACAGGGTCAGACTGATCTGGGATGGAAGTCTCAAAACCTTGAAGAGCTGCTTCCAATGTCTATCCTTTAGTGCCTCCGACTTCAAGTCCGAGATGAGTGAGTTCGACTTCAAAAGTCCACGCAGTACGTCTTGGACGTATTCGAACGCCGCGTACTGCCTCATACGTGTGGGCATGTCCCTTGTCGACGTCAAAAGGCTATCGAGCTGCTGCCTCAGCTTCCTCGGTTGCACCACGGACCACGACATCTCCCTCAGGTCGGCAATCTGGCTCCATACACCAGAAAGTGCCGTCCACACCGCTTTGAGGTCACGCAGCTCCTCGAAGACTGGTTCAAGGCGTGTATGACGCGTCAGCTCGAGGTCTAGAGCCTCTTTTGCCCTGCAGACGAGGTCATACTCCTCCTGCACGCGAGTAAGCTTCCCCTCGAACACGTTAATAGTGTTCATAGCCGTGTCCGCACGAAGGCTGCCTTGTACGGGACGTGTCTGTTCCCATTCCGACAGGATATCGTTGATCTTGTTCTCTACAATCTTGTCTTCGGCGACTATCTTAAGTTGAAGGCCCGCTGCAAGAATAGATCACGAGTCAAATAATAATGCAAGCTCTAAGAGAACAACCCCGTACCCAGCTGCTCTTGAATGGAATCGTTCTTTCTCTTGAGAATCTCGTTGTATGCACTCCACTCTCCTCTAAGTTGATCACTGTATAGCCAGTCATCTGGGAATTGGTATCGAAAGCGCTCTAGTGTCTTCTCGCCGTTGGCACATAGGTCTATCATAGGACCCCATGTCTTGGTCTTGCGCTTAAGGTCCTGTACGAAGGTAATGAAGGTCACCGCCGCGGCGGTTGATGAGTTGGAGGGACTGAATGCCTAGAGAACTGTCAGGACCACGATACCCTTGAAGTATTTAGCTTTTTGTGCTTACCTCCATGATTACTTCTGAAAGAAGCTTTGACGCGTCAACGAAACTTCAATGTCAAAACACTTGTGGGAAACTATGCCATAAGCAGACCCCTGCAATTGTTTTGTCGACGACAAGGCAAGCAAGCTAGCAATACGCCTCGTCACATCGTCGCCCGTAAAAATATCCGCCTGTCATGTCTGGACGCCAACAAAGAGTGTTGGTGCAGCCCATTGTATGTCCCCCCATTCAAAGTCGATTTCTATTCACCGATGATCTTTATCTGCACAGAATGTGATCTTCAAAAACCTGCAGCAGGTCTGTTCCACCATGCAACACTCTCTCCGTTGACACTGACGTATGCGTATAGCGAACAAAAGTTGTTATATGGCTGTATGACAACATCGAGATGCGGATCGAAGGGCGTATCATTGTACGTGCACTTTCTCAGTTTCGAACATGTTGGGCGTTGAGGCGCGTCTCTGGCAAGGCCATGGCACTCCGCGTTTGCGTGACGCGCGGCGATCTTTCTTATTTTTTCCTTTCCTTGGATTATCTCGAGGTCCGTTGAACTGACATAATGCATCTGTTCTTCAGGGATTTGACGAATTCATGAATGTCGTGATCGACGAGGCTACAGAAGTCTACGTCAAAGACGCCAAACCACGACGAGAACTTGGTGAGATCCCTTATCTTGATGGATTCTGTGGACGCATTCCTGATATGGCTCCAGGTCGTATACTACTAAAAGGCGATAACATCACCCTCATACAACAGGTGGTATGATATGTTGGCTTTGTTCATGTAAAATCTTGTCTTTCTGCACACATTGGTATATGATGTGCTCCTACAATGTATCATAATAATTTTGTGCTGCTACTGACGTACCTCACCAAACGTTCGCGCTATGCTCGAGGACAAACCGATAATGCAACAGAACAGAACAGAACACAACATCACACTATAGATTGTAAATCGGCAATAGCCTCGTAAGACTGAGTGTCTGTCTACATAAAGGGCACTCTGCCTTTTCTCGTCCCCAACCTACAATGCACCCCCAACAAAACAGGTGCCCACACTCGGTTGCACAGCTATCTGTTCGTTCTTCTAGACAAAGTGTGCACGTCCTCCCTGCCCGCTGATGCGAAGGTATTGACGTGATGTCTAAGATTGTGTTCTCATCTTCTTCCGCTGGCTTCACATCAGAGTCGGCGGCAGAAACACCAAGCAAGGTCGAAGCAGGTCGATCGTCAATGAACATCTCATTCGTTGAGTCCAACGAACGCTTCCCTGAGGACTTTTCCGAAGCAGCTTGAGATCTACTGCGCAAAAATGCGACGAGTCGGTGGAGAAGGCGTATCGCAATAAGTATCCCAAGCAATGAATATGACGGTGGGCGAACATGAGGGTTTTCTGGTATGGAAGATATCTGTCACCGAATAGCTAGATCAGTTTCTTGTCCATCAAAAAGCGAGACACGACACACATGTCGAATGCCTAGCACCCTCTTCACCAGATCATAGTATGTGCCCCGCAGATAGAAAAACGCTAGGTTGATCTCCGTCCCTACTTCCATACATACCTGCAGCGCCTGGAGCAACTCGCCCACTCTCGGACTCATTGCACCAATGTGAGAACCCCAACGCGCGAGAACATATGAAGGAAGTGTAGGGAGGAGGATAAGCGCAGCTCGGAGAGATCGCGAGGGCGTTCTTCCGTCAGAAGAGTTTTCCCAGATATCCGTGTACTCCTCCCCGAGAGTCTGGACGGCTAATGTGCGGTTAGTAAAGGGTGAACCCTGGCAGAAGATCATATATAGTACCTCGACCAACGGATAGTCCGTAGTACATAAGTTTCACAGCTAGCTCAACCTCCTTGTCCCATCGCGTGAGCCACCGTATACCTTTTCATTCATCATTCATCATTCATCATCAGCGCCAGCGGCAAGGGAAGAATATGAGGACACACCAAGCCACGATCGAAGCACTGACTCTGCTTGTTCCCTCAACGATGCAACATGGAACAAATCTCTCTGGTTCGCCCTTACTGTATAATTATCAGCCTTCCTTGATACAAGAACAATGAAATAACGCACCAATTTGAGCCTGTTGAGCGTCGGGAAACTTAGGCAGGCGGGATGAAGATGCAGACATGTTTTCGGTAACCTCGGCCTCAATTGCAGTTACTCTTTTCTGCCACATACTCAAGTATTCGCTGCAGCTAGTTGCATATTTCACTTTCACATATCTACTACAATGCCGCCCATGCCCGCAGCGAACAGAGCACAAGAACCTTCTACATGGCAAAAAAGTATGTCCAACCATACATCTCAAGTCTAAGAATAATTTCTTATGACCGATTGACAGTGAAGTAGGTCCTAGCTATAGCTACTCCATAACATAATCCTTTTCAAACACGTCCGTTACCTTAGAATGGGCGCGATGATGGGCGGAGGCGTCGGTCTGACGATCGGTTTCATTTTTGGATCATACAGCATTCTTCGGTAAGAAGCCAACCGACTTCCACCTTCATTTTTACTCACCGAACATGTTGCACAGAAACGGTTCCGGTCCTCGAGGATTCCTAGCTACCCTTTCGCAGTACATGCTTAGCAGCGCCGCGACTTTCTCTTTCTTCCTTTCTATCGGTTCCGTATGTATTTTTTCTCTTCATGGGATATGAACTGTCCTGGAAGTGGGCCTCTGACATCATCGTATACGCAGGTTATCCGTAACGACGCGCTCCTACCACCACACATGGAAGCTGCCCGTTTGCAACTCCTTCCTCCTCTTGTGCGCTCCAAGGCTGAAGGCGCCATACTAGTGCGTGCACGCTGGGATGCGGAACGAGCGCGAAGAACAACTGCGTAGTGCATGTATTGAGACTATATGCGTTGACACATGGTTAAGACGAGAATATATGAATGTTCTGGCTAAGAGTATTGCGTGTATCGTGTGGGCAGTGAGTACCAGTGTGTGGGTATGACAAAACATGACATGCAAGCTCGATCTACGGCTCTTGTCCGGTCTACGTACGGGTGGACATAACTAATACCTTAGGCAAATTCATATATTTTCTAATTATCCTCTTAGAAGCGCAGGTCCGAGGCAGAAGTCCACTCCCGCATGAAATGAGAAGCGACGGTGACATGTAAGGGAAGAACCTGGAGGTACGCAGTCTGCAATCACCGCCATAACTCGATGAAAATTGACTTACGTGGTGTAGGCGGATTTAGACACTATCGAACCACGCTCCTTACACGTACCCAAAACTGCTTCAGTCTCCCACATCGAGTGGGTCTGGAACGATGGCTATAGACATCGACCAGCGATGCAGTATGCGCTAGACTATATGGGCCAGATATAATTGGTCTTGGAGGTAAAGTGGGTTTCCACCACCGTGCGAACCATCGACTTGGTTTACTTTTGCTCTGACCTGACGGAGTTGCCAAGGGGGATTGTGGAGGTGAAGGAATTGGTGAATAGGCTTGATGGCTATGATACACCGTTGGCGCTTCAACAAACTTCACCGACGGAGCAGACCGCTTTTTCTTGCGAGATGTCTTTGTTGTCGTCGCAAGGGAGATTCCCGAATCGTGTCGAGTGAGGATAGATTTCACAGGAGCGGGAGCTGATTTTGTGTACACTGTCGAGGAAGAGGCGATGGATGAGACGCTTTGGCGTGCACGATGTGTCGAAGGTCGGGGGTACTCCGAGCGGTATCTCGAATAAGAGGGCATTCCAGGGTTTGAAGGGATGGATGACTCAAATAGTATGCTTCTACGTTTACTTGAGGATTCATCGCACTCCAAAGGTGGGGTCTATATGAGAAAGGTGGGTTATGGGTTACAGTCTTTCATGGAGGTAAGACGCACCAGAACTCTTCGAAGGCTGCAAGGCATTGAAGAGTAATTACCCCGGAATTCCTCTTCTTCAATTGTTATGTCCTGACTTTGTGTTAGGGATGCCACGTGTTACATTGAACTAACAACTCACCGCTAGATCACTCAAAGTGTTGACGGGAGAGAGATCAGTAATTGACTGCATGGACGGTCCATGAGAGGCTGGTAGTACTACGACGAGATGGATGAGCTTACGTTGACTATAGTATCAGTATCCAGCCAATCTCTCAGAATCTCGTCGTCGGGTGCGAAAAAGTAGGTGGGCTGCTCAAACTCTTCTGAATGCTTTCAAAGTCGATATATGGTCAGTCCAAAATGACATAAGAGATCCGCAAGGGCGCTTACGCTGAACCTGTAAGTTCGAGTGACGGACATGGTAGTTGCAGAGAGTGAGAGAGCCAGCGTGCATTCTGGAAGGGTGATTCGAAGATATTCCGAGAGCACGTTGCAAGGCTATAAGGGCGAAGAACGCATAAAGATAAGGCTCGGAATACCGGATATGCCAGTGAGTCATCTATTTAGCAAGGTGGCAAAGGCGTGTTCGGTTAATGATTCCGGGTACCTAAGGCACATCATGCGTGTAATATCTAGATCATGATTAGGCCCATCGTGTGCAGCACACCATGGGAAGCAAGTCATGGAAAATGACAGCGGGGATCTCTGTCGCTTACAGACTTACAGTCATTCTCCATGTACATGCCATATTACATGTCATTCCAACGTAGGTCATTGCCTTGGAAATGACAGGCGATTATGTGTATTGATCCACCACCGATGTCGTTGATGCCCGTCCGACAGCGAATGTACACCCGACTAACACGCACAACCAATGCTCCTGTCAGGCAATAAAAAAACGTGCACAAAGACCTCAAGCACCGTCTCCCCTTCGTAGTCGATTGAACTTCGGTAGCATCTCACGAAGATACTCTGCATGTTTCAACCTCAAATCAGCCTCTTGAATCCGTCCCCTTCCACTCCAAGTCCTTCTTTCTGCAGCGGGTCCGAAGATGGACGTGTAGTCGTCAAGGGTCTCGTCATCTGTAGGAACTACGAGGCATGCAGTACCAATGACGCAGTAATTTGATATCCGAACAGTATGGTGGACGCGTGCACGCGTAGATATAGTGTTGAAGTTGCCAATGGATGGACATTCAACGCCTGTGGAAGAAGTTCGCGACTGAAGGCACGCATGGGGGAAAGGACATACGACAGCCAATCTCGAACAAATTATTGTCACCAACTCTCATCACTTCTTTGCGGCGATTGACTATTATGGCGGCCTCTTCAATGATACAACCTGAGCCAATTACGATAGGACCAGCTATTGCGAAGATGGTAGCCTTGGGGTGTACGACTGTGCCTGGCCCAATAGTGATGTCTCCCTTTAACTCTACATCTTGACAGACCACCGCTCTTGAATGGATTGTGAACTTATCTCGACTGCAAATCACAGCGTCACCACTGGACCTAAGTAGTTGTGAATGCAGTTAACTTACATAGGTGGCATGAGTTCAAGAGCAGTAGCCCTAACCCTAGAAACATCTGGTTACCTCAACTGTATATTGGCAAAATTGAACTGTTCAAGAAATATGACACAAAAAATACACGAAAGAATTCTAGCCCTATAGCATTTTGTCTCCCTTTATCTGTTCTGGTTGCCTCATGCCGAATTCTCGGTTGCTGGTATACGTGTACGATATATGTTCTATCAGTTTCTCCGAGGCTGTAGTCAGATTACACGCAGGTCCGAGCTGGAGGTTCCGGCTTGCCATAAACGCTGCCCGTCGCCAGTGCAAGTTGTTCAACAAGTTTTTAGCCCGCCCTGCCAAGAGTGCCACTCCACTGACGATAAAATCTCCTTTGGACCGTTTTTAATCAGCTACTCACTCAGATATAAAATAAAAGCGTATGCTTACTTTCCGTTCCATGGGTGAATTAACTCCACTCACCATCATTCCCATTACTTACACCCCTGTGCTTGTCAACACCGACCTTCACTCATGCAGCATATCGTGGAGCTTGCGATCAACAAAAACGGAGATTGAAACAGTTGCGGAACCATGCTACATAGCGGGGAATGGTGAAATGAACCAGAATCCGCGGACTCACCAAAAAGATGTATCATTCGGCCAATCATCACAACTTTAGTCTGGTTCCATTGACGGAATCCGACTTCATCGCGAGAGCTGCAGAATTCCATTAGACGCGGGATAATAAAATGTACGATATGGAAAGTATGACCCCGTCTATATTTTGAACGGGGTGTCGACATGCAGCCCACTCCAAATACCTCTCGCAGCTTCTGTCGTACTCTCCACAATACGGCCTTTCTTGAGCTGCTTTATCTTCGCGCCCGAGGAGTCGAGGAGTAATTGAACTTTTTTCTCAACACCATTAACTTCGAACTCCTGCAATGGAATGACCTTGTCACGACCATTAACTACGATCAAGTCAGACGAGTGTTCGGTATGACAAAAAGAAGCCACAAAACCATAAAACCCCCTTGCTATTGGTTCATGACCGTTGCGCTGCTTGACCACGAATTCTACGTGCGGGTTCTGCCATGCAACACGCTGGAGGTCATTTAAGATGAAAGTACGGGTATTGGTGGATGATGGAAGATTCTGGCAGTATTCTAATACTATTTTCCTGACCTGTGATAGGTACGTAGAGTGGCCATTTGCAGGATACGAGCGTAACTGAGCTCTAAGGATTTGTTTTGTAGCCATGAACTGGACTCGAGGAAGGAGGGGTATCGGAGTATGAACCTGTTTGCGGGTGAGACTGATCGGAGTATGAAAAGAGCGAGGAGAGCTCAGAGAAGACTTGGTTTACATCGACTAAGTTGTCTGCGTGAGGATTAATATTCTAATTCGACCATCGACGCGTTGAGCCCTGAACGCGTTCATCCCCTAATCTTTCCTCGTCACATTCAAAATCCATAAGAACTACGAATTGGACACTTCTATCATGGCTAGAGCCACTCGTTCAGCGACACAGCAGAATGAAAAGGAAAAACAGCCAGATCCAGGAGTTTCACAACGCGCAAAGCAATCCACAAAGAAACGCAAGCGCGTTTCACTCCCAGACGATGATCAACCTGCACAAAAGCAGCATCGTGGAGAGAATGGCATAAAGGAGGAATCAACAGACGACAAGTTGTCTAAGGGAAAGATGCCCGAGCTCGACCATGTCGCCGATGTCCCTCTAGACACTCCAATCGCGCAAAAGGTCCTTGAAATCCTTGAAATGTGAGTCGAATACTGTTATCAATTCATCTTCATCTTCTAATCACTCCTACAGGGTTGACTCCCAAGGTCTTCTCGACCGTGTCTTTCCTGTGCCCGCCACAAATTCATCCGAACCCTCCACTTCCAAATCGCAAACGGGAACGTGTTCTCTACGTACCCTTCTCAGCGACTCATCACAGCACCCACTCAGGGTGCTGCATGTAAGTTTCTTGCATTCTCCGACGTCGAATTGACTCATGAATGGCTTCTAGTCCGCAGTTCAGAGTCTATTTCCAGAGGTGCATCATGCGAGGTCTCGTCCATCTTCTGCTGCTGTACTGCAACTGCGCTTTTGTAATCTTGCCATCTCCCTCCTCAACCAGGCATCCTTCCACTCCGTCCCGCTTCCACTTGACATCGAATCCATAATCCCAGTCAATCCAGACCCTGCTGTAGATGTACCGCCTCTCAACCTGAGCCTCCCTGACAAACTATCTCACACCGGACAGGGTAAGAAATATGCCCTCATGCAACGTCTCCCATCTGGCACCTGGTGGTCATCTCTCGGCTCAGACCTCTTAACCGACTCAAAAGAGTTCAAAGACCTTCAAACTGCCAACGCAGAACTTGTTGCCATCCTCCCCTCACCTTCGTCTCTTGCATACTCCGACGTCACCTCCAAGTCGACCATCACTCCCACAGACATGCAGGCTCCAATGACGCTGGGTGCCTATGTACCGAAGAAGCCTCCAGGACATCGGTCGAAGCTCCTAGGCCCTCGGCACGTGAGCTGTGGGTCATTTTTGGACTATGGTCCCTATGCAAGCTTCGCTCCAACCTTTGACCAAGAAGGAGTGGAGATTGGAAGAGAGGCTCTTGGGGAGGTCTTGTGGAGATGGGAGGATAGGAAGAAGCGCTGGGCTGCTGAGAAAGCGCATGCTGCTGAGGATGATGCACAGTGTTCGCCTATGGCAGGGTTGGAGCAGGAGCAGAATAACATCATCGACCCGTCACTTCACGAGAGTTTTGATGATGACGAAGAGGCTTTGGACGGCCTTCTTTCGAAAGAGCAGATTGCCTCCCTGAAGTCTGTCTTCAAGAGCTTAGAGTTAGAGAATGCTATTCAAGAGCTGTTGGATAGGAACACAAAAGCTCTTAAGCGGTTAGAAGAGCTTCAGAGACAACGGCTGATGAAAAATGGGGGATTTCATCCAGTCGAGGAAGGATCAGAAGAGTGGGATACTGGTAAGGGCATCCTGGAGAGATTCTTTCGTCAGACTTAGATTTTCTTACAGCTCAAAGCATTCTTGAGTCACTCACCTTGCTGGCATCGCTACGACCTCGACAGTCGGGAAGCGCTGATGTGCCACTCATTCCCTCCTCCGCCACACTCCACAAACTACATCGCACGCTCCCTGTTGCACCCTCGCAAGGCTGGTATGGTACCCTACCTACAGGTCGTACAACAGCCCTTCGTGATAACTCAACACTCTACATCAAGTCCACTGCTACCGCAGTGCCCTCTCTACCATCAGCCGCGACTACACCTGCCCCTGCAACGCCCGCTGCTGCTACACCAACTGCCGCAACAGCCGCAGTTGCACAGAACTACCAGTACTCGTATAACTATGCAGCAGCAGGCTACCGCGGGAATTATCCGTACAAGCCAGGACAGACACCCTCCTACTACCCCGCTTCATATGGCACACAAGGGCAGACCCAAGCTGCTACGCAATATTATGCTAATCAGCAATACGCCACATCAGGACAACAGCAATACGCCTACTCTTCCTGGTACCAGTATCAACCTCCGACCCAGGCTGCTGCTGCCAGTACTAGCACGACAGCTGCTCCGGGGACACCTCAGACGGGCGCAGTTGCTACTGCAAATGCACCTGCAGCCCCATCTGCAACGATCCCAACGAGTTATGCAGGGTTTTTTAGTAATACTGCACAAGCTGGACAGCGCGCAGTAGCAAACACCGTCACTGCGAAACCACTTCAGGCTGCTGCGGGCACGATTTGGAACACAGGAGCAGCTGGTGCTAGTGGCTACGTCCCTCCAACACTCCCTCCGCATATGCGAACAGCTGCTGCCGGCGGTACTGCACAGCAAGGGGGGTATACTTACCAGCCTAATTATTATGGAGCGTATCAGCCTCAATCTCAGGTTTCGGCTGCTGCATCTCCTGCGCAGTGATACCAGTGATGGGTGTTTTGATCTTTTGTTTTATGTCTTAGTTTCAGAATTATATTTCTTTCCGTTTGCTGGGGGAATACAATATGAGCTATGTCATGGTAGTAGAATGTTGTGATAATAAATAATGATTAATTGGAGTTTGGAGATCATAACATGCTCAGATTCCAATTCTCTGTTCAGTTTGACAAACCCAGGTACTTGGCACTGGAAAGAACAGAATAAAACAGTTGGTTTTGACTCATTGAGGGCCAAGGGCGACGCGTGACGGCACCTGACCTCGAACCCGCCAACGTAATTACATAAGCACACGTCCTACCAGATCTGATTCTGCGCACCGCATACTATCACGTGTTCAAGATATGCATCATCGATTCGAGACAACGCTATGGTAGACATCTACGCAGGATTCGCCACATCCGTAAGACCCCCCAACCTATTGATATTGCAGCCACTGTCCTACAGCTCCAACTTTAAACACCCGCGCCGGTAATATTGTATACGGTATACCCTCCACTCTCACTGCCCACTAATAGCTCTCAAGCGATGTTATGGGATGCTATAGACAATTGGAGCGCTATGCCATAATCACTTTTGCTTGGCTGTGGGCTTCAACTCTTCAATATCTTTGACATAGGAAAACGTGCTAATACCATGTCAGTCAGTTGTGTGGTTATATCAAGGATGCGAGTTCCTCACGCATTTTCGTGTTGGACAGGCAGAGCAATTATGATTATGTCTGCAAAAAACAGGACAGCCCTCAGCTTCGGCGTCACTGGCATATACACATGCTGTCAAAGCCGCGACGACGGTGAGGACCAGAGATAAGTGCATCGTCTGTGAGTCAGATAAATCTGAAGAACTTCGACTCGTATATGTAATTAGGAACTTGAAAGTGCCTTGCTTTTATATGCTGAATATCATTATTTATGGCAGTAGCAGGAAGAACGCCTGAACAGGGGGATGCTTAATCAGCTTTGCCTTGCTGGCTATCCGCTGTCACTCAGTACTCAGGACCCATGAGAACCCCTTTGGAACCACCTAGGGCTGGTAGGGTCGATGAATTCCTCTGTGGGTCAACCAGGTCATCAAAGGAGAAGACCCCAGGTCGGCTGAGGCTTAAATCTGTCCGGAACCTTTTTCACCACGCGCAGATCTCATTCGCGAGGTAGCAGCCGTCATCTGGGATGAGCTTCCCATGATGAACAAAGCTGCATGGGAGTCCGTCGACGATCTATGCGATTAATTTGCAATCGACCGCACACAGCTTTTGGAGGAAAGCCGTTCATCTCCCTAGGAGACTTTCGACAAGTTGCAGCGGTCGTGAGCGGAGCAGGAGAATGTGCTTCGAAAGCGGCATCAGTGAAATCTTCACCGTTGTGGCGGAAGATACGGATCCTGTCATTGTGTACACCCATACGCACTGCAAATAATGTTGAGTTCACCACGTTCGTGGATGCCATTGGCGAATGTCGGAAATTTCTGAGTTTCATTTTAATGCCTTGTAATGCATTCTAATGCCGCAATGACAACCCACCCGTGGCAATGGGAAAGTAATGTAAGCCCCGTTTTTGAAATGCCGACAGGTGCCGATGGCAATGTGGCGCCAATGACCATGCCAATGCCCATTGTAACATTAAATTTTGTATTATTACAATGGCATTAAAATAAACTTACAATCCGTGGGAATTCCATTTATGTACCCTGGCTGGCCATCGTCATTATCCTATCATGATCTCGCCATCTATTATTATCTATTGCTTATTTTTATCTACTGTCTACGATTTATCTACTGTCTATGTTATTTACTATCTACGATTTACCAACTATCTATGTATTTACTATTATCTAATTATCTTACTAATACACTTGTTTATTACTTGCACTTAGGTTGATTCGAACTAGGGACTTAGACTATATACTCTATAGTAACATTAGATATGGTCCGTAATCAAAACCATTAGACTACGAGGGCTTTATTATATGGGAACCCCAACTCTATTAGAGGACCACTCTACAGCTTTCATATCAATACTTCGAAGACACGACGCAGTCCTCAAAGGAGTCATGATGTGCTCCCCAGTAATTCCCCATTTATCCAGCTCAATCTCAGAACACGTATCCACGCAAGCCTCCAAATTTACCTTCAGCTTCAAATTAACCAAAGTAAACTCCTTCAATGCTGTGATCAAGTCTTTCTAGATAATCCACTCAAGCGTGTCTCATCTGGTCTTATATTATACATATGTAGTCAAGCCTAAGTAGTGGTGCGAGCATTGCGGGTAGTACGGGTACTAGTGTTAGATACAACACGTCTGGCTGCTCTGCCTCCTCGACAGCCTCTCGCAGCTGCAGGTGCTGTAACAATGTTACTAACTTCATCCTCATCATTGGGCTCAGATGTAAGAGGACTACTAGGTCTTGGTCTCTCCCTGTTAGCCTCGGCATCAGCAACCGTCTCATCCATAATGTCCTCTGTAAGTGGTTCAGGCTGCGCAGTGCGCACCTCGCCTTCAGTCACACCCACTAAGGCACGATCCATAGCCGCGGTGAAATCCTCTTCATCTGACATTGAGTTAGTTGTTCTCGAACCTCTGGAGAAGACATAATTATTCAGCTTCTTCACAATGTCGCGTGTGTACTCCGTGTTCCAGTTCTTGACAAGAATCTTCTTATATGAGGTGAACATATAGCTGTACTGGATCTTGGTCATCTCGCCCTTGCCAGAATAGCGAAATTCCTTGTCGGCACTCAGTAGAAAAACAACCTGACAAAAACACATCAGGTGAGACTCTTCCGACACACAAAAACTCACAACTACGCCCACCCACGCCAACAAACCGGGTGTTAAAGATGTCACCTCCCACCTATTACCATTTCGCGGAGGTCCTCCTGCTCGTAGCGCAGTCAAGCCATTCTCACCCCACAGCAGAATCCGGATAGCCTGAAAACACGACAGGTAAGACATATTATATGATAAATATAAGTATTAAATTAAGAGACACAATCACACACCTTGCCGAAGGGTTCCCAATTTCCAAAGACCGTTTTCAGCGAGGGATCTTCGATGAGATTCGGGAAAAGGATGGGTGGGAAAGGCTTGGGCATACGCTGGGATGTAGAGGTACCGAGGAGACCCTGGATCTCAGGTACACTTGCTCGGTCATACGCTATATCAGCGAAATACTGTTCAGAGAGACCAAAGATAAGCCCAGCTTTGGAGCACAGTTTCTTGATTTCGGATGCACGGCTACTGTTCATTGCATCCTCAAACTAAAGTACTATCAGCAATAATCAATGAAATAAAGACATTACTTACAACATCCGCAAAGTGATTATCCGCAACCAGAGGGTGGATGTGCGATGGGAGTAAACTGAATAGCTCTGCGAGCAAGGCTGACTCCACTGAGGCCTGCATTTCATAGCGTGATGATTCGTTGAGAGGTGGAGCGAATGCAGGATTGGGACGCTGAAGAAGTTGCCTGTCTGGTGCAAACATTTCGTAGCAGGCACCATATTTGCGACCACATAAGCGGATTTCTTCATCGAAGGCCATGTGCTCCTCGGAGGCATTCTGACCCTTCTTCTTCCGCTTCGGCTGGTTTGCCTTGAGGATCTTGTTCTCCTCTGTCAACTCCTTATTGACGTCCTTGAGTTCTTGCAACTCGAGCTGTGTTTCTCGCAATGCCTGAAATAAAAGTTTGAAGATTCAGACATAAGCAACAGTGACGGAGCCTACGCATACCTGTTCGAGATCAGCGAGGGATATGGTGCTCGATGGTGGCATTGTGATTGCAGAAATGACCAGAGCAGTTTGATGAAAGGAAAGGCAACGAAAAAAAGTCGTTCGAGGCGCCTGATATAAGGGATTAGGCGATGCCTCATGTTGGTGACAAGGTAATTAGGCCCTGAATAGACTAAGTCAATCCAATGATAACAGGTAAAATCATGCGTGGTTCACTTACATGGCACAACTGAGAGTGTAATCATTACCTTATGTTGACACCAATGAACACATGGGCTTCCTCGCGGCGAGTGTGAGCAGCCAGCGGCTGCGATATCCAATCTGGAAAGCGTCTCAGCATGTTTTGTGATGGTAGCCAAGAAGGTGAGCATGGCCGAGAAGGAAGGATTGAGAGTCGAACGAGCAAAAGGTGAGCATGTTTTGTGATGGTAGCCAAGAAGGTGAGCATGACCGAGAAGGAAGGATTGAGAGTCAGACGAGCAAAAGGCGAGCATGACTGAAATGGTAGCCAAGAAGGTGAGCATGATCGAGGTGGAAGGATTGAGAGTTGAACAAGCAAAAGGTGAGCATGTTTTGTGATGGTAGCCAAGAAGGTGAGCATGACCGAGAAGGAAGGATTGAGAGTCGAACGAGCAAAAGGCGAGCATGACTGAGATGGTAGCCAAGAAGGTGAGTATGACTGAGGTGGAAGGATTGAGAGTCGAACGAGCAAAAGGTGAGTGTGATGGGTGAGCGAAAGGCGAGCATGATGGGGGGATACAAGAATTGAGAGTCGAGCGAGCAGAGAGTGAGCATGACGGAGATATAAGACAAGACAATGCCAGTTCTTCATTCCACATGACCGGCAGACTTGTGCATCACCTTCATGCACAAGAACATGTCAGTGTCAATTGTGTCAATAACCAGGTAATCACCCTGGATGCTATGATCTTCTGCAAGTGCTGCGCCACAGATGATTGAGTGAACTGAAAAAAATTCGGATGAGATCCTTGGTCTTTGACGAACACGCCAGAACTGAAAGTGTTTATCTTTGAGAGAGCGTTGTCCAACCAGAGCATCATATGGATGAACGAGAGCAACTGGATGAGTTTGACCATCCACGACACAAGTGAAAAGCATCAGTAAACGCCCAAATATCACTCCGGCTTGAGTTTGAAGGATGACGCAGTCATATCGAGGGAAGTTGTGAAATGAGGGACTACATCGAAGATAGTCTGTAGCAGTGCGCCAGTCCACAATGGACTCATAGTTGACCTTTACGAAGCGATGCTCGGTTACCTGCATTCTATGTGTTAGTCGTGAATCAGAAAATAACAAAACGACATACAGTTTCGTCAGGCATGAACTTGATTCATTTTCCGCCAGGTAGCGGTATTCCGTGAGCAGGGAGGGAATCACTCAGAAAGTTTGCAAGCTTGATGCGAAACCGATTGAATGCATTATCGCTTGCATGCTCTTGCTCCAAGGCCGCAAATGTTTGCTCGTTTTGCGCTGCACCCAACTTAACATGAAGTGTGACGTCCAAGTCATTGTCGAGGTCTTCATCATTGTCCACACCACTCAAGTACGAAGGGTCCTTTTGAGACACAATGAGGTCATCATAATCCTCGATATCCAAACGAATTGAATGCGCAATGAGGAAGCGATGGTCGAGGCGAAGTACCTGTGTAAGATCAATGCAATTCTGTCCCGCTTCACGAATAAATGAGAGTACACACCTGTTCAGCAATATTTTTGAAGTTCGTCCGCCGAAGATAAATCTGTCTGATTGGGCCATGACACTTCTCATTTGGCTTGGTGTTAGTATTCTGCGTAGCACCCTTTGCTTCAATATCATCGAACAGGTGGGCATATGCATGCCGTTTCGGGTATGCCCAATTCTTTCCTGAGTCATCTTTTGCGCTATATCGCTTATAATTTGGATTGTCAGTAAAACTTGAACACAACTCAAACAAGAAACTGACCTCCAATAGTTGTGTGAACTCCGTTATGGCCAGACGGCCCGCAGCAATGGTTTCCGATGTGTGCACTTCAAGAGCAGCATACATGTCGATGTTCACGTATTCACGGATGCATCGAAGGAGCAGATAAGGGAGTGTGTGAGTGCCTCGGTCAATGATGTCATGTGCGGCAAATACGATAAGCTACAGAACCATCAGAATCAGTACAATTGAGAGACAATGAAACACCTTACCTTAGAGATATCTTCATACTTCGAGCCGTCAGAAAATGATATGTCCATGACATGCTTAAAATGATTGATGTTGCGCCAACGAGGCATTAAGTCAAAGCTATTCCAGTTGTTAAGTCAGTAGCTGCTGTACCCGAAGTTGAAAAACGTACTGTACATCGATTTCAGACTGTATCTGCCGACCAACTGATTTGATGTGTTCCTGAAACTGAGTCCACAAATGGTCAGAAAAATTACCTTCATTATTTACATGTAAGCGGTCAAATGAGACTGCAGAATGGACGTCTGTGTGAGCAACATCTGAAAATGCATTCTAAAAGGAATCAATTAGAGTTGAGAATGAGAATACAGCGAAAGGAACTTACGTCTACGTCTCGGAGGCCTTGAGACATTAATAACTTTTCTTTGTCTTCTTGTCGACTGAAACTTCAAGCCTCTGTGATTGTCACTTGAACAGACGCGCTTGTTCGCAGTGGGTACGATGTCAGTACATTCCCAAGCTCTTCTCTAGGAACGAGACAAACGGGACAAGGACATTTGCACTTGGTTCCGCGTATCAATGCCATAACACATCTGTAGAATAACCATTAGAAAACTATAATGACAAGGCAATACACCTACTGCTCCTCGTAGTCAGCTGATAAAATGAGAATAAGCGGGTAAAAGAGACGCTTGATGTTATCCCAACACATGACCCAACAACCGGTTTTCGAGAGCAGCGCAATTGATTTGAGAAGACGCTTGAATGATTCGTGCCAGACGACATTCTTGAAATTGACAAAGGACTGAGTCCCGGAATACTTTCTGTCTTCTTCGACCTACAAAAAGTCATAAGCATAGAAGCCAACAGCAAATTGAATAATTTCTCATACAATCGGAAGCCAGCCTACAAGGCGACCGCCGCCGAAACCTTCACCATTGCGTATTCCCACAGGTAAATTCGCACATCGTGCAATGACGGGATATGCCTTTTGACGACCAAACGAGGAGAGCTTTGCCTTATCAGCATATATAATGAAAGCAAAGGGCTTTCCTTCATCCTTCGGCAAGGATGACTATGAAACATGCATTTACATTGTTAGAACATTCAAATTTAGTAGCACATACATACTTGACAATCCCAAAAGGCATTAGCTGTCCATGGCTCGTCAAAGAAACGTACAAAGTCTTGTCCGTCAAATTTGTACAACCGTTGAGCATCGAACACAAAATGCGGACCAAGGCGAGGGTCTTTCAACAAGTCACATGCCCAATCCCAGAGCGGCCTATACCAGACATCAAAGTTGTGCTCCTGGTCCCTATGTGGGACCGAAATCACTTCCTTTTTGAACTGTACTTGGAAAACTGATTGTCAATGAGGTATAGTAATAAGTCAGTACTCAGAAGAGGCTCACTTTTGCATGGCGTGAAGATGCAGCATCCCACAGCTTACAGATGCCGTCATAGTCGGTGACTGAGAATCTTTCAAGCGCAGCACGACGGATGAGACCGATGAGTTCGTTCGTCTGCAGTTTCGTGAGGTTGGCTTTCAGAATCAGTTCAGCAAAGTCGAAGTCAATACGCGAGGAAAACGGTTCCCAGGGAGTGGTATTTTCAGGTGCGAGCGAGGGAGCAGCAGTGTTGCAGCGAAAATCGGCAAAGTGATCAGTCTTTGTAGGGATGCCACTACGTGGATGATACTCTGTCCTGATATCATCCTGCTGTATTGCAGGTGGAAGGACATGATCATTTGATAGACCTATATAATGTTATGATGACCGACCGGTTTATTGACAGTAAAGAATTGACATACCTCCAAGTTCATCGAGATGTGCATACTCCGAGTCGTCAAATGTAGGTTCACAAGCAGCAGGAGCCGCATGAAAGCCTACAAATTGTTAAATAAAACACGAATCTATGAAAAAATGAATCAGACCTTGGGACGCGCCTGGTCGTTGTGATTGATGCAGGATTGGACGAGATTGAGCCAGGTTCAACAGCTCAGTGTGTGCTTGAGCAGCTGTCAAGAGGAATTATACTCAGTGTTTTTGGAACAAAATATAGAAAACTCACCTGCTCGAGCATTCTGTCTCTCAAGATCTTCCTGCATCCGTGTAGCGTCCCTCCTGCAGGCTTTTTGATGGGCAGCAAGTCCGCGACTTTTGAATTTCTGGCGGCATGTTTCACAGATCGAGGTCCGTTCGGGTGGCATGAAGGTGTATAAAACTCAAAAGTAAGTGTGAATACAAGAATATGAAGGGAATATGGACATCAACGTTATCGATGGAGATGTGCTGGAGTCGCATTCCAATGCATTCAAACGGCGCGCACAATCGTGGGAATAACATGTCAACATCAACAAGATAATTGTCACAATTATCAGTTATTCTTATCGATTAGAACACCACGTGATATCGTAGAAGTGACATCTCAATGACAATTGCAATGTCACATCATTGCAATGCTTCTAGGAAATTTCCGACAAAGATACCACCGGAAGTCGACAGAGCCTTCCGCTGCTGAACAAGACAACGGATATCAACGATGCGCAAAGTTTTCTGTTCCCGCAACACATACTTGCCGATGCTCGCGCATGCCTCGACCGCGCGTTTCTCTCGCCACGAAACACGTTTGTAGACGAATTCAACGACAGAATATTGGAGTCCATGCCTGGTGATTATCGTGAGTAATGGATAGTAATGCGCTAAATGAAACCTGAAAAAAAAACTAGATAGCTATCTAAGCTCGGATATCTTGAAAGAAGCGGACCACGCACCTATGGATGCTCCAGAGCAAACGCCCGACTACTTAGCAATGCTGACTGCGCCCGGAATTCCGCCACATCAACTGGACCTCAAAATCGACTGCATATGCGCCATACAACGGAACCTGTCAGTGGAAAAAGGGTTAGTAAAGAATGCGCGTGTACGAATAACCGCCCTACATCGTCGATTCGTCCAGGTCCAACTACTCAACAATCTGGAGAATCACTGTATTCCACGGATCACGTTTTCTTTCCATCCTTATCGGTCTAGCTGGACCGTAAATCGCAAGCAATTCCCATTAAGATTGGCTTATGCGACCACTTTCAACGGCTGCCAAGGACTGACGCTGTCTCGCACCGTTCTCGATCTCAGGACAGATCCTTTTGCGCATGGTCAACTGTATACTGCTCTTTCGCGCGTGAAGAACCGTGATGATACGCTTTGCTTATTCGGAGCAGGAAATGAAGACAAAGATACGGCGAATATCGTATATAAAAGTCTACTTTTGTAACAGTGTCCATAAATTACAACGAGCGAAGGTCACCTTGTTCTAACATAGGACAACTGCGCACTCCCCTCATATTTCTCGGATGCTCTCATTTTTCGTCAGGTATGTTTGGAATTAAAAGATCATCTAAGACCTTCCTGCGAGGGGTGCCTTTGGCACTTGTCAACAGATCTAGAGCAGTATTACATTTCATAACAAAAATCTAACATGCTGTCATCGCCGCAGGCAAGACTCAGCAGCGCACTTCCCCTCAATCTCGTTGATCGTCTTGAAAACACCGAAGATCGCCAGCCAATGCATCAGCAAACGCATGAGTCCTTGAAATTGTAGCCGTCGCACTGGCAGCTAAGAATAGGATGATGTAATTCTGCTCCTACTGACTTTATGACTACCGCGAGAAATTTGACTTGATCATCATGATCCTGTAAGTGTAATGGTGTCCTACGGAACATACTATTATTTGGCTTGCAAGCGTACACATTTTGTAGAGGGTAAATGTCATGGGTGTGCTTCTCTATCTCGTCTAATAGCCTTTGGCGCGAAATCGACGTTCCCCAGGTCATGATAGGCTCGAACATCTTCCAAATTTCGCGAATTTGGCTCGTAGGCTGAGCGTAGGCAGGGCTCAGGTGGGGCATGCACGCGAGGTGTACAACTCGAAGAACTGGTTCCATCTTTACATGTGCTGAATTACCTTTTGAATGTCTCTTGGGGCGTGTGCTTGTACCTGTAGTCTGTAGAGGAAGTAGCAGATAACCGTGTACACTCAGGCTTGATGCCATTGACAGTACACTGTCTGGCATGGACTCAGCTTGACATACACGACACCCCGCTTTACCACTCACTATCAAAACACAATGACAAATGTCTACGATCACATCCGTTTCGACGCCCAACGCGCCATATTCCCAAGCCATCAAAGCTGGCGAATTCGTGTTCGTGTCGGGTTGCATCCCCCTCGTACCTTCCACGCGGTATCAAGAAACGGGACGCGCATACCAGTTTACCCGGCACGAGAGAAACGGCGTCCAAGGGGGTCTCGAGCAAATTATAATTTGGGAGATTCGACCTATGCATGTAAACGTCAGAAGATCCATCAAGATACTACCAGCGAAACCTACATGGTAATAGACGAATGCATATCTATTGCGTACTGACTCCATCAGCAGGGAAAGGTGTGCCCGCAACGAAAAGAACTACACGGTCCCTCGATCCTCCCCAATAGGCAAGGGAGATCGTCCATTGCAGAGTGTGCGTGTATGCTTTGGAAGAGTTTCGCGCCATCATTTTCATGTGCATTGACCTATGTCAAAATGGTATTAGTCCTGGCCACGAAGGTAGAAGCTTCTGACTCACATTCAAGCCTTCGAAAACTTCGCCATTCCAGCAAAAGACATCCCCGTCCTGTTGATGAGGCTGCAGTATGGGTGCGTCACCTCGAAGCCGGAGCTCAGAAACAAAGAACTCGAGATCGAGTACCGGGCAGCATGTCTTGCTCGGAGATGGGGCTTGTGCTTCACCAGCCTGAGAGCATTTCCTTTGGACTCGGACATGATGGGTTCCTTGTGCGTCGGGACCTGTGGAATCGTACCTCCCTATTAGCCGTCGAATGGATATGCATCAAACATAGTGACATACACCAGCGGTTCTTCAAGCCCAATGCTAGCAACCCGACAGTCTTGAGCGTCGTGGAGCAAAGGTGAATCACTGACGATAATGAGAATAACTAGGCGCAGTACAACGGTTCTCCTTAGTAGGCCAAAAGATGCGGGAGAAATGGCTGTAATAACCGTAACAACTTACCGGCATTGCAGCACACCTTCCTAGCTAAAGCGTGAAATGATAATCTATCCTGCATTATTTTTGCCTACGGGAAGTCATCCAGTGACAAATCAAAATATGAATATGTATGTATGTTGCCATAGAAAGAGAGCATCAAAATATGAATAAAAATCTACGGTAAAGCGATAAAAATTTGTCACCGTCCCGCAAAACTCGCATGTTTAGACACTGGAATAAACTGCGGGACCTGTGTGGGAACAGTTGGATGACGAAGCATCTCTGAAAGGGGCGCCGGCAAAGGGTCAACATGTTGTGAGTACGTACGTGAAGATAACCGATGAGAAAAAATATGTTCTTTGGATTGCTGGTGGGAGCTGAGACGCACGCGTATAGCCTCTCCCGGATCATCGTCCAGAGGATGCATAATGGAGGCGGAAGTGTATAGCAGGGAGTAGTCTTCCTCGGATCTAGGTGATGTAGATGAAACAGTGGCATCTGGTAGCGCATACATCAAACGCAGCTGCGAGCGGTGATTGCGCTCGACTCCATCATCATCATCGTCATCCGAAATAACCTCATCCCCATCCGCATTAAGTAGACGCGCTGAAATTGAGTTTCAGAGAAGTACAATCAATAATTAGACTCACATACCTCTTCCCCTGCGACGCCTGACACCTGAAGGCGTCGAAGCCTCATCTGCATTGTTCGCAGTTACTTCTCTAGGCCATGGCCTAGCATTCATAAAACGAGGCGTTGGTCTCTCTGACACGCTATGGGGGCCTTGGCCCCGTTCATCTATAAGTAGTGTTTGGTCGGCGTGGTCACTAGTCCACCGCCTACTCGTACCACTCGACGACTGAGAAGGACGCGTTGATGAGTCAGGCACAGCCGCAACATCGAGCACAAGAGCCAAGAGTGGATCATCGTTTGATTGTGGTATGGTGGGTTCCCAGTCCATCTCAGTCCCCGAAGGGGTCGGAAACACCCCTTGTCCCTGTAAACCGGATCTATCGTTCAGGCTTGGTCTCTCAGACTCCGCTTGCTGAGCAACTTCTATGCGGCGAACGCCCCGCATGACAAGCCTAGTACTCAAGGTTGCTAAATCCCGCGCAATGACGGAAGTCTGATCTTGAAGTCGTTGTTCGAGCTGAGGGGCAGTGGCACTCTGACTGTCTAAGGCAGTACGTGCTGCAACTTGCCGCCCAATCATAGTGTTAGGATCCTCGGGATTTATGATCCCAGGCTCGCTGCGGAAGACAGAACGCTCTTCCCTGCTTGAGAGATGTGTTCTGTTGTTTGAAGGAAAAATCAAATCTGGCAGCGGAGGGGAACGGGGGTGAGGCGGGAGTATCCGAGAGGGTATATCAGCTGGTGTATCCCACCACTGAGACCTATGGCGTGACATTTCTAATGGACGCTCTGCAGTGGAGCCTCTCCTGCGTCTTGACATGCTCTCGAAATCTTCCAGGCGCTGCCTGGCGGAGGGATTGATAATGGTTCTCAACCGTTGAACGCGCGTGTTGAAGTCCACGTTGGACTCTGGAGCGTGGGACCCGGTAAGGACTAAGGCAGCATGCTGGGGTGCGATACTGGACTCTGTGGTCCTGTCGCGTGCGGGCGAGGGTCCTTCCGCAATCTCCGGTGGCATCCGGTTGAGCAAATTGTTGATGTTGTGTCTGAGTTGTGTGACACGCTCATATGCAGCATCTAGGGCTACAGAGGCTTGTCTCAGACTGTTCTGAGTCTCCTGTCGGCGACTGATACTGACAGAGTTGTCTACTGGGACAGAATGTGCATTGAGTTGGTCAGAACCCGGCATGAGGTTTGATTGGTTTGGGACGGGAGATGAAAAATTTGAGGTATCGAGTTGGGGAGGGTTCATCAAGTATCAACTTTTCAAGTTCCCGCTAACGCCTAGACACCAGTATGATACAGTATAAAGGAATGAATGATGTGACTGTGAGCCTTGGGAAGTCAAAGGGACAGACGGGTCGATAGCGTGACAAGCAGGTACAAATTGCAACCACTGGTCTGAAACGGTCCAGATTTGCAATGTACCATCAAAATATTAGAATATGCAGTGTTCCCTATTGTCCACTGGCCTATCTATGCTACGGTATTGTGCTAGCTACTACACATGAACATTTGAACTTCCAGGTGAATAGGGATATCTATAATATAAAAATTGTCCACGCGATGCAAAATCATGCAGATCCAACTCTGCTGATAATATGAGTCCTGCTTGTATTATCCGTGCTGTTGGTTTCTTCGTCTGGTTTCTTTCGTAACGAATCAATTGGGTAATAATGGCGCATGAACTTGGCAAGCAAAGGATCAACACCAGTGTAGCAGAACGCGAGTGTGATGCAGATGACGATAAGCGCCGAGGTGATGCAACAAAGCGCAGTCCACCCATGTCTAGCATGATCATATATCTAGAAATCAACATCCGATCAAAAACGTGGCCTTGCATTTGTTAGCATAGATGCTGACCTGTCCTCCGATTACAGGACCCACTGGAAAAAGTCAGAACTTAATGCGAGAGTGAGATCATGGTTTCTCACCTGCTGTACCAATTCCAAACGCGAGATTGAACGCGCCATAGACATGAGCATCTGTACGACGTCAGGAAATGAAAAATCGCATTCCATTAAAATCACTTACATCCGACACCTGTCATTTGTCGAGAGACAGACGCAAGTTCAGTTGTCACTGGCGCGACAACACCAGAAACGAAGAAACCTAAGCAAAAAAGGTCAACTCGACGCATGTAGCCAGGATGTAAACATACATTGAGCGGCAAGAGCAAAGATGAATAGAGGTATAGAATGCCGTAGAGTCAAGACAATCCACCACGGCAATGCAAGGAGCAGACATGTAAAAGTTATATAGTGAGAACCCACTCGATCAACGTAATAACCTGCCAGCGGTGACGCTGCAACTGTTGTCAAGACGAGACGACACATTTTCGGACTAAGACCTACATATCAAGGCTGGGACGACTGCTGCCAGGTAGGCAAGGCCCACCCGGTCCGAATTGAATGCCCACAGAGATTGGAGATGAAGCGGAAGGGAGGGCTCCTGCATGCTTTGTACAAGCCTGTGGCAACGGTGAATACTCTCTTCGGTAACATTTGATGATACTTACCCATAAACGAATGACATGGTTAAAGCGACCAAGGCGCGAGGTGCCTGCGATAATTTAATAATCACTGAGAGTAGTGGTATTGGAATCTGAGCTTCGTGGGTTATGGAGAGTTTTCGTGCGTTTGGTTGTATGGACTTGTCCGGAACTATCGTTTCTTCTACTTCATTAATCCCTGTATCAGTGCTTCCTTGCACATGAGTTATTTGGATAGGAGAGAGTTGTATATCAGATGTAGAAGAAGCGTCCGGCGCCTCCTTCAGCACTACGGCGGTAGGTTCCGATGGGTCATAGCCCCATTTCAATGCGACGTCCCTTTCGATTATAAGAAGACGGAATAGAAGATCGACAACTGCACACGACGCTCCAAAGATGAATGGGGCGCGGAAGCCGAAGCGAGAGTACAAGACACCGCCTGCAGGTGTGCCAACCAGAAGACTTCTAGGAGTGAGAAAATGCGGACACAGTGTCGAAGCATACTCACCCAACTGATAGGCCAGTCATCGCGATGCCCAATTGCCCTGACAAAAGTTCATCGATGGAAGTCAGATTGATGTTTTCAGGGTAACTCACTGCCAACGTCTTTCTCCGGCGTAGTATCACACCTACAATATGAATTAGTTTGTGTGATGATGCTCACGGATATTCTCACAAAAGTGCCAAGCCTACGATCCACACCATAGAGGAACTAATTCCTTGCAACACACGGGCGACGGCCATGACTGCATAATTAGGGGCCTCCATGAACATGAGCTGGGAGCCAATGAGCGCAACGAGGCCGAGGATCAATGGTATTCGTCTCATTGAATATCGCTCCGAGTGCATGGCAATAGGGATCGTGGCTGTGGGAATGATAAACCCACTTAAAGTGATATGTCAGGAACCAACTTACACAACACCAACCCGGCGGACTAGAGGATATAAGTGAGATGGTTCATGAGAATGATGATTCAGCTCACATATGCACATAGTAGCCACCCTGTGAGCGACGAAACTTTATGGTATGACAAACGCTCCAGTTGGAATGGTACGACGGGGATGATGATGGAGTAAACCAACAAATCTGTAGTGATGCCTAAAATACGCATCAATACGGGTAGCATCGTGACATGTAGGCTTACTGACCGAATCCAACGACTGGCGGGCGTGAAATAATTTGAATCGATGAATTTATGATTGCAAGGAAAACGCACCTGTAGTGATGAACCAAACTGATGACCGCCAGCGAAGCCCCCATGGCTTTCTATTTGAGGAGAATGCCATCCAAAAACCCATATTGCAGCTTGTGCAAAGGGATTAACACAGTGTAGCCGAGGGTGATGAGTTGTTGGCGAGTGCGGAGGGAGAGGAGTTCTTTTATTATATATATACTAGGATGTTTGAATTTGGCAATCCGAGCTTACTCAATGGGCGACTATTTAATATTTATCCGCTGCAATACTGCGGATTTCGGGATGGGATAAAAACAGATCAGTTACGGAAGTAAAGCCGCTGTTCATTTGAATTTGAATTTGTAAATTAATGTTATCTTGACCCCATACGAAGGGGGTCCCTTGCTGACTAATTTACAACAGGAAGGCAGTCGTTCCTAATGCGCGTGCAGGCACAAACTGCCTGATGAATTTTACGGTCAGGGTACGAATCTATGGTTGCGGGTTTTGATACGATCGAGTCGTGTGGCCTCAACGGCAAAATCTACATTATTTTATTTCATGGCTTATCTTTTGCAAATATCTTTCAAAGTCCGTAATATTACGTGGTTGAACCCGCCCAACGCTCACCCGCTCGTTCGAGTCACTCGGGAAACTAACTGGTTATTCTCAGCGTGGAGATTTGGAACAGCTTCATCACATGTAGCAGAATCGTACGAGTGTCTTGGTACGTTCCTGTGGTTGATCCGTAGGTGCCAGAGATGTACTGATTGAGGATTCATGCACGGAAGCAAATTTTGCTCTGAATGAAGCCCATCAAACCAATGGGAAAATCATCAAAAGGACTTACCCACTCGTCATTATCCGAGTCACATCACCAGTTACGCGAACTCCCAGGTAAACTCATGACCCGGCGTAAGTATCAATACCCTAACTTATGCCCTGGTCCACTCACCAGTTGCCACATTACTGAAGGGACATCCAATAACCCTCCTCAGGTCAATCGCCAAAGGAAAGAGAGTCACATGGGTTGAAATGTCCGAGGACAGGATTCCAAAGATTGCTGTCTCATGAAGACTGTGTGTCTTCCACGTGTTAGTAATGGTCCCGGCGGCCTATCTCTTCTGCCAGTACTGGTACAGGGTAGTAGGGAGATCAGTGGTCGCTGGTACGTCTCGTTCTCTTATAATAGGTACCGTCGGGACTCATGGGAATTTTTCTTTCGGAAAATATTTTTACATCGAGCTCGAAGGACCTCGAAATGTCTTCCGTGCATGCTTCGATCAGGGCGTATTCAATTTTTTTTCGGGGTGAGAAGCCGGCCTACCCTTCAGACCAACACCCGTGAGCCGGAGAGCCCTGGCAATGGCTGCCTAGACTCATCGTTCACGAGGTGTTCACAAGCACTTTATTAAGTATCAGCCTGGCTAATTTAGCTCTACTAATGCTATATCGGGTAAGTCACTAGTCTGGGGCCGTTCTCGTACTCGCCAGCTTCGACAGTTCATCCTGCACATCGAAGGTAAGACGTCACATACTACAACTGAATCGGCTTCTTGCGACGCACGTCGTGTGGGCATCTTGCCGTTCAGCCTGAGAGAAGAACCGCCTATATCTGAACTTGGCCTTGTCTCCGCTGTGGGAATTCCAGGCCCCCGTCCTGTATCCAGTCAAGGCTCTACTTTTAGACAAATGGTGTCGGGAACTACCTTGCTAGTGCATCAGATCCTTATTGTCCCTCGAATTACTTGTTGTGCTAGTCCCCGGCTTCAATGTTTCAACTTCGGAAGTTAAAGAAATGACGATGAATTGACAGCAAACAGTTTATCGAGACTTTCCTGTCCTGTTCAAGCTCCTTGCGGATGCGTTCCTCCGCGGTTTCTGGTGCTGGTGAGTGCATCATTCGTTCAGAGACGATAATGGTGGGAGTCTGAGAAATAGTGCTGGTGCTAGGAGTGGATGCCGAGCGCAGAACAGTTACATTGAGCCTGTCCTTGCGCCTGTATCCGGCAGACAAAGATTGAGAAGCCACCTCTCAATTGAGTTGGTGAGCTCCCGCTGTGATACTGAGCGTGTGGATCCCGATTGAGTTTGAGCCTTACCAATTCTGGCCGCTACACAATGAAGTGCCATCTGGACACCAAAAGTCATGACTCATTCGGAACGCGCAAAAAAAGAAACGCACTGCTTGTAGTATCCAATCTCGAGCATTTTGGACGTCCGCAGCTCGTGCCAATTGTAATGAGATGATATGATGATATTGGCAATTCACTTGCCTCGACAACACTGTTCGAGAGGCGCTCCATAATGCTAGCTATGTCATACCTGAACGGTACAAATGTAGTGAGGAGATTTTGGAATAGCATCGCACGTGCATTGATCCCGCGTTCAGCTGCACATGGTGATGGTGGTACTATACTCCACCCAGGTGGCTGTACCTTCCTTGTCAAGCAACGAAGCCCCCGCCATGCAAGACACTATCACATGATGTCGTCATTGAAAGGGTGAGTCGTGCTTGTGCTTGTGCTACGGCCTTCGACGCCGTGTTGCTTGTGGACATGGCAACCCACTGCTATTCGTATATGTCGCGTGATGATGACGGTTGTGCCAGTGCTCAGTGCTCGATGACAACTTACAAAGTAACCAGTACGAGCGCCTCTAGTAACTAAACAAAAGCGGTTAAGTGAATTTTTGAAATTCTAGTCGACTATCAATATGAAAATATAGTGCAGAAATCTATTTGTTGCGCGGATTGATTATAATTATCGGTAGCCTTCGTATTACATAATTAGTATTCATCTATCTATTTTACAACCCCTTCCCGATCGCGGCGCTCGCTCTCCAGCAAATTTCGCGTAGTACCTTTTCAGTTAAGCAGGAAAATGGACTGATATCTCACAACATATACGTTGCCAGACCATGTGACTTCGCTAAATGATATCCCCGTTTCACCACAACTTGAGCATGTTGAGTTTCCTCTGCGACAACCACATTTAATGGTTGTCATGGATTGACATTATCGCATAAAGAGCCGACCGAAGGCCGCCTACAGGGTCGAATCCGAGAGCACCGGAAGAAAGAGCATAGATTCTGCGCATGCGGGAGAGCTTCACGCGAGAAAGCGTCCTCGTCTCAAAAGGCAGTGAGCGCTCGGGATTGTGTGTATACCTTCAGCCACAATCTCACCCTACCCTTACGTGCCGTTCATAAACTCAATTACCATCTTCTCTTGTTTTAGATTATAACGTGATATTCTTTCTCTCGGAGCTGCTGCCTTGGACCTTTTCGCACCTTGCCCGTATGCCGACAGAAGTCTGTTGTGCGAGCATCACCAGCGTTGCACAAAGCTCAAAACTTAGATCACTTCTAAGCCTTGTCTAAGCCACCCATTACCGGATAAATATAGGTGTCACGACTCACAACTAATACAGCAACATAGACAGTACCTGAGTTTCTCGTTCCTGCTCTTGAAATGTCAACATTTCACTCGAACGCTCAAGTTTCGTTGAAAACGTAGCACTGATCTACAGTACTTGCAACCTGAACAACGTACTGAGAACTTACACCGAACTTGGATTTCATCAAGAGATAGAAAGCACAACGATGAACTCGACAACCCACTAAAATAACATTACATATGCTGAGACAAGCGAGGGGTGTTTGGGAGGAGGGATACGAGGAAACAATACTGAACAGGCGTGTATACGAAATTAAGACGTCACTGAAGGAACAAGATAAGTTCAAAGTCATGAACACAACTACTAGTAGACACTTACTGTAAGTAGCGGGATCAATGTGGTCGGGAAGCTCAGGTACAGCGACCTCAAACCGTTGTTGGATGGCAGACATAACTTGTTGGTCTGCCTCACTTGATTGGAATGTAATCGCTAGACCCTTCGTTCCAAAACGACCTGCACGACCGACGCGGTGAAGGTAACTGTCCGCATCTGGTGGACAGTCGTAGTTGATCACGATATTGACCCGTTCGACATCAATGCCACGACCAAAGATATCAGTTGCAACAAGGATGCGCTTTTCGAAGGCCTTGAACGCAGTGTAGCGATTTATACTATAGCAAGAACTTAGCAAGGATATTCAAGAGAACCACCGACGGTGATTACTTACCGCTCCTCTTGAGCTAAGCCTGAATGGATGCTGATACTAGGGAAATTACAAGAGACTAAAAGCTTGTCCAGCTCGACTGCTCTTGCGACCGATTTGACGAAGATGACCACCTGATAATCGTAAATAAACACATATTTCAAGTAAAACGATGTGGTACCTGGTTGAACTCTAGGGTGTCTAGTAGTTCGTTCAACTTCCTGTTCTTTGCGTTCTCATCGAGTTTCACGTAGTGTTGCTGTAGACCGTGTAGAGTCAACTTCGTCTCGTCATCAACAAAAATCTCCAAAGGCTGTTGCAATCATTAGCAGGAAAATCCAGGAGGAGTGCATTACATACATTTGCCATGAATTTCTTGCACGTGGCCCTAATTTCTTTCGCTAGCGTGGCGCTGAACATCATCACCTGCTTGTGGTGAGGTGTGGCACGGAAGATTTCTTGAACGTCTCGGCGCATGTCTGCGAATCAAACAAAAGAACAACGAGAAGATGCGGTTAGACTGTTGTCGACATTTCGAGAGGGAATGGACTCAAAAATCGTCAAAAGACGATATGACAAGTATGGGGGATGGGAGGGAGAGATACGATGATATATCTTATGTATGTATTCTCAGCAACCCAACAAAGTTTCCAAGACCCTGCATCTACAGCGCGTTTCAGGGCGCACTAGGCGCCTGCGCCCTCGGCGGAGGGAGGGGACGTTGACGAGACAAGTGCCTCTTGCGGCGGCGGCAACCGGCACCAAGATACCGCAGAATCGTAGCCGAAATCGAATCGCAGGATGAGACTAACCAAGCTGTTCTAGCATTTTATCGCACTCATCCAAAATGAAGTGCTTGACATTCTTTGCATCCAAAACTTTGTCTCTTGTCAGGGCATTGAGTCGTCCGGGAGTGGCCACGACGATGTGAGGACAGCGCGTCTTGTCACGGAGAATCTCCGCATCCTTTTGAACGGGAGTACCGCCGTAGAACGTGCCAACCCGCACATCTGGCATATACTTGGCGAAACGTGTGTACTCATTCTTTATCTGGAAAGCGAGCTCGCGAGTGTGGCAGAGGACAATGACAGAAATTTCTCCATTGACTGGCTCCAGTTGCTGCAAAGTCGCAAGCACGAAGACTGCCGTCTTACCATGCCCGGACTTTGCTTGGCAGAGGACATCCATTCCTAGGACAGCCTGAGGAATGCATTCTTGTTGGACTGTTGAACGAGTTCCATGAGTTGAGAACAGCATGTTACTTATCACTAAAATATACCTTCTGAGGGATGTTCAAAACCCAAGTCGCTGATAGCTCTCAGAAGTTCAGGTTTCAACAAGAAGTCCCTGTGAAAAAAGAAGACAAATTGTCAGATGGCCATGGTTTGTAACAACATGTATGTAGAACGAACCTGAAGCCCGTCGAATGTATTCCCGAGAAGTTCTTCTTGTCTTTGCCCATCTCACCATCCACTGAGGACGCCGCCGCCCCGTTGGCAGGAGCTGCAGAAGCTGTGCCGTTGGGGATAACGTCGTGCTCATCCTCGTAGTCGATAAGTTCTTCGTTGTCGTGGGAGCTCATTGTTGTGCAGAAAGAGAGGAGGTTGTCAGAGAAGTCGTCGACAGAAAAGGAGAAAAAGCAAGTAAGAGGAGGAGAAGGTTGAGATTAAAGAACAAACACAAAAATGCTGCGCTGTTCTAAACGCGCTTACTAATTTGGAATCACGTGTGCACGGACCCGTTCTACCACTGATTGACGAACAACTGTTTGAAGTAATTGAACATGAACAATGGTTGTGTCGCTGCTAAAGTGCTAATCACTAGAGCATTGGAAGGCGCTGCCATCACATCGCAAGAATGAGTCACTATAATAATTTTGAGGTATTTCTCTAACATTATGCATTGTGGGGCAAGCGTGTCTACAGTGGGCATATTTTGCTTAACCCTCGTGAGTGTGACTGAACTGCCCCTTGCCCAATCCTCGAGGATAAGTAAGAATAAACACCCAAGTGTTCCACTCTAATATATGGTCCTCTTGCCAGTGCAGACGACGCGTAGCACGGCCTCCCGTCTCCCGCGTTAAACTTACGCACTTTTGATTTTTCTTTATTTGTTCGTGTATTTCATTGACATATTGGTCAAATTTTGTGGCTCAAGACCCTAAATTTTCAGCAAACGACGATATCACACGGCGCATCATATGTCTCGGTTTTAATCGGTACAGTATCAACACAGGCGGGCTCGCGTTTATAAGGGGAGGCGGGTGTCATGTATCTGAAGGACCGAAATAAGATGCCCAACTATCCGTTTTGGTGAGTTTCATAGCAGTTCCCCTCAAAGATATACTAAAGTACTGGCCATATGGCTTGATTTCAAAGGCTTGGAGGTAAGAATAAATTATTACTTGTCGGTTATAACACACTGATCACCATGACCAGGCGTCGCAGCATCCAGTGAGCAACTGTGTGCATCCCCAATGAAACGCGCCTGACACCTTGCAGTGGCTGCATGCTTTACGCATCCCCTTGACCTGGCCAAAGTGTAAGCACGCTTCATCTAGCCCTCGTGATGGCATACTCATACTCACTCAACAGGCGCATGCAGAGTCTTGGTTCTACTGTACCAAGTCCATCTATGCTCAATATTCTGCGTCACTCGATATCCAATGATGGACTTCGTAGTGTTTATACCGGTCTCTCCGCTTCGCTTTTGCGTCAAATGACCTACTCCCTCGTACGTCTAGGCAGCTACGAGGAGATGAAAAGATTCCTATCTGAGGATGGTCGTTCTCCATCTCCTGGGAAGCTTCTCCTAGCAGCTAGCGTGGCTGGCGGTTTGGGAGGAATAGCAGGAAATCCAGCAGGTTTGTCCACGACACATGCTGTGATATTAATTCTATGCATAATAAATAAATTATTTGCAGATATTCTACTGGTTCGGATGACCAGTGACTCCATTCGTCCGCCAGAGAAGCGCTACAATTACCGCAACGCTATCACTGGATTCATTGCCTTAGTGAAAGAGGATGGCCAGAAAGGTCTTGCTCGCGGCCTCGGGACAAACACAGTTTGTGCATTTGACATCACACCTAACGTTCACTGATCATGGGCACCGCAAAGACCCGAGCAGTCTTGATGAATGTAAATTAATTTGTTATCTTCCATCAGTGTTAATGCTTATGTGATATACTCTACAGACATCACAGGTTGGATCGTGAGTATGGCGTTATTATCCCTTCGCCGTTCCAGTTTATCAGGTCTCGACAGCTATGACTTTTTTAAATCCACTCTCTTGCAATACCCTATACCCCTGGTCAACTATCAATTCCATGATGGTTTCTTCTTGCACGTGGTTGCAAGTCTTGCAGCTGGAACATGCGGCACGAGTCAGTTGCTAGCTATGAAGTAACCAGAATGCCACTGATTGTTTCACGATTCAAGCTGTATGTTCTCCTGCTGATGTCATAAGGACAAGGATCATGGGCTCTGTACGTATTCCTTCAAATATCGAATACCTGTGATGGAGTTTGACAGTCGCTTCCAGTCTGGCAAGGCCAGTCCAATAGAGGTCCTAGTCCGTTCCTTGCGCGAGGAAGGTCCCGCATTCATGTTCAAAGGCTGGACGCCCGCTTGGATGCGTCTTGGCCCTAACACCGTCCTAATGTTTGTCTTTTTCGAGGTAAGTTAAGAAAGCTTCTCCCATGGCCGCACATCGACGTCTTCGTTCCCAACAGCAACTAAAACGCGGCTGGTCCTCCTTGGTCCCCTCATAATCCATATTCAATCCTCCTGCACATCGTCAGGCACACAACACCTCATATCTACAAGTCGTCGGATTGACGCTTGAACATTCACATGAATGTCATTAAGACGCTAGATGTCCTAGACATGTAACCTTGGATTCATATCACTTTCACCCTCTATTTACTGATGAGTATATCGTGGATGCTTACTCGAACTCACACTAGCTAGCCCGGCAGAAACGTAGAATACCTACATATTTGGGACAAACTTAGGACCTGCAAATTTTCTCTACCAACAGCTAGTACTTGGTGTTGTTGCGCACGCAACTAAGATATCTATGTATCAATTTTCTGCAATTCATGTAATAGTTGGTGTCTGGATCAAGTCTGGATTGCTTTCAAATTTTTTAGCTCTAATCGAATCGAAAAGTGCCTGTCCGAGCCCACGTGACCACTAGCCATCTCATCGTACTCGTTCACCGTAATCCTCATTGACCGTTCGCTAGCTGTGCTCGACAGATATTATGGAGGCATTTCAGCTTCTTTCTCGGGGAGGTGCACGATTTGACAAGCAAAGATTCAAGTCTGATGTTCAAATATTCAACGTAAGAAAATATATTCGTTAGCTGTTCCAGTGGCTCATGTCTTTTCAGAAGGCACCAAAAGATGTCAAAGGAAAGGGGGTCTCGACGCAGCTACCTCCGGAGCTAGACTTTTTTAAATATGCCAAAGCTTCTGCCGGGAAGCGGAAAGCTGGGGACAAAGAGAGCGACGCTCATGCCGAAGACAAACAAGAAAAGGTGGAACGCAAGCGTCGGAAGATAGAGGATGCATCAATGGACTTGGACGATAATCACACTGATACAGAGGAAGAGGCACCAACCACGCAGAAACACCGCGTGACTGCCAAAGGCTCAGATGTGCCTAAACCAATTGTGTCCTTTGAGGACCTGCGCGAACGATATAATGTCCCTTCGCGTCTACTATCAAACCTTTCTGAAAACAGTTACAAACATCCTACTGGAATCCAGGCTCATGGGATTCCCATTCTGCTTGAGGTGAGTCCGTCAGACGTTCTTTCTTATGGTTCGGTGGATGCTGATGACTTTCACTGCAGCACCGTGACCTCGCTGCCATTTCGCCGACTGGTACAGGTAAAACTTTGGCATATCTGACGCCCATCATGTCTGCCCTCGGTTCCCCGATATCTAGTCTGAAGAACGATGGAGGTCGTGGAGTTAGAGCTGTGGTTCTTGCACCAACTCGGGAATTGGCACATCAGATACACAATGAGTGCCTGAAACTGGCTGCTGGGCGTAAATGGCGTACGGTTCTGTTTAGCAAAGCTACAGCCAGTACTATGAGCGACAAGAACGTTAGAGACAAAGTAGGTACGCTACATTCATACATAGTACACTTTCTATCCAGATTAATACTGCACAGACATCATCATCAGCACACCCCTTCGGCTAGTTGCTTCTATTCAGGAAGGCAATTTGGAGTTGAATAAGTCCGTCACGAGCCACTTGTCCTACTCACGTGGCTAACTCTTATCGGTAGCGTGCAACATCTTGTATTAGATGAAGCCGACCGAATGCTTGACTCAGAATTCTTGTCTCAAGTTCAAGAAGTTATCGCGGCATGCACTCATCCGAACATACAAAAAGCGGTTTTCTCCGCTACTTTACCTGCTGGCGCAGAGAAACTTGCGATGGGTATCCTCAGAAACCCTATACGAATTATTGTTGGTCTTAAGTACTGACCGATCACCGAATGTTTATGTACAGCCGCTGACTTGTTTCTTTAGAGATACACCGCTCCCTTTGATTGCACAAACTCTTACATATGTGGCCGATGATGCCTCGAAGCTCCCAAGTCTGCTAACGTATCTGTCTCAACCATACAATCCACCTCTGCTTGTCTTCACCTCCACTCAACCAAGAACAACGTCGCTTGCAGAGGAATTGATAATGAACGGCATTTCAAATGTGGATTGTCTTCATGCCGGAATGACGAAAAAACAGCGTGATGATGCGGTGAGCAGGATGCGTCGTGGCGAAAGTTGGGTAATGGTGACCACAGAAGTCATGGCTCGTGGCATGGACTTCAAAGGCATCCGGGAGGTGATCAATTACGATTTCCCAACCAGTGTCCAGAGTTACGTCCATCGAATAGGTACACCCCTGCTTTGTGATTATCTTGTCTCAGAACCTAATCTTTGCAGGCCGTACGGGTCGCGCCGGGCGGGAGGGGAAGGCCGTGACTTATTTTACAGATGAGGATGGACCCTTCTTGAAAGCGTACGTGAAGCTCGGCTATCTTGACTGACATTTAACTGATGTGACCCCTTACCTAGTATCGCCAACGTGCTGTTACAGTCAGGCTCTTCTGTCCCAGAATGGATTCTCAAACTTCCGAAACCGTCAAAAATGAAGCGAAAACAGATGGGCAAGATGAAGCGAGCAGATACCGTGAATGCGGCCCGCAAAATAGGTCGCAATGATGCGATTAAGAAGAGGTTGGTTCATTTAAAGCTTCGGGCACTACTTCTAGCTCATGTCAATGTAAAGGGACATGATTGCGGGCTCGAAGAGGCGGAAGGAGAAAGAGCTCCGTGAGACCGACGTCGGGGAAGAGGATAGATGAGATAAATGATTCTTCTTTCGAAAATTTAAAAAGCACGTCGTCTTTACTGTCGCTTCAAGTATTGATGAAGATGTCATGACGGCATTGGCAGTACTGGTGTTCTAAAATTCTTTGAGCTACACGAAAATGCTATGTATTTTCTTCGATCCCTGGTCAAGATAACGACTTATTCGATCGGAACGTACATAATGATAATCGATGGCGAGGCTGACGATGAACAAATCCTTTAATGTGATAATGTGAAAGGGTGAAGGGTGGTGAGGATGTGAAAGATGTGATCTATCGTAGGTTTCGGAGCCCTGAAGGTTTGCTCCCGAACCGCATTGTGTCAAAGCAAAACGCCGCGCCGCTGGGATGAAGTATCTCCACGAGGCAGTCCCTGGGAATCTTTGTATAGGTGAGTCCGCCAGGAGCTATACAAATCAGGCTACAAAGTGAGTTCAAGGTCGCTGTTCTTGGGCAAGGAATCCCAGTGCGGCACGTTTTGCGGCACGTTTTACTGGTAGGTCGTAGACTTTGACATCGCCCTGTATCAAAATCTATTGATTCTTGAAGCTTATTCGTATCTTGATTCTGCTCCTTTCACAGAACAACGGTCGCAAAGCGGAAATCTAGTAGACTTGACGGATATGGAAGGGCTCAAGGGCCTTGTGACCTCAAGGCAGCCTCGAGGTGACGGGGCAAAGTGGTCGTACTAGCTCTCCCCCATACAAGGCTTTTTCGCCTTGACGCTCTTAAGCGTTCCATTATGTGGTCAAATGGGCTCCTTAATCCATCGTGATTTTCCTCTACGCCTCTACGTCCCTACCTCAGATTTATCTCGGGATACTACATTCATCTCAAGAAAGCTTTGTTATCATGCCCAACGTTCGCAACGTCGTTCGTCGATCTCGCCGATTATCACATCAGTCACCGATTGCAGGTACGACGATCATTTCCTTGTTTGACCTTATGGGTCCACACGTTTTCGAATGATTGCTAATCTTTTCCGCAGCTGAAGATTATGTTTATGAAGGGTCATACTTCGCCCAGTCGGGCTATTCAAGCGTTAGGACCGTTGACATCCCTTCGGTTCATGCCACCACCCCATCTCCTGTTGGGACGCCAATCTCTGCCTCTCACATCTCTTCGTCACTATCCCCTGTCCTTTCCCACTTGCTGTCGTTCCCCAATCGTTCATCGCACTCCCGTAAAAAAGAGGAAGGTCACATACCTCGCCCTCCCAATGCCTTCATCGTCTTTCGCTCTTGCCTCTGGAGTAACGAGGATTTCAGAAGCTTAGAATCTGACCATCGCAACGTTTCGCGCATAGCGGGCGAGAGATGGCGTAACTTGTCTGACGACGAGAAGGAACCTTTTGTGCAGATGGCGAAAGATGCTAAAGCACTACACGCGAAGATGTATCCCAACTATAAATACTCTCCCTCTCATCGTACCCTCGCGGGACCGAAGCGGAAGGGGAGACGCAACAGCGATGAGGAGAGAACCAAGTGTGACATGATCGCTACCCTCCTGCAGAAAGGAGTCGAGGGATCTGCATTGGCGCACGCGATGGCACACGTCAAGTCTGAAAATGAGGACGACGAGATCATACCAAAACCCATCATTCCTCCACAAGCACCCATAGTCGTCCCCAGGGCTCTACCTCCCGTTCAATCGCGCGAACATCGCAGAAAGAAGGTCACTGCTCGTCCTCGAGTCATGCGCCAAACCACCCCTCAGTGTCGCCCTGAAGGCCCTGATCTCGCTGCCACGAGTGCTTGTCCGTTCCCACTGACCCCTGCTTCCCGGGAGGCCGCACCAACTCCAGAACAATTCAGTGGTACCCCTGAATTGCTGTATCCAAGCGATATGTTGGACGACTTCGTTCCTACTGATGAAATACCGACTCTAAATCTCGATGGTGTATATGATATGAAGGTATGCCATTTCTCATACACCATCACCTTAATGTCACTCATCATTGGTCGGAAAGGTTGCAGAACAAGAAACATCTGACCTCTTCTACTCAGGCATCAAGCCAGCTGCAGGGCTTGCCTACTTCGGTGCTGAGCTCGATGTCACGCCTTTCAATGAATCCTACTTCCTCGACGCCAGCCTGCAGCTGCCCCCGACTCCTCCCCTTATCGAACACAACAATTCTCCCCTGTCGAGTGACAGTGCTTCTCCTCTGTTGACACCTCCTCGGTCTCCAGTTGTCTTCACCAATCCTTGGACTGCTTTCCTCACATCCTGTTCACCGGACAACGAGCTCGATGAGTTCTTCGTACCGTCGATGGACTCCGTGCCATCTTCGTTTCCGTTCCCACATAACCCTTCCAAGGACAACGGCATAGCCAGCTTCGCGCTCGAGGGAATTGATCCCGTCGGCAAAGACTCGCAACCCGAGGTTGACCTCAATGACTGGATCCACTTCAACTAAAAATTTCACACACTCGCTCTGTGCTCTCACACACACTTACATCACTCAAGTAATATACCACTCACGCTCACAACATTGACGATTTCTTTTCCACTTTACCCCCATCTCGCACTTCTGCATACCCAGCAAGCACGGATCTCCAACACAACTCTTGTCATATACCATGTAAATTCCTCTGTATTCATAGAAAACCCCTTTGTTACAGTTAGCACATACATGCCATTAGATGTCCAAAATTTGTATATATACCTTTCGATTAGTACATATTTGAATCGCTCATCGTTTGACTTTCTTCGAAGACATCACTTTGCCTGGATTCACTCTCTTGTTGCCCATGGTTGCAGCTTTTAGCTCTTCCAGGTCGATGCGTCCTGCACTCTTCTCTTCCTTCAACCAGGCAAGGCAGTCGTCTTGAGTACCATCGGGATGTCCGAGCTGCCATTCAAGCACCCTGTTCACCATTGCTTTCATCCACGGACCAGGATTTTCATCCATAGCGCGGGCGATTGCTTGACCCTGTGATAGTTCAACCAAAGGCAGGCGTAGTGAAATCAAAAATTCTCACATCTAGTATCGGCTTAGCATCCACTGCTTTGTCCAAACCAAGCTCTTCGACCCGGCGCGTCAGTGCGTTGTAACGCTGAACGCAGTCTGCTGCTTCTTCACTGCTAGATGCCGAGACAAGTTCGCAAACGAGAGAGAACACAAGGGAGCTAGCCCATTGAGAACTTGTGTGTATATTATGGACACTTTCTTGCCGTAGCAAAAGCCCTAGACGACAGACATGCACCCATCATCAGTCGAATACAGCTTGCATGATTATCGAGCATACCTATAGCAACCCTTTCCGAAGGCATTTTAAGCCTGTCCTGTTCCAGCGAAACACCATTCAAGAGGTCAGACGCGGAATACAGGGCAGGTATGCCATCCAAATAATGATTTTGTCTACCCAGTTTTAGCCCATCCTGGATCGCGCACTTGACGAGAGTGTGTTCCTTGCCTTTTGGATCCAGGTACGTGATTCCATGATAAGAATAGAGACTGGCTGCAAGGAAAAGGCGTGCCTTGCACCCGGGCTCTTGCAAAACGTAGGACCGGAGAGTAGGATGCAAAGACATCGAGTCCTCACTGGTGGATGAAAGGAGGGTATGCAAAATGGTAGCGGCACGCAAAGAAAGCTCCTGTGGTTTCGGAGTAGACGAGGCAATGCTGGTGATTTGTGGTGGAACGTGATATATGCATTTGTAGAGTTTGAGATCATTAATAATACGTATTGAGCGGAGAGGATCCTTCCCTGCACCATTATACAGCTTAATAGAGATTTGTTTCTCGCGGGATGGTAAGCACGGACCTTTCATCATTTTATCAATTTCTTCCCCGACTCGTTCTCTGCTGATTTTTTGTGCCAGAGTATCTTGAATTATTTCAAGCTGGGCAGCTTGCTGCAGGTCAGACTCTATTTCAAAACCGAAGCGGCTTGCGAAGCGGACGCATCGTATCACACGCAGGGGATCGTCCAGGAAAGTTTCACGTGGCGGCAATGGAGTTCGAATAATACCATTTTGTAAATCAATGAGACCCTATCCCATGTCGTGTCAGTATCATCAATGCCAGTGACATCCGTTACACGAGTTTACCTTTTCAGTGAAATCCTCAACTGAACGAGTATGAACGTTGTAGAACAGCGCGTTAATAGTGAGGTCCCTCCGTAGAGCATCCTCTAGTGGTGTACCAAATTTCTGTATACGATCTGGTCAAGTTCTGCGTGATCTTCGAAGAGACCTTGGACACACAACTTCAGTTGGTATGCGACTGTCTTCCGCATACTCTTCGCTTCTTAGATTCACGAAATCGAGGTCTATGCCAAGGAGAGTAGTCCGTGCAGTTTCCAAGTGTTTGGATTGATCAGGATTGCTTTCAATTTTCGAGATTTTGTGCACATGAAGATTTTTCTGCTCAAACAGAAATGCTACGAAACCTTCAGCAAAAGTTATACCCATCATATCGGCGAGACAGATGTCCATATCATTGCTCTCCATGCCCAGTAACTGTAACATATGAATGAAATAACATAAGAGCTTGCCCAATCGATGACAGAGGCCGAATTGACCTTGTCCCTAACCCATCCACCGTTGATCCTGCACGCTGTTATGATATTCTTGTTCTGCTGAAGATGGCGCGTGAATTCGTCAAGCAAAGTGCACAGATGATCCTCAGCGTCGGTCAGATGGATCACTTTCCTGACAGCAGGCGCAATACGAGTTGTCATGTTTCTGCAGTGGATGTGATCCAATAAACGTCGCGAGCGTTGATGTCTAGTGAGAGGAACAATATTACAAGTGACTCGATGAAGCATTGCCGGATGGGCCGCTTCCATCGGAACACTATAACGCAGTTGAAGCGGAGATGAAACGGGCGGCAATGGCATCCGGTGCCGGCGCCCCACCGACCATCGTCCATTTCGAGCCTGTGCAGCACGACGACCTGCTCTTATTCCTCGCACATAACTTTCAACTGTTAATTTTCACAAATGGGTCGTGTATTGCTCAAGGTCTGTTTTCTATACTACTTTTGCAAATCTGTCTTATTACTGTGTAGCTGACTCGTCCGGTTAGGTTATCATCTTAGGCGACAGTGGGTGCGTGCTGCAAAGCGTTTAGCTTTGACCCGTGGACTTCAAACTTATCATTCTCCTCTCGTTTGTGCAGTGTCGGCAAGACGTCACTTATGAACCAATATGTGAACAAGCGGTTCAGCAACCAGTACAAGGCCACCATTGGAGCCGACTTGTAAGTGCCCTTTCCCGTTTGTGGCTCCGTTCACAGCTCTTACCCGTTCTCAGCCTCACAAAGGAAGTCATGGTGGATGACCGTCTGGTCACAATGCAGGTACGTATCATAGTAGGGTAAGTACGTCATCCCCACTAATTAAGATGCTCAGCTCTGGGACACTGCTGGACAGGAGCGCTTCCAATCTCTAGGTGTGGCTTACTACCGCGGTGCAGATTGTTGTGTACTTGTGTATGATGTGAACAGCGCCAAGTCGTTCGAGACGCTCGACAGCTGGCGTGATGAGTTCCTTATCCAGGCGAGCCCGCACGACCCAGAGAATTTCCCCTTTGTCGTGTTGGGGAATAAGATCGATGTGGAGGAGAACAAACGACAGGTCCGTCGAAGGCAGCGTCATACCATCTGTTTCATTTGCTCACATGCTTTGTAGGTAACGCAGAAGCGGGCTATGACGTGGTGTCAATCAAAGGGCAATATCCCTTACTTCGAGACTTCTGCCAAGGAGGCTATCAATGTGGAGCAGGCATTCCAGACCGTCTCGAAGAATGCGCTGCAACAAGAGGCAGAAGAACAACTGTATGTTTATTTGATCATGCTTGGCCATCTCGCTTACGATAGGTGATAGGTATGTTGATTACCCGGACCCAATCCAGATTGACCGGGAGAGCACACAAAATTATGGGTGCAACTGTTAATGGATAATCTATGGACTGGGATTTTTTTTCTGTTGGTCATGCTCTCTACGGTACCTTTGCCGTTTGTTACCCCTTGCAATTACGTCGAGTAATACTTGTTCTCTATCGCGTACATCACAAACGCATGAGTGAGACAAAACACAAGTGAAGATGCGGCATCGAAGGTTGGTACAAGTACAAGACACATTTCTTCCGCAATTCCTTCCTTCCTTCCTTCCTTCCAAAAACTCATAGCTTGAACTCCGACCTCTGGTACTTGACCTTGGCTGAGGCAGCGTTGTCGACATACCAGCACACCTGGCCTGGGTGCGATGGTCTGACGCGAGAAGCAGGCAAGCCCACTTCTGGGTTATCAATTATAGTGCTGAGAACATCAGCTTTTCCCTCGCCCGCTGCAACAAATGCAACGCGTAGAGCATGGTTAAGAACCGGGAATGTCAAAGTGATGCGTTTTGGAGGAGGCTTTGGTGAGTCCTCGATGTACGCAACCCACCTGTCCTCTTCCGTCAACAGAGGATGTTCCGGGAAGAGGGAGCAGGTGTGTCCGTCTGGACCGATGCCGAGGAGGATGAGGTCGAAGACGGGAAAACGAGCAGAGTCTTTTTGAGCAAACTCGGTAATAAGCGCTTTCTCGTACGCGTCTGCGAGCTCCTCGAGGTCGTCCAAGAGGGAGACATCGATGGGGTGAATGTTTTTTTTTGGTATGGGGACCTTGCTGAATAGCTCTTTCTGGCAAAGATTGTAGTTCGAGTCTTCGTGATCCAACGGAACGCAGCGCTCATCGGCGAAAAAGACCTGCCTGTTGTATTTGTGAGATGAATGTTTATTACGATCTTTGAATCAATCCATACCATTTGTCCCATTTTACAGCTGGGTTATCAATGAGCTTATAAAGCTGTTTCGGCAGGGAGCCGCCTGAGAGAGCAACAGTGAACCTGCCCTTCTTATCGACAGCTTCTTTCTGTGCTTTAGCGATGAAGGCAGCGAGCTTCTCGCTCAGCTCATTCTGGGACTCAAACGAGTAGAGAACGGGAGGGCTCGGAGGTTGGTGAATGGAGGACATAATTAGGGGGACAAACGCTGGGAATACGCGTTTTGATTTCTTGCTAGACCATATATACCGTACCGTGTGACGTCAATAAATACAGACAAATATGTGAGGATCTTTGATCATGATTCCGAATCGGAAACTCTGAAAAATCGCACAGAATAATCCTAACATCGCTATGGAGTCATTGTCGACGTTGAAGTTTGGTTTATCCCTGGCACCCAGTCCTTTCCGTCGTCATCTAACCTTTCTGCTACATCCACGTCGGCATTCCCAGCACTCCGTTCGACTCCCATCTCTGGGAAAATGGACAATAATAACGCGTCCATGATAAAGACAGCAAGGTGTGCATTACACGCAGCGTCGCAGAGGGGGCTGATTAATTCCTCAACAGTGCGTTCTGGCGATGATCCAAGGATGGGAGCCAGAAACGCCGGCACCTGTTCGCGCAGTCGCCGAAGTAACTGCTGGCGAATAGCAATTTGTTCTTCTGGAGTGGGATCGATCGGAGGCGAGCCTGGGTATCCATTTGGGAATAAAGTACGCTTGGAAAGTCGTATTACAAATACTATAGAGGACGCGCACAAAATCCGAGTATACAGTAAGTGGTTCAATAGTCTTGAGGAACATGGATTAGAAAGCATGTCATTGAAGATGTTCATTACTTACCGGTCCAAGAACGGTGTCGTGGCCGCACAGATCATGCATAACGTATGCATTAGTGCGCTTGTAGCAAAGCGCTCGTGCATTGTAAACAGCTCGGATATCATTGTTAGAGGCTCTCGAACATAATCACTGGGTGAACACTGAGGGTTGGGCTGAGGAATATTTGCATGCAGGGACAGAGTAGACGACGCGGCTGAAGCATATGATGACAAAGGTGGTGAGATTGATCTTGTGGGCGATATGGGAACTGGACGAGCTTTCCCCCATGGTTCACTTCGTCGTTGATTAATTGTTGGGCGCGCAGAATGATTAACCAGTTTGATGGTATTGAGCGTTTGCTTATATGTTTGAACAAGGGATAGGCCCATCCCAGAGATGGATTGCACAGCAGAGAGGAAGAACACAAGGAGGAAATGAAATGAAAAATGAGCGTGATGAGTATGTGACGGTGACGATACGTTTGGAGGCTACAATGACATTTGTTCAGAGCTTGATACAGCAATATATAAAGTGGCAGACCTTGTCAGATTCTGCATCAAGTGATGGACCGAGCAAGTCTAGAATTGTTCTCTGAATAAACCAAGGCTGGGTGACTCGTGGAATAACATCCTTCACTAGTACCTTGAGGATGATTTCACGCACGATGAATCGCTCAGCCTCTGGAGTATAATCCTGAGGAGGTAGACATGATTTAAGTACATGGTCGAATGCCTGACGAAAGTATTCTTCGTCAATTTTACCCTCGGGAGATATTGCCACGTGAGGCTGCAGTTGATGAAAGAGGTGTGGAAGTGGTATAGCACCACCCATTGCGTACGAGGTAGACACTTTGGACGCAGCATGTCGGTAGTCGCGATAATGTTGCGTTATCAGAGCAGGGGCGACTGAAAACACGAATAATGAAAAGTCAGTGGATAGCAGGCGTGTTTCAAGTGTCCGAAGGACGGTCGTGAGGACAATCATAATTTCTGGAAGTAATTCCTTATCATAACGAGTAATCTTGGTCCACCACGTATTGACGAAGGCACGCAAAGCAAGCGCAAGAAAATCATAGGCCTCCGCGTTAAGTTCGGGTGAGCACGCTTGATGAAACAAACAACGGCGGCAAGTCTGAGCCTGGTGGCAAATGCGGAAAGAGCAGACGTTTTGCAAGTGATGCTGGCTGCTGATGCTTTGTGGTGTTGGATGTGATGCTGTTAGAATGCGTTGAGCGAGGGCGGAGGTTGCCCGCCATAAGTTACACGTGCATTCAACGAGTGCGCAACCGAAATTCTTATTATTGATATGTAATTACGTAACTGTCGTCACCGTCACTTGTCAGGGCTCCAGGATGCACGTTCACAAGCTTTCACACAACTTTCACCTTTCACCGTTGCCAACATCAAACAGGTAGACGGCTTAGTCCACTCGCTGCTGTCCGTTTGACCTAGCATCGATTCGTACGTTATAGATTAACGTCCTTCCGCAGGTTCCGTGAGGCTAACATACATATACGACCGTGACAGCAGTGCCGTCTACCCCTCCACTGTCATTCATTTATAATCCGACGCTCTTTATTGCCTTTCAATATGGAACACAGATCTGACTATAATTCAGCACATGGATCCTTTGCCACAAAAATATTTAGCGGCACCAATGTCGACCACACAACTACTGCCATTATCGTGGTTCTTTGTATTTTTGCGGGCATGTTGATCTTGTTCGGTCTTTTTCGGTTCCTACGCCATCGGTTGGCTCGACGATCCACTCCCCTACCACCCGTGCAACCTATCGCTCACTTTCGTAAGCAGCGGCTGACAGAGTTTGCTGCACGCCCCCCCATATCGTCAACATACTCCCTGTCCTCACACCTTTCTCCGTCAAATGAATTATTGCCCGCCGCCAGCGATTCTTCCTGTCTCACTACAAAGTACAATCAGACTTTTCATTCGCAATCAAGTCTATATCTTGCGGATAAAAACGATCACCAAGGCGTGCCACCGTCTCCAGTGAATGACGAAGAAGTTATGCCAACGCCAAACCCCGCATTTCATCATGCCAGGCGTTTTAGTAGCAGCTCTTCGGGTTCTATTTCCTCTACTCCCCCCTCAGCTTCTATTTCATCACGTTCGCCATCACAGACTACACTTACCCATCCGTATTCTCGTCATACTGGTCCTGCGTTAGCAATGTCCAGCACCTCCATCCGAAGCAGGAGTTCTGGAAGAAGCACCATCGTAGGTGCTCCGCATGGACCCATGAGCCAGGTCAGACTTGTACTACCTGCCCCTCTCGCTCCTTCTCTACATCCATATCTTTCTGGATCAGAAGCAGGTAGGTTGGGCGTGAATGCCGAGACGCACAGAACCATGGTCGATATGTGGGCACCCCCGCTTCACAGGTCGGCGAGCTCTGATCATATTAGTAAGTTGCCACTATTCTTGTTCTCCGTAAATTTTCGAGCTTATTGTGTGGTCAGGATCAAATTCGGCCGCAATTTCTGCTACGTACCCGCACGGATCTTTACCCTCTAAACCTCGACAGAGGACCTCCTCCTGCCATACACCATCTTCGTCATATCATTCATCTGTGATTGGTTCTCCTCCTGTTCCCCCAATTCCTTCTCAGTACCAGCAACTGAATGGCGTATCTTACGCCACGCAACATCAGCAAGACCCTCCTACGAGAAGTCCTCTCGTGGTTTCACAATCATCTTCTGAAGAGTCATATACCTCGCGAGTCTTCGACCGCATCTCGCCCGAATAATATATGACAGTTGTTGTGGTATCTTGACTCTGATAACCCTCCATGAGTTGATCGAGCCATCTATAACGTTTTTCTTTTTATATGTACGTGTTTCCGCACGCCAATGAGTCACACACTGCCAGACTCCTTTTCCGTGGACTCGAATCACCGCACAAGATTGTGCATAGTTTGGTGTCTTCCACTCTTGCCACACTCATTAATTCATCTGGTTCGTACAATGCCCCATGATAGCTCAATCATAACAACACGTTCTGCGTCATGGGCAGACGATATTGATATATTAGATATATCATGTATTGACTAGTTGGTGGGCTCTGCAGTGGTACTGCCGCTAAGCGCTAGGGGGCAGCCAGTGTGGCGTTTAGCTGTTTAATGTATTTCCTCCGTTTCCACCTGAGGCGTCATATCTGCGTATTCGTTTCACGATGCGGCGTTCCGCGCTGTACTTTTATGAAAGAAGGTGACGTTCACACAGTTGATTGCGAAAACTCTGATCACTTTCTTGTTGACAAGGAATCTTGTCAGGGTCAAGTCAGGGTCATCTACTAACGCATCCAGGCTCGATTCACGTTGTGTTCCTGGGCAGACACAAGTGTTTATAGCAGGCAATCATGATGAGCTGGGCCAACTATTGCAACTATCCTTGAGCAGTTCTTTCCCTATGACTAGAGCCCTTTGCCAGGTGGCGTCTTTAAATGCTTCGGCTGCTGCGACTCTTTCAAGTGTTCCTTGATTAGCGAGATACCCGACGTCATGGACAGGAAGATTTTCCGATGTGTCAATTTGAAGAGAAGAGATACAGATTCCTGTGATGCTGTGGAGAGAAATAAAATATGGCTGGGGAGGAGACGATTAGTTTCTTGGTCGAACCAGACGCGGGATTAGATGATCTTGCAGCAGTTCCGTACGTAGTAACTATGGAAGGAGAGTCGGGAGGGGCAAGTGGAATGGCGGCAAGAATTGCATCTGAATATCACGCAAGAGTGAGAGAAGAGCGTCAGACTGATAAAGTGTAAGTCGAGACTCATGGATGGGGAAAGAGAAAAATAACCAAGTGTAACGTGATTTCGGTGAGCCGCTGCGGGCTCTAAATTGAAAACGGCAAAGCTGTAATAAGCCACGTGCCACGCTTAGCTCTCGTGACTCGTGTCGACTGCCTTAACGTTATTGTATAAAATTGACTGGTTAGCTATATCTCAGCATACCCTTAATCCGCTGCATTATTCATACCCACGGGCTCACTGCTCAGCAATGTCGTTTGTGCGGCTACCATTCCGTTTTGCTAGGCTTACACAGTCTCGCTCATCAGGGCGGGCTAGTGCCGTTGGGCGCCGGTACATCTCCCAAAATATTAATCGGGACTCTACGACGGGGGAAGCTGCTGTTCCGCTCGATATCGAGGTATAGACAATTTTTTTAATCTGTATTCTTTTTAACATTATACGAAGTTCTCCCGACTCACTGTCACCAAAACAATGAACCCCAAGGAACTTCCTCCCTCCAAGAACCTTCTCTTCGGGCGGACATTTGTGCGTCATTTTTTCAGGTTCCTCATGTGTTGTACCTCATTGTGATTCCAGTCAGATCACATGCTGAAGATCCGCTGGACTGAAGCTACTGGCTGGGAAGCCCCCAGCATTGAACCTTGTGAGTCTAACTGTTTTCCTCATAGCCTTTGTCGATATATTTGCTCTTATGCTCTAGTCGGCACCATCAATCTATCCCCTAGTTCTACCGTACTTCATTACGCCCAATCGCTATTTGAGGGCATGAAAGCCTACAGACATGAAGATGGCACTGTGACGATGTTCCGACCCGACATGAATATGAAACGTATGAACGTTAGCGCAAAGCGGCTAGCGCTTCCCGTACGCTCTATTCTTTTATTTTGAACAGATGCTCATACCTGTCTCCAATAGGCATTCGACGGAAACGCGCTTCTTGAATGCATGAAGGAATTGATTTCCCTTGACCGCCGGTGGATACCTAAGGAGCCCGGACATAGTCTTTACATCCGACCTACATTCAGTAAGTAGTGTAACCTTTGTTGTTGACACATACTAAGAGACCCTGCAGTCGGCACTAATGGCACGTTAGGTGTTGCGCCCCCTACCGAAGCACTACTCTTCGTGATCACTAGCCCTGTGGGACCATACTACCCTCATGGGTTCAAGCCTGTACCTTTACACGGCACAACAGACTACATCCGCGCCGCGCCTGGAGGTACGTCAAGTTCTTAGCTCACCCATCGGATATTGTAATCACTGCACCTCAAGGTACCGGTGCGTATAAGCTTGCCGCGAACTATGCTCCAGGTGTTGTGGCACAAAAAAGTGCAGCAAAACAGGGCTACGCGCAGAACTTGTGGCTACATGGTCCCGAGCACTGGCTCACAGAGGTAGGCACCATGAACTTGTTTGTCGTTATTAAGGACAAGGACGGCAGTAAGCATTTACCTCAGCCGTGTCTCAATCGCATGTTGACTCCGTTGCCTTCGTAGTTACTGAACTCATTACGCCCCCTCTCGACGGAATGATTCTTCCAGGTGTTACACGCGACTCTGTGTTGGCCCTTGCGCGTAACCATGCCTCGGGAGTTAAGCGTCTCGAAGGTCTTCCTGATGCCATCAAGATTTCCGAACGCCCAATTAATATGGGCGAGATTATCCAATCCTCAAAAGAGGGTCGACTTATCGAATTATTTGGTACTGGTACGGCTGCTGTTGTCACACCTGTGGACAAAATTGGGTACAACGGAAGTGATGTCATTATTCCTACTGGTAAGGACGGTATGGGTCCTCTCTCGAAACCTCTTTGGACAGAGCTGGTGGGTATCCAGACGGGGGCTATTAAGAGCGACTGGAACTATGTGGTAGCGCAGTAGTGCGACTGCCATTTATCTACAAACAGGGGATCTATTTGTGCTTTTTAATGAAATCTAGAGTTGTCTGGTGGTGATCATAAAATGGCAGAATCAGTTAGTTGTAACGCTGAAGGTTCTATAACATCCTTATGTGCTAGCTAGCCTGACTTTTCCTGTCTAGGTCTGTGGTTCTTCTCTGTCATTGGTAAGTGCGTATTATCAAGAACAGAATAATATTCAATTGCCGGAGTTATATGTTGACTGTGCTAATGCATTCGGGGGCATTGGCCAGGTCGACAGGCCTTCATCGGATCCAAACCGCTGGCAGTGGTAGCCCACCGACGCACCGTTTGTATCGAAACGGTGGTTCTTAATTCCGATTGACGGTGCATTACACACGAATAATCATGCTCATGGTGTCACGTTGACGGACCTGATCAGACAACCCGGCGCGCGCGCTGGTTACGTTCTTGGTGCGCACCTCGGGATATAGATGGGCTAGCGGCGGCAACCAGGCGAGTATAGCTTGTGGTCATGCACGCCGTCACAGTCGATGGACTAATCTTCCTCGATCTGCACTGATTTGCTGTTCACGACAATGGAAGTTAATGCTGCTGTACATGCTTTACGGGAGGCCTCTGCGCTCAAGTCACAGGAATCGGCCAAATATGCCTGCAGCTCGAATCATCTGTGCCGAGAGGATCTCCTCCTGTTGACGGATGACCTGAACGAGTGCGGCAGGTGGCCTCTGGAATAGGGGCTCCCGCAGAAATGATACACGAGGCACACTAACGTTTGTGCAGATTAATGCTAGAGCTCATCTCACGAGCGACTCGGACTTTGACTGCGGTTTTGAAGACGACATCGTGGGTATATTTTGGACGACAGTGTGACAATACCGACTTTTTGGCGAGTCAGTGTATATCCGACATTTGTCCAAAGCCCATTGGATGTTAAATGATATTCGGATGCTCAGACCGAGAAGCAATGGAGCAATGGTTGCATGTCATGTACTGTAACTTGTTTAATTGTCTTGATGTATACAAAGTGTAGGGTATCTATCGACCAGCAGCGATCCATTATGATCTGTTGACGCTGGCGACTAGTACATAAGCTCTGGGGCTGACTAAGACGATGTGTGTGCCTCATAGCTTAGTCATAAGTCAAGGCGAACTAATCATCATCCCTGGTAGTTGCCTCAAGCAGAGCATCCACCTGAGCATTTACTTGCATCAGTCTGGCGGTCCATTATTTTTCTTTCATCCGTAATTTTTTTCGTGTCCTCGATAACCCAAGATACACAGTTTAGTTGTTTAACTCTTCTTTTCTTTCTTTTTCTCCAGTGAAAATGCTTTACGATCCGACCACTGTAACTCACCTAAAGCCTTGGTTGGTCCGAACTCTGGAGCCAATGTGCGTATCACCGGATGCTCAGTCTTCATAATCTCTAACAATGATTGGCATATACAGATGTGATGCGGAGCCTGGGGCACTTGCTGAATACGTTCTCGCGTTGCTGAAGCACAATGTCCCGGAAAATGAGATGCGAAAGGAGCTCAGCTCTCAGTTGGAAGAGTTTTTAGAGAAAGGTTCGCATTAATTCTGCAATCTATGCGTCTCGTTCCTAATTCGGTACCCAGAGGGACCCTCATTTATAGATACATTATTCACTGTTCTCAGAACTAAGACGTATCTCCCATACACTGCCAGCGACCCAACAAGTTCTTTCTCGCTGCCCTCACATTCGCATTCCGCAGATACTGGGATTCCTATACCTCTGGATGGCCTCCTATCTAATCATTCGCCGACGGAAAGAGGGCAGAAACGATCGCTGGAACACGATGAACGTGACGGGCGCCCACCCACAAAAGGTGCTCGAGTAAGTGCAGAAGGCCAATTTTCACGGTATCCCAACGGTCGTGACTCTCGCTCCACTGGTGCATGGAGTGGTGGCCAAAATAGGGCCGGGGGCCAAGGAATGGTGATGAATAGTACAGTGGGTAGCGGTATGAATGGGAGCAATCAAAGTGTGAACACCCGACGACCACAAAATTATCAACCCCCAGACCAAAGAAAAGGAATATGTCGTGATTATCATAGTGCGCTCCTTCTTCCGTAACGATCTACAGACACCGCTAACGTGTCCCTACAGATAATGGATATTGTGCTCGTGGTGCATTATGCAAGTATAGTCACGGCGAAGACGCTTTTGTCCCATCGCAAATGTTTCCTATGAATGCTGCTGTACCATTCTTGCCAATGTTTGGTGGAATACCTTTCGGCATGCCTCAAGGTGCCCCCTATGATCCTCACGAGGCACGCATGGATATGCGTCCGAATGGGGCCGGTATCGGCTTGGGTCGTGGAACGCAACGTGCTCCTCTACTCTCCAGGGCTCAGCAAGAGGACGGCAGTCAAGTTTCTCATGTGGTGGACAGGTCTGGCGAACTTCCGGTCATACAGGACCTAACTCCTCAGCTGCCTCCAGAATCTGCACCGCCGGCATTACCGGCAGGAGACCCAATTCCTCAGAGTTCCACACCTATGCAGCAGCAATCAGTTCAACACATGGATGTGGAGATGGGTGTTCCAAGTGTACCAGGACCATCAACGTACAACACGCGTGGTGGGTTCGGAGCAGGGATGAGGGGTGGTGCACCTCGTGGACGAGGCATATTCGGTGGTGACGCGCAGACATTCCGTCCAGAACGACGGCAAGATAAAACACTTGTGGTGGAAAAGATTCCAGAGGACAAGCTTAGCCTTGACGCTGTCAATGGTTGGTTCAAACGTTTCGGGACAGTCACCAATGTTGCGATCGATGCTCGCACTGCCAAGGCGCTTGTGAGTTTCGCCGAACACACCGAGGCTCATGCTGCATGGAAGTCGGAAGATGCTGTGTTTGGGAACCGGTTTGTGAAAGTATTTTGGCATCGGCCCATGGAAGGACATGGGCAAACAGGATCGCGAATGTTAGCAGCCTCTGCACCACTACTGGCCAACCTGGCTGCACGTGAGACACCCATGCCTTCTGCACCATCCCAGCCTCCTGCACCGCCCGCCACGACTCCCACTCGTAAACCACCCCTCCAGTCTCCCGCCGTATCAGAGCTCGCAGCGAAGCAGAAGCTGTTGGAACGACAGATATCGGAGCAGAAGTCTTTAATGACCTTATTAGAGACCTCTTCTCCCGAGGAGAAGAAAGTGATTCTAGCAAGATTACGGAAATTGGGAGAAGAGATGACAGTTTCATCAGTACCGTCACCACTGTCGGCTACCCCCGCCAAAGTTCATTCGCCTGCCTTGACTATTCAGAACGACCACGAGAAAAAGGAGAGAGAACGGTTAGATAAAGAGCTTGAGTTGCATGCCGTCGGGGAGTCTACAGAGGAACTCAAGGCTAAACTCGCAAAATTAAAGGAGGAGGCAGCAAGTCTTGGAATACCGGAGACCACTCCTGAAGTCTCGTATAGTGCACCGTATCGTGGATACAGAGGTCGCGGTCGCGGGACGCGTGGTGCCTTCTATCGCGGAGCACCGCGAGGTGGTCCTCCTAGGGCGAGTATGAAACTCGACAACCGCCCAAGGAAGCTGTTGGTGAAGGGTGTTCGTGAAGACAGCTTGCAAGCGTTGCAGGATTGGTATGAAGTACGTCGAGATATTTCACTTCTGGTTGCGTGGCTCATTGATAATTATAGACTACCGGTCAGCTCGAATCAACAGAGAGCATTGGCGATGATGAAGTTCTCGTCAGTTTTAAGACGAGAGCAGCTGCTGAGCAGGTTGGTCAAGAAATTATCCATCGCATTTGATTTGTGCTCACTATTTTGTCAGGGTTTTGCCAAAGGATCAACTATCGCTACAGTAGGCCCAGTGAAGATTTCGTGGCACAGTGCTCAGCAATCGCAAGCTAAACCGCAAGGCGTCACCACGTCCACATCGCAACCCGCCGCCACAAAAGGCGTTCATCCAAACGATATGCCGAATACTCCACCGTCTCCAGGACGCCGTCCCTCCCCCCGTCCACAAGAAGAAGAAGTCATTGCCAGTGGGTGGGGTGATGGTGATGAAGATGGTATGGGCATGTTTTGATCGTACAGACTCTGCGATCCTTGTGTCTTGGTATTGTACTCTGTGCCGGTATATTTTAGTTCTGCGGCTGGCAGCTCGAAAAAATTTCCTGGAGTTGCAACATGTAAATCCCTAAGTTACACCCGATCATCGTTCGATTTTGTCTGTCAAACAGTCGATCGTGAATCCGTGGTCTACGTTTATCGTGAAGTACATTTGTTGAAACTCGAGACTATTGTAATTCGTCACGTTTAGATTTACATAACATGAACATAAATGTCCTCCTGGCATCCGTACTGTGCGCACTGTGTAGAGTCCGTATACATTTGTGTACTTATCATATCAACTATCTTCACCCTGGGAACAGTAATTATTAGGAAGTCGAGGTATTGCCACTCTGGCATCGAAGGCATTGGCAGTCCTGCGTCGGCGAAACGTGGGAGCGGCCAAGTTCACAGCATCTCCCATGTATATCTCGACTTCATCATCATTCTGGAACTGTGTGACTGCGCCAAGACCTGCATTTCTACGAACGGATAGTGATCTGCTTTGGCTCGTGGGAGGCTCGTTGATTCTTGGGGGGGATAAAGAAAGATAGGGTACTTCGCCCTTAAGGAGTCCATCACTGGCATCCCCTCGCAATGCCGTTGGAGAATCGCACAGCGCGAGCTTCGTCCAGGTTTGAGCGATATGGTCAATATCCTTCCCAATGTCAAATGACGTCCGGGGTTGGAATCGGGATGCATGTGTGGTTTTTGGTGGATTGTAACGCTCTAAAGATCTCAGGTAGTCTGGAATCCCTGAAAAAGGCTCCGAGTTCGTGTTCGTGCGTGCGATTTTACGCTGTCGGTGGTCCTTATGATCAGGCACAATTACCTCCATTTCGTCGACAGCCCCACCGATGATAGCTTTGAATTTCCTGAACCTGGCTTTCAGCTGTAACTCGCGGGCCATTTCCAGTTGCTTATCCATAGGCAAGAGCCAAGCCTCATTGATAGGGGAGAGCGAATGAGGCGATTGCGGAGATGTGCCGCGTGCTGAACGAGAATCGATGGAGAGAAGAACAATAGGTTGGCTATCTTGTCGGATACAACAACGCTTATAACTAGCATTGTCTCCTGAAGATGATTCTCGCGCACGAATACGACCTCTACTGGCAGGTGATTGACAATGAACAGCATCTGAACTCGTGTGGGACGATCTTTTCCCTTCCCATGAAGCTAGAATCCCATGTTTGGGGGAGAATGTTCCGGGAGATGCAGCTGATGAGAATTCCGAACGACCAGAAACATGTGCAAGGGAGCTGGTGATCGGGCTAGGTTGTGATGTTTTTGGCGAGAGGACTTGATTTTCCTGGCCGTGCCCATGTTGCAGGGATAATGATCGCGACAAAGGGATCGACGCCAAATTCGCTTCTCCGCAGGGGGAAACTTCCTCATGCGATAGAGAGATATGTCGTAATGGAAAAGATGCGAGTGGCAAAACGCTTGACGTGAGCGCAACTTCTTGTGGGAAATGTACCGAAGTATTGCGAGAACATGTCACGGTTGGCGATATAGTAGTAAATGAAAGAGCACAGTGACCGTACACCTGCTGTGGGAGGTTCTGTGTAGGATAATGGTGCTGAACCTCATCGATCAGCATCTGGTCTGACGATCCTCGGCTCTGATAAGTAGAAGGAACGTCAACCGACATGCAGGATGAAGCCCTATGCCGAGCAATATTCGGAGAAAATGAATCAACCGACATCCCAGACGAAGCCTTGCGATAGGTGCCTGTCGATGGGGAAGGTTCAATAGACATTTTAGAGCTCCTTTTTCGAAACTGTGTAGAGTTCAGAGGCCCATCGTCGACAGACATGGACTTTGTATCGGACCCAGGGAGAGATCCGGAGATGGACACAGTCGCTAAGATGCCATATGCGTGGTTGTTCCACTCCTGAGTGACTGTACCTGGTGCAAAAAATGTCGGTCGGCGAGTAGCAGGTACACGATCGATGAAGGAAGCGTCCAGCACATGCTACACCGAAGATTTAATGAAATTGATTTTTCTAAAACAAAACAAAACAAATCCCCTACCTGCTTGGCTTGGGGGTGACAACCAGCGTGACCTGTTGTTGACCACACTGCAGTTTCGACCCTCGAGTAATGGCGAGTTCAAATCCACCTTGTAATTGAACATTTTGCCTGAAAACGAGATGCATCAAAAGGTGTTTCAACATACATGCAAGGACTGTCAAGTATCGGAGATTGAATTTGTCCTTGAATCTCTGTAGTAGCTCTAGTAGGTCCATGCATACTAAACTCATTATCTGACATTCCAAGTTGACGACGTGGTGATGAGAAATTTGATCGTTTCGACGACTCCGACACCCATGGAAACCGTGACTTTTGTTCTCTGTGATAATAAATGAAAGTAGGTCCGATAACTCGCTCACTTCGCAGGGTATTCAGTTATTGTATTCGCTCTCGCCGGGCGGGACCCTTCATGGTCAAATATGGACTTGTGGGTTATACATAGTACCTTCTTGTTGAGAAGGTTATCCATGAGCACCTCTCTGGACCCACACTGTATCAAAGAGACGTGTGTTTTTGTATTTTCACGAGCACGTGCCAGCCAGCATGGTGACCGCGTCGGGCACAAGAGGTATAAGACTTGGTGTTAGGAGTAGCTTGACGCATTGCATCCAACTAATTCCCGATACACACGTCGATGTTAAACTCACAGATACTGCAAAACCCTTTTCTCTTCTCCCGGGCGGGGGTTCGTGTTGATGACCCCTCGCATCATCATCCTCATTCATACTACTATTCCAAACAAAGAGAAGAGACTCGTCTCAGACCTTTGGGAAATAATAGTGAGGGGGAACAAGTATTGTGCAGCATAGGCCTGAAAGATTCGGCCAGCTTCAAGTTGATAAGTCGCCACTAGTAGGAGAGCGTGCTGGCTTTGAGACGCCAAGACATGTAAGTCATGTCATTCTGCCTGAATCATTGATACATGGCATGATACATAACTGGTGGGTCCGGACTCGGTGATTCCATGTGTTGGAAGCTTGAGCAACCTGATTTTATCCGTAGGCACCTGTCCTTCAGCTTTGTCTCACCCAAGTCTAATGTCTTTAAGTCGCATCTTCAAGAGTACATCTAGGCGAGCCTTTAGTTGCCAGTGTTTACTGGGAACTGTATCTACGAGTTCCCTCGACAACTAACTCCGCATGTTCCGGAGTGAGACAGTACTCTTGAGTGTTTGGACAAAGCCTGAGTCTACGTACAAGGTCAAGACACTTCATGGCATCCTTTGTGTATCAGTTGACGGCACAGGTTTTGCGGAGCCATTGAGCTCTGCAAGCATTCTCACATGCCAGTGGTGGTCTAGTGTCCGGTTTGTCTTATTCGTCTCCGAGGAACAAAGATTACACTGGAAGTACAATAAATCCTCGTCCTCCTTTTCCGTGACCGGCTCAAACATTCTGGCATGGAGCTGTATGAATTCAGTTCAGACTATTGGTGTCTGGGACCATGGGTCCGAGAGGTCTTCGAGAGGTTCGACCTGGACTGCATGGTTATAGCTAGCTTGGATGTTGGTAACTCACCCCAGCTCGACGATCCAATCCAGATTTACCAATATGTCCTACCTGCAGCAGAATATCAGTCATGAACGTTTCCCCTACGCCATGTATAACAACACGTTGGGTATACACCAAGTTGTACATCCTCACCAATTAAGTGATCATCCATCATTTGTTATACCCATCTCTTCAGCATCGGTGAGTTTTATCTGCATAGTTGTTTTTGTCGCTATGATTAACGAGGACCAGAATCCTTCCATGCAGTCTTCTGGTAGTACCTCTCCCAGTGTGAAAGCGTTTGTTCCGATGAACATTCCGCAGTATAACAGAGATGGCTCCTCGACTGTTATGTTCCAGGTGAATACAGAAAAGAATAGTCTATGTGTTCCTTTGGAGGAGTGTCTTCAGCCCGGCGGTGGACCGCACTTGAAAGACGCCCACGAAATTATGTTCCCGACAGTCGATCGTACTCAGGTCCAGACTTTCAAACTCGTCATAGCTGTGAGTGTTCGCACCCTCGATCGATTGCGAAGCCTAAGTTCAGTGTTAGTGGCCCGGATATGATACAGTGGAGTACCCGATCGACATCGGGACGAACGAAATGCCCATCACAAGGGCTGATCTCGCGCGTCAAATTGCGTATCACTTTTTTGGCTTTTGCATCGTATGTTTACATGTTCCTCCTCTGTAAATTTGAGTTAATGTACTGTCAACCAGCAATGTGATAATGGCCATTTCATTCAAAGCTCGCACTTGCAGTGGAAAATCGGAGGGCGAGACGGGTATTCGTTTCATCAGATCCACCTGTCAACATTCTGGAATATCGAAGGCACCTCTTGGGCAGCCTCCGTCAGAGTCCTGGAAAATGCCTAGTACCTGCTGCACATGTCAACTTGTCCTCCCCGCAAATTTTGTATACCCTCATTGCATCTGAATATTATAACACATACCTGACCATCGTCTAGTGTATATATTGTACCCCGAGCACTATGCACGAGAACTAAACTGAAACACTGCTACACGTCACTGTTAGCTCTCCTCTCTGAAGGCCATGGTCGCCATTGCTATGACTTCCTTGTAAGAGTATGAGCATAGCGAGTAGGGGTAGAGTATAAACTTCAGGCCTTGGTACTGGTCACGGATAACGAAACTGGTGAGTGAATCAAGCGCAGATGGCCTCACATCTATGTAGCAAGACCAGTTCAAAAAACAGTGTGAATATCTTTAAACTTTATTCCATGACACTGACATGAGCATAGTAATATGGTTATCGCAACGTCCAATGAACATGATTTAGACTTGATACCAATACTTGTTCTTACCAATGAACCAGAAAACCTGTTGCTCCTCCCCATCATCTAATGTCGCCGGCCAGACGGTGCCAGTCGGGCATGCTGTACCGACTCGTGCGTAAATGGCTTCTTCACGGTACAAGAAACATAGGATGTCTACGAATTCCTGTCGGTCACATACTGCCCTGAGCCTCCACCGCAGCTCGGTCTATCGGATTGAGATCAAGCACACGAACAAATTTGTCAAAACCCTTACCTGAGAAATTCCTGGATGAAAAAAAATGACGCCCACCACAGCGTGCAGGATAGCGTTCCATGTGTCTCGTATTGTACCGCCGCGGATATCTAGCCAACGTCGAGGTAAGGCAAGAGTTTTTGGTTCCTTCATAATCTCCACTGTCCAAGGACGAGCATGAACATGAAGGCAGGAAACGATAACTGGCGCAGAGTATCCAACCCAGAGAATGAGGGGTGGGAGGGTTTGGGACATTCGTTGTAACAGGTCCATAACCACATCACCAGCACCCAGAGCCTCAAAGTACAAGGTGATCAACAAATTGGCAAACGACGCCCAAATAGAAAGCATACTAGGTAGTGCGACTTTGATGAGCCTAATTCTAATGACGCATTAGCTCGATCAAAGATATCTCGAGCCAGTATTCGTTGTTCGCCATCCAGACCAGCGACAAACTTGGAAAACGTCGACTCGATGCATAGCGCGCAATCTACGATTCTTGATTGTATCTTTTCAGCGCAAGCAGCGTCAGCTTGGGTTACCGTTTTTCCATGTTGCTTGATCTCGTCGAGTGATGTGTTCGTAGGGTCCAAGCGCAACTCACATAAAGGCGTTATCGCACATCCGTTGCCCTCGTTGTCGTCTCCATCGAGTGGTTTCAAGCAGACTTGGATGCTAGTCTCTATATCATTGTCATCTATTCTCTGTGAGAGGGAGGGAATTACAATTGAGGCACCAGACAAACCTGCTTTTTTGCTATTCCAGTCAAGCCTTGTTCGAGCATTTTGCGACTGTGCTGTATCTATGATGAAATTGACCTGTGTTCTTGTCTGTGCAACACTTCTACAATGCAGCGTAGTCATCAACGTACCTGCTCCTCTGACACTAGCTGGAGTAGTGCTGCGGTGTCACCATCAGAAGCTAACAAAGGCCATTCCATATTGTCGACCTGCTCTGCAAGTACTTCATCTAGAGCGACAGCGTCTTGAAATAAGTCTCCATGTATCGAGCCTCCGATGGCATTTTGGTTGCTACAATTGTGTCAATCAGTAGAATTGTCAATCAATGACTTCGCTCACACGTCTGATATTTTCAATGTGCGTCCTGGCTTCATTTTTTGGGGATCACGAACCACCTTTGACAGGACTCCACGGCGCAAAAGGTTGGAGGTTGCGAGTGACACAGACTGATCACCTACACCATGGAGCATTCCCGCTGCCAAATCAGCATCGTAATGCTCGCTAGACATGCCAAAAACCATCTATACGACGGTGCAAAGGTAGTGAGAAGCGATTGGACAGGTCAAACGAGCAACTGTCACCTTTAGCGCAGCTTCCGCGACTTGAACTACATCATCACTTGTGTTCGTGAGATATGGAACTTCGTCTGGTCCATGAGTGAAAGACTGTCGGAGAAACTGTTTCTCTCGGCCTTCTTCGACGGTAGCTTGCCACACAAATTCCCAAGCAGGAGAAATAGTTGTGTTGCAAAGGACATCGAAATGATGTATGATTTCATCCACTGATGCTGGTAGCTTTGTCCGAGTTGTATGCTCAACATAACCAACTCTCCTAATTGCGGTCAGCATCCACATAAATTAGACAGGTAAAAGTAAACTTACAAGGCGTTCTTATCAACATGCTTCCGAAGAAACTCTATGTGATTTACTATGTCAAAGTTCGACGGGCTTTGAGGATCTTCATCGGGAAGGTGCTCAGTACCCCTATGTTGAATCCAGAGGTCATGCCATCGGTCCTCGAGGCGCGACATATACACTTCTTCACCAGTATTTTCTCGAAGATGCGAGAGACGGAGACGGACAGAATTACGAGGCACAGCAGGAAACACTTGGTCAAAAGCCGAAAGATCGATCTTGACCCCACCACGACATCGAGCACGAACTATAGCAGATGTATCACGGGCGAGCTCATCGTATTCTCGAGTCCAATGGAATCTAGAACGTCTCTGGTGGGTCTTATTCTCTGATTGGTCTACAAAAGATGGTTACGTCTAAATGCGCAGAAAGGCAAATAAACAAAACTGGCCTTCCTTGGTCTTGCTCTTTCCTCTCGTCTTGTCTATTTGTTGCATGTGGATAGGTGGTCCTTGCTGAGCTATGAGGAAATGCACCGATTTCTCAGGAGGATTGGCTGCAACAGGAGGTAAAGCTATAGGGCGCGTAAGCGCGAGCGCCTTCGGCCTTGCGATAACCTTGTTTGAAGCCAGTTCAGCCTCCCGTACGGCGTTTTCAATTTCACGTTGCCATCGATCCGTATCTCTGATCGAGCTGGATTGCATAAAGCGATTGTGAACAGCTCGAATGCGGATGCCCATGGTGCCCTTCAGAGGTCCGGGATGCACGCGTTGAAGTAGGGCCTCCCAGTCGCTTTCCCTCTGAAGCTTCGCTTCCTCGGCCTTCTTCTGAAGTATGGTTTTGGCTTCAATGTTTTGCATCGCACAATGCTCTGCTCCATCTCGTTTCTGCCTCATTCGTGCTTTCTTCGTTTCGCGCAAAATCTTTTCGGCGGCTCCTTTGAGGTAAGTGACAATAGGCGCACGTGGAGCACCAAGAACATGGGAAATATGCTGCAGCTGTGAGTCAACATCCTCTTCGTCGAGTGGACTGCGGGCTGTGGCGCGGTCTACAGATTGGTCTAGATAACGCTTCTGGTGCCAAGTAAAGCGGTAATCCAAGTCCCAAGATGCTCTCCGGCGAAGGAACCGCAGAAGAGGTGTGTTTTCTGGAGGTCCCGAAGTGCCGTGCGTTGGACAAACGGCGCTTTGCACGTAAGCAACATCTCGGCTAACTTTATGCAGCTCGTCCCAAAAAGCTACACCATCACAGCGAGATTTCACCGAGACATGCTTCCAGTAAGGCGGGGAAGAATCCGAAAGAGCCCAGAGATGTAACGGCGCTGTTTCATTGAAGCGCCAATATCGGGGCGCAGCAGATGGTGCAGCTACCCGCCACCCGTCAAAAGGGGCTGCCTTGAGTAAAACTGTCCGGCCATCAGAGAGAGTGCATGTAAAATCTGCATTGTCATCCGTGGATAGTTCGTAGGGAGTCACAAGTCCAAGAAGCCGAAGGGCATCTAAGAGTTCCAAAACACGGGTTTTGGAATGCAACTTTCCCACCTGCAGCTTTGCTGATATATGGTCCGGCAGGTCTCCGACTAATGTTTCTTTGCCCTCCACGGAGGCCATGAGCTTTGATAGTTCTTCGTCGTAACTGAGTACGGTAATGAATGAGCAATAGACGGCAATGGGGACGTCGAGTTGGTACAAGGAGATGTCGATCATGGAATGCTCGCGGGACACAATACGGGGCGAAGAGTGTTGTTCGAGTAACCCAAGGGTAAAGACGTGAAAGTCCCGCAACCGAGCCGCTTTCCCGACTCTGAAACCATACAATTGCGCTACCGTAGTTCTCTCCGTAAGTAGCACGTCGCGGATCGTTTCAGAGTCGTACGAGAAGAGTTCCTCCGCCTTGGCAGTATCAAGGACCTGATGTCCAGCATCATCTTTCCCAGATTTTTCCATGTGCAGTAGATGGAGCGGTAGAGTGGTGCATTGCGAGATGCTGCTCGAAGCTCCAAATTCCACAGGTTCCTCAAATGTCTTGACAGGCCGAACATTAGGAGCCGGGATGGTGTGACTCAGATGATGTAAGAATGCGTTGATTTTCTCTTGAGGCGTGTCTGGGAGGTGAACAAGGGAGGCAGGCCGAGTGCTTCCGGTGACGGAGAATATAGTGGTTTTGAGGACTTTGACGCGGCCACGACTTTCCATGTTCTTTATGGTGGCCTCTGCGGTTCTCTTGTCGATACGAGTTCCTGAGGGTGCACTTGCAGGTTCTCCACGGTGAGCCATGTCATTCAGCAGAGCAATGTGAGCATCAAAAAAGTGTTTTGTTTGCAGATTTACAATACCACCAAATTCTTGGATTACGCGATAAAATTCGTTCTCGCGGCGTAAATGAGATATGTTCGTATTTGTTTTGAGCTTGTCACTAGGCTTATTTCGCGGGCGTTTGTGTTGGGAAGGTGTTACTGGCAGTGGGGATCCCTTCCGTTTCTCTCCTATCATAATGGACATTACGTCCGCCTCCATTAACTATCACATTAATCGAGTGATACGAAAGCAAACATGAGGTTCACTTACAGAAGACGTATCCAGTAGCGCAGGATCGATGATCATAGGTTCGGAAGGGCGCTTATCCATGACAAATAATCTATCGGTTCTTGCATCATCTACTGCTTGCTGTGGAATGCGAACGACTTCTGATTCATCGATTCGATCATCAGAACCTTCAGCCGATATTCCTTCTACCACAGTTCCAAGTCTTGGGTTAGAGGAAGCACCGCTCTTGCGAATTGGGGGTTTCAGCTTTCTACGAGATGCCTTGGCTTTGAGTCCCTCTACGACAAGCCCATTACGAGATTCCGTCAGGTTGTCAATGTCGGCCGTAAGCGCGACGCCATTAGACGTACGAGGTACCGCAGCTTGGACATCGGTGCCTGTCACAGCTTGACAGATACGGTGTTGCTCGTCACCGGGATCCTCATGTACCGCCGATGAAGACAAGTCAGATGATTCCTGTAACGCATGACTTCCTTCCTTCGGGCTTGAAGTCGAGGGCTCAGGAACAACATGAGATGTGGTTGGAGTCATTCCTCGCTGATAACTAGCTACGCCGGTGATACCCGACCCCTCCGGAGGGTGTCCACCGGTCTCTGGTGGAGGTGCTGACGGGACTTGTGCGGCAAGAACAATGTCATTAACACCCTCCATCGATTCACTCCTTGGAACTTCGGCATGGCGAATGGCTGGTTCAGTGTCGGACTTCTGTTGAGGTGGACGGCCCCTTCTTTTGGGAACCTTAGGTACCGTCGAAGTCCCATCACACTCCTCAGCAATCGGGTTTTTGCGAAGTTGACTACGCTTTTTCGGAGGGATAGATATCTCACCGTCCTCCTCGCCACGTGGCTTTTTCCGCGGACGGCCCCTTTTGGCTTTTGGGACAGGTTCTGGAGTACCCTCAACCCCTTCATCATCTCCTGGATCTTCGGTTTCTGGCATTTTACGCTTCTTAGCTCCTGTCTTCACTCTGCCCTCCTTGCCTTTGAGTATGTCTTCATAGCAGTGAAGAGTTTCATCGTCATCGTAAAACATCGCCTCGTGGAACACGGCGAAATCACCGGCTTTTGAGAGATCAATATTAGCATATGACGTTGTCGTATCTTCAAGCTTTTCGCTGGCCATGATTATCGTATATGCCGCTAGAGTATAATATCGATGTCGTCTTTCCCGCCCAAACGACTCCATAAAGTCCATTGTCCCGAGATCGCTGAGGTGAGCGGGAGGGCGACTCTTGACTGCTCGGGTTAAAAGAAGTTCAATAGTGCGTTTGTCGAAGTTGCCAAGGGCGCTGCAGATTTCCTATGAACAAAGTCGGATTGCTGCTCTAGCGTGCCGTGTGGAGACTTACACGAAGAGTTCTGCCGGAAGACCCTGCTTCTTCAAGTACATCCGACACTTGTTTTTGGATTGTGCGGTTTGCCCTGACCTCGGTGTGACCAGCTGAGAGGCTAATTAGAACAGTTTACAGATGAATGATGTGTCACACCAGATGTATTATCAAGCATGATTTTCTTGTCATCCTCCTCGCCTTCCTGAGGGGCAAGAATAACACCGCCCTCTGAGAGTTGATTGTCTGGAGTGACAAGTCGTATGCACTTGACAAGCCTGTCTTTGACTTTGGAGCTCGGAACCAACACACGTTCTATCACTCCTTGTGCAATCAACTCTCGCAGACGAGTTTCAAAGAAGCGACGGTCTGTCTTGTTTGGATCCACAAAGCCCTGCATGGATTCAACAAAGACTCCGCACCATAACTGAACATGACCTACGAGGGTGATAATTAAGTTATTTGAGGAGTGGATATTGTTCGGCGACGCCTTCAGCAACTTGATAATTCGATTTTTGAGTAGTGGAAGACTAGACAAATGTCTGGAATCCACAGGCTCAAAGTCGAGTTCCGACGATAAAACAGAGGGAGTCCCATCTTCAATAGGATTTGCATCTTGCGGATGACTCTCTCCAATAATAACAGGTTCGTCATCTTTGGCTTCTTCTTGCTGAATCTGTTGCCAGAACGCGCTGCGCTCCACAAAATATCTGTGAATGCAGGAGTGATTACCAACACCTCCTCGCCGTACTTTGATACTATCCTTGCATCATTACGTGTCTTGTAGAGAGAAAGAACAAAACATACATTAAGCCAAGCTCCAGTAGTTGTTTGATGACATAAAAGCAGGTTTTCTGATCGTACTTTGTCTTACGTCCGAGCTCGACAGTCGTAACCCCTTGTTCACGACCTCTTGTGATGAATTGCAAAGCACTATAAACCATTGGACTGAGTTTCGAAGACTGCAAAACAGTGAGCTCAGATTGAATTGAATGACGATTGCTACATACTCTGATATGAGATCCTGTGATTGCAGCAAAAGAAGTCTCTGGATCAACAGCAATCCTAAGATTTTCGCCATATTCTGCTTTTAGGTCCTCTAATGACCTATCGCGTGCATTCTCAACGATAGTGAGTGATGGTGGAGCTTCTTCGACAAGTACCTCGCCCTTAGCTGCCGCTTTACGCCTTGCGCTGGTCTGAGGAGCGACGTGCACTTCAGATGATACGCCCGGAGGAACCGTACCAACGCGGACAGTGGGCTGCTGGACGACTATGGACCAGACGAACGCACAAAAAGCATCGTCGACGACCTGCGGGTGGGTAGCGTCGTGACTGTGGAATCCTACGATGAAATCTCGCAAGCGGGAAACGTTACAACCTGCAGGAATGGCAGAAGATCAGATGCTGTTCGAGAAAATCGATATTCAAGAGTTGTTATGATGGGGATTCGAACGATCCTCTTCACGATCGGCACTCCAAAAACAGCCGCGAAAAAGGATAAGAATACATAGTGTTGACGTACCAAGATCGCCATCGAATGAAAGTTCTCGCAGACAATGATGCACCAGCTCATCCATGGTCAAGAGTCCTAACAGGTCCTAAACGGTGAAAGTAGTACGACTCCTTTTCAATTGGAGTCTGGACGCCACCTGACCAGACCGTCGGTTCGCAAAATTTACGTGATATCGGCTATCACTAATATCGAGTTAGTCGGCCAGCGTCGTGAGCGACGATGAGGAAAGGCGTTAGTAGTAGGACTTTACTTAGTACTTGTGACATTGAAGATTTTGTGACGGTGACGGGCCGCCCCGACACATTACCCACTGGTTGCCACTGACTGTTGCCAAGCCGTCGGCTTTCAATATTTACATAACGCCGCGCTCGAGTACACTATTCCGCCTGAAAACTTTTGGCAGTACGAGTTAGCTGTGCGAACACTGGTTCCACTGACCTGTAAAGTCACGGTATCAGTCTCTATAGTACTCAGGTGATCATCGACTTAGTAGGTGCATTGCACAAGCGCCAGTTCCGTAACTTCTGAGTCGGGCACCGCCTTTGATCTTGACAGTACGAATCTGCTTGTTGCGCTATATCACAATGAATACAGAAATTCACACTCCCTCTTTCTGAATGAGCAACCACATCCAGCGCTAGCTGACTGTCGAAAGGTTCTAGGTTTCGAAACGTACGTTATTAATACTAATAGCCACTGTATTGTCTATATATTGAGCGCGGATTGCCAATGGAGCATAATTTGCTACAGAGTACTCTATAGCACCCTGTAACATTCTGTAGCACAATCCACCCAACTAATGTGTATCATACTCGAAAAAATATGAATTTGCCGGTCCCCCTATATGTTTCGAGTCAGTGCACGAAATATCAAAACCGTGAGGATCATACAAGACCACACCTAGTCTCGACTGCAGAACCGCGACATGGGATATTCGACATGACAATTAGATGATGTCCTCGTCATCATCTATGACAAAGCTGCCGATGGCATATTCGTCCGGCAAATCGTCCTCGCGTACGGGAGAACTTGACACACCAGCGCGGCGCTTTGCGCTCTCACCTTGGGCGTATGCTCCCCTCTTCACTGGTCTGGTGGCAAACATGGGACCCCCCAGCGGGGCTTGTGTGAGCAAACCCCGTCGATAAGCGAGCGACTGATCGTAAGAAGGAGAGACCTGAGTGTTTGCGATATCCTTGATGAATTGGCGATCGGAATCACTTTCAACATCATCTTCCGAGTGCGACGATCCCTCACTTGCTTCGTCACCAGAGTGGGCTGCTTCTCCATCCAGCCACGGGTTATGTCGCATAGATACAAACCGCCTTTGCTTGCTACGCTTTGGAGGTGGACTTGATCCCCAAGAAAAGATATTTGTATCCTTTCGTTTCAAACGCCGTTGAGAAAGAGGTGGCACATCCAACACCGGCGAGTCGAGATCTGCGGCTACTGCACGCGGCTTGAAAAAACGTCCAGCAGGTCGCACAGCGAATGAGGCATCAGGAATATCGTAATCAGAAGAGTATGCGGGCGACTGAACGATACCTCGGCATGGTAGAGGAGGTGGTTGCATTACAAGTGCCCCAGGTGAAAGACGCCTTCCGTCTGCAACGCTTTCATCGTCAAATAGGCGATCCGCGCAAGGACTGCGCTCCTGCAGTGGTGTCATGCGTGGAGAAGACAGAATTTGGATGCCAGGCTCATCATCTGATCCTAGTAGCCACGCCATGCTTTGCGTGTTACCTGTCACACTGTCTGAAGATGATGGCAGTGATGGCAAGCGACCCGGAGATCCTTCTCGACTTCTCTCGTTCCGTTTGTGGCACATATCGGTCGGAGAGTTTTGGGGACCACACGACATTGATGAAGATTCTGCGGCTTGATCAGGGTCAGTTTGGGTTGGCGGCGGGGAAGATGATAACTCTATCACGTCGTCCTCGTCACAAATCATCGGCGGCGAAGACAACATGCTTGGCCCTGAAGGATTCTCCGCTTCCGAGGAGCTTAAAAGTAACACATCATCTTCGATAGGACGACAAGAAAGATCTTGAACTGCAGATGTTTTCGTTTTCACAGAACTATCCAAACGATCTCGAGCCAAAATCGGAGCGGGTGAAGACGAGTGATATGTAGTCAAAGTTGGGCGTGTTTTCTTGGGGGAAGGAGTTTTACGAGCGATGGCCTCGCGAGCAGCTAGTGAGATGCCCTGCTCGATCTCAACGTCGTCATCATCATCATCACCTTTTCGGGAGAATTGGCTGGTGGTCAAGGGTTCTTTTTGCTTCACCTTTCCCTTTCTGCATGACGTTGCCGGCTGTCGTTTCTTAGATGGATCCATCGTACGTGTATTGCGCAACTTGTCCTTCTTTGTACTGGCACCAGCAGGCGTCGAGGCAGTACGGCGCATATCCATGAGATTAGCCTCCAATTCCATATCTGTTGAGTCGTCTTCTGCAGCTGTGGGATCAAAACCTTTCGTCTTTGACTTCTTCCTCTTCTTCACGGCTGCGCCCTTGATAAGCAGGTCTTTGACACTGACAAAGCCCGTGCTTGCGCCTGGAGGTATATTCCTAGCAAAATCATCATTTCGCTTGCGTTTCTTGCCCTTTGGAGACAAATCCTCGTCGTTGACAGCTGTGCTCTTCTTGCGCGGAGCGTGTTCTTGGCGTACGTACTCTTCAATCTCCATTTTCTTTTCGAGTACTTGGGGCTTCACATGTTCAGGGAGGAGTCGTGGGATGTCGCCATAAAGTTCAAGTTGATCACCGCGAACGATACATCTCTGCAACTCGCTGTATGTGTCCTTTGCCTTGTCCCAATTTAACTCCTCGCGGATCTCGGAGAGGAGGACGTGGACATAGCCGTCCCGTTTACGGCCCGTGCGTCCGACGCGTTGAAGCTGCACATGACGACAGGAGATTAGTTATATACATGTAAAAGGGACGACTTGAACGGTATACATACCATGCGAATTGGCGTCTTTTGTGCGTCATAACATACAATCATGTCAACTTCCCCGATGTCGAGACCCTCTTCGCCAATAGAAGTAGAGACAAGCACATTGAATTCACCAGCCTTGAACTTCTTGATGACCTATTTCGATAATTCTATCAGCGCACATACAGGACAAAACTCTAGACCCACCTCAAGCTGCTCCTTCTGCGCAAACCCCTTCCGGCCTTGTTTATCTGTGCCCTGCCCGATGAACCTCGTCACCTTCAAGAGGGGCTGCTCCTCATTAAGGATATGTACAATCTCATCCACGCACTCCCGGTATGTTACAAACACCATGGCTCTTGTCTCCTCCCCCTCCCCCATCCGTGCCCCGAAGTGTTGCAACAGCAGCATCTTAAGCGTCTCCATCTTCGGGTGCATGCCGTACCCGCCTGGACGGACTTTCTGCACCTCAAGCTCACTAAGAAGAGCCATAAAATTCTTGTCCTTACGCAAGCCACTCGTTGCGGAACCCTTCTTTTTCCCTGAATCGTCTTCCTTTTCAGCTGAAATTTCCAGCAGGCAGTTGTGACACATGCCGGTGCTGGCTTCCATCTAGCCATACACACGGGCTTGTTAGGTAAGATTATATATACGTCGTAAGGAGTGCTCACTAGGTACCCCATCGCACGCGCTAATGCGCCGAGCTTAGACAGCGAGGAAAATGCCCATTTGTGAGGACTGTTCCGCTGAGCCCCAATGCGTTGCATGACAGCCTGGGCACGATAAGGGTGCATCTTGACTGGATCCACCACGTCTATAACCCCTCTGCTAGAGAGTGGTTTGATGATGCTCTATCAATACGCCCTCGTCAAATAAGAGTTACCAAAAGGAAGAATTACTGACTATCATCACCTCCTTCAGGAGTTCCTGGGCTTTCAGAACATCATCAGTCATCTTGATGATGTGCTGCTTGATTTCCTTTATACCAGATGTCGATATCCTCGCGTCAGCCGTGTAACTCGAAACTCGGGTTTGACCCTGACCTTCTTATGCATATACTCACGGAGATCAATACTATTTTCATCACGAATCTCGATGTGACTGATGTGCAGTGAATCAACGATGCTCTGGATAGCTTCAGGTGTACTTCCAGGCGTTGCAGTCAATGCCAGCACGCGATGATGAGGATTCTTGGCCATCAAGTAACGAATGACCTGTGCATAGGCATAGTCTCCTGTTCCTTTATGCGCTTCGTCTGCACGTTTCCCTTAGCAAGCCGGATCAACGTAATTTACTGCAGGTAACGGACCAATGACAATAAGGACGATATCCTGCACATCGCAGTTTTCCGTACTCAGATCATTGATGAGGGTTTGTGGTGTCATGTAAAATATCCGTTTTTCCGCCCACTACAAAAATCCGAGTCAGCGTAAACGTCGACCGAGTAAAAATGATACAGACCATCCTACACCTATAAGCTCTAGGATTGTTTCCGGTAAGCTCGGCTGCATCACAACCAGGAATGCCGCACGTGCGGTGGCACGCGTCGATTTGTTGCGCGACGAGAGGTTTTGTTGGAGCAACGAACACAACCTTTCCCTTCGGAAACCAACGATAATCTAAAAGAAATTAGATTGTGATTGATAAGAGCGCGAGAGATTCACAGTTAAGCATCACAACACCCGCAATGAAAGTTTTTCCCAATCCGGTGGGTAATGCAACGAGGGTGTTGTCAAATAAGCAGTGCCTAACGATGTTGAACTGATAGTCACGCTTTGGTTGGTTTAGGGGATATATCCAATGTTTAGCTTCAAGCATGTCGACCTTGAGTTTCATAGAAGGTGGCTGTAGGAACGTCAGTCAATAGTGCACGTGCTGTGGCGAAATACACACGGGTCTGATGAAATAACGAAGCATTTGCGGTGTAAGAATTGTATGACGGTGTTCAAAGAACATGCTTACCCAACTGAAGACACGTATCAGTACTGTTTTATGAATTGTAGCAAACCAAAAGACCCTGGACATACCTGACATGAATGGAGCAGGGAACTGCTCAAATTCGACATTCTCCAGGTCATCGTCTCCATCATCTCTTCCCTTTCCCTTGACAGTCTTTGGGTTTTTCCAACCTGACTTTGCAAACACAGTATGGTCCCACTGTTTCGTCCGAGGCGCCTGTTGGCCAAAAGTTTTGCGGGGACTCGACCTTATCCGCTGAAGCGAGGAGCGTTTACTAGGACTCTGCCTACTGGAAGATGCAGTCGGTTGCACAATATCTCCGAATAGGGTTCGTTGCATAGTATTCTTGGAAGGAGGCCGCTCATTCTTGTTTGGGCCTGCCACTGGCTGTGCATTTCCCTTATACACCGCATCAATGAACGTGTCTATGCGTTGAAGCTCCGCGTCATCGATTTCGAGAGAAAGATCAAGAAATGAATCCTCTTCATCCAGGAATTTGGGTGGCTTGGTCGCAGGTGGGAGTGGCTTAGGAGGGTTTCGAATTTGAGGACGATGAGCGGCCTCGATTATGTCCAGTTCGTTCAGGACAGCTGAGTCAAGTTCATCGTCAAATCCATAATCGGACGAGCTCATTGCGAGGTTGTGTCGAAGAGGAAGAAACGAATGACCAGAACGCGTGACAGTTTATTCAAGAGCTACGCGACAATCACATGACACGACGAATCAAATTCTCGTAAGTGAACTGTGCTTCGCTTGATCATGTGATCAGAGTATGACAATTTCGACACCAAAAGTGCCAGAATCACATCTTGACCTCCAAATTATCTTTATTCGTCAAATTATATCTTCAGGGAACCTAGGTCTTAGAATTAGAATACAGTTTGAATTGAGAGTAGAGAATCTAGAGATATCTTTCCTGTACCTAAGCATGTTGCTTTGTGCTTTGTCAGCTGCTACTTCAGGAGCTATACTACAGTGGCCTAATGTGACATGTACCATGTACCATATTATGGTTGTATAAGTTGTTTTAGCATTTGTTGATCAAAATTCACCAGCCTACGAGCTGTACAAGATGGACTTGTACAGCTCGTGCCAGCATGTACAGGAGGCACTCAGCTGCAAGCTTGTACAGATGTGTACAAAGACCCCTGATGTGTTGCAGAATAGGTATCATTGTTCGACAGTCGATCGGATCGGTGTTTCAAATCACTGCAAGCTTACCTTCGCATGAGGATACCTTGAGGTCTTCTATTGATTAGTGGATCGCGCACATGATTACCTAGTTTAATGCAGTGTTACATTAGTCTAGGATGCAAGGGACCAGGTGAAAATGCCGCGGTCGTGAATTCATCCTCTATTAGCGCCCGCGAACAGATAATAATTACTGCGGGTTAGGACTCTATGGACCTAACCGGGGCCATGACTTGGCCGAGCTACCGTCACTGCGTCTCGCGTGGATAATCGTGCACCCGGACTCCAGCTGAATTTCACCCTCTACCTCCCATGATCTCGGGGACAATATCAGATCTCATAAATCACTATCAGAGCTACAACCCCCTGGTGACCTTAAATGTAGGCAAGCGAGTTCAGGGACTCGCACGTGCCCGCTACGATATATCAGCGCTTTCTTTTATTTTGTTGTTTGATTCCCTTCGATTGTTCATTCGGTTATGTTCCGTTGCAAAGGGTTTGATCCGCGACTGATCACAGATAGATCATTTGATGCATGTTTACATCTAGACACGGAATTCGAATCGTCCCGGTCTCAAACCTTATATATTAGAGTCTGTCATGCGCACGAGGCTCATAAAGCCATCTTGCCCGCAGTCGTAAGATAAGGACTACACAGATCACCAGATTCACGAACTCACTTCGATGCACATGAAGCAATATCGTCAAGATGATCGCAACAATAAACAACGCAGCAGACACAAAGATAGACTGCAAAACTCAAAAGTCATCGTTAGCATTACAGAGAAGCCGCGATCACAACGTACCCATTTATCGTGGCTGCTGATGTACTACTACCGACCGGTGTCGCGGAAATCTTGATGAGAGAGCACTTCACCTGTGCCACGGTGAGGTGTTGGGAAGACCTCACATAAAATTCCATACATCTAAAGAAGAATCAGCGCATGATACTCAACTCGATAAATCACCCGCATCGCATTCCTGTATGTATTTGGTATCTGGTCGACATGTGTATTTTGTGAGGTGAGAATCGAGTGCGCACTGTGTAAAACTGGAAGCAGGTACAGGAATATCCTGAGCACCGCAGACGTCATTCTGTTTGCTGTGAGCAAGAAGGAGAGTCCAGTCATCGTGGTCGACACAGCCAACGCAAGTTTCCCTCCACCTATGAGCTAGCTATCAGTGACATGGGTATGATCGTGAAGCTGCAATATATCCTGCTCACGCTTGACTAACCGGATGCTGCGCCGCGTGCTGAAAGATAGAAGGGGGAGGCATCGAAGTGGGTTTGCAATGCCAATTAAACTGAACATACGCAAGTCAACAAGCGCACTCTCTTCTTTGGTGTAGATAAGGGTCGTCAAGCGCGTGCTGGAGAAGAGTGAACAGCCCATGCATGTCACAAGGCAAAAGAACAATATGCGAAATTTAGTGCATCTCCTGCTGCCAGTCCAAAAAGGTCAATGAGAAACAGCGCAATATTTCAGCCACCTATCAAAACAATCTTCCACATGGTTTTTAGTATACATTGAAAGATGACCTTCTTCTGATAGGGTCGGCCAAAGTTTCCCATGTCGTGGAAAGCTGGAAGCTGGCTGATGCTGCTAAACAGGACGGCATAATCGCCTCAACCAGATCAAGCTCCCGTTATACCTGGACAAGACCAATTGACAAACCATACATCTAGATCAAGCAACTAGTCAGATAAAACCCATGCTAGATAATACGCAAATGCCTATCTCACCATCTGCAAGCCAAGCCAGTAATGACGAAGAGCTGCTGTTGATAGCGACCAAGGCAAATCCTGTTCAGCAGGATAAACTTGAGGTATATACCACCGTAACGCAATCGTACTCCTCGCACCCTTCTTGAAAAAAATGACAACTGAGCTTGTAGTCCCTCCCGCGCCGTCAGCATGACTAATTCGAAACAAGACATCTACATCATCGCTGGTAACGACATACTTCAATTCCATTGCATTGTCACATATCTCGTGAGTGAAACATGATTCAAAGGACGATGATTAGCAACAAAAATGTTAGATGCAATTTAAATGCAAGGGATAGAAGCAAGGACGCTTTGCGTCGGACCCGAGACATTGTCAATTTCAACGTGCATATGAGGGTTCAGGTAGGACTGTGCGATCCCTGTTGTCGTACAGTGGGATGCAAGGTGTTTTATTACCTTATAGCACGTCCGGTGTACTCTTCGCAAAAGCTGGAATGGAAGAGTTTCAGCGGGAGTTCGCAGCAGCGGAAAATAGGCAAATCGAGTCGTTCCATGAAAGTTTGGCGCGTTGTATGGTGTGACAAACAGATCCTGTGGATCCTTTCCCCTTCGCATATCCCGCTATCAATGCGGAATCCTGCAGGAAGTATATTCATCACGTCGTCCTTCGCGCGGTGCATGAGATCTAGGTGAAGGAAAATAAATAGAACTTGCGCCTTTGATGTGCAACTCTGAGACGTGCCGCAACCATTACCGTTGATCAACTTTGAGGCATCTGACCCTTCAAGCTTCAGGTACTCAAAAATTGAATGGATAGCTTGGCCATGAAGCTTTGAAGAGTCGACGCAGAATTTCATGTGATAAAATTGGGAAAGAAGGAAGACAAGTTCTTTTTCAGATTTCAAATTCGAAAGGTAGCACAAAGGCTAAATGCTGACTAATAAGCTGAGAGACGACATAACAATGAATGCACGTGACTCGGACTATACCTTCGTGGAAACTTGAAGTTCCTTTAGGTTACAGCCCTTACGTCCTCTACGATGTTATCGAATCGCTCTTCGGAGAGTATCTCAAGTGATGACGAGGAGTATATTTCCGATGAAGAGTGCGCTATGATACAAGAGGAGGAGTGGGAGGTGCTAAAGGTGCATTCTGAGTTAAAGTACTGAATCAAGAGCTAATTGGTGAAGAGTAGTCGATCTTCCCAGATGTATGTATATCCAACGATGCTGGGCCGTTTGGACGTACAATCAAGCTAGAGATCCCCATAGAACTGTCACCGGCACGAAGTGTAACTATCGTTCCTTCTACACCACCTCAAAACCGTTCTCACACCACGAGCCCGCTTATTGCGCTCCCGCATTTCTCGCTTGCGTTGATTCTTCCTCCGCAGTATCCGTTACGTGCATCCCCCCGTATTACGTCGCTGACGTGCACGCATGGATGGTATCCGAGCAGTCGCCTGTACACTCAGCTCACTGGCATGTGGACGCATGACTCGCAAGGGGTTCTCTATGTCTGGGTAGCGTTCATTAGCGGAGGAGAGTTCCTGGAACCTGGGGACATCACGATAATCAACGCTTCGCCTTTGACGCTCCTTCCGCTGCTTGAATCCTACAATACACACGCCCAGGATGCTGCGTTTGCTGAAACATCGTTTTCCTGCGCGATCTGTTTGTCTGCATACAAGGGAAGGTATTGTGTGCGACTTGGGTGCGGTCATGTATTCTGCCGTTCGTGTCTAACAGACTTTTGGGGTTCGTGTATAAGGGAGGGGGATATTGGACGGGTCGGGTGTGCTGATCCTGTATGCGTGAAAGCGGGACACGAGGCTGGTGAGGAGGATGTAGTAAGAGTGCTTAAAGAGGAAGAGGTGAAGAGATGGAAGTGGCTTAGAGAAAAGAGGGAGTTAGAGCGGGATCCTGGGATGGTGCATTGTCCTGTGTGCCAGACGGCTGTGCCGAGCCCGAAAGAGGACGAAGAAAGCGGATGGGCGCGGTTACGTACGTGTCCGAGGTGCGAGTTTGTATTTTGTGTGTTTTGTAGACGAACATGGCACGGGCCGATCAGCGAGTGTCCGTTGGAGGTTACGGAGTCGTTTGTGATGGAGTATCTGGGGTTAGAAGAGGGTGATGTTAGACGTTGTGAGATTGAGAGGAGGTGGGGTAAAAGGAACGTTTTGAGACTCGTTTTAAAGTATGAGGAGAGATTGAACCGTGAGTGGATGTCAAGATGTAGTACGAGCTGTCCTGGATGCGGTGTTCGAGTGGAGAAGAGTATGGGGTGTAATCATGTGAGTATATTCGAAGTTCTTTGTGAATCCCCCTTACCCCACACTCGGCAGATGACTTGCATCAAGTGTAACCAACATTTTTGTTACTTATGCGGTGAAAAGTTATCAGCGTCTGAACCATACAAGCATTTTAACACTGTCCTACAAGGTTGTTTCGGAAGGTTATTTGATGTAGAGGTCTAGACGTTGGTCTGTGCAGTGACTCTTTGTAATTTTATAAAATTGAAACCCAGCGTGCATTTTTGTCGTCAACGTCGTCAACGTTGTGCAAGCACTCGTCAACGTCGTCTTCGTTAACCTCCTCTTACTTTTCCTTCTCTTTCTCCTCTTCTTCTTTATTTCAGTTCACAGCGTGTGATACCAGTTTAAATCAATATAACAAACAAGTCAACTTGGTAATTTCTTTACCCCTCCTATTAAATTTCAGAAACATACATACCCCTCTCACTCCTCTTCCTCTCCCTAACGATGGACATCTACTCAACTTCCTTCACTCATCCACGTCGTACACGCCATATTCACCCAGAGTTTCAAAATTCACTTCCGCCAGACCCTGCACCTCCCGAAGATGTAGACAAACTCGCTCTACACGCAATGTCGATCCACAACCTACACATTTCCTACCTACCAGCAGACCATGCTCACCGCGCTTCAAATTTTTATATTTCAGGACCCTATCAGCAGGTCATGGCTGCTCGTGGTATGCTACTCAAAGATTGTCCAGTTCAAGTCCGTCTCCTTTTTCTCTCCCCCCCATCTTCATCTCATCTTCCCAACAGCATCGCACAGCTATCAAAGTCGCCCGCGCTGACATCCTAGACGCTCCTTCCTCAAAACCAACACTCAAACCAGACGTCCGTCGTAAACTGGACGACATCGCAGGCGCTACTCTAGCTCACATCGCAGTAGTAAACTCCCCTCTTACCCTAAGCAGTCGAACTCCCCCAGACGGTGTTAATAGCGCAGGTTGGAGCGGTCTTGAAACAGAACGCGTCTGCGAACTCGTCATCACAGGTCAAGGCGATGCTACGGAATTAGCAAGGGTCCGCTTATTGGTCATGCTAGACGAACTCGTTCGTTAATCTAATTTCCTTAACTTATTTACCTGACGTATCAATGCACTTAGAGCGGTCTTCATTCCGAAATGTGCGAGATCGACCAGAAGCTCCATGCGATCGTCGCAGGTCGGAAGAGGCACGTTCTCCAGAGCATCCAGGAGGAGACCGCTACAAACATTTACTTCCCCTCGCCCTTGCAGGCATTGGTCGGTCCTGATATCGTTTCAAATACAACACCTACACCTACCGTCCGTCACCCTCAGAACACCATATGGATCACGGGCGAGTTCTTTGGAGTACAAAGGGCGAGGGACATGTTGTACCAGTTGTCACTCAGCAAGGTTCGTCTTTCACTCAACCCTTGTGCCTCTTTCTAACCATTTTACAGAGGAAATCCGTCATCTCGCGTGATACCGTCATTGTCCCTCGCAAACTCGACTGGATGGTCCTCGACCGGGCTGAAGACCTCAAGTCTATCATGAGCGACAATGCTACGTTCGTCCAATTCCCGCCTATAGGCAGCTCCGCCAGCCTCATCACCGTCTTCGGAGATCACCGCGTGAACGTGCAGCGTACAATTCGGTCTATCATGCAACTCGTGCGTCCTCTTCTCTTCTTATTTCATATCATTGAGTATCTCTAGGCCTGTCAATACTACGTCGCCTCCTTCTGGCTCCTACCCATCCAGTTCAACGTCCTTCTCCCGCCTACGACCCTCAACTCTTCTCAAGTTACCACGCTCCTGAAACAGATCTCACTTACGACTGGTGCCGAAGTCGTATTCAAGAGTATGTGCTTCGAGATGCATGGCCTAGAGTATGAGGTACGCGCTGCGGTGAATATGATTCTAGAATTGGATATCGTCAAGGTGCGCATTATTTCCTCACTTTGCCCATGCACTCACACAATACAGGCATTCCACCACGAAATTCGCTTCCAAGTCGAGCTAGCCAATGAGCACCGAGAATTCATCTCAGGGAAGAAGAATGGCAAGGTCAACAAAATCATGCAGACCACGAATGTTAAGATCAAATTTGAGACATTCAACGATCATAACTTCCTCATCGATGTTTCTGGCAACGACGCTTCTGTACTCACTGGTCTCACTCTCTTGCAAGAGGAGCTTCCGGCGGAGATATCCTTCCATGTACCCGAAGCGTATCACAAGCGCATCATCGGCATTGGCGGGCGGAATATCCAACGAATAATGAAAAAGTATGGGGTGTATGTCAAGTTTAGCAACGCAGAAGAGTTTGCAGCTCTGGGAGGTTACAATGACAATGAGGACAATGTCGTGGCAAGGACGCCCTCGAAGAACGCTATCAATCTGGAGAATCTGAAGCAGTCCGTGATGGAGATTGTGAACCCAAAGGTGCGTCCGGCTTTGCCCATCACCTGTTTGTCCCCTCTTTTCCTTTTCCGTTATCTATTTCTATCCCTTCTACACGGCATCTAGGAGGTGGGTGCTGACGAGGCGCAGGACAAGGACTATGTGAACGAGACGCTGTCGATTCCCCGGCGATACCACCGCGCGCTGCTTGGCGAGAAGGCGATATTTATACACGACATCGAGACCAAGACTAATTCGCGCGTACGATTCCCTGATAAGGAAACAGCTTCAGACGTTGTGACGATTTTCGGCCCCGAGAGTCAGGTGCAGATTGCTGCTGCGATGTTGCTTGTGCGTGTTCTTTGCTATGTTGAGTTTGGTGCTGACGTCAAAACAGGAACACGTCCCCTTCGAAGCAGATATGGCGGTCCCGCCCAGTGTCGATCTTCCCAAAGTATGCGCATCCGCCGACTTCATAACCTTTGTGGAGCGTATCAAGCGCGAGTTCCAAGTGATCATCACCCCGAACGTCAAAGCGCCGACGCCGAGCCCAACCAACGGCGCCTCTGCGTCGTCCTCCAGCGCAGTCGCGGTCGGGGACGTGGGCGAGTACTCATTCAAGTTCCATTGCCAGAGGAGCAATTCGGATTTCTTGCTCGCGGCAAGGGAGCTGTTGGAACAATTCTTGTTGAACCACAATGTCCATGTGTACCCGTCGCCCACGGCACATACGCATAAACGGGGTGATTCGTTTGCGGAGGCATTCCCGCACTTTGATAGTAAAGTGTTGTCGACTGCGAGGAGGCATGGTGAGTGTTTTTTGCTGTTTTTTTATATAGATGCTAACGATTATTTTATAGAATCGGTTGAACTTACCCGTTCGGAGATACTGGGCGATCGGAGGTTGAGGATGGCAAATTCATCGCCGGATGTAAAAGCATTGTTCAATGCTCCTGCGTACATATATGATCTAGAGGAGCATGAGGACTCTCAATCAGCATATGGTCCGCCAGGAACGGGCCTCGACTACTGGACACCACTACCACCGATCGTGAGTCTCCTATCTCCGATCCCCACACCCTTAATGACACAGACCCAGGGCACGGGGATTTCTACACGACGAAATACCGAAGACGCGCTCAAGCGCGGGTCGGACTCTCTGCTTGAGTCAAAAATTAAGGAACAGATCAGCAAGCCCCGATCGTTGCAGAATCGTGCGCAGTCACTCGACCTCACGTATTCGCTCTCGCGCATCACAGAGGCGAGTAATAGGCTGCCGCAGCCTGAATCGCCTACGACGTCGACGGGTGGAGGCACGGGTGGGGATTCTAGTCCGACGAGTGCAACGGCGCCGTCATTCCCGAGCGTGTATGGTCCACGGTCATCGGCTGTCATTGGCTCGTCGTCGCAGCGTGCTGCGATTAGGAGTGATGCTGATGTTGTTGATGAGGTTTCGAGGGTGATGTCGAACCTCGGGTTGTAACAGCTGCATCTGTATCGTTTATTCTTTTTCTGTTTTCTTCTGCTCTCGCTCGCACGCGATCGCAAAATCAGTGTCGGTCTCTCAGGGACTATCCAGGATCTATACAAAATGTACCAGGAGATCTTCTCTACGTTCCCTTCCAATATCTGCACTCATCATGACTGATATCACACAACCGAACCCACATTGATGTTGTTTTTTTTCTCGTCCTTTCTCATCTTCAATCATCGATCTGCTTGTTTATCGGTTCCGCTGCTCTGTGTCCTATACGTGATTGCTGCTCACTCACTCCGATTCTTTTGTACATTACATCGAATGATATTTCTACAGTAGTGGGCTGATCATATTGTTATCCTTCCACTAATAGAACTATTTAACTTGGTTGTTGGGGGAAGTGTCGATTACTAGAGTACGATCCATGGTACCTCATACAAGACGAAATCAAAGAATTCTTGTTCCATCAAGGACTGGTACTCCCCTGCAAACTCGTCGGCTGTGCTGTGTGTCTGGGCACGGCTCGAGGAGCGGGGTCTGAGGTAGCTGAGGTGGTTCGTGAGTACTGAGAGGGTCTTCTTGGTGTACTTTGACTCGGGCTAATGATTTATCGTGAGTGGAAGCGAAGCGGATCCGAGAAACGCTACACACCCTGATAGCAAGGCCAACGTAATTCGCGGGTAGACCGTACCGAAGCACGCTTTCGACAAACAGACGGAGAATCTTCAAATGCAAGAAGATCTGGAAAGACTCGGAGAAATACGTTCGAGATAGTCTTAAAAGTTCGGTCTGTGGAGGCGGTGAGAACAAGGGTGTTGGTGATGGCGGGCTCTTACCCAAAGCTCTTTCTCTGTTGTGTCCGCTACATCTAGATCTTCTCCTTCTTTGGCTATTTGCTCTTCTGAATAGATAAAGTCGCGAACGATGAACCTGGTGGGGTGTTACTGCATGGGTGAGTACGGTGGGGTGGACGTACTTGTTTTCACGACACTTCTGGATAAACTCGTCGTGTACGCGTTTGAAGATGACTACACCGAAGAGGGTGTATTCGCTATCTGATGCTATGGGTCTTTTAGGGGTATATAAGCCTTTGCGTAGAGGGGTGGATGGTACATACGATGATGAACGGGGGACGACCATGTTAGTCAGTCGCTCATACTTTAAGTTCCATTCCTTTACGAGGATTCTAGGGTGAATATTGAATTGCTCAAGGTCGACGAGCGTTCATGTAGGAGCACCCACTTTGGTACGGCAACTAGGCATGTTTCCAGGTATTCGGAGTCCTGTATGATGTCGTCTTTGGATACTAAGCCGACGAGGGATCGTACAGAGAGGTTTCCACTGTGTTGAATGGTTAGCACTGTTTAGGACGGCTATGTGTTTGAATTCATGCTCACGTTTTCTTACGCTGCATCTGAACGAGGGAGCCCTTTACGAGGTTGTAGTTGTTGAGTTTGGCCTTCATCACATTGTCTATGGACGCCATTTCCTTGGGCGTAAATGAGTACCTCCCCTGCAGGAGCGATGCACGGCAAGTACCTTGTTCAGGACATCAACCATTTCTCGCAGACTTCGTTGTACTCCATATCGACTATCGTTCCATTTCCAACCTCCAAGTACGTAGTCATCGGCGCTGAGCTCATTCACAAGGACATGCTGGACAAGCTTGGTCGGGTCGTTATTCAGCAAGTTGCGGAGGGTATCTACAATCTTTGCGACTGTCGCCGTAAAGAACGCGTCCTGTTTTGGCAGCTCCTCTGACAGGGCGATCAGGGAGTCTAATGTCCCTGTCTACACGATGATTCATGAGATGGCTGGTCCCTGCTCCGATGAATACGAAATGAAGACCTTGAATGAGGGAATGCCAAGTTCTGCTAGTCTGGTATGTTGAGGTAGCTTGTTTGTGATTTCTGGTAGGAGGCTCTCGGAATCGCCGTCCTGCGGTACTGCGATCAACCAAGTGCTTTGGTCGGATGGCATGTCGTACTTTGGTGAATGGACGGACGACGCTCAGCACCCAATAGCTGTATGAGTACCGCCCAATATGGACTTACATGGTAAAATCAAGTGTGGAAATTCAAAAAAAATTATTCTTCAAAATTCAACTGCCATGTTGTTGGCCTTGCTGACACGGAATGGCGTGAATGCTGGGAAACGCTTCACTCCGATAACTTCCTTGACGGTGAAGAGAGCTTTTTCAAGATCAATGTCGACGCCATTGTTGTTATCACCATCTCAGCTGCAGGAGCTGCTTCTTTCTGATCTTCCTACTGATACCAAACAAGTATCGATCCTGGACTCCAGCTGGTTCATGCCCAATTCCCCGCGGAAAGCCAACGAAGAATTTCAAGAGAAGCGTGTCCCTGGTGCGCAGTTTCTAGACCTGGATGAGGTATCGTCTCCCCATGAACTTGGTCTTAAACATATGATTCCGAGTGAACGTCACTTTGCCGACGCCTGCGGTATGACCAATTGACTTTGGTGACTGCAACCATATTTCCTAATCCTCTTTTCTGTCATGACAGAGGGATTCGGCATCGAGCCCACTTCTCATGTAATTTTGTACGGTTTCACACTTCTCCCATCAAAGCGTACTTTTGAACCGTATCATTGCGCAGATATGATACGCATGGAGTATTTTCATCACCACGTGCACTCTTCATGTTTAGAGCGTTTGGCCACGAGAAATCTAGTGTCCTCGACGGAGGTCTACCACGTTGGGAGGCAGAGGGTTTTCCAATTGAGGCTAAGCCGCCGGTTCGTGCTAGTAAATCTGTTTATCCCACTCCTGTCTTCGATAAGGGAATGATACGGTGTGAGTTGACTTCATGTTCGTTATCCTCCAATGTCGTCCAAGCTTGCGGCCTCCAACAGCCTACGATCAAATGGTGTCAAACTCATTTACGGATCTTCACTCGGACTCAGCCGTCGAACTTATTGTTGACGCTCGTTCCCGTGGTCGGTGAGCAAACTAATAGCGAACTTCACGGACAAGGCTTACGGCTCCTTACGCTTGTAGATTCCTAGGCACAGAGTCAGAACCGCGGCCTGGCTTATCATCCGGTCACATACCTTATTCGTTTTCCCTGCCATTCACTGCATTCCTGCAGACTCGTACTATCCCTAATTCTTCCGTGCAGTACTCCACCTTCCTATCCCTTCCCGAATTACGGAATGCATTAGTGAGCCACGTAGGCGATCACGCGGAAGCCGTCATTCAAGGCAAACGACCAATCACAACAACTTGTGGAAGTGGTATGACTGCGGGGGTCCTCTGGTTGGGACTGAAGCTATTGGGTATTCAAAATGTGGCATTGTATGATGAGGTGAGCCATGATCTACGCGAGATTTTTCGCAAGTTATTAATATTTGCCAGTCTTGGACCGGATATGCGAGCCGGGCATCTAGCAAGATCGAGAAGGCGGAAACCTAAACTTTCCCAATTTTGATCCTTGCCATATCGAAGACCTTGGAATGTGTTTGCATAGAAATCAAGTATATGTCATTGTGCTGGTACGTCATATACATGAATTACTAATGTGGTGCTACATATCTATTTTTCTTTATTCCCATGTTTCCCTGCTATTAGTGTGGACCTAAGGTATACAATGATCTGCCGAATCCTCCACGGCTAAGAATACAATATTCAACTATAACCCATGCAACCATAACCCATGCTGTCCGTGGATAAACAATAATTTTTCCCTCAAAATTCCGGATGACGATCTATAACAGTCATTAATCCCTTGATACCTTTGGCTGCTTCAATTTCAACAGGTCTCTGTGCATCAGGACAACATGATCGAGCCACCGTGGCCGAATAATGAATCTATAGGAAGGATCGATCTTGGTACTAATTGACACGGAACGGAACACTCACTGTGACTTTGAATTGGTCGCGGCGTTGGTATCTAGGATGCCGAATCTCGCAGTCCCATCTAACAAGGTAGGTTAGCAGCGAACGGAACAAGGAAACAGGATGTACTGACTTTTCTTCCAGGAGTACATTTCCACCCATCTCCTTTGCTGTCGAATACAAACCCTTACGAGCTAGATTGACGAGTCTTCCAGCGTCGACACCCCCTTTGCAGATGAACTCGTCCTTGTGTTCTACCCTAGGACCAACGATTGTTGGTTTCAAATCTGCTAAACATGCGTGTGTACGCGCCGGCCCAGACGAGCTCTCAACGCGTTCCGTCTCCAGTGCATGACTTTTGTGACCGAGATGTATCTGTGTACCAAAATGATTATGACAGAAGTCGGACAAGACGCGGTTGCAGACTTGGACCATGGGAGGTGGTTGAGAAAAGATGCCCTTGAGGGTCATAAGTACCGAGAGGTAGAAGAACAGTTATTGGAAGTTTGATAGTTACGGCGCCATTCTGTGACGCTGTTAGATTATATACGTTCCAGTGGCCGAACTGAATTATGGCTGGTTTGGGCCTTTCCGCTTTCCGAGGTGTCCCACTGATGGCAAGAACCCTACCACGAGGGGCCACCAAAATTAAGAGTTTGCATTTGCAAATTCCTTGAGGTAATGCACGATGAATCGCTGATACCCCTTAGTCCTTTGGGATCGTCACATCTTGCGAAGTACTTCATTTCTGGTTATGGTGCGTCATGTTCCTTACGACCGGCAGGCGTGTAGAGCAAGGATGAACGAATTGGGATGTCAAGGATGTGGTAGGACAGCATGAGGCAGAAAAAAATACACGATGGAATATATATATATATATACGATGGCCTGGACTCTCGGCGACAGATACAGTTGTGGTCAATAAATTACGAAAAAAGATGCTGCGACTCCAAGACGGCCATGAATGGTGGAGGGCGGAATGTTGGCAGTTTACCTGACACATATGCTGGTCGCCCTGCATATTGTACCTCTATGCGATGCGACTTTCCCTTGCGATAAAGAGTTAACGTCCAGCTGCCGAGGTGTAACGTATCAGGGCGACTTCCCAATGCCGTATACATTCTAATCACTCACCTTTCCAACACTAACATGTTGTAACTGCTCTTCACAATCTCTTGAAACAACTGTTGTCTGGCGAAAAGCACCGCTTTGCAATAATCAGAGCCTTGGGGCGAACGCTTGCCGAGGTCAAAGATGTATGTCCCGCATGTGTCCGTATCTTTGATACGCAGGATATCAAGCTCTAGTAAGATGGGGAGTGGCTTGATGGGAAATGATTCACAGGCCCAGAACCAAACTGACTTACCATTGTCATCATCGATCATTGATACAGGATCGATACACTCGCAACCGACAACCTCCCAAGATTGCTCGTTCTTTCGACGGAACCACTTCATGGCTGCGGCGAAGAAGGTCAAAGTAATCCCGCTACCTTTGACAGATGCGCTAACATGAGGAAAATGCTGTTCGGATCGATATAAGAACTCGCTCGGCACTGCCACTCGGTCGGCAAGGGCGCTGACTGCGACAGTCTGACGGCCAAGTCTAGCTGATTTCGTCAGGCCTCTAGATAAGATCAAATGAGGCCGAGACAAAGGCTTCTTACGAGATTGAGAAGCGCTTCACTGCGGGGGAGTAATACTTTTCTGGTCATGAGTAGCAGTATCGAATTCCCGTGCATGAACGTTTGAACAAATTTGAATCTGTGTGTAGCCGAGAACGGGTCCTCATTGAATATCCGACCATGCCGCAGCCCGCAGGGTTGCGCAAGAGCTTCTCGGGCACTGCTCGGGCATGTGATTCTCATACATGAAGGGATTGGTTTCGACGAGCTTCGATATGAAAATTTTTCGCATTCTGCCGTGCACGATAAGGTGATCATGATTTTGGCACTGGTTTCGAATCAAACCGCGGAAACTGGTCTTATAAAGCCTGTGAATCCCACTCTCGGACGTTGTTTATGTTTGTTAGGTTCGGAAGGTGCAGTGGCACCACCGAGACTTTCAAGTACCGCGGTGTCTACGGCGTATTACGGTCACCTCTTGACTCATCTTCAGGCCTCGTACATTAAAAATTACTTCAGAACAGACGTCAACTTGCTCATATCTGCCTTATCTCTTCTCCGATTACCGCGATTTCAATACATGAGGCCCACCGACAGATGAAGGCGATCAGGGCGCAGCAATTTCGTGCTGTCTGACGTTTTCTTCGATAAAACTTACAAGGGCTGACACGCTGCACCAGAATGCGGCGACGGGCAAGATATCCTCGTTCCACATTATGCAGCTTGCTGAGGTATTCTCACGCGCTGCGAGGTGCTCAACACTCTTTCCTGTAAGCGAAGTGGGCTCCAATTTTTACGCGGTAAATTGAAGCGAATGGTGCAATCATTCGGTATCATGGGCCGAAGTTCCTAGACCCACAATCTTACTGGTCAGCACTCATATTTGTGATATCGACGATGGTACTAATCAATAACAGCTCGCTTGTCGGGAAAATGCAGGATATGCGTGCTTATGATCTGCAATGGCTTTGTATCAGCGAGCTCTTTGCCGCGGCTTCCTGGGAACAGGAAATGGCTAGACCATTTTGTTTTGCTCGTGGCTCTGTAGCGGTCCAACGATTTACACTCTTTCACGTAATACTAGCAGATACGGTGGTATGCCATACTGATTAAACGTGCCGTATCAGTAATCCGCCATGCTTTTCGCCAATCATGTAGGCCATCGTGTTGGCACAATCTGCAATACCCGAGGCACACAAAGTAGCCCTATTCTTGCCGAGGCCTATCTGGATGATTGTTCCAGTCAAGCAACCCACCGATACACCACCCGCAACAGCCTCCCTGCATGTTGATGCCCCAATCAGTGTACTCGCAGCAGTTGGTGCGGCGATGATGTCTCTGCCTGACCGACTTGATCGTTGTAGATTTCCCAGATTAAGTGTATCCACTTGCATTCGGTTACATTCACCGTGACATAAATATCGTTTTAAGCTCCAATTTTACATCACCGATTTCAGCCTCGCGGCCGTGCTGCAACCATGATCACTGTCACCGTATACCATGCGAAGATAAAGGCAAAGCCCTGATCGCTCGCCTTGGTGTTAAGCAAAGTCGGCGGGATGACATGTGGGTGATCGTTTACGTCCTTGAGCTCGTATCTTGATGTGCGCCGCAACGTGGCCCGTTCATTGGAATCTAACTATCGCAGGAGAATACACAACCATGAATATGTTCGTACATCTGATCTCGAAGTCTGGAATGAATACTACCCCTAAGCACTCTATCCTCGAGCGTCTGTGCCTAGCGATTTCACGCGGTTCGAAAACTGAGTTGCCTTCAGATCGCGCACTGAATCGCTGAACCCCAACCCCCTCTGAATCGCGCGCTGAACTGTCTCTGAATCGTGCACCCCAACTACCACTAATAGATACGCAGTAAGTAAGTAATAGTGAAATGAAACGGATATTACAAAATTAACGCAATATGTATACGAGAATCAAGCGAACGCACGCTCCTCATGACAAACTGCCTTCTGAAATGCCGTCCCTCATCGTATCATCATCCCGATCCCAATTCCCAAACACAAACTGCCCACCATTGCCATCCTGACCTGGCTATCTGCCAACTTGTCGACAAACGTAGAAATGCTCCTGCTGAACAGTCTCGTCGCAGGACCAAGGAGGCACAAAGAGAACGAAATTAACGATGATAAGTGCAGTGGATCAAAGCACTGTTGCTCTGGAACCCTCACGGGGTCTTCGCGCTCGCAAGAGACAGCAACATCCTGGGACAATCGAGATTCCCATTCTGCTTCCCATTTCGCCTTGTTCCATAAAGGTGCGTTGGAGGACAAAGAAATGGTTTCCCGATGGGAGGCGTTTATTCCTTCTACGGCGCACTCGACTTCACGCCAGCGAAGGAAGCGCTCTGCTGCTTCAAATCGCAGTGAAGAAAGCGTTTCTGGTGAGCGAAAAAGGCCATTCCGAAGAGCAGCTGCTGAACGTGGCCTGAATGAAGACATGTGAGGACGCGAGGGAAAATGCGTATGATCTGGACCACGACGCATGAGTATGACAGGTATGTGTGGAGTAAGTAAGTCAATGGGGCCGTCCTCTGAAGTAGACGGGCCTGTAAAACGCAAGAGTTAGAAATAGTAACCACAGTGTATTGAACTCGTATTCACCTGAGTTGGATAGGATAATGAGTGCGGTGTGCAATGGTGACCACGGCGATGCGACTAAGTTAGCCAGAGCAGCAGATGGCTGGCATCGTGGATCGATTAATTCAGATACTGAGTGAAATGGCGATTGGATAATAGTTAATATGGATGATTTCGTTAACTGTCAGGAGGAGAGGTTAACTCGAGTCAAAGTCACCATGCATGCTATGACGTACATCGTTATCGAACTCGTGTCGTGCGATAGATATTATCTCGACATTCTTTGCAGGCTCGAACTTCTCGAGTCCGTGAGCATCTCGATGCTCGATCCAGTCTGTGGATGCTCTTAGAATCGAACCGTGTTCGAAATCCTCCCATCCACTGATGTCCACGACATCCTCGTTGTCGTCCAAGAGCATATTGAATACCAGCTCGCGGTCATCAGCACCACTCTCTACGACTAGTAGCCTCAAGTCTCCAAGTGTCTTTCCAAAAGGAGTGGGACAACGCAATGGAGCTGGTAGGGTCAGAGACGGTATGATGAGCCCCTGTGTACTAGAATCTCGTGCATAGCAATTAGACTGAGGCTGTGAACGTGGTGGACTGGCAGCTGCGGAAGAAAAGAAGAACGAAGAGCCGACAGAAGGTAATGAGGATACTGAATCAGAAGGGCTGTTTGGGGAAGTGGCCAAGGCGCTTGACCGTGGTGACGAGTGCTGGGATTGTCCTGGGAGATTCTCTAATTCTTCTTGGGGAGCATGCAAAGTTCGTATTGTGGATGTGCCAACGTACGAGTTGGATTCCATGGCTAGGAGAGCTCAGACTGTAGAAGCAATATAAACAATCGATTCCAAGCACTACGGCCCTTGTTGCCCGTTCCAGGAGTACACGTGTTTGGTCATCTATATGACATGTATACAATTGATCACAAGTTCATTTTTATTGTCTGGGACAAAAATGGGATTTATACAAGATGGAACTACTAGTGTAACAACGAAACAACTAGAGTAAAAACAACATATGAGATCAATCAAACATGGTAAAGCTTCACCAATTTCTCCTCGTCAATCGTGAATGCTTCTGGGTCCTGGAACTGCGATACCTTCCAAACTCCATGTCCTGCACTCTCTCTCAAGACAACATGCTTGCCTTTGTGAATTCCGCGCAAAACAAGAGCATGATCTTCTACTTCCTCTGGCTGGACAGGCTGAAGGTAGACTGTCGGTACGTGAACCGGAGGGGCCCCTGGCGAATCCAGAGGGTGGAACAGTGCTGTTATCTCAGATAAGGAAGCGAAGGCTGAGGAGACATAGCCCTTCTTGAACTCCAAGTCTCCGTCGAGCCATCCTGCATCTGCCGAGCCTCGGATCTCCACCACCACCTTTTTGTTCGCAATCAAAGGGTCACGTAGCACCAAACCTAATCATCGTGTAAATATAAGCCATTCAATCGTTTTGCTTGTGCTCACCGAAGTCTGAGTCATGGTCATCTTCGTTACCCGAAACGCCTGGAGTAGGTGCAGACATTGAACCAGGGTCATTCATAATGCCTGCCGGTGTAGGTGCACCTGTATAGGCAGCAGGAGTCGGTGCAGATAAGAACCCAGGAGTTGCCGCAGCAGCTGGTGTTGGTGCGTTCTGATTGCTCATGAGTCCTAAATCAATTCAAAACTCAAAAGGAACTCACCCAAGACGACCAGCTCGAATCCGCTGGACGTGCAGGCGATGCACTACCACCCCAGCCGCCTGATCCCCACGATGGCTCACTATAGGGATTCGGTGTCCGTGAGGACGCATTCCACGCTGGAGTTTTACCACCATCACCACCAGCATATGGGTTTGGCGTCCGTGACGAGGCATTCCATGCGGGGGTTTTGCCACCATCAGTAGCATATGGGTTTGGCGTTCGTGACGAGGCATTCCACGCAGGTGTCTTGCCATCCCCGCTTGCGAATGGATTCGGAGTCCGACCGCCCCCCCAACCAGGGGTACGGCTAGCAGTATATGGATTCGGGGTCCGACTCGGTACTCCGGCTGGGGGACCCATATTTCGTTGTTGACCTTGTTGATGGTAGGGCATACTAAGTGGCTGAAGTTTGCCATCCGGCCTATAGTTCGAGGTAAGCAGGAGAAACACTGACAGACAGCAATTGTCTTACATTCTCCGATAGAGTTTTTGTTTTTCAATGGTAATAACTTTATTGCCTGTATTCAGCTCCACGCGCGCCAAAGCACCATTGATGTCTTTGATGATGCCGTTGTACCCCTTGTGATTGCCTTTGACAACCGTTACGACGGCACCGATGTCACGGTCTCGTGGCCCGCGCCCCATTGCACCAGAACCAACCATGCCACCCTGAGCGCCGCCAGCAGCGGTGGGATTCATCTTGCCCAAGTCCATCCCTGGTTTGACGAGGTTACCCTTTGGAGCGAGCGATGATAGTGAGCGGCATCGTGTTACGAATACGCCACCATTTTCAAGGATGTCCCTATTATGTAGGAAGGCGAAGAATGACTGGTGAATGTGCAACACTCGGCCTTTACGAGCCTGTAAAAGCGTTGAAACTGCAGGATTAGTAGAAGCTACGAGAAGAGACTGACCTCTCCTTCAATCTCCTTCACATTGTCTTGTACACGGAGCTCGTGACCTTCAGAGTCCGTAGCAATGGCACGGTCAGAGTTCCGCCGCATCGAGATTTGATGAGGTTGCACCAATCGTACTTGACCATTCTGATCAAGAACACGGAAGGAGTCTCGCTCGGTTTTGAAAATGACACCGACAGTTTGCAAGCTGCACAACAATAATCCAATGAATACATGCAGAGATTCCGGGTGAATGGCTTACTCGAGCTGGACCAAGTCGTGCAGTTCGTAGTTGCCAACAACGTTGGTTCCAGAACCAACTTCGGCGGCCTCACGCAGATCTTTGGAAAACACGGAAACCTGCGAGAATATTAATATCAATCAAATAACGGTCAACGAAACCTGAATTACTTCCTGCATTGACATATCTGATAGGAAAGTCACCACGTTGTCTGTTACCGAGATGACAAGTCCCGTCTCGTCTGCGTTCTGACCAGTCATTACCTTGACATGGTCACCTGGTTTGAAGCGTTTCCGCACGCTGCGTGCGGGAACATCCACCTTCTGACCATCGATATCAACGCCAATAGCTGTGACAGTCACGACATCTTGATTGATCGAATCGACGACACCGTAGACACCAGACTGCTCGCCCTCGAACACCTCGACGTGATCACCCGGTTGCAGCACCGCAATGGCCGCTTTCCACGACGCCTCCGCAATGATCGACAGATCCACCGGATTTTCGTTGTCGGCACCATCCTGCCCTCGGCTGAACTTCGTAATCTCGTCCAGTGTCGGGTTGACGTTGTCTAGCTGCAGAGCATTAAGCTTGAAGTCCTTTTCGATGAACCCGTCTTTGTATGTGTCATTTTGGAAGACGTAGACCTGGTTCCGCTTTAAGACCTGTTTGCGCCCGTAAACCTTTACAACCTCCTCGTAGTTGAAGAACCACTGTGGCGGTCGCATGGTTGTCAACCCAGTACTAGCCTTCTTGCGCTTCCGACCATCAACATTAGCATCATCCCGTGGGTTCAGATCGATACGTGGAATGAATTTGAGGCCAACGACCTCGCCGTTCTCTGTGATGTCCATGACCTGTGCAAGATCACCTTGGTACTTGCCACGCTTAATGCGCACCCAGCTTCCGGGTGTCACGGTAAGGTCTTGCTTCTTTATTTGCAGTAAGCTAGCCATTTCCTCGATGGGGACCAGTACAATGCCACGACTTGGGTACACGCCGACAAGACCCTTACAAGCCTGGTTGACCTGCTGGGCACTCCGAGCTTCGACGTATACCATACCGGGAAGCGAGTCACGTTGGAATGCAGATAGGATCGAGAGAGGCTGAGCAGTGTACTCGAGATCAATTGCTTTCCTCATGAGACTGAAGACAATGTCGCGTTCGCGACCAGGCTGCCACGTAATTTAATCCTCAGTAATCAGGAAAAATCCCCGAGAAACTCACTTTGACTCGAACTTGCCATAAGCTTGCATCATGAACGGATGGCATCAGCAGGCGCTGCGGTACTTCATTCATGTCTCCCGTATACCGCACTGCCGCTCGACCATAACGCTCGTGAAGATTCTGGGCAATTTTGGCCAGATCTTGATCATTCAGCTCCCTTTCTCGCCTGTCCAGCCGTGCATTGACTGCTGCGCGCCTATTCACGTCATCTTCATCGCCCTCTGGCCCAATATCTGCAATAAACTCATCTAGGATGATGATTTGTTTGTGTGAGTATGAACGGGCTAGCAAGATGATTCATACCTCCACCTGCCTCATCTTCTTCCTCCTCTTCCTCCTCCTCTGTATCGACTTCGGCCTCGACATCAAGGAAACGATTCACAGTATTGCGTCTGTGCCGGTGCTGCAATGGATTAATACCCACAGCGGTGCAGGTCAACAAGGGCACGGACCTTTGCGCGCTTTCGCCCACGGTCCCTTCCAGGTTCCTCATCTTCCTCATCCTCATCATCCTCGTCATCCTCGTCTCCCTCCTCGTCATCTAATGCGTCATAAATGGATCCTCGAGCCTTCCCATTCGCCCTTGGGGGTGACTGCTGCTCGTTGTCCTCCTCTTCGTTTTCCTGTTGAGTGGAATCCTGTATGTCGTAGTCATCATCTAGACCAGACATGATGTTGTGATGCGAAGCAAGAGGGAAGTTGCTTGTCTACGTTTGCTGGAGTTGCGCTCAAAACATTGTCAAAACATATTCAATGGACATAGATTAGTCATCCAGTCTACATTACATAAGCACAGGCAGTCGCAGTTGGAATTCAATTGAAATGAAAAGTCTGCCCAGGTTCATTTGACGGATACATAAAAGAAGTGCTGAAGTACACCGCTGGAGAAGATGCCGTATACTACCCTTTCATAGAGCGGAAAGTAGCATCATCGCCATGCTAAGTACTCCCGCGATGAAAATTCCTGTTCCAACTTCTACCCCTTTACCGGCACTGCTCTTAGTCGAAGAAGACGAAACGTTCGTACAACCGGACGAGGCGCTGGCCGGAGGAACCGTCATGTTAGCAGATAAAGTCAAGTCCGCACACTGTCATGATGTTCGTTTTAATAATCATAGTAATAAATGAAGAAATAGGGAAAAAAAATGCCTACCTGGTAGAGATTACCATCGCCACCGTTGAATAGAACCTGAATGGTAACGTTGGCGCCATCTTGAATTCCAGACACATTTACTGCAGCAGCATCGATATCGATAGGGAAACAGTACAGCCCCTCCCCGCTTTGCTGGAAGATTGGAACTACAACTTGATAACCAGAGCTAGAATTGAAATCGCTAAAGTTATCTGGGTTTTGATACGTCGAGATGAAGACCTCCGCTATATTTTTAAACGATCAGCTTCTGCGAAGAAGGAGCGGCTTCCCTTTACTTACCTGTCCACAACGGATGTTCGCTGTTCATGTTGATGATCCCGTTACTAAGAGGAAATGTGGTACGGTTATCCACGGCGTTGGTATAACCGTCTATGTAAGATCAGATGAGATCATGTACACAGACGCCTAGACTATTTTACACTTACCACAGAACGTTGGTTCTAAGTCTTGGACGAAAGGACCTCGTGGAATAGGATATTGCATCTGGAAATGGGCTTGTGCAGCTGTGGAAAGGACAACAGCGATAGCAATGAGGGGGAGGAACATTTTTACGATAATTGTAGAAACTATAGAGTCACAAGAAAGAATTGAAGGCCTCCTTCCAGTTACTCATTCTGCTCATTCATATTTAAGGCCAAGGTACGAAAAAGTTTTTCACACTTTGCTCTTGTTTGCAAACCGGTTCATGAGTCGGTAGCCATGCTATGGTACAACATTAAAATATTGTATGGTAGCTGGTTCTGATTTAAATACACCAGGCCTCCCAGGACCCATGTGCAATGCTCTATTAATGATATCTTTTAACTGAGCTTTCGTTCTCTAAAATCGGTTGAGTTTACATTTCCGGCGACTTGATGTAAGTACTACTGAGTCAGGCTGCCACACCAATGTGAGGGTTCCCTTTAACTCCATCTTCCTCGCGGTCTTCTCCGAGAGAGACAGTAGCGTCTATTGTGTTCCTGGTCCGAGTCATCAGTACTTAATAGTACGTGCTACCTGGTCATGCATGCACACCTGATTGGAACAGTGCTGCGCAGGACCAGGGCCTGATAATCCCTAATAAAGACTGCTCTCGATCAACCTCAGGAGGGGGAAAAATTCGTCGCAACGACTGCCCCCTGGTAGGCCACTTATAACTTGGGGGGTCTTGGGAGCTTCTCCCAGGTCCATGCCCTCAACATGAAAATTTTTTTTTGTCGCACATCAGAAATATTATCGGCCGAAAGGAAATCCAGTACTTGACTTCAAAACATCTGTTGTAGACTCGTTGAAATGTATCCAAATTAGAATTAGTTCATGATAACATTGGTATTCAATCTTTGACTTTGTATCGAAAGACTGCACAGGAAGTCACTATCACCATTGAATTCATTGCCATCACCCGGATTTACCACATCATCAGGCTTCTCGAGAACTCAGTAGCATCCGATCATAAAGGCTTCAAATTCTACCATACTCGACATACACATCATCATCTGCCCGACACCTCTCCATTTATTTAACGCCTCGCACCTGTATCCACTACCTGCACATATTCACCTAATACCTCAACTTAACTCGTCTACACGGAGTCCTCCCCGAAGCGGTGTCACCAAACAACCAACAGAGCGGCCTATCATGCCCCCATAGGCTCACCCTCACATTTAGTTGCAAACACCCCACGATTCCTGTACCAGCTCGCATATTGCGACCGAGTACGTGTCAAATTACGCCATGATAGCACCATACATAAATGTAGTACCAGTCATCTCACACAGACGGACGGCGCGTCTAAAACGGCCGGCAGGAACGGCGGACTGATGGGGGTACGCCTCACATCAGGGCATTCGCGCGTCCGGAAATGCAAAAAAGGGACACTGGGAGTCCCTTAGATTAACACGAACTGTCGTACATAGAGTATCACTCTGCAAAGGACAAAAATTGGAAAAAAAAAAGGCTTCAAAAACTACTTCTTGATCTACCGAGGAAAATGAACCTTCCAGAGGAAGGGTCACAACTATGCCTCCTCAGCATCCGCCTTCAGACTCCGAACTGTTCATTTCTAACCTAGTCATTAATTGCATATAGGGATTATCGGGGGTTCTCTGCACTCACGCAGAATCCTTGCCGGATGTATTTCATCGGCGCTATCACTGTGTGCAGATTGATTGCACCGTCCAGATATACGGCGAGATTCATCTTTTATCTACTTGGGTAGAGACGAACGACGCGATAATATAGTTTCATGACTGGCGACAATATGATATCTTGCAGGAGAGGGACGCGCATCATCATGACAGTGTAGAAGTCCGGTTGTCAGGGAAGTTGTTGATTCAATACTACAAACCAGGCAGGAGGAACGCATGGTTAGCGACCTGACGTCCAGTACAAGCCATAATATAAAAAAGGTGTGTTTGTAGAATCCAGACAGCATTGCGGGTCTGTATGATCGGGTAGACAGAAGATAATTTTTGCTCAACCAGTACCTATTTCTGAGATGCCATCCCACAGGAGCCCCGTCTACCTGACGGGCGACAACCGCATGATCACATAGGATCATGAGTTGCTCTTCGGAACATGGACTGGGTTCCCACTACAATAGTATGGGTTGCACAGTTGGTTGTCAAATTATAATAATGGTATATTGAGAAGTATCCAAGATAAACATATAGGTGAAGCAACCACACGAAAGCGACTGATAGCAAGGACCCAGCAAGAAAATCAACAAAAAAAGAGTGCTCGTCAGGTAGGCCTCGACACATCTAAACTCGACCTCCATTTAGGCGACCAATTCGCCCGAACAGAATTTCACCTATGGCAAGACCCACAATGATGGATATGATATACGAGGCATTGAACGTCCTATATTTGCTAAGTTTGACTCTTTAAAATGGCATGCGTTGCGGGACTTACATGACCGCCAACATCAAGGCGTACGAAAAGAGTGATTGAACAGCTTGCAATATCCCCCGTGGAATATCCTGCATGGGAATGAAGGGAGGCACAAGCCTCGAGCGACTGCGGACTGTCGTTGGAGTGAATGGAAGAGAGGAAGACCTCTCAATCGCATCTATCCCATCGGAAGAATCTTTGGGTTTATCGTGGATGTGTTGGGCATCATCCGAATTACGCTGCGTTTGTAAGAGTAGCGCAAGCACTCTGATCAAAGCGAATCAGCATTAATCACGCCATGTGTTCAAGCATAGCTAACCTTGACCCCCATTGAATCTCCATTTGACGTCGGAACGCCGAAATCCAACGTTCAAGAATACAAAACGCGACTAGCGCAATGCAAGCGCCGGTGATTGCACCTTTCGACTCAGGCATCCAAGTCTTGAAAATCAAGTAGTCTCCACCACTGAAATGTAACCAGGGCGTCATCATCATAGTCATCGTTGTCGTAGTAGTAGAGTTCATATCCATGATGAATTCAAGAGCTTAAGGTGACCGTGAGTACCTAGAAAGTAGGAAACACAGAGTTGAAAAGAAAGACGGGGATTGCCGAGATTATTCTCAGGCACCGCTAAATCTGGAAAACAACTAGAGCACTGAATATTGAATGACAAGTGATCTTGTTCTGTGAAAATATTGAGATTCTTTCTTGCGAGACGCCATAGGTGAATCGGCCACTCAAAGAGACTTCTTGGGATGGAGAGGTCATCACAGAGCCGTTACCGAAACTATGACAGATCACCATTTGCATCAGCGGTTGGACGGATAACATATGGGATCAATCAGGAGTGACACCGCCGCGTCAACAGGTGAGTCAGATTCAGATAGCAATGCTCACACGTCACGGCCATGGCATTTATGTTACCGCATGGAACATCCTCAGGTGAGCTGGCGCGAACCAGCCTGCGTACGGTTCGTCCGATCGGTACGATTTCGGCCGTTCAGCCGTGCTCGGCATATGCGGGAGAAATGATGACTAACCCGACTTGCGTTGTCCCTGCGAAGGGCTCCTAACGCCTAATGATGAGCACTGAACACTGGGAATGGAAACATATTCTCACAGTATTTGATGACTTGCGTACGATGAGTATCATATCACAAGAGCGATTAAGACCCAGAACCTCGAGGAGGATAACGGCAGGATGGATGTAGACCCTTTCTCGAATAACCTTGACCATAGAGATGCGGGGACAAGGAATGCAACTGAGACGAATCCCGAAAAAAACATTCAACCTACGAGATGACCGACTGAACTAGTTGTAAGGCAATGGCACGTCACAGCACAAGTTTGTTGAGGATAACACTCCCACTTGTGCTGCGACGTGTCAAGAGAAAAAAACCACAATACTGTGGTTTCTTTGAGTGCCGTCGGTAGCTCGCTCCTAAGAACCTGCAGGCTCATAGGCTGCTAAATCAAATATTACAGCATGGAGGTAGAATTCTGACACCCATGGAGCGCAGATGTGGATGAGCGATGAAGGCATGATGAAAGATGATGGGATTTGAAGAATAAAGTGTTGGCGAGGAGGGTAAAGACTGCGGCATTTCTGCGACAACCAATGGCAAAAGAGCGAATTAATCACGTGATTAGTTTTCCATTAATAATACAGCTTACGTAGGTTAGTATGATTATGGGTTATGTAACAGCTTAGCGCTTATTACTCCCTCCATATGATGCTGCGAACTGTATTTCTAAACACCACCCGCTGTGCAGCACGCCCTACGCTACTCGCGCGTCAAACTGCGAGACCAATCTATCAGGTCCTCGCGCGGTACGAGTCGAGCAAAGCTAACGATGCTCTGAAAGCCGCTCGCAAAGCCAAGGACAAGCTCCAGAAGGATTGGCAAGGGCCTGTACTCGCATATGAGCAAGTTAAACCCAAGACCCTCAGTCCCAGTGCAGTACGTCCCACTCTTACATTATGCCTGTGCCTACCCACTTTTCCATCCTGTCCTTCATAGGACGCCTACCTGATTGACGTGCGTGAGCCCGATGAGGTTATGCAAGGCTCTATTCCGTCCTCTGTGAATCTGCCACTCTCGGTACTTGCCAACTCGTTCCATCTTACCCCTCAAGCCTTCAAGGCACAGCATGGTTTCGAGAAGCCAGGAAAGAAACAAGAAGTCGTGTTCTACTGTCGCAGTGGAATGAGGAGTGCTAGTGCATGTGATATTGCAAAGAGGAATGGATACGAGAAGTAAGTGATCGCAGACTGGCCATCTTTACTGTGCTTTGATATAACGGGCACTCATGTTTCTCTAGCATTTTTAATTATGAAGGCTCGTGGCTAGACTGGACGTCACGAGAAGGAGGCAAGGGGTCTACTACTTCAAGTTGATGTACTTCCCCACATTTTAATAACACAACATGCATAATACAGCCCTCGAGAATATTTTTCTTCCATAGCGGATAAAATGAGTTTAGAATGACCTTCCAGTTCTCAACCCTGCGTGGATTTTGAAAGCGTGGTCGACGTTTGAAGAAGTTTGAACACTTATTAATGCACGTGCACGTTGTCTCGTGATCCGATCGAAGTCGTTCTCACGGTTACTCCGTGCTGCTTCATGTTTCCCCGCAACCTGCTTCGACGCATTCCAAAAAGCACGAGCTTGCATTGGCAGAATGTAGCTGCGAAAAGAATTTCATTGCTAATAAGATATGCCCCATTGACAACACGGGCTCCGGTGGCCACGCGTTTTTACGTGTGCAGACGGACATTGAGTACACCTGCTCCCATGGTCAATGTCAGGTCCGCTCCCTTCTACTGCCTCAGTTTCTCCATCCGACTCAAGATGGCCAATTATCTCCCTATACTGCATGCAGTTATTTATCCATAGAGCGATACCATGCACTTTCTGACGCAACCATGACAACCTTACTCGAACGGCTCGAGGATTTACTTGACGCAGTAGGAAATGACGCGTATGAAGTAGATTACCATGTGAGTTTGCTCTGAAATACCTGTATTTGGGCTCTGGTTGTGCCCTTGACTCACTATCTTGCTTCTTCTGCAGAGCGGCGTCCTAACGCTCAACTTAGGGACCCATGGGACATACGTGATCAATAAGCAGCCGCCGAACAAGCAAATATGGCTGTCTTCTCCACGCAGGTGGGTCCAATCGTTTTATTGAGGATGTTTCACACTGACGTACTTCTTTGCTTGCTTCGTATGCCTGATTTCGCCGATAAACGTCCACTCATGAAACGCGAATTTTTAGTGGTCCCAAGCGCTATGATTACGTACCGGAATCAGACGGCTGGCGATATGCACGAGATGGAATAGGGCTTGGCGAGCTATTGGAGGAGGAGATAACGGATATGCTCCGAACGAAAGTCTCCCTGCACCTAGAGGGTGTATCTGCGCAGATACAGGAGTAGACTTGTTACGGATATAGATTGTCATTGCGAACTCTTAATTGAGGGTACAACTTCTTCCACCTATGCAGATACAAAGCAAGATCTTTCGCTTACGGATGCTTCCATAGATTGACGGGGTGATTCCGTTGATAGTACTTCGAAGCTTCGTTACCTACCCATAGCGGGTAGGAATTTCTCCATCTTTTGAAAGCTGCGGTTTAATTGTGATGTCAGATAGTCTCTATTTGCGATGCACGATAGTACAGTATGTGATAGTGGTGTAAAAACAATGCGCCCCAGAATGCTCATATGTAGATGAGTATGCAAACATGCCAAATAAAGTAGACGTGAAGGACGAGTAATGAAAAAGACATCTATGATGACGGACTGGATGATGATGGGATCAAAGCCTGGGTGCCGATCACGACGGGTGAATGGTAGGTCTTTGTTCACGGCACTTGATCTGAGGGCTCGATCTTATAGTAAGTTCCGGTGTTAGTCACTGTGGCCTCGCTCCATGACAGGAGTACTGGAATGAGGGCCTTCTTGAAGTTCCCGTCTCCGGGAGAGGAATACTGATCCCAGTAATCTGTTCGGAATAGTCAGCTACGCCACATGAAAAGAAGAGAAGGCACGAGTCATACTTATTGGTATCCTCGTAACGTTCTCTCACAGACTTGACTTCGTGAAAATCCAACGGGGCTTGCGCAGCCGGTTCAGTATGGGTTTGTGCCGCATGGGGAAGATGGGAATAGAACTCAGGCAAAGGGCATTCCGGCAGTGTTGGTATAAATAATTTCCCGTTGGAGGAAATAGAAGGAGAATGGCGAATTCCATGAGTAGATTGCCAAAGATTATGTGGATGGGTGGCCATAGGCGGTGGAGAGGCTGAGAAGTCTGCGTGCGGAGGCAAATATAGATGTGACGGTGGTTGCGAGTTCGGTTGGATAAACATAAGCCTGTGCTGGTGGAGGGCATGCATTTCGTGTAGCATAGTATTGGCCTGCCTGTATTCTGTATAGTCCGGTGATTCCGAGAAGTGACCAGATTCCGCGTCATTCTCTCCATCTATCCAATCTTCTTCGCCATCGCTATCATCTGTGTGAGGCATGAATAAAGGAGGTGGTTTACCCCAGCCTCTCTGTGCACCGTCTAGTACTGGAGGGTGTATTCTGCGTCTTTTAGCAAGCGATCCATGTGGAAACATGTCTGGAGGAGTCTCATGGTGTGGTATGGGTCTGATAGGTCGATCAGGGAACGGCATTAACGATGGAATCTCGTCCAGCAATGGCGGAGGCGTTACAGGACGTTGCCTTTTGAGCATGCTAAATTATTCTAGCTGCGGGTCAGAATTTGTTTGTTAAGTTGAAGGAAAGGCTTGAGATGTAGTAGCGTTCTTAAAGCCTCAAGACAACAGTTAGGCGGGGTTTCCATTTCAGGCTATTGTGGGAGTAAGTAATTTAGGTTGTGGTTGCAAATCTTTGCTGGCTCCACTACCACAGATCAACACCGACAACCAGCTCTGACACAATGGACGGCTTGGACGTATTTTCTGCGATGGGAATTGCTGGATTCGGGAAGGCTACCAAAAAGCGAGAGCTTGATCCCAACAGGTTCGACAAAACGAAACGTGAGGAGCTAGTGGTCAGTTCTCATCGTTTTTCGGTTGCCATTGTGGTCTAATACATTTATCCGCTCAGCCTCCCAAAGTGGAGGCTAAGCCCTTGATCCCTGTATATGGACCTTCAAGTTCCACAGTGTCTATTCGGGCTCAATCTGAATTTGACGAAGACTCGGACGACCCCGGGCCTTCCCTTCCGCAGTCAGGCTTTCTCCAACAGGATGCTGATGGCGTAGACGACGAAGACAACGATGATGACGATACCGCCTCTACTGACGACGAGCCTGAATATGACCCAAGTGCTCCCTCGCTATCGACCCCCGATTTTCCGATCACCCACGAGGCAACGCTCAAAGAGCACACCAAGGTGATTTCCGCGCTTACAGTAGATCCGAGTGGTGCACGTGTTTTGAGCGGTTCGCATGACTATGATTGTAAGTTGTGGGATTTTGGTGGAATGACGACGCAAACGAGGTCCTTCAAGACGTGGGAACCTGCAGGCAGTTACTATGTACGTGCGTTGGTTTTGCGACGGGAAGGATGCATTTGACATTCAATGATAGGTCAACGATCTCAAGTACTCTAATGATGGCCAGCAGTTCCTCGTAATTTCAGGGACGATCCAGGCCAAGCTGTTTGATCGGGAGGGCGAGGAGAAGTAAGTTTAATCTATCTTGTTGCAGAACAGAATGGCTTGAATGACCTCAGAGCAACGTTCGTCAAGGGTGATATGTATATTAGGGACATGAAGCACACTGCGTACGCCCCATTTTGTATCACTCATGACCATGCTTGCTTACTCCACACTTTCGTAGCGGACATGTCGGGGAACTTTCAAGTTGCATGTGGCATCCGAAGGACAAGCAGTATTTCATCACTAGCTCGGCAGACTCTACTATTAGGCAAGCTCTCACACGCTGCTATCAAAGAAAAACTTCTGACATTACGGAATAGAATATGGGATGTCGAGAACAAACGGAAGCAGAAATCTGTTATTGTTGTCAAATCAAAAGAACGTGGTGCACGGACCAAGGTAACGACGTGCGCTTACTCAACCGATGGAACGCTGATTGGAGGCGGTAAGTCCGCTTTGATCGCGAAGTGAAGTAATCATTGATGGTTCTCAGCCTGCCTTGATGGCGCACTGCACATGTGGCAGGCATCGTCAAATTTTGTGAGGCCAAACATGACGATCGAGGGCGCACACACCAAAGGCACAGATATTGGATCTCTGGTTTTTTCTGTTGATGGGAGAACAGTGCTGACGAGAGGAGGGGACGACACCGTTAAGCGTACGTACGAATACAGGTTTGTTGACATGCTTGGCTGACGTAGGCAGTGTGGGATTTACGGGCTTTTAAACGACCGCTCGCATCATATTCGGGGGCTACTACGTTGTATCCTGGCACGAATGCTGTGTTCAGCCCTGACGAAAAGCATATCCTAACAGGCACCGGAGCCCCTGCAAAGGGAGCACGAGGCAAATTATTGTTGCTCAGCCGAGAGGATCTCAGTGTGGTGAAGGAGATCGACATGGACACGACACCTGTCAAAGTGGTCTGGCATTCCAAGATAAATCAAATTATTACAGGTCTTGCGAACGGTACTATTTCAGTATTGTATTCGCCGGAGAGGTCTTTGAACGGTGCGAAACTCTTGTTGTCCAAGGGAGCCCCCAAGCGACCGACGATCGAGGACTTGTCGGACGCACTGGCCGCACCAACGATCTTGACACCACATGCATTGCCAATGTTCAAAGATGGGGAAGGATTAGTGAAGGGAATGAAGAGGAAGCGGGAAAAGGACCGCATGGATCCGAGGAAGAGCAGAAGGCCCGAGTTGCCGGTCACAGGACCAGGTCGGGGAGGACGAGTTGGTGCGAGTGCGACGCAGCACGTTGTACAGAACTTGGTGCGGGATACGACGCGCGACGAGGATGTGAGTACTCTTTCTCTTCCTTACGTCGCTTCGCAGTACGGAGTTCTCGCGCCTTGTACGCTGCTGCGGTGTCGTAATCACGTGCTCCTTATCTTCTTTTGTTTGATGGTTTCCAAGGTGGCTAACTATTTGTTTCTTTCATACTTCTTTTTTGACGATTGTAGCCACGGGAGGCATTGCTCAAGTATGCGAAGATGGCAGACGAGGATCCTCAATGGACTTCAGGTAAGCAGCATGTTTCAATGGTAGCCTGGGCTGCGGGGTTGCGGCAAGTGGAAGGGGCCGTAGCGGAGTGTGAAAATAATTGTTTTGGGTTATTTGTTTTGATCGGCCGGCTGACGTGGCGTTACTTTGGATTTAACCAGCATGGCGACAAAATCAGCCCAAACCCGTATTTGCGAACGTCTCAGAGGAAGAGGAGGAAGAGGAGGATGGATGAACACCAGACTTATGAGGTTGTGGATATTAGAGAAGGAATTAGTTCCAATTATTTGCTCTACGTGAGATTTGAGGTGTGAGTAATTTTTAGTGGCCCCTGCGCAGGTCAAACCTTAATTCCGTTCGCCTATAAAGACCCAATGGCTGGCTTCCGATTCCCCCAAATCCAAAATCTCCTCTCCTCTGAAAACGTCACGCTGTGTGACACATTAGTCACGCGCCACCCATGAACGCGACAGAGCACAGCGCGACCAACACTGAACAACGATCGATTCTTTCTATCGCCGTCAACGGCGACAATGTTGTCAACGGTGCACGCGATCCCTAACTTAATTACTTATCTCCAGCTAACTTGAAAATGTAACAAATTCTGTAGACCTGAAACTTGACCAAATGACTTCAGACTCTAATAATCCTTCTCTAAAGTCTGAAACCATTGACACGCTCTCAACTTGTGTAGAAATTTCGACCCCACTCAATCCAGGTTAGTTACTTTTCCTATTCTTTCTTTTCTTTGTTCTTATCGGAACAGATTCCATTCCCATTCATCCTCCGAGCGGAACACCAAGACCAGTGGAGGGCGAATTGTTGGATGATGTAAAGATGGCAGAGGAGACAATGGTTGATGACTCGGATACAGTCCCCACAACTAACGGCGTACACACCGCTGACGCCGATGGAGATGTCCAAATGGACCAGTTCCCCCCTACCGCCAACGGTCACTCCAATGACTCACCATCCCATTTATCACCAGCTCCTGTCGACTCTGCTGGCCCACCAACATCGCGTGCTACTTCCAACTTCGATTCTCCTCAGCAGCGCTCCGACACCGTCGATGATGATGAAGCCAAACCACCCCCAGCTAAACGCGCGCGTAAATATTCAGACGCCGATCAGGCGTCCATTGCAAATGTAAGCATTGTTTGCTCGTTGTGCGCCGTATAGGCGTGCTAATCCCTTTTCTTTTTCTTGACCCTGAAGACCGGCTCTCCCCCTCCTATTACAGCGTCCTCTGTGCAAACAAATGGTGACACTGTTGTATCAAGCCCGATACCAACGTTCACATCTACGGGCAACGGTATATCGACCCTCAGCCCCGTGCAACACAGATTTTGTCTGTCTACAATACGCTCGCTGAAGAAGCTCAAAGACGCTTCTGCATTTGTGCATCCCGTGGACCCCGTCGCTCTTAATATTCCCCATTACCCGACCATAATTAAGAATCCAATGGACCTCAGCACCATCGAGCGCAAGCTCATGGCATCTAATCCTGCCAAGCCAGAGACCAGTCCCAACATTCCACGCTATTACAGCGCGGAGGAGTTCGTCTCTGACGTGCGTCTCGTGTTCAGCAATTGCATCACCTTCAATGGCCCGGACCATGTGATCGCTCAGGCAGGCAAACATGTAGAGGCTGTCTTCGATAAGCAGATCAAGCAGCTTCCACCACCAGCCGAGGTATGTCTCCTTTTGATGTTTGCTGCGTGCGCGATTTATTGTTGCAGCCGAAGCCTCCTATTGTCAAGAAAATCGCCACGCCTCCACCTCCACCACCACCAGCTCCCCCCAAGAAAGTCGCAGCAGCACCTGTTCGTCGTCCTTCAACTTCCGTTCCTGTCATTCGGCGCAATGAGGCCGAACAGGCATCTGCACGGCCGAAACGTGAAATCCACCCACCTCCTCCGAAAGACCTACCATATGCCGATGTCCCGAAAAAAATGCGCAAGGTCAAGGTACCTAAGGACGATGGCACAGGGGAGCAACTGAAATATTGCGGGAAGATCTTAAGTGATCTTCAACGAAAGCAGCATCAAACGATCGCTGCTCCGTTCTATGAGCCTGTTGGTATGTCCAAAGTCATTTCATACCTTGGGATGAGACCGCTCATGAAATCCTACAGATGCTGTAAAGCTTGATATTCCGACATATTATAGGGTCATCAAGAAGCCCATGGACATGTCTACCATGCGGAAGAAGCTAGAGGCCGGGGAGTACCCCAATGCCTCGAAGTTTTTTGATGACTTCAAGCTCATGATCCGCAACTGTTTCTTGTTCAACCCCGCTGGAACGCCCGTCAACCAAGCAGGGATCGAGTTGCAGCGGTTGTTTGATGAGAAGTGGAAGAATCTACCGCCGCTTCGGGATGCAAGTGATGAAGAGGAGGAGGAGGAGGAAGATGAAGAATCGGAGGAAGAACGTAATCGTGGGTGGACCTCATGTACCCAACACGTTCATCCACTAATGTACTTTATATACACAGGTAGGATTGCCACCATGGAGGCTCAAATTGAGTCGATGCGCGGTAATCTCATGGCTCTGAAGGCAAAGCCAGCTAAGGAGAAGAAGAAAAAGGAGAAGAAAGAGAAGGCTCCTGTTGCTTCTACTTCAAAGGCTGCTACTTCTCGCGCGCCCAAGGCAGCACCTGCGACCAATGGGAATAAGCGTAAGACCACGACGAAGAAGCCTATGGCTGAGGACGATGCACTATCGTTTGAGCAGAAGAAGGACTTAAGTGAGGCCATCACCAGTCTCGACGGGGTCAAACTTGAGAAGGTCATCCAAATCATCCATGAGGGCGTTCCTGAAATTCGTGATGTGAGTCAATTGGGAGGTATGTGCTATCGTATTGATAAACAACTCAAGCAGAGCACCGAGGAGATCGAACTTGAGATCGACATACTACCGCCGCACGTTCTCACAAAGTTGTACAACTTTGTCCTTCGACCTCTACGACAGCCAACGCAGAAACGGAATCGAACTGGCAAGGGTACGGGTACCGGTGGCCTTAAACGGAAGAGCATGGACGAGACTGCTGAAGCTGAGAAGATCCGCAAGCTGGAGGAGCGGATGCGGCTCTTCGATGATAACAACTTTGCCACACCCAACGCTGCGCCTGCGCTAGCTCATCAGAACGACAGCGATCATTCATCGGACTCTTCTTCAGACGACAGTTCGGGCAGCGAGTCGGAGTAACTCGTCTCCCCTGCATTGCGACGTCGCTTATCGTATGCGGTTGATATTTTTTTTTGCGCGGCTTCGTCGGGTTGTTGGTAGAATTTTCTTCTTCACCCCCCCGCTTATTGTTCTCCTTTAATTGCGACTGTCGTCTTGATCTTTATAACATTCAGAATTTGTGCTACTCTTCATCTCTTCCGCTCTCTCGCAAGCAAACGTACATACATACACCACCAAAATTAAACAACAGCAATGTAGTTAGTTAATTCTAGTCGTGACTGATGGTTGTCACAATTGTAGACCGTGCCTGCTCGATGCCTTGACTTCGTCTGATTCCGAGTACTGATCCAATATCATCGGAGTACACAATGGGATAAAATATACCCAGCTCCGTACTGTGGCCTTCGTTGGGCCAGGTTCGAAACTCTCACCGTTGAACGAGGCTCATCACTAGTGCCGCGAGTGCCCGCCAATCCTGATTCCTCTTACTCACGCACTTGCTCGGGCCCGCACCTGCATGCTGATTGAAGGTCCATGCATTCCATTCCCGTCAAGGTTTGAAACTAACCTCTTTCCATTATCTTACATTTGAAGTCACGTCCGAGTCAGCCTAAGTGCTTGAAGTTGCACCAGTACTTTCCCTGTCAGTGCTTCCAAACGCGCGCGATCTCCATCTCATCCGCGTGTTGGGACGGGAAATGCCGGTGCAACCTACGACTGGCCCATCAGGGAAACAAATTTGCTACAGAGTGCTCTCGGTAGCACTCTGTAGCACCCTGTAACGCTCTGTAGCGCAATCCACCCCGCTGATGGATAAAACGGCGAGAATAATCTATCGATGCGATGAGCAACAGGAACGCAATCATCTCAGGCTGGCCCACTTGCCGCCCCGCAGCAGAGGTCAGCATCAGGCTCAATTGTCACCGAACGGTGTCCAATTGAACCAGCTACCGAGGCCCTAGTCACGGTAGACTGACCCTAGACTTCCAAGAAGTTCATAGACTAGAGTGGTCATTTTCCAGATGCTCTTTGACTAAGTAAGTACTCGAAGCATGTGGCTCATGCTAACTTCAAGTTAAGAGCGCCAACGTACGGCATCAGAATTTTAGCCATAAATCGGTTTTTCGCCGCCATGAGGGCACCTGTTTTTGATCGCCGGATATCTTTGCCAGAGTATTTTTTTTTTACCTTGAGTTAATAACTTTAAAACCTCCCTACCAGCGCACTACTGTGGTTCTGAGAAGGCTCATTCAAGTCGGAATTGCGTTATTAGCTGGCGTACGCATAACTAGCGTCATCTCTGCTAATCTTGACGCCACATAAGCAGAGCTCATCGACATTCGATCCAAAGCCAATCCATCTGGACTTCGTTGTGTCAGAAATCTGTGACACAACTCCAAATGTTACGCAGATTTCAGGTTACATTGACGTTGGGACAAACATGTTCATGGTATGTTTCTGTGCACCATGTTTTGGATGTAATCTGACTCAAAACAGTAGTTCTGGTGGAATAATCTCAGCATCAGCTCTCCAATAGTGTCACAAGACCTGACTCCCTCACCCAGTGAATCTACATCGACCACCCAATTGGATTTGGATTCTCCCATGGTACTACTGATGTGGTAAATGGCACGGAAGTCGCTGCGCCTTTGCGGGGACTGCATTCCAGATTCTATTTGAAGGTCAGTCATTTTCAAAGAATGCCAGTCGCTTGAACAGTTAGTCATTTAACTCATCAATTCGGTCGCCTGATTTGAGTACGTGCATCTACTCCATCATTTGCTACCTAATTTACTGGGGAAGGATAGGCTGGAGACGCTGATATTCAGTGGTAAATATTTGGCGTGAGCTTGACGCTTCTCAATGGCTATAGCTGCAACTGGATAGGGGTAGGCCAGTACGTATTTTGTCTGGAGCATCGCATCAATTGAAAGGGTCATGCGTCAGTCCTAGCAATGGATTGGTATGGTAATATGACGCTCCATAACACCCCGTTCACCAATATGACAATCGACGGCACGCCTGTTACAGCCGTGCAAAATGTCGACAACTTCCTTTGTGTAAGTGTTTTTCTTTCGACTTGCTTTCAAGATATATGCGTATTGTTTCATTATTTTGTCTTTTAGACGGGTGTACGCTGCTGGACACCTAGTGGTTAGTTGACTTTCCTCAAGATGACAGTCTCTACTGATGCTACTTGTGTAATTATCAGCCAGGCCTGGTTCCCAGCCCCAAGCAGCATCGGAGATTTTCTCGTAGGTTATTCAGAAGGAACGAGTTCACTCCGTCTAGAGAGTGAACTCAAGTAGCACACACTGGCATCGTGGTGATGTCACATCCTTAGGAGGGGCAAATGCTCCTCCCCAGGCCCTCTAACCTCCCGTTCTATATCAAGGACACTTGCCAGCTGCTTCGGACGTTGCGAAGCATGCCATGATTGGTATGACTATTTGACATGACATCTAGATAATGTTATTTACTTCGATTTCGTGAACTTACGGTTCTAGCACTTTGCCGTGATCGCATGCCTACTCCATCGCCGTCGCCACAGGATGATGTGAAGCTTACAGATTATGATGTTTTCGCTGTATGTCTATACGTAAGGACGAATCAGTTGGTCCCGCAGAAGCGATCCGTGCTGCACTTTGAACTTTCAGTACTTATATAAAGTACGAGCGCAGTGAACGATTGGTGCACGACCGTTGAGATGTGGTGAGGGATTTCCAACGTAGAATGTCATCGTAGTACTCGCCGGCGCCAGATGCGTGAAATATTGGTAGGGTTGAACATGCGCAGCTTTATTGAGAGTGTGTTGACCTCCTTCGAGAATAAAGATCCTGAGCGAGGAGTCACATGCTGCTAGGCGACCCGCGACAACGCAAGCTGTACTGCCGCCTGGGCCATGTTGAAGGAGTAACGCCGTGTGCAAAATGTCAATACTCACCTCCAGCAAAAATGATATCAAACTCTGATAAGAACGGAGAAGACATTGAGATGTTTGCTTTTAAGAAGCTAGTCACGGTAAGTAACTCACAGTAGCCCAGGTGCGTCCAAGCTCCAATTTATGTTTACAGGAAATGCCACCGCAATTTTCACTTAGTCTAAGGCCCATCCGGGACATGGTGTGTCACTGACCATGATCAGCATACGAGCTATATCTGAGTTATTACGCCGCACAGAGAGAAGTACTTGCAGAAATTAGAATGCTGCGTTCAACGTTGTGTTGATAAGTTGCGGGTCACGGGAGCCCTGCCGGGCCGGTAGTTGGCCGTTGCCGTGTCGCGCAGCCTATAAGTCAAGTTACCTGCGCTGTAAATGAACTCTCCAAGCTTCAAGGTGTGCCCGCTTCTTGTCACGAGTCGCGATAATATGCCTCGTTCATTACCACCGTGGCCCCCCTCACTCGGTGATCTCACGATACCAGCCCTAAAGAACGTCAACTACCCCTGTCACTTGTATCGTGATCACGGAAATAAAAAATTGTTAATTGCACTAGCTTGCAATGGCGAATGATATCTGACGGTAATATAATTGACTACACCAAATAAATCGTAGCAGTTAAACTTTGAGATGGCGTAAAGCTGATCATGACTTCAAACGGGAAATACTTTTCTTGTCATAATCATATCCATATCCATAATGATATATCCAACGTGCATGAGTAGGTAGAACAGCTCCAAGACTCTATCTCCAAAAACTAAGTTAGATATGTACATATTCATTGATATATCATCTGACAAGACAAATCAGCGCCGATTTCTGGATCGATTCAGGTTTGTGCGTGAGCTCTGCACGGAGTACGAGATCATCGGAGGTAAGTAGTGGGTGGTAGGGATGAGGGGGACTGGGGGAGCTGGAGGGACGGGGGTGTATGAGCGACCAGCGTTCGACTTGGCTCGCATACGCTCTGCCTGTCTACTACGTCCAAACACGGGAGGCCTGCCGTCAGCTGTTTGCAGCGGATCGTAAGGGACAGGGGTGTATGAGCGACCGGTGTTTGACTTGGCTCGCATAATGCTCCCAAATACGGGAGGCCCGCCATCAGCTGTTGGCAGCAGATCGTAAGGGACAGGGGTGTATGAGCGACCAGTGTTTGACTTGGTTCGCATACGTTCTGCCTGTCTGCTGCTCCCAAATACGGGAGGCCCGCCATCAGCTGTTGGCAGCAGATCGTAAGGGACGGGGGTGTATGAGCGACCAGCGCTCGACTTGGCGCGCACACGTTCTGCCTGTCTACTGCTCCCAAATACAGGAGGCCGGCCATCAGGCGTTCGCAGCAGATTCGCCACAGCTTGATCAGCAGTAACCTCACGCCGCTTTTTGCGGATAAGGAAGGGGTCTGCTGTGACCGCGAGCTGCGAAAAGGAGGCGATTGAAGAGGAATGTTGAATAGTTCTGTGTCTCCTTGCGACTTGTTGATCGCTTATATTGCGAATCTGCGGGGGTAGTTGAGGCCTAACGCTCTTTCAGTTCAACGAAGTCGCTCTTACAGCATAGCGAGCGTCCTTCGGAGGAAGTGGCGGGGGACTGTCCGGCAAGTGGGCGCGCGTGTCGAAGTGGGCACGACTTGGCGCATGATCGTGAACATCTGGGTACCGCTGCACAGGATGGGTGTCTGGCATCCCTGGAGCTTGCTTGATGTACACGATGTCGGAAGGTTTACTAGGGGTGGCCTTGCCATAGTACACAGCTTTGAAAGGATCGTCATAAGGCTCGAACATGCTCGCTTGTGATTGTCTGAATGGCATTGATTTGGAGTGCTTAAGCGATGGCTTTTTTTCGCCCTGGCACCTGAGGAGTATTGATTAGCACTATGACCATGAGTATCATCTAAAGTCGGTCGACTCACTTTTGGAACCATTTTTTGAAGGGATTCATGATATGATGAAGAACGGGTGAAGAGTCGCAGAAGATGTTAAGAGGTCGACTGTATGTAAATGTGGGGAATCCCGATTGAGAAGTATAAAGGATGGGCTACTGTGGACGCACAGTGGCAGTCCAATCCACAACTTCAAATTCCACAACCGATGAAAGCATTAGTGGATACATCGATCATTACCTGACATCGTGTCACCCCATTTGCATCACAAAGGCAGATTATCCAACCGCCAAACAACTATCGGGCATACTTGGAGCATGTCAACCAAACGACTCCATCGCGCACTGTGTTTTTTGATAACTCGTAACTTGTGGGCATGCGATAAAATTTGCGACAGGTCCATGTTTCACTTAGGGTACGCTTGCACCTGACCAACGTCGAAGCCGCTCAATATCGATAAAGATATCTGGAGTCCTTTCAAGCCAGCACCCCACACGATCTGAAGGCGATATAAATAATAGAGTGAGTATTGAAATAAATTCCAATGGAATTACACACACGATCTCTATGGCCGGGAGGTCCAGAGGACATCCTTATCGTAGCCCTGAATGACACTATTGTTGATCTCTAAAAATGTAAATCCTTTAGCACGCATCTGGCAAAGTAGATCTTCCACTCCGAGGCGCGAAATTGAAGGTTGAGATATGCCTGTTTCATGTCAAATATGAACAGTGTTTGCGGAATGACGAAGCTCAAGTGTCTTCAACACTAACCCCTCCTTCCTTCTGAATCATCTTCAAGGGCATATTGTACAGCACTTCGATGTCGGTCGAGTTCGCCGGTTTTCTTGTACATTCATATAATATTTGCACGAGTGACAATTATCAATGCCAGTGATTGCATTCAAGAGCCCGGTCAAGGCAGCGGGGAAATTTGTAGAAAAGTAAGCCCATCCAGCAACTCAGCGCAGAAACACAACTCACAGTCACCACATGTTCAGTTAGCCAAGCTCATCCGAGAAGTGAGTCATGAAGCTGAACTCCGAGTGCAAAGTAAATGACTCATACTTCACGTGTCTCACGAGTAAGGCTTGAGCAGCTTGTGTCGTTGGACGTACTGCTCGAGTCGCAAAGTACGTTAAAGGTCGTGCATGCGCTGATAGATATCGATATTGTCAAAGCAGCGGCAACAGCGAGAAGGCATGAGACGCGTGACTTGTGCTAGGTAATATGGGATGTTTCTGCCGCCAGAGGGATCTTGAATCATAGCTCTTACAGCAATAGGAAGATAGGTCATTGGAAAGCACTCAGGAGTTCCATCCGAGGCAGAGCGGTTACAGCTGGCAGACAAGGAGATAGTATCATAGGCAGAACTGCACCAAGATCATCGATCGGCGAGATAGAACAATAAATTTCCGTTTGTTCTGCTTGATGTGTACAAAAAAAAATGGATGACGATCGTCTGCTTTGAACAGAACTTTACAGTGATATGTTGCAGAACGTCGTACGGCAAAACTTCGTGCAGTAGCGCAGGATCATCAAAGTCACGGTGTAAGCCCAGAAATTGATTCGTGTTTGTCGATTCGGAGGCATTAATGTCGTTGAGCTCTCCGGCCCGGCCCATAGTATTCGGTTAATACATCGTCTACCTTGCCGAAGTCTGTGTTTCCCCTCCATGGGTTTAAATTGGTTCCGTCAACCTCAGGTCTCACAAACAACATGTCCACACCTGGTACTCGTTTTTTTTTGTGAAATACTTGCGAAATTCTGAACTTGAGCGCTCGTTGTATTCTAGATCTCTCTGTTCAGTCGCTGTTCAGTGTAAAGGGCAAGATCGGTATGTATCATGGCAGTGCTACGGTTGAACGTTGATGGATCACTAAGCATTGTCCCACCAGCCCTCGTCACAGGCGGCGGTACCGGTATTGGCAAGACTATTGCTTCAGCACTCGTACAAAATGGTGCAAAGGTCTATATTGCGGCTAGGAAGGAATCACAATTGAAGGAGGTGCGTGCATCAGTTTCCCAAGCGCAGTCAAAGTTCCAACAACCCATAGACAGTGGCTGAGCTTAATGCCAAAGGCCCTGGATCCGCAGCATACATCGTAGCAAATCTCAGCGTATGTAGACATCCCGGGAAACTATCAACATGTGGTATTCACTCACAATACCAAGTCGAAAGCTGGCACAGACGCTTTGATATCCGCTCTAGAGGCCCGAGAGCCTGCGAAGAAATTACACATCCTCGTGAATAATTCAGGCATCTCGTGGGGAGCGTCTTTCGAAAACGTTCCGGAAAACAAGGGGTGGGATAACGTCATGGCCGTGAACGTGAAAAGCTTGTTTTACTGTGAGTCAAGCCTTGTCTTTCGATGGTTCATTATTGAGTTTCGGTATGCCAAGTGACATCCGGGTGAGCATTATTTCCGTACGTAATGTCTTAAACACTCACGAGCTGGTAGACTATCAACCTGGCTTGCAAAGGATGCGAGCGCATTCGATCCCGGCCGCGTGATTAACATTTCATCAACTGCGAGTGTAACACCTTTTGTGGAAAGTCTGTTAAGCGCAGATGGAAATGGGACATGGAGTTGTGCGTCATCTTGTTATGCGACGTGATAAGCCTGATGATGTCTGTTTTCTTTAAGACGGTGTCAGTAAGGCCGCAGGTAAGAAATGACCAGGTTGTATAGAGCTACGCTGAAAGTCTTCGCAGTGAATCATCTGACATCAATACTGGCTGTCAAGTTGGGACCACAGAAGATCACGTATGTAGAAACTCCAGTTGATACTGTCTAGTCCTGATTTCTCTGTCCGTAGTGTTAACGCGATCTGCCCTGGGTATGTACCTAACATATTTTCTGTTGAATCACGGCTTATTCCCTCAACAGGATATTCCCCACAAAGATGACGTCCTTCGCATTCAAGACCGTAGGCGGAGAAAAAATCGCATCCGGACAACCCATGGGTCGCGTTGGCCACCCTTCGGACCTCGCTGGTCTAGCACTCTTCCTTGCGTCTCCTGCCAGTGCGCATGTCACAGGCGCGCATATCCTTCTTGACGGTGGTGCAACATTATCAAGTCAAGGAATTGCACCGAAGGTTAAACTATGATTTATCACTGTACAGAACGCTTAGTTCATAAGAGAGTGAATTGAACGACACAGCATGACGTGGTGGACAACATGCCGGCGGTTATGCGTGCTTAGATATATTAGATGCAATAATGGTTGTATCATCACGGGATGTAAGATGATGGGATAGACTGGGATAGATTGTCGTAAAGGACGGATATATTAATTATGACCGTCTGTATACTCAAGAGGCACAGTAGATAAAGAGCCATAAGCGATCAGGATAAGCGTTTAGAGTTGTGGTAGTGACGAGGGGTGTAGTAGAGGTGGAGATAGCATGCGGTTGCGAAGATGATTGGGTTTGAGAAGGGCTGCTGGATTACTGCGTGACAATAGAGGACGCGAGCTGCACGTCAACTACTACTGAAGGAAGTTCGACACCTGCACTGCCTGGTCTACCAGAGGGATGATTCCGAATTCAGTGGAAAGGGCGGGGTCAGGATGGGGTAGCATCGTGAGTAAATGGGTGTATGGGTTGTAATAAAGATCAAACACGGCTACGAAGGGTGCTTTCATGCGATCGTGGTGATAGAGGGTGGAAGCAAGACTGAGAACGATGACAATAGTGGATGAGACACAATGAACGACGTATGGTGAATCGTGCAATAACATCCCATGTATACGCGTTGTGGTCATCGCAACCAGTGGCTAGTATTTTTCCGTCTGCCAAAAATCACGCACAGTCCACGAAATACGGGTGGTGGAGTGGCAAACTGGTGGGCCGTTGTCGAGGTTCCATAATTGAGCTGTCTTGTCCAACGATACGCTTGCGAGGATGGAGATATTGCACAAGACTGAGCAAGAGCCAAAAAACAGCTTCCTAGCATATCCTAATCAAGGAATCGGATGACCCCGGATTTAAGCGTTTTTCTATCCGACTGTACCCAGTCTCGATTGAACCGGAAATTGTCTCTGCCTTCTCCATGTCCCACTCTCTTGCAATCCTATCGGATGATCAGCTCACCACTCGCTGATCACCTCGACTCCGGCACACAGACCACATTGTTTGTGTCCCGTGCATTTCCCGATGATTTTTCGATATCCTGCAACCTCACTTCACCATCCACACTTCTGCTAACCACTTTCTTCCCCTCCTGTCCGGAGACAGCACTATTGTCTGCGTTAATCCCCATCCTGCCAGTCCTCCTCTATCTGTTTCCCACTCCTCAAGTTCCACACCCGCACCGAGCCGTCCCTTGAACATGTCATCATCCGCTGCCCGCTTGGAAGATATGTGGCTCCCTCGACCCAATCCGTGTGTCTTTCAAATTTCTGGCTGGATTTTATCGTCGATGTCTCGTTTCTAACTACGGGTGAAGAGATAATGAATTATTGGGCCCAGCTCCATCTCAGCTTTCATCCAAAACAAAGTTCAAATCATCACTAGCGACAATATGTTTCTTAGCAGATCTTGACAATTCACAATGGTCGTATAGGTCAAGAATGCACTAGAAGTTTGAGGTGGTACGTTTTCCATGTAGTTGACTTCACGGCTTACAGCCTGAGCGCCCAACCCTCATTTCTGATCACGCATTCAATCATTCACAATTTTGATCCTCATTTTTTACTGTCAGGCCAATATGACATAGCTATATGTGCGTATGGCTTATATTTCATCCTCTCACCACACAAGAAACCACTCAGAACTTTTGCAATCACTCCTACCAGTCACCATGTTCATTTATCCAGTCCCGCTTTGGGGCCGATGGGCCTACCATTCATCGAGCCTGTAGCTAGCTAGTATATTCTGATTACAGCTCGTCAGCGCCTGTTCACAGCCCATGATGCTGCCTATGTTCATCAGAATGTATATATTTCCGTTGGATCCATGCTCCAACCTTGCCCTTGCTGGAGTTGTGCTCGAGTCTCGCTGCTCACTGAACAGTAATCAGACCAAGACCCGCATCATTCACGCAGCACGTGGTCTTGCTCACCAGATGCAGAGTGCTGAGTACAAGTAGTACACGCTGCTGCATGCTGCAATGATCGTGGGACGCGTCAACAAGCCAGTAAAACTGGGTGCACCAATATAGATCGCACTCGCGAGCACAATATGTAACAAAAAAGAAATGGCATTGCGAACTTGAGTTGATAAATTTTCTGTTGAAATTTCTATCGTCTAACTTGTAACGGAGCATCAACTACACGGGAGTCAAAAGAACCTATGTGTGCACCCGGATTGAAGACATCAGAGCCCCTAGTCGTGCTAAACACTACGAGGGATTTAATTGTCCATCTCCAACGAGCTTTTTATCAGCCGTCTTCGGGACCGTCTCGTCAATGGCTGAAAAGAGCACCCAAAGCGATTCATGTTTAACGGTGAGCGGCATGTTTATTCTCTGTGGTTCTTCGCCTTTGAACTGCAACCCAACGATCACAGAAGCAGGAATGTTGCCAGCTCGTACAGCAGAAAAAGTTGCAGCACGCAAAGAATGACGTTTATCTTTGATTTTTTTTGTTCTGGAATCAGCGACCAGGCGATATCCACAGACGTGGGGATGGCGGAGTACCGTCGAGGCTACTTCACGAAATAGTTTCGAAACCAATCCGAAGGGGGTGAGCTCATAATAATAGAGATAGAGGGCGATCTCTTTCCAAAGCTCAAAAGGCAGCGGTGGACATGTGGTGTTGGATGGCACATCATCACTGCTATCAACTCCCTGAACGAATTTCCTCGTTTTATCACGAAAACGATTGTGGTAGCAAATCTCCACAGCGCGCTCAAAGAGTGCGGGGTCGATGCGAAAGCCAAGGCGAGCGAGGGCAGTGATACCTGGCGTAGAAGGTGAAGATGCGTAGAATGATGGTAGAAACTGGAGGGCGTTTGTGTGACTGAATGTCGTCGTGTGCGCGTCTTTGACGACTTTGACGATTGCACAATGGTAGACGGAGAACGCGATTCCAAAGTATTCACCAGGATTATGCTTCTGCTCCATGATCGCATTGATCAGGCGTGACACAGAAGCCTGTAAGCATCGCTCGTCGTCAAGATGTGTTGCGATGCAGACAACAGTGTCTTCGCGAACCCATGTGAACTCTTTTCTTTTCGGCTCGAGATGGTAAATATGACTGATATTGTCGTATATCTGAGGAACAAACGTGATGCTGGCCATGAAGCATGCAATTGACCACTGATCGTCCATGAGTTGGCTGTGATCAAATAAAAGCTCGATATCGTAGACGTGCTTGGCAATGGCTCGGCTAACCATGCACTGCCCAATCATGACCTCTAGCAACGAGATTCGAATACGTTCATCTGGAGATGGGAAGTCACTAATGGCGAGCAGGTCGCTCAAAGCCACATGAGATCCAGTGCACGTAAAAGATTGGTACGTTGCGATGCCAGAATCATTGACGGTCGGTGGTGTTGGCCTCTTGTACCTGTGCTCAGGGGGGCATCGTGATGCGCAAGCTAGGTTGCCGTAATGGTCTTCGGAAACGTACTCAGTAAAATCATACGTCGACGGAAGGCATTCTAAGGAGAAAAAAGGCATCCCGTTTATGTGGAAGATGTTGCGATCAAGATCTACTTCATAGATCCATTCGATGAAGATGTCATTTTTAGGTCGCACCCGGGATGGGGGCGAGAAATCATCACCGCCTTCTATGATTATGAGAGAATCTGATAGACTTTGCACCCCGTCCAGTATCTCTCCCAACACCTGCCGATAGGTCGCGATGGCATTGTGATGTTGCATGGTCTCGAGCACATTTACGCCAAGCCCTTCTGGATAGCTATCAGAATTGTGGTATTGAGCGAAATAAATGTTCCGATAGCGGAGCACGTAGTATCCGCGAGTTCCCATGCCTGTACTGAGACCTAGATGATAGTCTCAAGCGTTGATCGATTGATCAATGTGCGATCTGTTAGGAGTAGAACCTAAAAGACGGGTCTCGGTGGTGAAAGGACCACTATGAATATTGAGTCTAGAGATAGATACAGCCTGTATGAGCTAGTGTGAAAACTGAATAAAAACTAACATACCTCAACGTTGGTGAAAGGACCGCTGAGGTACAAACAGTGTGATACAACGAGATTTAATAGGGGACGAAGGCCGCTGTCCACTTTCGCTGTTTTAAAGCAGATGTTATATAAGTAAATCACACCCCTGTCCTAAAATCAATCCTAGCAATTATTAAGAGGTTTCAAGTCCTGAGTCTCAAAACGCACATGAAATCAACATCCAGTGTGCGGGAACAAAATTTGAGCTTACAATAAATCATGACTGCTCGATTTTCCAAAAGTTGATTCAATTCATAGGGTGACGTAATGAAATGGCAGTAGTCAATCACGGTTCAGGGCCACCAGCTGCCGTTGAACATCTAGCAAGAAGGCTGACATCGGAATCGGCAAGATCAGGTTGTTGCGTTCAAGCGTCACGTCGTGATCGCCAAGCGAGTACCAGTATTTCTGCGAAACCTGGAACCAAAAGTTCCTTATATTTCGTAGATAGGCCAAGAGTTGAGCAACAGAACACATAATCAGCATAGTAAATGAAACATAGATGCATGTATGTACTCTATCTCCGTTTCGACCCAGAATTTTGCTTCCACTGCTGCCAGCCTGATCTCGTTTGAGGAACAGCAGGCGGCGGAACCGCAACCTTTAGACTGGTTGATGTAGGTGGAGCAGCTACTGCTGGAGGCGCGGGTTGGGAAAACGTCGGCGCAAAAGCAGAACTTTGGTCGCGTCTCTTAGAATCTGAGACGGGCGCAGTAGGTCCCCAGCCGCCTGTTGTGGGAGGCAAGGGAGGTGGCCCACTGGGCGGAGGCATGCAGGGAGGGAGAGGTACGCTAGGTGGACGCACAATTGCTGGCGGGGTTGGAGGTCGACCGCCTAGAGGGAACGCATTCATAGGAGTAACTGGAGGATGAGGCGGTGTTACATAGGGTGGCGGAGGTGGTGGCGCTGCAGTATTGTCGGGAGGAGGCGGTCTGACGGACTGAGAGCTACCGACATCAAGAGATGTCCAGCCACCAGTGCGAAATGTTGGCGTAGCTGCGCTAAAAGAGGTTGGAGGCGGACTAGCCACTGGCGGTGGCGGAAGTGGTGCGAGAGGCGCAGAGGACGCATTGGAATCCAAAGATGCCCAACCTGACCGCTTGAAACCGGTCACAGGCTCAACTGGTGCTGATACGGTTGCCCAGCCAACTTTCTTCAAGTTGCTTGATTGAGCCTCAGATGGAAGTGACGCCTCTGCAGCAGCAGAGGCGAGTGCAGGAGGAACGATGGCTGGTGTAGCTGTAGGTTTTGCCATCTTTATCCCAGCAGCCTTGGCAATTTTGCGAAGCTCCTTTTCTTCTCGCTTGCGCTCTTTCTCCTTACGCTTATCGACATCTTCTTGGGTAGTCATACGTGTGTTGGCTTGCATATCCCGGAGGCGTGCCTTGTGGTGATGCGCGTACGAGTTTGTGTGTTCATCATACTGCGCGACATTTTGAAATTGCTTCTCACAAAGCGCACAGTAGAACGGTTTGAGGGTGTCTGAAATTTCCGACTTGAGTGCAGCCCGACGGGCGGCATCGTCCTGAAACGAGATTAGTACGCTCTGCTCTGTTATATCGTTAGCACGTTTGGGCTCGCCTCTCGTGCTTTTCTTTGATACCCGGTTTCCTTTCGTTGTCGCTCAGAGTCCAACTTGCGCCTTTCCGCAACTGTTGTCTCGATCATTCGAAAATCTTGAGTCGTTTTTCCTAGACCAGTCAAATCATTTTTCACATGAAATGGTATAGGATCGACGCGCGCTGCAGCAGAAGGATTAGCGATATAGTTCACGACAGGAATGATTGAACGTGCCATCTGCAGATAGTCCCAACGGTTGACCCTCTGACCAACCAAGTTTTGCGAGCATCGCAAAGCCCTTGTTGGTGCTTTTGATCTTGGTCTCGATGGTGATAACCTCCCTTTCTGGACCGCGGACATATTCGTCATATTTTTCAATGTCCATTACATCGGGAGTAGGCGACGGTGACCTTGAGACTAGCGAGACGCCGTCGTCGTCGTCGTCATCAACATCTTGGTGAGAGCGCTGGGATGGATGCACGGGAGGGCAGTAGGGGTGTTTTATTCGTGCCAGAAAATATGGCAGAGTACCTTCATAGAATTCGTTTGGTTTTGCACAAATTGTGCTTGTTCTTGAGTGTCTGTATCAGGTCGAGACATGGGAATTGCATTCCAGCGAGCTATGCTCTGAGCAGACATGGTGAGAGAAGTAGCAGACGATGAAAGTGCTCGGACCAACGCATCAACCGCGTTTCAAATATACATAATACAGTGACCCCTCCATGGGAGGTGCAATCTGTTCAAAAAGTCATATGTATGATTCCGTCACGTGACATCTATAACTTTTCCTTCATCATGATTGATGCGGCAGAGCTCATACCCTTTCAATGACAACACCCTTGTCCGCCCAGTCTTTTGTTAGGCTCCTAAAAGCCCCCACAGATCCACCTAATCCAGGGAGCCCACCAAAAATCCAAATCGCTTGTGCAGCATGGGATGATGCTACTCTTCACATTCCAAATAAGCACGAACTCATCGCCGAGTTCATACTCACCCGACTGCTCAAAGACAAATCAAAAACCAGGTGTGTCAGCTTATGCGGAGTGCAGCCATTTTTTATGACAACCGATGAATCAGCGACAATCCGGTAATTGATGCGCGATACTGGTCCCTTCTTCGTAAGGTTTTGGTATTAGATGGCAGCGAAGGGGCAGGTGCACGCGGCCTGAAAGTCTGGCTTGGCTCTCTTCTTAATCGCACACCGCTTGCACCAATTATAATCTCGATTCTTACTCTCCTAGGCGAAGCTGCCAGTTACAAAGGCGAAAGAGCTCCTTGTACTCGTGTGTCCGTGCTTCTCTGTCCTGTGGCCGTTAAGTGTCCACAAAATTGGCGTGGAGACGTTATTAGAGTGCCTGGGTGCTATACTGAACGTTCCTGCTGAGCTGGTTAACGATGAGATATTGGGAGATATGTGTGACACAGTCGTATTTTCGTATAGAGAAGCACTAGGAAATGCTGGGAACAAAAAGAAGGTGCGCAGTACCAGTATTTTTTTATGTGGCGAAAAAAAACTTAAGACATTTGCATAGCTACCCGCGACCTTCCTCCAATATCATCTCTCATCCTGGATTCATGCAATCTCGTCATCATCCCATCTATCTCCACAGTTGAATAAAACAATATACGCCGCAGGGAACGGAGACTCTCTTCTCTCTCGACGCGCTTCGTGCATCCTCCTCATCTGAGAGCTTATTCACGGCCCTAACTTCTTTGTCCAACTCATCATCCACAATAAATGCTGCCATCCCGCTCCTACCTCGCCTCTTCAGCACCCATACGCACTTCCTACGGCGGTACCGCACTAGTTTATTCCCTGCTTCCCAGAATAACATACAGAGCCGTGAAAACGACATGAGAATGTCATCCATGGCATTCTTCGCGTCGTGCCTCAAGTTATTAGCCGAGAACGAACTGAGCTGGGATGCAAGAGTGGGTTTGGTCAGTGTTATCGAGAGCGAGCGCATTTACGCGAGTCAAGGTGCGGGAGAGGTGGAGGCAGTCAGAGAGGATGCAGTGCGGATATTGGAGGAGGAGGAAGCGGAGGAAGAGGTGGTACGTTTGGCTTTGGACGTGCTGGCTGCACTCGCGAGAATGGACTATGATGTAATTGAACCTGTAGCAGGAAGGGTACTTCCTCGGTTGATATTGGTAAGCTTTGCGCTTCGTTTGTCTTTTTTCTGCAAATCAATGCGTCCGCCATTCCTGATGATTCTTTCTTCAGACTCGCCCATCTTCCTCCATACACAAATCAGCCAACGTACTTCTTGACATCTTCCTCGATTTTCACTCCAAGACGCGCACGTTACACGCATACATTCATGCGCTCTTTGATGCCTGTACCTCTCTTCCTTCCATCAGATCCCTTGCGTCACCACAAGAATTATACAGCTGTGGACGTACCTCTGCTATCCTCTCACCTACCCACCTTTGCTCACTCGCGCAAGCATTCCGCACATTCCTCACACCTACCCAAGTAAAAGAGGCAGCTCAGATTACCCTGACTCTCAAAAACACTTTTAATACCTACCAACACCTTTCCTCACTCATAAAAACTAGCGAGATTCAAGACAGGCCCCGTAAAAAGCAACGAAAAAACGACCCTGCCCCGTCATCTGCGAGTCCAGCGCCCTCGCAGGCCATGTGGGAAGTAGATGTTCATGCACTTTCACTTTCCCTCACTCTCAAGTTTGCGGCTTTATTCCTGTTGAATCTCCCATCCTCATTCGTCACCGCGGAGGTCCGCGAGGCTTTGCTTGAGGCGAGCGTATGGGCCATGGAGGCCGCTCGCTCGCTTCTTTGTAACAAGACTTCTAAAATTTCCTGGGGAGACCAAGTGACAAGTGCTGCGTTTCTTCGTTTTGCGTATCATCTGCTGGCTTGGAAGTGCGACAGACAACTGGGAGATATCCGAGGACTATTGGGGGTTGCCAAAATGGAAGAGGGTGCGGAGGGCGAGTTAGTGCTTGAAATCGTGTGTCTTCCTCCTCTCTTTTGTTGGAAGGGCCTGATTGGGTTTTTTAGTTGCGATTTCTCTTTGCGTGGTCTTCTAGATCGGACACTGATGTAGAAGTGGAAACTGTGTTGGATTTTGCCCTGGCGTATATCGAGGCACGAGTGGAGAACATGGACGGCTTGATGGTACTCTACCTAATCGTCGAGCGGTGGTTAGATCTTGTGGAGTACGTGCTATCTCTTTGATTCCTCTTTGTGGTTCTATTGATTGATGTACACCTCAACCATGCAGTGCTCGAGGGTCTAAATCTTCCCTCGATCGCCTGATCGGACTTATATTCTCTATTTCGCCCATGTCTACGTGTCACCCGGATGTGCGGGGCTTGCAGCCAAAAGATGTTCTCTGGGGTGTCTTGCACAATGCACAGTTTTGGGAGATGGGCAATATACGAGGTAAGATAATCCGTTGCTCTGATTCCTCGTAGTGTTTTCATTTTTCCATATTGATACTTACCACTCAACGACAACAGTTTCCGTTCTTGCATACCTCACATCCTCGCCTAATTCTATGACAGGTTCGGCATTGAATCAGCTCAGCAACACTTACTGCATCCTCTTATATGTTCCCCCTGAGTACCTCACTAAACAAGCTCGCGTGGAACTGGTGCACCGGGCAATGGAGGGGGATGTCACTATTTCGTCGTTGCTGTATGCGATCACCGCAGAGAACACAACAAAGGGCAAACGTAAGCGTGACGAAGGAAGGGACCTGGAAGATGTGAGGCAAACGCTCATGCACATACGTGTATTCCTTCAACGGATGGGGAAACTCGGGTATCTAAACATGTCTGATCACGGAGTATGTCTTCATGGGCTTTCTTTAGTTCTGGCTGACGTGTGCTTGTAGAGCGCCAGGGACTATGTGCAGCACCTTATGAGCATGGTGTCAGATAATGCGGTGTTGAAAGAGGCCACAATAAATCTTGTGGAACTTTATATTGCGTATGTCTTCCCGCTGTTCCTCTGTAAGGTTACCGACCCCCGAACAGTGCGCTCCTGCGAGCATCAGATAAAGACCCTTCCGCCTCAGCTGCGTGTGCTTCGATCTTCTGCTCTCTCGCGCAGTCTGGTTCTCTTAGTGAAGAGAGCGTTCCCCGTTTATGTGTGCTCCAGCTTGTTGAGCGTCTCAGACAGAATTTTTCTGTTTCCAGGTGCGTCCATTCGTCATTCTGTATAAATGCAAGTTCCTCTGATAATGCCGATAGTCTTCCCGACTTGATAATTGCATCAATGAAAGAACTGCACGTTGCACTATCTCGAGTTTCACACCCTAACGTCATCGACGCACTCCCCACGAGCGGGACTATCAAAGTATGGGCAAGCCATCTTTCATTTGGTCATTGGTTAGGCGTTGCCAGTAAGCATTCAAGCATCCTTGATTTCGGTAGCGCTAACTTGTTTTGTTTTCTCAGCCACTTCAAGTTCTGGGTATGGTCAACATGCTGCAGCCAACCTCTTGCGAAACAGAGAAAAATGCAAGTTTTCTGCAGAAATACTGGGTCTTCTTTTTGAGGAACTGCGTTGTTTGCCTAATGTCGACCGCAGGATGCATCTTGACCTTGCAGTAGGAGTATCTATATTTTCTACGGAAGCCGGTGGGTTGTTTTTGTCAGTTCGGGTCCATTGGTCGAACTAAGTTGAGGTCAACGTAGGAGACATCAAATCCTTGGATGAAGTCGTCTCAAGCGGATGCAAGCATCTTTCAGTCGACGACTTCTCACACCTATTGGACACAATATATGAAGCACTTGAAAGCACGCGATTTCCTCCGACTCAATGCGTGCGTCTAGTGCATGTAGCCACTGTCTTTTTACATGATGCACCTCAAGGTAGATGTCATAGCTTCCAATATTTCTGAACACCTTTCTTACTCTGTCGTAGGGACTTTGAAGGTCGTTCAGGGGTTTTTCAGTCAGTGTTTGAACCTCTTTATTGGACACACACATTTCTTCGCGGATCATGTGGTATTGAAGTTAGCTTGCCTTGAGTTTGTGGCTCGGCAATGTTCAGATAGGGTGCGTCGTAGTCTATTTTATCATCGATCCTAATTTGACGCTTCATTCCAGCCTGCAGCTCTTCGCCCTGTCGACCCCGGTCCCATCCATGTCCTGCTCTCTAAGATCCTTCGTGGGTCTCCAACACATGACAGTACCACCACACCCGCGGTCTTCCACGCCTCCACCGCAATCCTAAACGCACTCGTTCGGCTGCGGCGCGATCTTGTCATCCACATTCTGCCTCATCTGGGAATGGTCCTCCGCCAACTGGTCTCATGCACACGCAGTTTACGGCCCCAGCTAGCTGCAAAGCAGAGTCGCATCGTCACCGACACCCTCCCATCGTGGATAGCACCATCTGAGCCCATGGGTGTGCCAGAAGCTCGTGCACTTGCACGGCTCTTCACCTCTTTGACGACAAAGAGTGTTCCCCGCGTGCACGTGCAGCCCAATGCAGAGCAGAAGGCAGAGAGCCTGTCCAAATCGTTTGCTAAACATGCTGCTTATGTGCTTACTGCGCACATTGACGCTGTGAACGACCCGTTGTGCGTCATACGGGCGGATGTGAGGCGTGAGCTTGAGCCAGGCCTGTTTTCGTTGTGCGAGATGATGGGTACGCACAGTCGTGATGCTGTTATGGTGAGCGCCTTAGACGCGAGTGGGAAGAGCGTGTTGAAGGCACTCTGGAAGCAATATGAAAAACAACGCTATATTGGGAAGGGGTAGAGCTTCACATTTATATCGGATTCATATATACATATTGTCGATCTATCTACTTGCATCGATTCTCTTCACATCTACGCTGGTCTAACGGCCTTGACGTACACATCTCTGAACAAGGTTTTCTTCTTAGGCGGCGCATTCTCGGGTTTCCATCCCGCAGCAGTCTTCTCTTCTTTGAGCGTGCGCAGGAGCCCTAGGAAGTCTTCTATCGCTTGAGGCGATGTCTGAATGTGCATCAGAAGGCGAGACCCATTCAGCTTAATGGGATCAGGAAGTTGTGCGGCCCGCTCGACTACTTCCCAGTATTCAACCCCGATAGGCGAAGGGTCATAGAACAACTGATAGAAGGTCACTATCGATTTCATGCGGCATTCTCTAACTTTATTAGAGTACCACCCACCATGCAAGTTTCAGCGGGACTCAAAATGCCAACGCCGAGCTGTTCTAGGCCCTGCTGCATCCGCTTTGCAAGGGCGTGCACACGAGGGAGCATAGGGAAATTGTAAGTGAGTGCGTAGGCAGCGCAGCCAGCCATGTACCCAGTCTGGCGCATACCCCCACCAAAGAGCTTTCGGAACCATCGCGCCTTGGTTATAAATGGCTTTGAGCCAACTAGTATAGTTCCGATGGGTGCACCTAGGCAAGTTGGTGAGCATCGTCAACGACAAAATGTCACTGAGCATGTCTTACCAAGTCCCTTGCTGAGACATAAGCTCACAGACTCAAATGGATCACAGAGCTCTTTCATGGACAATCCGGTTTCTGCTGCAACATGCCAGATGCGCGCACCGTCGAGGTGCATGATGATACCCCGACTACGTGCGTTCTTCGAAATTTCAATCACGTCGTCCTGTGGAATGATGGTTCCGTTCAATGTATTCTCAAGCGCTATGATGCGCGTTGGGGCACTTCAACGGCGGCGTCACTAGAGCGGTCGAGCGACATTTATTTTGGCACTTACACATGGACGTCTGTACCAGATACGATACGAGGTTCGATGTCCTCCCAGGTAAGATGATGTTCTGGTCATAAGCATTAAATAATTTGAAATACGGGTTTAAATTGGAGATAACATACCGTTAGCGGGAATAATTGGGATACTGTTGGCACCTGAGTGAAAAGCGGCGCCACCAGCTTCCATGCTAGCAAGCGTTGAAGAAATATTTCTTGAGAGACAAGCAAGCTTACCGGTATATATGGGCCTGTGCATCTGTGATGACTGAATACGGAGGCTGCTGTAAGTGAGTCCTGAGGGCAACTTGATTTGACATTGTGCCCGTGGGTAGAAAGAGGCCTGCTTCTTTTCCGGTGATCTTCGCAACGTGAGTTTCAAGCAAGGCGGTGGATGGCTCGAAGTATACATCGTCCCCGAGGGACGCACGGAGAGCATAGGCATTCATCTCCTCAGTCGGTACTAATCACAATAATATCCCATTAGTGTGGATTCGTGTTCCATATTGAAATAGAATACCTGTGATAGTGTCCGCTGGAGATGCTCTGTGAAACAAATCCCTCATGCAATGGTGCAAACCACTCACACACAAATGTCCTCGAAATTTCTTGGACCTTGATGATGTTGTCATCATCTTGAGTCTTGGTATGCACGTCGCAAGCAATTTCCTGCGCGATTTCAGCGAAACGGTCGTCTGTGAGGGAAGGCATTTGTCAATGAGATATTGGAGGACTGTGCCATATCTCTGGTATTTATATTATGTTGTCCTGCTGACTTGCGGAACTCCGGTGCGTAGGCGGATGATCCAATTATCTAAACCTACTTAGTCAATATTGGATAATGAACTTGAACATTACCGTTTAATTTCCTTTATGTTGGTACAGACTCGGAAATCAGAGAACGATTCATCTGCTATCGTGGTGCATGGCCCCCACAGATACTATGGCCAGTCACAACAATATTATTGATACTGCTAAACATGACATAGGTGCTATCTAGCAGTAAGTTAGTATGGTTTTGCTGTTGCAGTTGTATTGATGGCTTACATATATCTTGAAGCACCGCCTGTGCTGGCCTTACCCCAGTGTTGGACTACATGTTGATTGTGACACCAACACATATGCTCGCCTCACCCCAATCACGTGTAATGAAAGAGAGTTTGCAAACTTAGCCACTGGCGCTTAAGCTAGTAAGCTTTAAGGCTGGTCTATTTTCGAGTAAATAAACATAAACACAATAGGTAGACGTACGATGAACGGCTTAGTTTTAACAGTTTACTAGTGGATGTATCCCAATTTTAGGCCTATCATCAAGTGTATTGGATCATTTCCGGCTTGGTGATACAGATATTAGTATTTTCATTTGAAAGGTTGAAAATCAACTAAATAATTTAGAGGTGATTGGTTCCTACTAGTACGCAGTGAAGCTCATGTGTCATGACGTGATGAACAGTTTGTAGCTATACTGGTATCGATTTTATAAACGGGTCACCGGGGATGGGTATCCTACACCTCATTCGAAATTGCTAGTACACTGCTGATTAACAAGGACAGCAGGCGTCACACTTGATGTGTTGAATCATGTAGAGGGTCTCGTAGTCTTGACGTACAAGTTCTTCATCCCGTCTGAGTCCGCTGGTAAGGGAACAGTATCTGCTTGGACCTTCTCCTCCTTCAGAGTTTTGATCAATGACAAGAAATCTTCCACTGCCTCGGGGGACGTTTGGATATGTACCACTAGACGAGAGCCCATAAGACTAATGGGATGCGGTAATGCAGCCGCACGTTCTATGATTTCCCAGTACTCGACACCGATGGTGGAGGGATCATAAAAGACCTATTTCGCACCATAAGTTAAGATCTGGAAACAATCAATGGGACTTACCATGCAAGTCTCTGCAGGACTCGATATGCCGACCTGAAGCTCTTCTAAACCAGCTTGTAGGCGCTTTGCTAGAGCATGAACCCTAGGAAGGAGAGAGAAATTATGGGTGAGTGCATAAGCGACCGATCCAGCGATAACACCAATCTGGCGCATCCCCCCGCCAAAAATCTTCCGGAACCAGCGCGCTTTCTGTATAAATGCCTTTGAACCGACGAGACATGTCCCCACAGGGGCACCTGCAGCGAGTCAGTCTCTACTCGTAGGTACAATGCCGATACCGACCTAGACCCTTGCTGAAGCACAAACTGACTGAGTCAAATGGTGCGCAGAGTTCATCGATAGGTGTCTGAGTTTCAGCGGCGACATGCCACAGACGTGCACCATCAAGATGCATCAGTATGCCATTCTTGTGAGCAAAATCAGCGATCTCAATTATGTCGCTTTGCGGCATGATCGTGCCATTCAGCGTATTTTCCAGGCAAATGATTCGCGTCGGTGCACTGACGACCATTGAGAAAAATCCTTGACATGCGGAACCTCCATACCTGTGTATGTCAGAGCCGAACACTACATGAGGTTCGATGTCCTTCAGAGTCAAATGGTGCCCTGCACAAATGTTAATAATAGAGTGTGCGACCGCATAATCATGTGCATGCCATTTTTAGGTGTCAAAGCGTTCTGGAGAGCACCCGAGTGGATTGCCGCGCCGCCAGCCTCGTAACTAGGGCAAGTCAGCCACCAGGTCACGATGGACGAAGCAACGGCCCGAACTTATTGATATGCGCCCGGACGTCACAAATGATGGAATTGGGAGGCTGTTGGAGATGCGTGCGGATAGCAAGCTGGTTGCCCATGGTCCCGCTGCTTACGAAGAGAGCAGCTTCCTTCCCTGTGAGTTTAGCGATGTGTGCCTCAAGGGCAATCGTAGATGGCTCGTTGAAGACGTCATCACCGATTGAAGCCTGTGTGGCGTACGCGAACATCTCCTTCGTGGGCACTGAACGATGTTCTATTCAGGCAAATTGCAATGAAAGTGGAGAACACACCTGTAATAGTATCGGCTACCGTTTCTTCAGTTAAATAAATTCTCCATTCTCCATTTGAACTTACATATAAAACTCCTGGAAACTTCTTCCAGTTGTCTCGCATTGTCGCGCTGCTGAGTAGGAGTGATGATGTCTACTTTGACCTGCTCAATGATCGCCGCCAGTTTAGGATCCATTTTGAAGAGGGAAGGTGGTATGCGGGAAGAGAAGTGAAGGTTATGATGGCAAGAGTGTCGCACCCTGGACACTATTCTGATGGGCCAGGCTTGGGGAAGAACGACTCGAGTCTGGTTGCAATGACTCCGCTTGGTCGAACTTGAAACTTGTTATTTATTATCCGCATATATGTCTCTCGGGACTCCGCTTACCAACACTGGTGCGAAACCAGGCCTAGGCCATGGCCATGATTCTACGATAAACGAGATAACGGAGATAAGAATATTTAAGTCCATCAGACGACTTACGTAAACCATGTGTTTGTCCTGTTGTCGAGCTCCACCCGCAAAGTTATACCAGTTCTGTTTCGCTTTTCTTTCCTGACTTTCCGTACCAGCTCTCGGTCTCCGTTTTTTTCAGTATCTTAGCTTGACCATGGGAAACGTGGGTCATCTCCAGTTTGCAGGAATGAGTGATCTTAGCCCACTAACAAGCCTCCAGGGCGCCAAAGCTGCACAAAAGCGTGAACGCAATGCTTCAAAAAACGCAGACAAAGGGCCTACAAGTAGGACCAAGGTTAATGAAGCGGCAAAGAACATTGTTTGCCAGACTTGCAGACAGACCTTTGTAAGTCATTGGTCATAAATTCTGCCTATCACTCTAATCGATTCCATCATCTCAGTTGCTCACCACCCGTGCACCAGCGTAAGTGTCCTTTTTCATCAAATGAGAATATGGGGAGAAGCATTTTGTACTGATAGTGTACATGCATGCATTTCAGGCTAGAGGAGCACGCCCAGAACAGACACTCAAAGACATTGGCGGAATGTTTCCCAAACTTTACCAAGTAGGATGCGTCCGATACATGTTTGTCTAATGGGTGGGATGTGAATGGTTGTGCACCAATGCATTACGTTGTAGAACAAGTTAAAACTCTGAAGAAAGAGTAAGCGAGGTGAGAAAGAAAAAGTCAAGTGACTAACTCACATCATAACTATCCATAAATGTCCTCGCCTGGTGATGCTCATAGCGAGAAGCTTGTTGAACCCGTAGCCTGTGCACTTGCTCCCGCGCTCTGCATCTTTTCTCCGACCTTCTTGTTAACTTCGAAGAACTTTGCCACACATCTATCAATGCAGACGCTCTCGCCCTTGTTGAGGTCTCCTTCGGCATAGCGAGGACTGATGCACTTGGCATGACATGAACTACACCCCGCGTGAAATAAGTCAAGGCCACATAAATTGTGAAAAACTGTCACGGACGAAACAATACGGTTAAATACGTCTGATACCATGTCGATTCTATGGCCTGAGAGTCAGCTGCAATAGTTTGGGGGAATTTCACGGGAGCTCACGCACTCGTTTATGGCCATTTCAACGCGTTCATGGTTGACACCGCCGGCTGGTGAAGGGCCACCACGTCCAAGGAAAGACATATTAGCAAAGAACAAGAAATTCAAGTGAAATCGAAAGCAAGAATTTTGGAGGACTCAGAGGTTCAAGTAAATCACGAAAATGTATAAGGAGCAAAATATGAAGCGTGGCCACGTGGTTGAAAGGATGCATCCAAGAAAGGCAATGAAGAAAAATGTACAAGGTCGAGGCATATCCAACAACCAGACCAAGTTGACAGAAGGAAGACTGAGGCTCGCGCCATGGCAAAACCTGTCGCTGTCCACCGTTGTAGATTTGTCGACTATGCGCCATCGCCGATCACAGCTCTCGCGTTTCCTCCGCTACCATTACCATCTCTCAAAGGTAAGAAACGGGAAAGGCATTCACTAGTGAAAGATAAGTTCGGCACACTTGGTGTCGGCCATGCCAATGGCAACATCGACCTTCTCGAGTGGACTGCAGAGGAGGGAGAGATCCAGGCACCTCAAGCTTGGCAACTGCGCAAGGTGAGCACTTTGTGTTGTTATTTGATACAATAATTGAAGTTGCATTTAGACTCTTCCAGGTCCATGCCCATCAAAAGTAGATTCGCTAGCTTTTACTCTACGCTATCCGGACATATTTCCATCTGACACCGTACCTTCGTGCTCTGATCTTCGTCTCTTCAGCTCAGGTGGTGGGTCTGAACTGCTGGAATGGAACATATCTCACAGCTGTGTTCGCGTACGATGCTCTTACTTTTTATAGTCAGCACCAAACTCACATTGAACTATAGAGAACTATTAGCTCCCAGGGAGGTGCCATCTGGAGCATCGCAGCTAATCCTGCCTCAACACTACTTGCCCTGGGTTGCGAAGATGGGTCTGTTCGCTTGCTATCCCTAGTTGCGGATACTTTGCAGCATCACAGGCGATTCGATCGCATAAAAAGTCGCATACTGAGCATTGCTTGGGGTCCGCCAAAACCTCGAGCGCCAAAACAGCGGACGGCGAAGAAGACTGACAATGGAACGGATAGTGATGAAGACAGCGATGACGATGAAGACGAATGGACAGACACATGGCTCGTCACTGGTGGCTCAGATAGCAGCTTGCGGAAGTGGGATATCGCTACTGGCAGATCGACTGACCGTATGGGGACAGACAAGGTGAAGGGTGAACGGACACTTGTCTGGACAGTCGGCGTGCTTGCGTGAGTGCACGCGCAAAATGCTTCATGTTTTCGACTCAACCAATTTGACGCAGCGATGGGACCATTGTTTCTGGGGATTCTTTGGGTACAGTAAAGTTCTGGGACTCCATGACTTGCACGCAAACCTGCAGCTATCCGGCGCACGGAGCTGACGTGCTTTGCCTTGCAATTGGTCCCGTAAGTTTATTGATACGATATTCTTCTGTGACTAAACTTGCCGTATTACAGGAAGGCACATCCGTATTCACCTCTGGTGTTGACCAAAAAATTGTGTTGTTCTCATATGTTCCCACCGGTCCAGAAAATTCTTCTTCTGTGTTGTCCTCCGCCCCAGCGCGATGGATTCAGTCTGGCTCACGTCGTGTGCACTCTCACGACGTCCGGTCTCTTGCGGTCTGGCCACCTTACTCCCCCATACCCCTTTCTTACAAGCAAAAGCCCTCTGCAAATGTGACATACGTCGCACCTGTCCTAGCTTCTGGAGGCCTGGACATGTCTATTGCCCTCACGCCTGCGCTACCAGCCAACATGACTTCATCTGCCATTGCTCCTCGCATTGTCAACCCTCTCACAACAAGAGTCACCGCGACTTTCGAGGATTCATACTATCGTCGCATCGCATACACCTCAGGAATGTGTATTTCTCGCAGAGCGCGCCTTGTGGCAAGCATGCATGAGACAGGCGTCAATATATGGCGAGTTCTAGGCATTCCAGACTCGGATGTGATCGTGGATGGCGTTGATCCATCAACTGATCCTGAAACGCGGACTTCTTGGGAAAAAGTTCTCGAGATGGATCTCAACGTGCGCACAAATATCATTGCCAGCGCGTTGTCCGATGATGGGCGTTGGCTTGTCGTGTCCGACCTGTACGAGGCCAAGCTTTTCCAGCTCAGCCTCAATGTGAGCAGTGCAGAAATTAATCATGTAGATGTTTTACCTAATTTACCTTACTTCAGCCTGCTGGTGTCCTCAAAGCGAACCGGGTGCGGACATTTGCATCAATATTGGAGAATCGAATCAATGTTCAAAGCTCTCAAAATCCTGTCTCGACCGGTGGATCATCATTTACATTCACCCCAGACTCCTCAAAATTGATCATGGCCTCTGCAATAACGTCGCTCATCCTCGTTATCGATCTCAGCTCGGAAGCGCCCAGCGTACTTCGGACATTCAATCAACATTGCAACGCTGGGTCGATCACAAGTGGTAGAGTAGTGCGAGGAATTAATAAAGGAATCTCAGATGAGGGCGAACAGTCGGTTGGTGGTATAGATTCTGTTGCTATCATGAAGATGGCAGTGAGTCCTGACGGCCAGTGGTTGGCCACATCCGACGACCTTTGCCGAATATTCATCTTCAATCTCGATTCCATACAAGTGAGTTTGATTCATTGCCAAAATGTAGCGTAGAGCTGATCTGTGCTAGTACCACACTACTTTGCCGTCGCTTCCTCTCCCACCCAGCGTCCTGGTTTTCCTCCCTAACAACCCGCAAATCCTCCTTGCCGTTCTCCCCAACAACACAATCCACATCTTCCACGTAGAACTCGGCGAAGTGCCATCATGGGGACGGGAGTTCAACTCTCGTCTTCCAACGCAGTTCCTCAGCGCCCCGGATCCAGTTATCGGAGTCGCGTTTGAACCCCTTCCTTCCCCGTCTGATGATGAAATGACGGGTATCGCACCTCCCTCAACCAAGCCCAAGGAAGCTATCTTTTGGGGGTCCTCGTGGCTTTGCAAGCTCGAATTGGACTGGGAAGGCAAGTACACTGGCCAGTCACGGAAACGCCGCAGGCAGACCGGCCCGGTCGCAGTAGGAGAAATGGCTAGTGAAAGGAAGTTGCGGATGGTGACGAATTATCGCCCCATCTTGGCACTCGATTTCCTTGGGCCTGGGGAACTGGTGTTGGTGGAACGGCCGCTGGCAGATGTGCTGGTAAAATTGCCCCCAGCATTCTTTAAGCCGAAATATGGGCAGACTTAAAATCCAGTACATCTGGCGATGCTTGTACCCAAAATGTACCCTAAGCGTGATATGCTACAATATGCAATGAATAGCATTGGAACGTGTGCGACTACATCTCAGAAATATAACAAGGAGCAGGTAAAGACAACATTAGGTCAGATATGAAAATGATGATGAGATCTATGTACAATGTGAACGTGATATTACCCAGGATTTACCGATAACCAGTTTTGGAGTCGTCTAACACACTGTTGCTTGCAGTGCTGCTTCTCTATCTTGCCTTTCGTCTACCCTGTGTGGTGGCTTGGCATTCAATGTGGACAAGTATAACGTCCAGAAGACACCACAGGTGGACTGGAAAGGTATTCTATATGGCAGTGGCATGTATCGGAAATTAATCATCTGTGAGAAACCAAGTTCAACATCAACGAACAGTTACTAGTGTCCTTGAACTTACTTGCGCTATAGGCCAAACCTTCCAGTTGGTTAGAAGAGCGGGAGTAAACATGTCAGTATATTTTTGGTGTATTTGCCTGGGACTTCGACATTCCATCACACCCATGGAGCCTATAAACAACACGAGCTATGTAGCACGCGTATGAGCCCATGCTTCAATGTAGCGATCAAAAATCTGATTCTTACCCCAATCGGTGCCCTAGCGATCAAGGCGTCAGCCTACGACGACATCGAATGATGAAAGTCTCACATTATTAGTTGGTCGGCAGCCACCCGTTTTGAAAGAGCTCTGAAACTGATGGGCTGAATTCTCCATGCTCGAAGAGGAAATCGTCTCTCCAAGAACAAATTCCACCTGCCGAGTAGAGGACCTCGCAAGCAAATGATTCAAGGTTTACTCCGATTATCGAAATGCACATGACTTACTCATGCCGCTTCCAAGACAAAAGAAACGCAGTGTACGTGCTGGATCCCAACCGGGTCTGGGCTCATGATCTTTAACAAGCTAGGGGTCCATCATGAGTTGCCCAAGAATGAGATAGAAGATTGAGTATACTCACGATATTCTGCGAAATCTGGGCAACGATATCACCAAGAGCATTCAAGGTTCCGCCAGTGACAGCGAGAGTATAATTCGGGTAAGTATGGTATGCATACTGATAGGCGCGGGCGATAGTGAGAGTGGCCATACAAGACAATGAGGGAGTGCGGCAGGGATAAAAGAAAACTTGAATGGTAGTGGTTATGAGACAAGCTCTAAGTGAGGCCGGCGATGGTGTTCTCTCCACTCATTTTCGCACTTACGAACGACAGCGGAAACTGTGACGCAAATCAAATTGTGTTCCAGAAGTTTCCCTTTTTTGACAGATGAATAGGTGGCTGTAAACACTTTTTAGACAGAAATCAAACCACGTGACCCAGTCGCGTCTGTTGGTCACTTGTTTGTTTTGGTCAACCGCCCGTGCAGACCCATAAATACCCCGCCGTATACATTTCATCTAGTTAATCCCCTCTTGACCGCCAACTTCCACTACCTTTTTCCGTTCATCATCTTACCTTTCACCCGCTGCCCAAGCCATCATGCATTTCTACAATACCATTATCGCTCTCACCGCTCTCACTGCCAGCGTCAGAGCCCTACCACCTCGCAAAGTCACATCGCGCAATGCAATCGGTAACGTTATGACAGGTACAGGCGGGCTAGCACCTGGCGGGTCGATCAACGGTGCAAGCCCAAACTGTACAGACCCCTTAGCGTTGGGGAATTTTATATGCGATGGCGGTCTCGTAAACATCGCATCAAGTAAGGGAGGCAATTACCCTTGTATCCCGCCATCTGACTCTCCATCTAGACAACGCTGGAGCAGGAGGGGAGGGAAGCTCAGGTTCGGCAGCCATCCAAAAGGTCGGGTCAAAAAAGTTTAGGACATCAAAGTTCAAGGGCATCAAGGGCGCCCCCGCAGAGAACGTGTCCACCGGAACGGGTGGAATAGCACCAGGTGGCTCTGTCAACGATATCCCCGGCAGTCTCATCAACATTGGCTCAAGTAAGGTCCACAATATCTTGGTCAGCAATGCTGAGATCTGACACGGTTCGTGCCTTTATAGATAATGCAGGAAACGGCGGGACGGGAACGAGCGGTGACGTACTATGAGCGTGAAAAGTAATGAGGAAGCCTCCACAACCTAGACGCACAACCTAGACTTACGAAGCATAGACAACATGCACAATAACTACTCATCTGTATTATTTCGCACTGCACTATTCTCATATTCCAACGAATCTAGTTGACTGGGCGATGCAGGCGTACAATTGACATCAGCATATTGTACAACGTGTAAATAAGAAGCCCGCCGGAATTATAAAAGCTTCAGGTGACCTGTCACCTGATCGACGAGATCTATGGGGGCTGCAAAGAATCTCAGTGTGATTACCACGAAGAGCGACTTGCCCTACCGGGACCAATACCAAGAACAGTGCGGGAACCTGCCGCGATCTGTGTACGACCACTGCATTGAGAGAAAGGATCAGCGAACACGCATGATGATGTATGTTCGAAAGGAATACTTACGCGTCCAGTATTGATCGAGCGCAGAGATTGAGACTTTTGGCGATTGCTTCGAGTTCAAGGAGCTCGTCCTCTGACGAACATTTGAGAGCAATTTTAGCTTGACTGAAATACAGTGTTTGATGAGTGAAGGGCAAGCGAGTTTTTCCAGCACATACCCAATCCTCTCCCAATGCTGTATGAGCTGTATACAGCACAACTCAATGACCAGGTTGAAAGGATGATGATTTGAATCATACCGCAGGATTTGTCCTTGATAATGCCTTGTAGCATGCGAGTGTTGCGTGTCTGAAAGTTATTGGACCATCCAACATAGTCTGCCGCGTCGCATCATAAGCACTCACCCACATCTAAACAATCATTATCAATTGACCTGAGGACAGACGTGTGGTGCTTACTGTGCAGCAATTTTCCCAGTGGTCATTTTGAGATCTGTTCGCACGACTAAGACCTTCAGAAGTCGAAGTCAGCAAGTGAAGTCTCCATGAGATGCCAGCTCATACCAATTTGCAAGGTTGCACGAAGCCTGCCTTGACCGCGCTAAGATCCCCGTCTGCAAGTGCATCATCCTCTTCTTCACTGTCTACCTCTAGTTCGGCCTTGGGTGGTTCCTTGTCCTTGGGTTCTGACTCCGGTGGTATAGGTTGAGCGGCAGGTGCGACGTCCTGAGTGCCTAGTCGTAACCCAAGATAGTAGCCCAATCCTAATGCAACTCCTGCGACCACCACATGTGATACTGCTATAGTGATGCGGTTACGGTATAAGTCGTGATGTTCTGATGTCTTATGTCCGATTACTTGCCTGACGGAGACATCGATACCAAAGAGTTGTCGGAGTTTGCCGAGAGTAGCTTTTTCGAAATCTTTGATCGACGCACATAACACTTCGTCGCTTGCAGGTTCTAGGTCTCTTCCCATTTTTATATCCAACAAATCTATTACATTCAAACTTTTGAATATCTACTCACTGAAATCAGTGAATCACAGCTATGGCAGGGGACTCTACCGCATCATCTGCGGACCCTCAGCAAGATGTCTCTGACCGCGAACCGTTCTCGTCACTTGAGCTCTCAGAGCCAACAAACAAAGCCCTTGCAGATATGGGCTTCACCACAATGACTCCCGTACAAGCCAAAGCTATACCACCTCTCCTCGCAGGAAAAGATGTCCTAGGTGCGGCACGCACAGGATCAGGAAAGACGCTCGCATTCCTCATACCTGCGGTTGAGCTGCTACATCGGATGAAGTTCAAACCTAGAAATGGTGCGTTCTGCTTTTACTTTATCCTACGAGGAAGCTGAATAATTGTTTATGATAGGTACTGGAATTATTATCGTTTCTCCCACACGAGAACTGGCGCTGCAAATATTTGGGGTCGCAAAAGACCTCATGGCACATCACTCGCAGACCTTTGGTATCGTTATCGGTGGTGCAAATAGGAGAGCCGAAGCCGAGAAGCTGGAGAAAGGTGTTAATTTGATTGTTGCAACCCCTGGTCGGCTGCTAGATCATCTTGAGGCACGTCCTCAAAAACTCGCAGATACTAGATTGATGTATTGACTTTGTTTCTGTAGAACACAAAAGGGTTTGTTTTCCGAAATCTTAAAGCCTTGGTGATAGACGAAGCGGATCGAATATTGGAGATCGGTTTCGAGGAGGAAATGAAGAAGATAATAAAAATTCTTCCAAATGGTTCGCTCTTACAACTTCCCACCCATTTGCATAGAACTGAATTGCAGCATAGATGACCGACAGTCCATGCTCTTTTCGGCCACTCAAACTACAAAAGTCCAAGACCTCGCGCGAATATCTCTTCGTCCCGGGCCTCTGCACGTCGATGTCGACAAAGAAGAAGCGACAAGCACCGTCTCAACACTTTCACAAGGATATGTTGTTTGCCCCTCTGACCGCCGCTTCCTCCTTCTCTTCACTTTCCTCAGAAAAAACCTGAAGAAGAAAATTATTGTGTTCTTCTCGAGTTGCAATTCGGTCAAGTACCACGGTGAACTGCTAAATTACATCGATGTGCCTGTGCTCGACTTACATGTATGTTCTAATCCATCCATATTTCCCTGTCATAGACTGACGCAGTACGTCACAGGGCAAGCAAAAACAACAAAACGGACAAACACATTCTTCGAGTTCATAAATGCCGAATCTGGAATCTTACTATGCACGGACGTCGCAGCCCGTGGCCTCGATATTCCACGGGTGGACTGGATCGTTCAGTTTGATCCCCCAGATGACCCACGGGACTACATTCATCGTGTGGGTCGAACTGCGCGTGCTGGTAAGGTCGGGAAGAGCTTGATGTTCCTGCTAGAAAGTGAACTTGGCTTCCTGCGGTACCTCAAAGAAGCAAAGGTTCCGCTGAATGAATTTACGTTTCCCACGGACCGTGTTGCGAATGTGCAGAGTCAGGTGGGCGCTCCAGGGCTTTGTGATATGAATGAATTGATCACCTTTGTACATAGCTGGAGAAACTTCTGCAAAATAACTACTTTTTGCACCAGTCGGCAAGGGATGGTTTCCGATCGTATCTGCAAGCATATGCATCGTATTCGCTGAAGAAAATATTTGACATTAATGCACTGGACCTTGCAAAGGTAGGGAAAGCATTCGGGTTCGCTGTTCCCCCACGCGTGAATGTCAATATCGGTGGGGGGAAACCTGTTACTAGTGGTAAAAAGCGGCAGAGACATGAGGTGGATGCAGATGACGAAGAGTGGGAGGACATGCCACTGGGTGGTGGTGCAGAAAGCGCAGATGAGGTTATGGAAGAGGAGGAGTCCCAGCGGAATAAGCCGCGGAGAAAAGGGAAAGAACGGCGGGTTGAGACTTTGGGCAAGAAAGCAGTTGAAAAGGAGATGTATCGGAAAGGAAAGGAAAGGAAGAGAGCAAAGGCGTCTGGACAACAATGGAGCGGATGATATTTGAGACGGTTTTTGACGTGATGCTATGTCTACTACTTTTTTTGCATTGGCGTAATATTACAGCCATTGGGACGCAGGTCCAACTTGAAGTATTAACGTTTTAACCCCGGAAACCGGAAGCATCCATAAGCGCCTACATCATGATTGTGTAAAGCAGTATGTTTGCGCCTGCCCTAAATTGAACACCAGGCGTAAGCCTGACATCTCCGACCACACATCTGCTGCCAGCTCAAAATTTCTTCTTCGACTACTCCTTTCACTCACTCAGTGTTCTACTCCAAGTATAATGGCAACTACGCAGGTCAGTCTTCTCATTTGACAACAAACTGTTCTGACGACGTTGGCTTAACGCACTTTTGCTTCCGTTGTTTAACTCTCTATCCAAACTCTCAATAGCACTATCTTTGGGCGGGTGGACACTTTTTGCTCCTTCTCTCAGGATTCCGTTATCTTTTAGCATGGATTATGTTCAAGAGCGTCTCGTCCTGGTGGTACAAGGGTGCGCAGCTCGTTGCTCAACTTTCAAAGGCTCATTCTTACCAACCCCTCTACAATTCTTACAGCTAGCTTCCTTGGCGCCCTAACATCCTATTTTATTGTTTGCCAGTGAGTGCTTTCGGCGTGCCAACCAACGTGATGATAGCGTGTTGATGTGAATGCTGCGTGTTCAGGAAGGCGCTTGGTGTGAGTTCATGACGTAATGCACAGCGTGTTTTACTGAAGCGTGCTTGTAGACTCCCCAGCCGAGCATGGCGTATGTCAGGAAGGCCCTCGCGGATGAGGTAGGCTATTTTGTCTTTCCTTTCGAACTCCTGAGGATAACCGGTGCGCGCAGAACGTGCAATACTTTTTGTTGGCTATCTTCTGGTGGACTTCCAGGCCGGTCACTAGTAGGTTTTATCGTTGGAGTTGGCACAGGTGCTAATGAAGCGCAGTCGCATTGTTACCTTACTTCGTGTTTTCCCTTTTCCATGCGCTGACGTTCACTCGTACGACCTTGATGCCTCAGTTCTTGCCTCCTGGCCCACCGCTTGCTGCTGGAGGACCACCTCAGCCTCATCCCCTGGCGAAGAAGCTCCACCTTTGGGTCAAGGGTAAGATCCCAAGTTCATTCAGTTAACTTTGCAAGTGACACGTCATCCAGCTAACTATGACACTGCCATGCGCGTCGTGGCCATAACCGAGCTCGTCATCTTTGCGCGTGTTCTTTTCGGGGCGCTTTTGTTCCGCAACTCGCTCATGATGCCGTTGGTGTTTGCCAACTTCCTCCATCAGCGCTACTTCCACTCGCAATTCACGCGTGATGCAATTACGCTTGCGGATAAACGTATCACGAATCTCACGAATCACCCTTCGCTTCCACCAGCAGTGGGTCAAGTGTGGGTGCGCATGCGGGAGCTGGTTGCCAGGTGGGGCGGCAGTGCCGTCGTTGAGCCTGCTGCCGCTAGGAGGGATTAATGATCGGGGCGTGAATGCGGATGAGAAATGTTGGGTTCTTGGGAAAGGACATGAGGTAGTTCGCCGAGGCATTTCCCACTTACTACACATATGCAATGCTCTCTATCATCTTTTTTTGCACTAAAGTATAATGATAGATTATTATTAGGACGAGGTGCTTGGCAATGACGCTGATGACCACTACTCCACTGACTAAAAAGGGGTCCACTGCGAGAATCCATCTAAATATTGTAACTTGACCATCACCGAGCTACTCATGGCGACGAATTATTTCTGCGTTGACAAACTTTGGGCAGTCCTTGGCTGCCATCGGGGTGTCGTTGTTCTATTCTGTGCTAGCTGTGTTCCAAGCCGTCTTTGCGCTTGTTCAAAGCACGATTGAGAGCATACTGAAGCTGGGACAGAGCATCACTACTCTCGTGCTGGAGTTGTTCCAGGGAGTGTTCGGGTTCGTTTTTGGTATGTCATGCTCCCTTGCAGTGAGCAGGCAACTGATATACCTTTACTAGCAAATTTCTTTGCAATTTTGGTCATCGGTGGAGCGTACTACTTGTACACACTCAGACAGCAGGGAAAGGGACCAAAGGTGCTGCAGAAGAGGAGGAGGTAATCGAAGAGAATCCTAGGTTTTGTACATCATGAATACGACCGCTATAGTTGTCGCTACCCCTGTCCATTTGTGTCTACCCAAGACTACTATACCTGTACTTACTACGGATTGGTCATCCAAAAGGCGTGTAGTAAACCAAGGAACATCCAACTTTATGTAAAGCATAGTCCAGTCGGAGACCTCATATAGGTACAAGATCGGTCAACAAACTCATGTAAAAAATGAATCCCAAAGAAGCAGACCCAGCCAACGCCAACGCTCCGAACCAAGCAGCTTTGGTTTGATTGAAGTCTAAACCATCGGGCAAGACAATAACATATGCACGTTGGGCCCCTCTCCCCAACACGCTCGAGTCGCAGTAACAATTATCATAGACACTCGTGAACTGCAGCATCCCTGTCGCAATTATCCAGATTGCATTGACGATTGCCATCAATTTCCCTCCCCATCTCAAAAGGTTCGATGATACCTTTACGAGACTGATAGTGGTGGATAAGAAAGGACTCCTAGGTCTGTCTGAGTATGAGGATGCGTAGTGCGACAAGACGCTCGACATGACGAGCATCGCCCATATTATCGTTGCCAATGCGCCATAGACGAGGTAAGCGAGAGATCTACAACCAAAGCCCTGTCGTGTACCGCTAATCAGCAACAGGCGCAGATAACCGCATATCGAATGATGCTTACCACAGTCGGAGTAAAATATACAGCTAGTATCGCAGATCCAGTTGTTGCCCATTGCAAAGCTAGGGGTAGCAGCGAGGCCACGAACATGCGAAAGAACATACCTGTAGCCCAGGGGCTCCGTACCGCATATAGAGGAAGTCTGCAGTAAGCATCGACTTCGGATGCGTTTCCCATCCTATTGTCGTGCTCAATAAAATTCCTTCTATTTGTGTTCTTCCATGTAGCACCAATCATGACCGGTCTGTGTACTCTGGCATTGTTGGAGGCTATTCGAAAAGCATCGAAGATATCCTCCGCCGACCGAGACCATGAAATGGCCCTGGCGTAGTTATAGACGGGCGGAGTCAACATTTCGTCGGGAGACGAAGGATTTTCCATATTGGTATCAATGGACACTGCTCGCCTTTCCGAAAGATCTGACGCCTTTACAACATCTCCATCATGGGTAGCTGCAAATGCCATTGCATCTGCGTTGTCCATGGCCTTTCTAACGCGTGTATAATCGCATTTTGGGGACAGTTGCAGCCAACTATAAGGCTGACGTTGAGTTCGAGGAGGGAATCGCTGAGAGAGGACGTTCTTTAAGGAGGGACGACTGTTTTTAGTTTTGGGGGGACGAAGACTTATATTTTCATGCAATCTACAAGGTGTGTTTAAGAATGTGAGGCGCTAAGGGTCCTCGGGTATACCTAAGCCGAATGATTAGGTGAAAACGTTGACGGAAAGTGAGTGGCGGCGATCCTGACAGGGTAGAACCAGCGGGAGCGAAGGAGAGTACGAAAGTATAGTATGAGTGGTGGTTTTAGACAGTGCGGTTAGCACAGAAATGACGAGAAGTTTGACTGTTCTTGGTACGGCGAAGTAGAACGAGGGATGGTGACGAAAGAAAGGTGTCAGAATGTTGGTAATGGCAAGGGTATCGTGTGGCGACAACTGAATGGTCGTGCTGAATGTCGTCAAGTAGTGAGATAATGAAGGTAAGAAGAAAAGATTGTATCCGCGTGACTCGGATGGGAAGCGTGGTGCTTCTTCGCATCAGTACGTCACGTGGCTGACGGGACATGTGTCCGTGTGTCTCATTGTAAAGTTATAGTCGGGGCGTAAAGGATATGAATCCTTACATCCCCTCCTTACTTTGAATATCGACCGCCCTCGGTCGATCTCCCAACAATATAGCTAAAATATGCGTAATAAGATAGAATAATTTGAGTGAAACGAGAGAGGAAGAGAAGAAAGGAAAAAAAATGAATAGAACGCATCTAGGATTGCTCATCGTTAATTCCTGCGAGAGCTTGCGGGTCGAAGAATTGTGTGACTTCGATGGAGGTGGAGGAGCGCGGGTGGTAAGGGATAATGCGAAAGGCTGCAAACTTCAGCTTGGAAAGTGTGCCGTCAATTTCTGCGAGGCGGTAAGAGCCTCCTTGAGAGCGGGAGACAACAACCATTGGTCCGAAATATCTGGGCTTGCATTTAGCATTAGACGCTGCCTCAATTTTCTTGTTGAGCACTAGAACGAGTGCGCCAGGGTGGAAGTCGTAGTCGTTGATGACGTTTGCGAATTGTTTCTCGAATTGACGGATAGACGAGAAGCGGCTGTGGAGGATCCTTTGGTGCATGAGTGCAAGGTCCTCGTCCCGTTTTGCGAGCTGGCGAGTGCGATAAGCGATGAGGTCTGATGTTGAGGTCAGATTGGAGATGTCGGGCAAAAGGAAGGTGGAATGAGTGATATCGAAGGGAAGAAGCGGCTCAACACCGTGTGCCATGAAAAACGGCGTGTGTCCCGTAGCTTTTCGTGTAGTAACGCGATCTGCCCAGAAGGTATGGGGCGCTAGAGATGGCCATTGGGTGATGTCTCCGTTACAAGCTTTTACGAGAGAATCGCGTATAGTGCAATGCGATCGTTCAACTATTCCGTTGGCTCTTGAATTGTAGGCAGAGATGCGAATGTGCCGGATACCGTATTTTGCTGCTAACCACTCCAAAGCTGCGACGAAGGGCGTTCCATTATCAGTGACTATTTCCTCGACTCCTCCCCATCTGCACAAGACTTCTTCGAACAAGAAAGCACCCAAAGTGCGGCCGTTTTCCTTTCTCAACATCCTCCATTCTGGCCATCCAGATAGGGAGCAGCGCGCCTGTACGATGTAGGAGAAGCCTTGTGCTGTGGGCATGTGCATAGTATCAGTGTAGGCTTTGCGGAATAGTGGCGCGGGAATAGAGACAGTAGGGGGAATAACAACTTTTTCGACTGATCGAAGCTGACATTGATGGCAAGTTTGGATGTACCAAGCGACGTGCTTGTCAAGCGAAGGCCACCAAAATCTGTCCATGATGGTGCGTCGTGTGGCGTAGATGCCTTTATGACCGAGCTTATCGTGGGTATCCATCAGAATGTGAGCGCGGTTCGAGCCGAAGAGAACGAGCTGATGGCGTCCAGTAGATTGCTTGCGCCAGAGACAGTCTCCTTTGGCGAAAAAACTGTGGGCCCGTTTGATGAGGCGAGTGCGATCAGCAGTCGATATTGTCGAAGGGAATGAGAGCGATTGGAGGTAGGAAAGGATGATGAGGAGATCCTGGTCACGCTGACGTGTGGTGTCATCTGTAGGAAGGTTGAAGTCAGCACTGTTCCGTAGCGCTGCGAGATTGAAAACAAGTCGGCTGTCGTCCTTTGTTCCTCCAAAAATTTCTTCTAAGTCTCCTTCAGCCCAAATAGCGCATCCCAGAACCTCATCTAACCAATCCTCTATCTCCTCGGATGTCTCCTGGAGTCCGTCGTCATCTTCTGGCGTTGGTCGTCGTCGAGAAAGACCGTCAGGCCCGAGGTGTTTGGTTCCTGGTACGTGGCGTAGTTTGAAATGAAAAAGAGAGATTCCAGCTAACCAGCGGTTCATGGCCGCATTCGGCTGAATGTCCGGATTACTAATCATCCCCTTGATGTACTTGGCGTCTACTTCAACAGTGAACGTTTTGAGGCCGATAAGCCATACTTTGGCTGCGCGAAGTGCGCGAAAAAGGCCGTAGAGCTCGATTTTCGCTTGGGAGTAACGAGCTTCGCGTTCATTCCAAGTGATGGACCCATATCGCGATGGGTAACGTTTTCCGTTAGTGACCTGCGATAAGATCCAACCGCAGGCTATGTAGGATGAGTCGACAGATAGGATGACTTCGTCTTGTGAGGAGTAATTGATCGGGCGGATAGCGGAAGAGGTAGAAACAGCATGCTTGACCGTTTCCATGGCTTCTTGGGTGACGGAATCCCAGATGAAAGGTACATTAGCGCGAGTAAGATTAGTGAGTGGACAGGTGATGTGGGCATAGTCTCTAATCCAATTGCGGACGGTACCTGCGGTTCCGAGAAAGCCTCGTACTTCGGTTTTCGTCGTGCAGGGAGGCCAGTGCATGATTTTTGAGACCTTCGTCTCGTCGGGAATACGTCCTTCATATGTGCAACACTGTCCAACTACAACAACCTCGGGAACGCAAAGAAATAATTTCTTTGCGGATACTGTGGCTCCTGCGTGTCGAAGACGATGCAAAACCCTGTTGACGTCCACACAGTGTTCCCAAACGAATCGTCTGATACCGGAGTTCTCAGAAATGAACTCGTAAGACCCATCAGGTAACTCGTAATGTGTGCAGGGTCCAAGGACGTTAACGTCGTCCTGAAAATTCGGTGCTAGCTCAATCTCATCTTGTAAGATAAAGGCAACGTCGTTCTGAAATACCGCTGGTGAGTCAGTCCAGCCTTGAGGAAGGACGGTGAGTCGATAAGTGCCGAGGGGGGTTTGAAACGTCGTGATGTCGCGTGATTCCTCTGCTAGGGCTCGATGATCAAACCCTACAAATAAATCCATCATTGAGTAAATTGAACGGCCGGCGCATTGTTCAGCAAAGAGCTCGATGTACGGCATCGTTGCAGCGTCCTTAACCGTGATGGAGTTTAGCTGCTGGAGGTCGTGGACGATTCTGACTGCTCCGCTCTTCTTTGCGACGCAAAACCAGCGAGACTGATAGGATGAGTTGGATGGCTCATAGACACCGGAGGCTATTTTTGACTTGATGAGCGTGATTACTTCCTTCTTAATACCTGGCGGAATAGGTGGCTGACGGTGTACCCATGGTACGTGCTCGATGGTAGGAATGACAACGGGAGGGAAGTAATCGTCCCGGAAGCGTCCCTTTTCCGTCTCGTCCCAAGCGAGAGCAAGCTCGTTGTTCATTAGGACGTGGGCCGCGAGTTTCCGTTCTTCGAGAAGGAGAAACTCGTTCTTGAAAATTCCGAGCTCGTCCATGCGTTCTTGAGTGAGACGAGTGCCAGGTGTGAATGCTGGAGGGATAGGGAAAAGGATGGGAAGTGAAAGGAGCGGGTCTTCTGGAAACTTGCGGATGATTCGCGCATGCTCAGGCATCGTGGTAGCGACGGGTTTGACTTTATTGGCGACCTTCTTGTAGGCAAAAGTGCGACGGACTGGGTCGATATCGAAATGCGCCTGGAGAAGAAACTCAGCGAAGGAGGAAAAGACGAGACGAGATTTGGGGGTAGCATGGTATATATCCGTCGAGCTGGTAGATTTGATAGCATGGTAAATGTTCGTCGAGCTGGTTGGCTGGATGTGCGGGACAGGTAGAGTTAAGGAAGGCGACTGATGAAGGAGGGGAGGTGCGAATACCGAGGCCGTTAAGGCGAGAGAAGGATGAGCCCAAGGGCGAGGTGTCGTTGCAACGATTCGGACCTTGCTGGAATCTGTGGGGTCATGCACCGTGATGTGTACTCCGTTGATATCTTCAGTTTTTGACAGCCGTACCAGCCGCTGCCAAGGCCGTCCTAGAAGTAAGCGATAGGGCGCGTCGGGAACCACATACGCGTGAGCCCAAGTCTTAATTCCCTCGACATCAATTTCTAACATCTCTAGACATCCTGCTAATTCCTGTGATCCTCCATTGGCAGTTTGCATGCGCATTCGTACGTCTGGATTGATTGGGGCGTTGGTCTTCCTCCATACGTCCTCCCGAATAACGACAATTTCCGATCCCTCATCCAACAATCCTAGCTCTGAGTGCGTCCCGTTTAGCGTTATTCGTATTTCTCGCAGAGGTGTGGCATGCTCGACCGATATTGGAGAGGGTGCAGCTAACGTGTTGGTGGATAGTGTGGAGGCTGGTGTGGGAACTCGATGTGTACGTGAGTGTTCGACGGCTTCTTTCCTTAAGTCCGGACTAATCGACAATAGGTCCGATATTGTTAGTTGCGGAATGGGCGTACTTAGGATGGTCTCGTAGATGCGTCGAGCTGCGTCAGGTGAGGCTGCCTTGGACTCATACTTGTACGCTGGCCCTTTCTTCGTGTCCGTATCATTCGTTTTTGCAGGATCCGGGGAGGCGGGTTTTGAGAGAGGCGAAGGAAGGGTAGTTCTCGGAACGGAGGTGCTGTCCACGACAGACGCGGCTCTGGACTTGGACCTGGTTATGGCCAGTACGTTTGCCTCTTCGTTCTCTTCTTCGACCATCACTATTACTGCGTGATTGCCAGCGACTGGTTCGCACTGGATAAAATACGAGTCGGATATGAAGGCAGAGGAGGGAATTTCCGTGGAGGCTGGGCGGAGTGGTCTCGACTCGGTTTGTTTGGACGGGAATGGAATTAGCTCCTGTAGCAGGTGTCGCGTTTGGTGTCGCCGAATACCTTGAATCAATAGCTTGCTTGAACGTTTCATTTCCGAATCGTCGTAAACGGGACCTATCCGGGAAGGCAAAGTACTGGCCGTCTCTAATGATCCGTCCTGCCCGTAAGTATTCTCCCGCTACCGAACACGTTCGCATGACATGAGCTCCTCCGCAGAAGAAGCAAGTGGCGTTGGAAGGGTAGGTGGGAGATGACGAAAGTGATGGAAGGGGGAGGTATGATAGTGGCGTTTGAGTTGATACGGCGTTGACAAGCTGCCGTGACTTAGGGGATGCCCATCCGTGAATAGCTGCAGGGGCTAAGCATGCGAGACGCGTATAGCACCCAGAGTATGCTGCGTCGCCTATATCCAGTCCGTGCATTTTACGAGCCAGGGCTTCGACCTCGTCGAAGTTGTCTTTGGGAGGGATGGGTGGTGTGAATGCTACGCGCCTTGTGTGGACTTCCTTTCTAACATCTTTTCTCTCCTCTTCCTCGTCTGAATCCCAGGTTTGTCGCAATGGTCGAACCTTCTGCGTGCGCCCGTCTCTCATCAGCTTGATGCGAGAGGCGATAGGTTCGTTCAAATCTGCATCGAACGCGTCATCAGAGAGCACAAACCGTCCTGCTTCGACGACCTTCTCGAAGTTAGTAGCTTCGTTGCGGGTATAGTTTGCCTCAGTGTGTTGCAGTCGTTGCGCTATTGCTATTCGAGCGGAATGGGGAAGACCTTGCCAAAAGTAACGATCTCGCTCGCGTTCCGAGATTTTGGAGTTAGCTACTAGCCACACTGCTATAGGACGGAATTGACGATAGTACTGCACTAGTTCCGTTTCGGTAGAAACGTCTGATTCCGCCGTATTGAGAATGACTCGTTCGAGATCTCGAATGGTGTATCTTGCACCTTTGGCCGCTCCCGGATATTGTCCGATAATGTTCGCTTTGAAGATGCTGAAATCCCTGCTCTCATACCCCGTGAGCGTGACCCAGAACCTCTTGGTCTCGAGGTTGACGTATCGAACTATCATTTTGCATTTGTCGGTATCGGTGAGTCCGCAGGACGAGGCTAAGTCTTCGAACAGTTCTAAAAACTCTAGTAAGTCGGACGTCTCCCCACTAAAGGACGGGGCTTTGCTAGAGCCTGGTCCTGGCATTGCGGATATTCCCTTCATGTTTGTCGACATGGTGGACGTAGGTTTCGACGAAAGTGGTTTTTGGATATGATGAGAAGTAGTAGGGTGTTGGACTACCGTGGGTGCTGGTTGAGCTGGTGCGGGTAGCAACTCGTTTGAAATGAACTGAGGTTTCGGAATGAGGGGAACGGCTGTAGGGAGGGCGGCCGTCGGGGTGTTATGGAGTTGCGGAGGTACAGAAGGATGTTTTGGGGTTTCGGGGTCAAAGGTCGCGGGTCTAAGAACGAATGTGGTTTGAGAAGGAAGGGGCGGAAATAGAACGTTAAAATATGGTAACTGGCTTATGGTATCGTCTTCGGAGATAGAGGATTCGGATGGAACGTCTGATGTATCTATGTTCTGCCTTGAGTTGTTGATACGGGTTGGAGTTCGATAAGCGTCGATTTGATTGGGGGGAGTCTGAGCGGTCGTTGCTTGGAGATAGTAATGCGGGTAGGCGGTGGTGATGGTATTGGCGCGGGTTCTGGTCTTCTTTGGGGCAGAGGTGTTTTTCAGGAGAGCCAGCGCAGTTGGCTGTTGGAGACGGATCTGCGCGTTTGGATGATAATACTTAGTAATTGTGAAGGGTTTTTTTTTTTTGGTCAAAAGAGTGAGAGTTCGATAAATCGAACAAGGGGTGCAAGGGCAGCTCGAAAGCAATTCCCTCGCGGTGGGCTCCAAATATATAAGGCTGACGTTGAGTTCGAGGAGGGAATCGCTGAGAGAGGACGTTCTTTAAGGAGGGACGACTGTTTTTAGTTTTGGGGGGACGAAGACTTATATTTTCATGCAATCTACAAGGTGTGTTTAAGAATGTGAGGCGCTAAGGGTCCTCGGGTATACCTAAGCCGAATGATTAGGTGAAAACGTTGACGGAAAGTGAGTGGCGGCGATCCTGACAGGGTAGAACCAGCGGGAGCGAAGGAGAGTACGAAAGTATAGTATGAGTGGTGGTTTTAGACAGTGCGGTTAGCACAGAAATGACGAGAAGTTTGACTGTTCTTGGTACGGCGAAGTAGAACGAGGGATGGTGACGAAAGAAAGGTGTCAGAATGTTGGTAATGGCAAGGGTATCGTGTGGCGACAACTGAATGGTCGTGCTGAATGTCGTCAAGTAGTGAGATAATGAAGGTAAGAAGAAAAGATTGTATCCGCGTGACTCGGATGGGAAGCGTGGTGCTTCTTCGCATCAGTACGTCACGTGGCTGACGGGACATGTGTCCGTGTGTCTCATTGTAAAGTTATAGTCGGGGCGTAAAGGATATGAATCCTTACACAACCTATAACGATTGGGATAAGCCACAACCACACCGATCCTGTCCCTTGACCGTTGGTATTGATATTGGAGGGGACGTCCGATAGCGAGCTGGCGACGGTCAGCAGGTAGGCGACAACAACCCACGCAATGGATGTCACAGATGCGATGGACCAGGTATGAGTGTAGTCGAGAAAATCGGCGATGGTCGGCCACCAGTCATCATTGTGTGGCAGGGCAACGAGAGAGCTCAGCAGGGAGTCTTCATTTGTTATTCTCAGTGGACTTTGTTGAAGGCTTATAAGGATGCGGACAGCGTCTTTAGTGTTAGGGAAAGATAGGTCTTCGAACCGACGACTGATCCAATTGGCGTTGAGAATGGTGATAATCATGGAGTAACCAGCGAGAACTGGTGAACCGACTGTGAGGATGGCAGACATGAGATTGTCAACTCTATGTCTTGCACCGAAAGGCAGCTGAGAAATGAGGGCAAGGTAAGGCAATAGCCAGGCGCCGAACTGCTGTGATATGTTTGCCCAGGTGGGATTCTGTGTTCCAGAGCCGCAGTACGTGTAACACGTATGGTAGGTTAATCCCACTGCAGTCATGTCTGATGACAGGACATTTTCACCGTTTACATTGACAAATCCAGATGGATGGGAACTGTTGTTTGAATTGTTTCTGAGATTGATGAAGCAATCGGTGATATTAATGCTGTATGCGCCTCTAAGGAATGGGAGCATCAGTAAGACAAATAGGATCTCTGAGAGAATAGTGAGCATAAATCATTACGAGCTATCAGACTCACTATTTGTATCGGGCATGAACAAAGTTGACCTGCATCAATAGGGCGGAGTGCACTCAGGAATATATATGAAGGAGGTTCCTATGTAGATTTGTTGGTGTGCATTCGAGCACTAGTCGCTATCAGTTGGGGAAGCATTTTACTCGATACAGGAAGATAACGGGTGACTCAACCTGTACTGATAAGCGAGTGAGGAAGCACATGATGAACAAATGATCGTTGTACAAGGCTGTTGCCTTTGCCAGGGTAGAGTCGGATTCTTCCGTGGCCTCGATACTGACTATGTAGTAAGGCGCAGCGCTGCAGTGTCATGCCACGGCATCAATCAGCTTCTGGCGCAATCGGACGAAGAGATCACTGAAAAACTGGCGCAGGTACGGCACTACGGCGGATATATCCGCGGCCAGGTGGTGTTCGGTACGTGCTGATCTCTCTAAGTAGCGCCTTCCAACAATCACTGTCTGAAGCCTGGGTGTGGATTAGGTATTAATGATCCAGTATTACTGAAGCACAGCCTGATTTACCTGGACAACTTGGCTTTTGCACTCGTAATGACCAGTGCAAACCTAATAAGGCCATCTCTTTGCACGTAGAAGCGCTGGGCCTGTTGGGCACAAATATCGTGACACCTCATTGGACAACCTCCTCGTTCGTTTCGACCAACGCCATGGCACTGACATCGTGCCCCACCTGAGTTTGTCGATACAAAGTCCAAACCAAACGCTCGTCTTGGTTTAATAGTCTGGATGGCGATTAATAGCGGGTAACAAGCAGTGATAGCAAGACAGACCTGTACTGGTGAGCAAATAAAGAAGCACCTGGTGCTGTACAGGCGGCAAACCGTGATGGGAGTGCATCATGCAGTGTCTAGAGGTCTGCTTCCATCGAGTCAGATTCTGATTATAGTTACATTCAAATGAATTCGAGGCTCGCATCGATCAGCTTCGAGTGCGATCGGACGAAAAGTGGCCGCCAAGATCGCTGAACTTGAAACTGGCAGAACCGCGGCGGATTTATCCGTGGCTAGGTGTACCCATTTTGTCCAGAGTCAGGCCCCAGCTACCGCCTTCCAAAGCCCGGGCGTTGACGACTTTCTGCCAGTAGAAGGGCGGTATTAATGATCCATGAAGGCATACCTGCTCATACGTATCCTTCTCATGCTCAACATGCTTACTCCCGACGATCTCACCAATGACGACGAATATGGCGACTTGTACGAGGACGTCAAAGAAGAATTCTCCAAATACAGGAATGTCGAAGATCTGCGCATTCCCCGGCCGGTCAAGAAAGACAAATCGAAATGGGCTCCTGGAGAGCCTGGACAGCAGACTGCAATTGAAGCTGCGGGTGTTGGCCGTGTGTATGTCAAGTATGTTGATGCCGAAGGTGCACAGACAGGTCTCAAGGCGCTTGCTGGACGCTCTATCATCGCTACAGTCTTGAACGAGGACAGTCAAACGACGCCCCCACTTAACCCGATTTTTGCCCCTCAGCCAGATGCTCCTCCTCCGCTCCCCACCTCTTGATTAATCACTCCTTTTTGGAGTCGGAAGTGGTTATCTAGTTGCTCAGTCGTATGTACGTCCTGTGCTGTTTCTGATGTCGTTCCGTACGGATGCTTTGATTTCAGGCAAATGAAGTGCCTCATGGCAATATGATAATTACTCCAGTGTTGCCCAAGGGTCCCCACTTTGACGATTTGCCAATCTCTTTATTCCGTTTGTCCATCTCGGATCCTTGAGTTTCCATTTTTTACTCAAGCCTTTAGAAAGGATTCAATCACAATACATGAGCGGATGGCATGCGCTGCCACATGTGGACGGCACGCATTGTCAATGACATGTATCCTGTCGAAGAATGCCACCGCTTGGCTGATAGGTGTCTCTTATCTTATTCGTAACGCTGGTACCATATCACACAGATATTAACTAGCAAAAGCGTAATCGCAAGGGGCTTATGGATCTCTCTTCACTCGTAGTCGACAGGAGGTCAGTGCCGTGTCACATCACTAGGAATGATGTCTCAGCAGAAGCAGAAAATTATAGTTGGCTGCGAGCATCAGGGTGAACGGCTATCGCAATAAGCTCATGGTTTGCCTTTAGTGTGCGCCTCGACCGTCATCGGCTATCTTGTCAGCTCACCCTTCCACCACACGGCTGCTTCGGCGGGACTACTTTTGACATGATAGCGGCCTCACAACACTATGTTTACCAGGATTCCGCGTGGGCTGCTGTAGACTCGTGCGCTAAAAGAGCTGGGAACGGTACACCTGTGGAGGGCGGCCACTCCAGGGCATTTGCGGCTGGAGGCGCGGAAGGAAACCTAAGCACATGCACTCTGCTTCAAGAATGCTGTCAACACATGTGGTGGCGTGAAGCCATGAGTTATATACTGGTTGATTTTACAAGCACGTGACGTACGCGTCGCGATCGAGTTTGTTTATCACCACACAAACTTTAATTTTCTAGGAAAATTCGAGGAGTATAAATACGGCGCGCCCTCGCAAATATTTTCTTCTCTCAGTTTATCCGTGTCTATCTGTTCCAGCATATTCTTACGATCTTCATTCTTCTCAACCATCGTCTGCCATTATGACTCTCTCTACCGCCATGACCATTACTGTCCGCGTCGCCGTCACTGGCTTCCTTTCGGTCTCTTGCTTCAGACGTGTTGTCGTCGATAATACCGCTCAGGTCCTATCCAAAGCAAAGAATCCTTCCGCTGGCCTCGCTGTATACTCTGTCTGCTTGTCGACGATTACGCTGGTTCTCGCCGCCGACAAAGCTGCACAGAGGCTCCTCGGCAACGAGCCCAAGCATATGCTAGCCACTTCAAAGAACGCCAACGCCGACTTCAATCCTCCATCCACTCATGACGTGACCGCCTCTGTCACGCCTCAGCCTGTTGAATCATCTCATTTGCAGCCATTTCCGTCTCCATCTCAATTGCGTCTAATCGAATCGGCGAAAACAATATCCGCCCCATTTTCTACTTGCATGCCTAATGAAAACACCACTGTAAAACCGTTTAATTTGCAGCCATCTCCCTTATTGCGTTTAATCGAATCGACGGAAACAACGTCCACCTCAACCACGGGTTCTAATATTTGTACGCCTTGCATCACTCTTACTTCGCCGGACCTCTACTGCAAACGCCTGTCCACCGATTCCAGCACCACTCTTGTACCCCATAACGACGACTCAGTTCCCGACGTTTTCCCGGACGATGGTGCCTGTGACGCTGACGACTATGACTTGAAGTCGCTTAGCAACGAAAGCACTGTCCACAAGGTAAGACACAGTGCATCATCAAACTTCACATTACCTGATGTTTGAATTTCTAGGACGATCGTTCCAAAATACAGCCTCAGAAGGACCATGCACTGGAACATGTGCTTGATATTCTGATTGCCAAAATGACAGCTCTCACTCTCGATGATCTGCCTCGTCCTTCGAAGCTTCGACCACTCATTCTAGTCAACCGCCACAAGACATCCAAGGTTCATTGTCCTCCGCCTGCCTACTCTGTGGACACATCGACCCGACGTTTGGAGGCGTTCTCTCTCTCAGACAGTCCATCTACCGATCCTGGCGTCGCTCTTCCTGGACCCGGCTATCCCACCAACATGCCGACTCGAATTATGGAGGCTCTCTCTCTCGGAGATCGCCCGTCTTCCACCTCTAAGCTGAAGCCTCTGATCCTGGTTACGAAACACGCCACCCCGCACCTCAAGCTGCCTCCTCTCACGACTACTGTACTTCGACAGCCTAGATCCAAAACAACAATGCGGAGCCAGACGTATTGGCCTTTTCCGCTGAACCCTGCGATCTCTACACACCCACAGCCCGGCTGATTCAAGACCAGCTCCGCGCTACTAGTGACACACCTACACTCCGATGTCAGGTCCCCTACGACCAATTCGGACCACGGCCTCCTTCTGTCCCCTACGACCCGGAGCTTCACCGCCCAAGAAGTTGAAGGCCACTTCCAGTCTACGCATACCCACGTCATGAGTCTCCGACAACGGAGGTCCCCTGCGACCCAATCTTGACGACAAACTAACCGGTCTTCATCCCTACCATTATGCGACCTCCACCATCACGCACGCATCTATGAGAGCAAGTCGCCCCTTACTCTCTTCACTACTACCTCCTTGATCTGTATTTTCATTTGACTGGTCAGTTTCATCATAGACTCGTGTCTGGCATGTACCAGTAGGATTTGTCTCTTTCGTTCCCTCATTCGGTTTTCTTCCTTGACTTTTACGAGACAGACATTGAACTCATTATCTCATCGCAGCTTGTAATTACTACGCTACTAGTAGTACGTATCCTTTCATTTTCCCCATTCCTTCTCTACAGACAGTCGATTTGTATTCTCATTTACCGGTACGACACTGGCCATTTAGTTTCATTATCTCCTCGCGATGTATACCTATTTCATGATCTTGTTACATTTATTTTGTACATACACGATTAATAGTATGAACTTCGAATACAATTCATGTTCTGAGAACTTGCGTGAGGTTGTAGTTGCATACATGCATTTGTTGCTGTTAAAGAAGCCTGTCGTATACTGGAAAAATTTCGTCTTCTTCACGATACATCATGCCGCGCAAAGAAATTCGGGTCCAAGTGAAAATGACGAGGTGCATATCAATCAATATTGTGCTAGGTATTTCGGTTCATATAGGGGTAGGTCGGCCAGCTCCACGATCCTCGCGTCTCTGCTCCAGCTGGAACATAGTCAGCACAAAGGTTTCAAGGACTCGATAAGGATGCTAGTCTCACCCACGCTTTGTTACAGTCCCTGTATGTCTGGAAGAAGTCCAGGCAATTGTCCCGGTTGTAATCGTTGTTGTCCATGCAGCTTAAAGATGCCTTTGAGTTCCCGTACAGCGAATAGTGAGGAGGTCGGTGGAACATTCACTCTAGTTCAATTTCGATGTCCGGCGTGCCGTCTGCTTTACCGCCGTTCTGCCGTTCTGCCGTTCGTGCCGTATCGCGCGCCGGAAGGTTCGGTTCTCAATCAGACACAGCCGCTGTCTTCCACCACGCAGCTCATCCCCCGCTCTTTGCGCATTTGATATACTTCATCATGCCATCATGCCTGGTAGGTCGGAATGAGCCCTGTTACTGAGGCGCAACCTGATCTACCTTGGACAACTTAGCTTTTGCACTCGTGTCCCGCTTCAATCACCAGTGCAAACCTAATGACTTCGATAAGGCCATCTTTTTGCACGTAGAAGCGCTGGGCCTGTGCCCCACAGGGCACAGATATTCGTCATACCTCATTGGACAACCTAGGGCGCCCTCCTTATTCGTTCAATACACGTGATGTCATCGCCGCAGCTATCAGCCTCATGCACGAGGCACTGACATCGTGCCCCACCTGGGCATCTACATCACGACACCACGCCTAACAACCCCTCCCTCGTGCTCCACAAATGACATAAAAATTGTATGTCAGTGAGTGTCTCAAACAAGATCATTGATGAGTCGGTATCGCGAATCTCTCAGTTAACGCGGCTGAGCGCCATATACTTCTCCGCGATTTGAGCGCGGGTCTCTACTATACTATCATCTCACGCAAACTCAGGAGAACGAAGATGTTGAGGAGTTCGCCAAGGCTCTGTCTTCACTGCGCCAGAACAAGTATTCCAGCTGCGACCTATCTTGTCTGATCATCGGATTCTGCACGACCCTGCCGAGTTGTCACTCGCTATAGAAAACTTCAGAATCGCATCAAGACCATCTTCAAGGATTTCCTCGGCGTACCGCAGACGCACTTACTGGGTTCATCAAGCAGAAGTATATCAACTTGAATCCGCCCTCGAAACATATCAAATGGGTTATGAGCTTTTGGACCGACTCTGATAGATGAGCCGGTCATCTGAAGTTGTGCCGCTGCTGGCTTCAGAAGAGTTTCTACTCATTAGATGTTGAGTGGAGTCCAGAGAGGGAGGAAAAGAAAGATAGTCATCGGCTGATGTAGCGACTTTCCCTAGCATGAATAAAATATAAAAGGAATGGTCATGAACCCGCGCAGCTTGCGACCTGGTGACCAACATTCTCCAAACACGTTTACACTAGGCTATACCAGACAAAGCGTCATATTGTGCGATCATGCAACCATTTCGTGCAGTTTCGCATCCTGAATCTATCTCCGACCATTCAAGAAACCGACCAACATTCACAACACCTCAGCTCCACTCCCAGCCGCAACGTTGTTCTGTATTGCCCATTAAGGTCTCGCTGAAGACAAGTAGATCAGTGGAATTGTTACGACAGCATGACGGTGAAACATACGCAGGCGATGATTTAAAGTGATATCAAGAATAGTCTTGGTTAACCCTGCCCTGGCCTGTTTTGTGTTCTTCTGGAAGCGTTCAAGCGGTAACTTCGCCATCCAAGCAGACAAGATTCCTGCAGTCCTCATGCGGTTTTCATATACCTGGACGGCAGCGCTCACATCTTCCCTGACGGTAGCTGCATGCGGAGATGCCATGTACTGCTCGAGAGCGACATGAAAAGAGGAATCCGAGCTCGGCTGGTCCTGAAGATAGCGCCGCTTGTCGTTGATGTAGAAAGAGTGTTCAAGGATAATGACGACGGCTAAATGATCGACAATAAGCAGGTTCATCGCAACGTAGCCTCAAAATTCACCAGAACCAAGCTGAACAGTGTTCTCCAGGGGTGATGGACTAGAGGCCTGGCAAATTTGCAACGTAAAAAATTTGTACAATCTGCGACCAATGGCACATACCACAGAGAGTAACCTCGACTGCATCTCCGTTTGATGACTCCGATCAAGCTGGTCAGATCATGGCGAAAAATTGAAAGTCGTCCACCTCTGCTGAGCATCGATGCACTTACATCCTGCCAATGTGTAACATATTCGGTCAGCATGGCCCGAAGTCAAGGAAGGATGAAGAAACCAACTTCCTATTGATGGATCAGCGATGTCGTTCACGAGCAAGGCTCAGATCAAAACACTCACAGTCTGTTAAGTGACGTGCGATTTCAGTCGTAAGTAAAGCTCGAGCTCGACGGAGGATCAGCACACTGACAATCTATCAGCGGATGAGCAATGTCATCAGTGAGCAAGGCTAAAACTCGAGTAGAGGTGAAGAGACTCGCCGACTATCAACGAATCAAGCATGTCGTCGGTTAGAACTCAATGGCAGATGAACACACTCACATACTGTCAACGGGAATCGGCAATTTGATTGGTCAGTGATGCACCAATTCGAACACAGATCGATGTGCTTACATCCTGTAAACGGATGAGCAACGTCTTCGGTTAGTATGGCTCGAGCTCGATGGTGCATCACCAACTTACAATCTGTTAACAGAGCAGTAATTTTTGTGGTCAGTATGGCGCGAGAGCGAGGGACAATTAATACACTCACACCCTGACAACAGTTCAGCGATTGCATCGGTGAGGAAGACAGGAGGTCGACATAAGATAGTCTCACTCACAAGCTGTCAACGGAGCAACTATGTATGCAGTCAGTGGCTTAAAGTCGGTAGAGAATCAATCTACTTGCCTCCTGCAGATTTATTTTTGTCAGGAATGCTGGGACTCGACAAAGAATAAATGCGCTCACGTGCTATTAACGAATGAGCAACAGCCTGATTCAGCATGGCTCGAGCTCGAAGGAGGATCGACACACTCACACGCTACGAACAGTGGGCAACGACTTGGATCAGCATGGCTCAAGCTCGAAGGAGGATCGACACACTCACACGCTACGAACAGTGGGCAACGACTTGGATCAGCATGGTTCGAGCTCGAAGGAGGATCGACACACTCACACGCTACGAACAGTGGGCAACGACTTGGATCAGCATGGCTCGAGCTCGAAGGAGGATCGACACACTCACATACTGCGAACAGTGGGCAACGACTTGGATCAGCATGACTCGAGCTCGAAGGAGGATCGACACACTCACACCCTGCGAACAGTGGGCAACGACTTGGATCAGCATGGTTCGAGCTCGAAGGAGGATCGACACACTCACACGCTACGAACAGTGGGCAACGACTTGGATCAGCATGGCTCAAGCTCGAAGGGGGATCGACACACTCACATACTGCGAACAGTGGGCAACGACTTGGATCAGCATGGCTCGAGCTCGAAGGAGGATCGACACACTCACATCCTGCGAACAGTGGGCAATGACTTGGATCAGCATGGCTCGAGCTCGAAGGAGGATTAACAGACGTACTGCCTGCAAGTAAATGCCCAGTATAAATGAGTGTCACCTTCAAACATCCCAAAAAATCTTACCTGGACATGTGGAAACCAGGCGCCCAATCTCCCTATCATATGATCGTGATACTCATACGTTATCTCACCAGAGTTCAAACATTTCATGAGTATTCTGGATAATAACAGTCACTGACGCTAATGGCAGGAAATGAGATCATGAGTAGTCACCTCTCAACTGCATATCTCATGCAGATCTCCAAGTGGGTCCGCTGAGTCGACACAAATAATTGCTTCAACGCTTCGTTATCCAGAGTTCTAGCTGTGAGTTCGATTAATGGCCCGCAATCGGCATCGTCCTTGTTCATGTCTAATAGATCAGCGTCAAAATGTATTAAATCCACGAGTTGAGAATCATCCACTTACTAGGGAGGCATATGTGACATTTTGGACGGTGTTGAATCTCCTTGGAGTGGTATAGAAACTTCAATTGTGACCCAATTGCAAACGACTCTTCGGCGTGCTTCGGCGCCAGTTCTTCAGCCTCCTCCATTGATGCTCCGTTCGATTTAAGCTGTGCATATGCGGTATCGTAGAGGGCATCGAATTTTGTGAACAACACTATCACCGGAACTGAGGATGGTAATTCTGCGCATCAGTTGAACTTCAATGACGGTCGGATATGGAAACTTACTGTTTCCGGTGTCGCACTCAGAGAAGAACTTAATTTCGCCCTTGGTGAACGCCCTGCTTGCCTCGTCCATTGGGATGCAGTACCTATGTTAAAAGCGTGAGACAGCGCATTTTGTGATTGATCAGTTGCGATTACCAGATAGTATGCAGTTGTTTGCTTATTTTGGTTTCCTTTGAACGGTCCTTGATAAATGCCTTCACCTGCTCAAATTCCGATTCGCTGCCTGCTTCAAACCCACGTGAATCGTGAAAGACAAATCCTGGGTTGCTTCGAAACACCATCTCATTTTCAATATCGTGCGATCCGCGCTGAGAACGTGTCAGTCCATGTTACCATCTATTGAAAGCACGAGCCACCTCTGTGGAAGGCGTCAAAATTGTGGCATCGATCTGATGTCCATCGCTAAGTCATCACTCCCATCCTCCTACTAATATCGTGATGCTCACCTTTCTCCCGGCACTGTTATATATTTCTGGGTTCTCTCGTGAGTTACAAACTCTCTGCAGGATGTTAGTTTTTCCTGCATTCGCTCTTCCTAGGATGAGGACTCGAAAGCGACCGATTTTCTCTCTGATTCTTGAAGGATCCATTGGGGAAGGTAAAAATGATGGAGACTCGGAAGCGTTGGAGGAGCCTTATAATCGTTGAAGTGTGTGAACTCGGTTGACCCTGCCCGAGTTGAAGTCAAGCATCTAAATGATCTAGATTCAGTGGGCAAAGGGTATACACAGCCGTATACCGCATGAGGGATACACGAGGACTAATAGTCAGGATGTGAAAGTGACTTTGATCATTCGGAAGTGACGGAATGTCTGTGTTGGGTCACAAAGATCCGTAAGAGTGGGCAACATGGAGACCGTCTCCCTCAGTACAAGCCATCGATTGAGTAGGACCGGCATAGACCTGAGGCCTGAATGATGATAGGAACGAGTCGTCACGTCCTGCTGACGAGGTGGAAACACGCTACGGAAGCTGCCCTCCTACATGTGTGTCAACTTTGGTTTGAAGCATTATCGATTTATCGATAAGAGTGGCAAGGCTGTTGCTACTAGAACATATGAAAATGGAAGCGAGTACTGAGCTTAAAGTTCAGGAGGCTCTGTCTTCGCTACTGTACCCGAACAAAGTAGAATTCCAGTGCATGCGGCCTATTTGTTTATTCTACACGACCGTCCCTGCTGATAAGTTGTCGCTCGCTATAGAGAACTTCAGAATCACAAAGGATTTCCTCGGCGTATCACAGAGGCTACTTATAATTACTGGGTTCATCAAGTAGAAGTATATCCACATGAATCTGCCCTCGAGGCATATGTATCAAATGTGTTTAATTGAGCTACGTGGTCACGCGATCGTCGTGAGGCTACAACCGCTTTATGTGGTGCACGTTCACTTCTCGTAGACTGGCAACCTTGGCACGCGTCGTGAACATGCAGCTGAACTTGTATCAAAATGCAGAAAAGGGCAAGCTGTAGTCATTTTTGTTATATTGAGGGTATGCATACATATTGACGACGAATTTCACTCGTACATATCTTTGCGACTCATCTGCAACATTACCGTTGTCGTGTTCAACCCTACAGCGACCACAGACCTAATGATCCTAGAGAGATTCCTTCTCAAGCTTCGCCCTCAACACCCTTCCCCGATCTAGCATGGTATCAGGTTCAAAATAACAACCCTTCAGCCATCGAGCAGTCTCGCTATGTGCATCTGCATCGGAGCCATCTTCAATGAATGAAGTGCGTGCATGTAAAACCCGCCGATTGTCGAATAGGACGGCATCGCCTTCGCGCAGAGTATACTCTAGGTAGTTCGTAGGGTCATCAAGCAGAGCAGCGTAGCGTCCCAGGGCACCGTAAAATGCGGGAGGAGTCGAATCTAACAGCAGAGGAGCTTGAAAAGGCGGGGAATAATTAATGTCCTTTATTTCTGGCACGCCGGGTGCAGAGATACCGGTTGTGGATGAGCCAGTGCCCATTGCTGGGGGCAACGAAGCGAGTTCGATAGTGGGATGCTCGTAGTGAAGGTGGTGTCTGTCATTGATGTAATGGAATGGGACCGGTGTGGTCACCAGGGTATCGAAGTCTGCTGGATGGGTCTCACGCAACGTCTCCGCCGCGCGAAGACCATCAACAAAACGCGAAGTTCCGCCTACGACCTGATTGCGAAGGCAGTGGAGAATCTGATATCGAGGAGGGTGTTCGAAGTATCTGTCGGATCATCAGAGCATCATCGAGACAATGTACCGAAACTACGTACAGGAGATCCATGTGCATGCCTAAGTCAAGATCAGTATAGGCAATATTTTTGCTGTTGTGGATGTTCTTAACATCCCACAACTCCCCGTAGATGGTTGGGCGAATGTGGCCGAAAATATTGGCAAGTTTGCGGAGCTCGCATTTCTCGTTTGTATGCTCGGTGTTTGGGACACCTGTGAGGAAGAGTAGTCCATAACGAGTAAGCTGTGTGATGGCAGATAGAAGCTGGGAAGGGTTTTTTATGGCTTCGTAGGCCATATAGAGGTCAGGCGCTTGGTAGATGGTAAATACATCCCAAGATGTCGGTTGTACATCTTTGTGAAAAGACGACAGTCGCGAAGGTGATGAGTAGCGTTCCAAGAAAGAATGCTCGTAGAACGATTTGTGATTGTCTACCCACTCGACGTGTATGCCTCTGTCCTGGAAAGATACACCATCAGGAATGGGACGAATATCAGAGGGAATATCCGATGCTTTATGAAGCTTCTGAGATGTAGAAGGATGCACGCAGGCTGCGCATTGGCAAGCGTCTCGCAGCCATCTATGAGGAAAAGAAGCGTCGAGAGCAGGAACGATGAGCTGGGAATCTGTTGTCTGAATTCTAGCTTCAGTATATGCACGGCGAAAGGAAGGGATAATCTGTCTGGATAATCCTGCAGTCAGAAACTGACGCGTACGTAGACCGCAATGATATCCCAAGTTCATCTTGGTGTTGTGGAATTTGGTTTCCTGTCGAACACGCTAGCGCCGCTTGTTTGGAGACAACACATATTATATGTGTGCAAAATTACAATGACGATACGATGACGACGATGAGTCTCGACTTGGTCACATGATTTTTTCTACGGCTCGGCGCGTGCTGGCCGAGGAACGAGTCCCTCGAGGCCTCAACCATTGGGAATGACAACGTAGTCTAGATTGGCGAGCAACATCAAGGGCGTAATATATTTATACCCATACAAGCGCTCAGCTAAAGTAGTATGCACTGCCACCGTAACCAAACATGACCAAAGTCCAAATATTGCTTCTTGCAAGATCAAGCGAACGGACTCAGGCAGCGCGAGCAACGTCGACGACAACGGCAAGAGACCAAATCCGCAGCGACAGCGACCGTTGTCAACGTCGTCCAATTGTTTTTTAATACAATTCATGTCTCGCATTCCTGTCCCGTCATCTCACTCACCGTCCGCTAACAGAGCTCCCCATCACGATTCTTCTCCAGTCCCACCAGCACCCAAATACCCTTCATCAGCATCAATGTCCAACGTATCTGGTATCTCGCCGTCTGTCGCTGACACCCGGAGAAAGCAGTCTAAACGTGACGAGGTGAGTATTCTTTCCGCTTTTCGGCTTCCGGACGCGCGGTTGTCTTTACGGTACCCGTCGGTACCATTCTTCGTACACGTGTACACACTCCTTCCATGAGTTCCTCATCACCTATTTACCAAGGACGTGCTCACTCCGCAAACACTATATCCCACCGCCGCACGTCCGTCCGCGCTGTTTCACTCGCTAACCCTCCTTCACAGGCCATCCGGAAGAAAATAGAATCAGAGCTTGCCCGAAAACGTACTATCTCCACAACCCATCATGCCGGTGGCCGTGGAAAACGCGCTGCAAAACCTGCTGTTGCGAAAGGCACAGTCGCTGCACTGAAGCCTAGCCCTGCTCTCACCGTTCCCGATAATATTACTGTCGCAGAGGCCAGTCAGCTATGTGCAGCGAAACGGACAGATTGCGTCCTTGTTGTAGACGATGAAGAAGGACTCAGTGGTATATTTACCGCAAAGGATCTGGCATACAGAGTATGTTGTTGATTCTTTTCCACTTGACAATCAGTCCTGACAGTTTACAGGTTACTGCTGACGGTCTTGACCCCCATATCACGCCGGTCAGTCAGATCATGACCCGGAACCCAATGGTCACCCGGGATACCACCAGCGCGACCGAGGCTCTCCAGCTTATGGTTCAACGTCATTTCCGTCACCTGGTATGATCTCACCTGATTCTCTGAACGTGAGCGGTATTGATGCAAAGGCTAGCCTGTTTGCAATGAAGAAGGCAATGTCGTCGGATTGCTTGATATTACCAAGGTCTTCCACGAAGCACTGAACAAGGTCGAGCGTTCATCCTCTGCATCCGAGAAACTCTACACTGCTCTTGCGGGTGTGCAATCCGAGCTTGGTCCAGGAATAGCTTCAAACCCACAGGCTGCTGCTATGCTTGCTTATGTCGACGCTCTCCGCGAGAAAACCGCGTTGCCAGATCTCACGACTGTCATGGACTCGCGGACGCAACCTGCAACTGTCACTCCAAAAACGACTGTCCGTGAGGTGGCCAAGCTGATGAAGGAGCGTCGTGTCACTGCTGTTTGTGTCATGGAAAATACGCCAGGTATTGGAGATTCTTATACCAAGATCGCCGGTATCTTCACAAGCAAGGACATTGTCCTGCGCGTCATCGCTGCGGGTCTAGATGCAGGCATATGTAGTGTTATCCGTGTAATGACCCCTCATCCTGATACCGCTCCTCCTTCCATGAGCGTACACGACGCGCTCAAGAAGATGCATAGTAAGTGTTCCAATATTTGCTGTTGCCTATGCTGAACGTGCCGCCAGATGGCCACTATCTGAACTTGCCTGTTGTCGAGAGCGACGGACGATTAGTCGCCATCGTTGATGTTCTGAAACTCACATACGCCACTCTGGAACAAGTGGGTAAAATCTATTTGTAGCTTTATCTGTGCTGATTTGATCTCAGATGAATGCCATGAGCACGGAAAATCCTAGTGAATCTGTGGAAGCCGAAGGCGGACCAATGTGGGGCCGATTCTTCGACTCTATTGGTGGCCACGATGACACAGAGTCTGTCGTCTCTGGTTCACATGTTCCCACCGACGGCCCTTCTCTCTCTACGCATAACATTACTCGCCTTCAGCAGTCCCCACACTCCGAAGTGCATCCGAACGACTCTGCCTCCGTGATCGACGAGGAGCCCGAGTCTATACTCGAGGGCTACTCGCGAAAGCGTAAGGGTGCGATTCCAGTTATTACAGGTGCGACTTCCAGCGTGCCAGTAGACGATGGAACATACGTCTTCAAATTCCGTACGCCAAGTGGGCGCACCCACCGGTTCCAGGCGCGACACGATAGCGTCGAGATGTTGCGCGAGATCGTGCAAGGCAAGCTCGCGACAGACCCGTTCTTCACCGAATTCGCAGGCTCACCCAATGAGCGGCCCGACCCCGAAGATTTCACATTATCGTACACGGATGCGGATGCGGACACAGTGCTCATCACGAGCGACACGGATATTGCAGATGCGGTGAAGATCGCGCGGTCGGCGGGCTCAGATCGGGTTGTGCTATTCATCCAGGGCGGGAAGCACTGGATCGGAGCTGGCGCAGAGAAGAGTGAGGCAAAGGCCGCGGAGGTGAATGCGGCTGCGAAGGAGGAAGAGAGGGAAGTCGAGAAAGCAGAGGCTGTGACGATACCTGAACCTGTTGTGACTCCCCCTGCAAGGGCACACGCACCACCGCAGGAGGAGCTGGTGATGGGCATTCCGAAGGATTTGCTGCTCCCTGCCAGTATTGGTGCACTTGCTGCCGTGATCATTGCGGTGTTCACCATCTCAAGATTGTCACATGATTGAAGAAATAATGAGAAGGTCTACCGTGCCCATCAATGCCTTTTTTACCCTAAGGAACTCATTAGATTGTTCGTGATTTATATGTACAAGAACACAAGTTGCCGTCAAACCTGTCTTTCACTCATTTGCGTATACGACCTGTTTATGAATTTACCACGAATTTTGCGAGTGAATGCACTTGTGTCTCGATTTATGTAAATATGCCTGCTTGTCCTGTTTACTGAAGTAAATTGTATTTCGTCCTACTGCAGACTATATATATGGTCATACAGCGAGTTGGAAGTGCAGTTATTCAAATGTCTGACAAGGCAATTGCAATGCACCAGGATATGAACGTGGTCTACCTAATCGGTCCCAATTTTCTTTTCAAATCGATCCACTGTATCCACCAGTCGAAAGGGAGGGGGGCAGAGCGTGAGGTCCTTCTCCGCACGTGTTATTGATATCATCAGTGAGCTCAAGCTCGACGGTGGAGCCTTTGATAAAGACATCCCAGTCTAGGTAACAATTTGAATGCCATGACTTGCCATCGATAGTCACGCTCTGCAGTTCGCTCTCATTAAGAGAAGGTTAAAGACACGCGATTAAAGTATGACAGACCTTGACAAAGACTGTTCCACCAACGCCATTGTGAGGGTTGCCCGTGAAATTTTTGGCAATGATCGTCGTCGTGGTATTAAAAAGCGGGTTATAAAACGTGACCTTTGGGAAATAGGGCGAAGCGAGAAGGTATTGGCGTGTTGCTGGAAGCGGGTACATGCCCAAGAGGTAGAAAACGGCGTAGCTGCCCATGGCGCCTGAGCCAGTATCAGACACAACGTCTACTGAAGCTTTTGCAAGACTTGCCAGAATCATCATTACCCGGAAGACCGCTGACCGTGGTATTGTAAGACTCAGCCATTATCATCCGGGAGCGTCGGGTACTGAGACCAGGCCGATTGACGTAGTGGTACATGAAAGGAATTTGCTGAGATGGCTCATCTGTGACATCGAAGTAGTTCTGGATGCAATTCAATCTTCGAGCGTCACTTGCAGTTGAGGTATTTACCTGATCGAAGATCAAGTTCAGTCGATTTATGAATGACTCGTTGCCTCCCTGCAACGAGATCAACTTGGCTGTGTCTTGAGGAACATACTAGGGATAGTCTGTCAATGAAGATAAGAAATATTTTCATGATATGCATACTTGAGAATACTGAGAGCAATAAGCTGTTAGATGAAAATAATTACGGAGTCTAGTAAGGATACATACCACCATAGGAGATGACTCATAGAAGCCATCAATGTTTGTAGGATCGAGGTAACAGGTTGAATGGAGAGGATCATTTACACTGCAATGACGAGGGTCGGTGTAATTCCACTGCCCATCTGCGAAGCGAGGCTGGAAATCAGCGAGTCTTGTGCTGCGTTGACAATGTTACGGGTAAAAGTGACTTACCTGCATCATGCCCTTGATCGAGGAATTTCCGGGAAGTGTGACCTTCTCATTCCAGACATTGATGAAGTTTCCCGCTCGGGCTTGGTACTACAGTCGCAAAAACTAACGTTCTAGTTTCACACACATGGGAAATGGCAAACCTTGGCTACATCATTCGTTTTGTTGAGAATTCTTGCAACTTGCGAGATGGAAAAGTCATCAAATGAGTACTATCAAAGTAAGCGAGAATGAGGTCGCAGATTGAACACACTCCTACCTCTAATGTACGTGAGACTTGCCTAGTGGCGGTACCTCCCAAGTCATCAATGTCAGAAGGGATGAAGTCTGGAAGGATGATCGTGATGAGGCACATGATAAATATTGATTTGCTAACTGTATTTTTTCCAGGCAGTTGTCTGTCTTCCTTGGAGATCCCAGTCGTGTGGTTGTTTTTCTGCATCAGCAAGAAGGGCAATGTACAGACTATGAGCTGAGACATTCAGAGCGCTAGCATGCTCATAAAATCTACGATAGCAGTCAGCGACTATACAACACTGGCTTTTATGCTTGCCGACTTGACAAAGAATTCTCCGAGAATAGGGTCGCCGTCTGTGGCCATATTTTAGAGGTGAAGCATGCAAACTAGTTCGAGAACTTACTGCTTCCACCTTGGACCCACTGCTGAAGAGTAGCGTCACGGCACTCAGGCAACCAACCTACCATGAATCAGTTGCATACATACTTCACAGTATAATTGTGTACCTTCATGCTGTTGAATGTTGATCATTCCACGAACGATGCGGGCGAACACCTCGGGGTCATGAAGCGACATTAGAGGATACAGGGTACGGTAAGTGTCCCACTGCGCTCGGGGCGTTAGTGATATTGTATCAATGCCACAAAAAATACCAACATTGCAGTAAAAGGAATCATAATAAGGCTCGGTGGAATTCCATTTGGGGTTTTCGCCAGTGTCTACCAATCAGGTCAACGATCGTGTGCTTACAAAAAGGAACATAGCCTACAATCAGCGGGAGAAATATGCGTCCTGTAAAACTAACGGCCCGTGCAACTCGGGCATATTGTGACATTTCAAGTACTCACTGATGAGTAGAACAGTTCAGTAATTTCTTTGTCCACGCCCTGAGTATCGACTTGGATTCGGGATAGAAGTTCGTTCCATGCTTCTCGTGCTGTTGCGACGGTCTTATCGAAATTGAAGTCCGGGATCTCTGATTCAGCATTGGCGCAGGCCTGACCAGAGGAAATGAATGAAACACCGACACGTGCAAGGATGGTCGTGTGAATATAATTAGGAGAGGGCGGGAAAGTCATCAGAGCACCCATCTCAGACGCGAAGCCTGCAAGCCATGCATTTTAAGATACCAAGATGAAGGGTCAAGTAAATACCGGAGTTTAATTGATTGGCCTGTGTGCTATTCTGCACAGGAGTATTCCCCAGCCAAAGCCCGTATTCAGTGGGAGCCTTGAAGTCATGACCGTCACCTTTGAAATCTACACAAGTATAGACTTTGTATCTTCCAGGACCAAACGCTGAAGCAAAACTGCCTCCCCCTAAGAATGACGGTGAGGTGGGACATCAGGGAACATTGAGAGACATTACCTGTGACGCGCCCAGTAGTAGGGTTAATGTTAACAACAGGTGCTGTGGTGTTGTCCATGCCATCGTTCGTGATGTCCACAACAATACGAGGTTCGCGTGACGACGGCGGGAATGTGTAACGGTGAAGTGCAGTACGACCTGAAGCAGTCAACTCCACCTGAACGCCAGTAGACTGCAAGGACTAAGTCGGCAGCACAGTGAAGTAATTTCGCACATACGAGATTCGTCGCAAAGTAACCAGGCGAACCAGCATCGTCAGGAGAACCTGTAGTATGATTAGGACGTTATATTTAGCACACAACCATGAGGTGGGTGTGGTTGGTTACCATCAGGAAGGACTTTCCGTAACGTCTTTCTGGTAAGCAAGGATGTGTTACAGGATGCGAATGAGTCGCATTCAGGCAGAGGCCAGAGCTTAAAGTTGGATAGCGGTGTACCCTTCAGGAAATATTAGCTTTTAAGTGCGTATAGTATTTTGCAGCACCCAAGATACGCACACCACCAGTCCCTGAATCGTGCAGCTGCGAAAAACCGGTAGCATTGAATGTTGCATCGGCATCGTAACCCGCTTGCTGTATGATGTCCGAAACTTGAGGCATCATGAAGAATAAACATTCAATAGCCTTACATTTCCCGGGGAATCAGTGTCAAGCCCGACTTTCACCATCCCATGCGGAAGAGTGGCACCTACTCAAAGATCAGCAGAAGTCAAGGTTGCTCTGTAGAAGCAAACCGGGGAAAACATGTCCTCCATTGGTTGTGCCTATGAAAACATTGACGTAGCTTGCACGGTCCGAGTATATGATAGTTGTGTTTGCTGGCGAAGATGACGCTGTGTCTGTCTGGGAGCGAACAGTTAATTTCGGACGCGAATGCGTAGCTAATCGCGTGTGTGATTGGGCACTTGAATCGGCCGATAGAAAAAGCGCAGAGAGTATCACTAGCCAACGGGCCATGGTGGTAAAGATTTGGGCGCAAGTGAGAGAACTCTTAACAAAATGAACTAGCTTTATAACGAGAGATATTACCACATCTAGTATCAAATTTTGCTGGCAACAAAAACCTTGTAATCCCAACTTGGATGGTTAGCGACAACTATGGTGTACGTACTCCATGTACAGCGATTAAGCTGCGAATAAGAAACGAGTTCCAGCAAGGATATCGCGTCCATTGAGAACGCCACGATGTCTGTGTCTCTTGCGCATCTGAGCAAACGCTGAAAAGTCTGGCGTAAACGAGAGCATAAAGTCAATGGCAGAACTTGCGAGCTGCGCGCGAAGCTGTCGCTCGCACAATGGAGATGTGAAGGAAAAGGAATGATCCGTTTGTAAATGTACTGGAAGATCATGGCCTGAGGGCAAAACCGTCACTCGCACAAGTGGAGATGCAAAAGAAATGATCCATTGGTAAATATACTGGAAGATCATAGCCTGAGGGTTGGCCCGGATTTGAAGCTTGAAGTATTGGTCCGACTCGGATAAAGTCAGCCAGTGGAGGTGTAAGGCTCTGTACGGACACAGTATTCAATATTCGATATTCAACATTCGCTGTCATGTGACAGCACCTTATTCATCCGGATGATCCCGGATCTTTGCCTCAAGGACCAAGATAGTGCGCAGTCCGACAAGCGTTATCGACACTCTCGAGCTGTAGCTAGTATCAGATGGATGATCTCCGTCGCCATCGTTTTCTTTTACTTATTACTTGCCTTGTTGCTCACATATCAGCTCTGTACTACAAAATCTTTCTAACTCCACATGTCAGTATACCATACCATACATCCGCCTTGACAGGTCATGCATGGGTTCTCGAGCTCCTCACAGGCCATCCAGACAGGATCAGACACAGTCTAGGTGTCAACTTGGAGATTTTTGAAGAACTACTGCAAGTTCTACATGCCAATGGCTTTGTTCAATCTCGCAATGGTGTTACAGTTAGTGATGTGCCTGGCCTGGCCTGGGTGTCTCATAGGCCATGGCCTAGGGCTCAGGCCAGGGCTTCTACATAGTAAATGGATTTTTCCAGAATGTACTGTACAGTAGTTACTAAATTAAACTTTGCAACAACCGCATCTGCTGGAAGTCGGCTGAACAACATACCCAGCCTGAGAATGACTCTCACAGTCATGTCTGATGATGACGCAGTTACTGCCGTCATAGTACGTTCTAAACGAACAATCATACCTTCTTCTCGGCTCCTCAATTCCAATAATAGTGCAACACCCGAATTAACTAGCCACAGCAGGTCCAGCGGCCGGTTCAACCAAACACTGCTCCCATGGCAAATCCACGCAATGCCAAGCAAAATGCAGATGACGCTGGCTGGAGTCCAAGTCTCTCAAATCAGGACAAGGATTTGGACAATGAAGATTCCAACAAATCAGTATACAAGGGTAAGTACTATCAATCTTTGTGCCGGTATGCTCACTATTTTATTTTCATAGTCAAGCGCCTTCATTGAGCCAGCGAGCCATCCTTCACAGATATTGATGACGCTTGTTCGACTCATTCATTCAGCACACACACACAGGTAAGCACACAACTCATTTCACCATTGAATTCTAATGCTACTACTAACTTCTTACTCTAGCGCATACAGGTACACATGAGGACTCCATCGATTGTGACATTGACATCACTGGTGACGGCGATGACGAGAACGACAACGACAGCGATTCAATGCGAGGAGAAAACTCGGGACGTCAACACGTTCTTCGGCAAGTCCTATGCGCATAAGGTGAAGGATGGTAAGACAAGGAATGTATGAGACTGTGAAACTTGCAAGTACGTGATTTTTTCATTCTTCAAATCTTGACTCACAGAATTATAGGAAGAAGGGGTCACCCTCGCAAATAGTTAGTGACACGTCAACATGCCGCCATCACCTTGCATTTCGCCATGCGGTAAGTTTATTTGTTATCTGTTCTTGACATCTTCATCTCACTTGCCATCAGGATGCTTACCACAAGTGGTGCAAGGCCAATAAATTCGCCTCAATGCTACCTCAAGATATCAAGGAGCGCAAGACTGCTGCTGCTGTTGCGAGTGTGCAGCAAGATAATCTCGATGGCCATCTCCGTGAGATTGAGCCTCATGAGGCCATTATTCCCTACTCTGACTCACTGTTTCGTGACGCCGCTGTGGAATGGCTCATATTCACTGGACAGGTATGTTTTTCATTTATTTGATCTAATTCACTTATTCTAGTCCCTATCATAGCCCATCCAAGCTGTGGACCACCCTAGTTTCAAGAAGATGATAGATGTCACTTCACGTTGTCCTGCATGATGTGGGAATCATGCATGGACATGAATACTAGGTGACCCTCAAAAGACAAAGTCTGTTAGCTTAGTCCTCAGACTAGTCAACCCATACCTTGGTTTCAAACCATGGTTCATATTTCCAGTTTTCCCCAAGTTTCATGATCTGAATACGTTTTGACGGAAAAAGTCTAATGTGAGATGGGAATCACATTTAGACCTAGTTGATGTGAGAAGAGAAATGGAGGTTAAGGTATAGCCTTGCCTTTGGCTTATTCACTTTGGCTAGAGAAAACCATAGAGAAAAGTACAAAGCCTATAAAAAACCTATCCAAAAAGACCGTGTTTCAATTCCTGCCAACTGTCTTATTTTTGCTACCTACTTTTCTCTAGTGTTTCTTTACTTTACTTTTTCATTAGGATGCTTTGACTCACCTGACACTTCATAAAATTGTACCCATAGGGTATGATGTCATTATGATGTCATAAGACTCCACAGATACTCCTGCAGGTATTCTGTTGAAAGATATTATGTCATCAAGCTCTAGATTATTCTACTCTACAATGACATCATTCATGATGTCATTTCCTTCTAGAATATTCTGCTCCACAATGACTCACTCTGACTCACTCATGGAAGGTTCTGGAATCTTTTGCTCCACAATGATGTCACTCTTGATGTCATTATGATGTCATTACTCCACATTCCAGAATGTTCTGCTCCACAATGATGTCATAGCTCCATCTTTCACTTGTATTTTATTCTTTTATTGGGTTTGACCCAATATTTTGATTGGTCCTCCTTATTTTTTATTGTTTGTGAACCTAGGTTACTTTCCCACACAAAATGTATATAAGGAGAGCCCATTCTCCCCCCAAAAAATATGATCTCCCATTTGTAGCAATCTGCCTCTCAGATATTTCACTTGCAAAGTTAGTCCCTTTGAAGTGAGACAAGTGCAGGGAAAAGAATTCCCTTGAGATTATAAGTTTCTTACCTTAGAAACTTATCTAGTGCTATAGACCAAGTGTTCTTGGTCATATATATCATCTTCGAGACCCCTTTGTCTCATTGCTCTGTACCCTTTGACTAAGTGATCTTAGTCATCTATTATATAGTTGAGACCATGTCTTACTAGTTGTCCCATAGACCAAGTGATCTTGAACATATATTGTATATTTGAGACCATGTCTCACTAGTTCCAGTATCCAAGTCCAGAGCCTAGAAGGAAATTTCCTAGGCAAATACATTCCAGAAACCGAATTACGTGTCTAGAAGCTTATTCCTAGACAAGAGATTTGAGTTTCAATAAAGAAAAGTAAAGCTCCGGCTAGGTTGATCTTTATAAAAAGATTGGTTTAGCGAGCCTCCCAAGAACTCACACGTTATCTACCATGAAATAGGAAAAGTCGTAGACCGTGTTAATCGAGGACTGGCAAGCAGTCTTATCCAAAGTGTAATTGTGGTGTCATTACATTTACACGACTTTATATAAGACCCTCGGTTATTAAGACAACGTGCTGTGCACGGTGTCCACATACCCAATCACAAGGCTACACGGGCCGAAATAATGGACTTATTCAAGAAACAAATGACAAAGTTAAAGGAGCGCCTTAATGCAAGTTATTTTTTTATGTTTCTTTCTTCGCTACTCATTTCTTATATCACACAGAGTAAGATTGTCAAAGGCAAGGTTAACTTGACCTGCGACGCTTGGCAGGCAAGTAACATCGACAGTTACTTTGCTGTGACAGGTTATTGGATCAAGGAGGTGTCTTCAGTTACCTGGGACCTTCAATGCGCAGTTCTTGGGTTCACTCAACTCAACAATTCGCATAATGGACAGCGACTGGGTCAAGCCCTGTATGGTATTGTTGACCATGTTGGAATTGCACACAAGGTAAGCTCACTCAGTTCTTACCTTACATTTTCACTAATTCGTCATAGGTTGGCCATATTACATGCGACAATGCAAGCAACAACAACACGATGCTTGATGAATTTGCGTATCAAATCAAGCAAGGCATCAGTCGAATGTGGATACCAGAGAAGCGCTGCATCAGGTAAGTTCACCTGTTACTTGTTCAGCATTGGCTAATATACATCACGAAGGTGCCTTGCTCATGTCATTCATCTCGCAACACGAGCTCTCATCTCTACCTACAGCAAAGCACCCTACTACAACCCTCAGCATGCAGACCTTTCTGTACCTCAAGAAAACAGTTGCTGTGACGAAGTCGGTCTCATTCGTGCCATCGCAGTCAAGGAATGATCTTCAGCTCAACACAAGCAGCTGTTCAAGGACATTCAAGCTCGTCCTCCCAACCCAAGTCCTGTCATATCTCAGCTACTACTAGATATGCCTATCCGATGGTCATCTACGTACGTCATGCTGGACCACGCCGAAAAAAAGAAAGCGGTATGTTTTAATTAACAATGACATTTGTTCTGAGACTAACTTTCTTTGAGTATATCAACACATTTGTATACGAAGTTGGACTACGTGAAGGCAACCTCGCAAAACGTAAGAAAATTGACAAGTTGAGACTTAGTACGGCCGAGTGGGATCGTGTTAAGCTATTTACATCTCTTCTAGCTGTTTGTTGTCTATTCTTTATGTCCAACTGCAGTCACTGACTCCAAACTTGTATTTCAGCATGCCGACAATGCTCAACAGAGCTTCTCCTCAGATAGAGGTCCTTCCCTTCAACAAGCATTGCCAGCTCTCGAGGCATTACACAAGGCTTGGTCATCACGCTCCGCAAATTCAAGATACGAGGCTTTTCATATAGCATTGAATGCTGCTGTCGAGAAAATCAAGCAGTATTATGATTGAACTTCCGAGAGCGAGGCATATATTATGTCTATGTGTAAGTTAAGTTCACTCCAGCAATTCATACTCTCATTCAATCAAACTTTCTAGTGCTTGACCCTTCCCAGAAGGATACCCATTTCAAGAGATTTTGGGGCAAGACCTTACATGCTGAGGCCCTCGACGAGGCCGAGAGAATAGTAAGTGCAAACACTTGTGAAGGTCATTGACTAATGTCCTTGTAGTTTCAGGAATGTCATGTCGAGCTATATGGTGAACATGGAGCTCCTTCTTCACCAAAAAAGAGGAGGGTAGGCAAGGTAAATGCACTCCTTCGTGAGTTGTCCAGTGACAAGAGTGAAGGTGAACTCAAAGACTCACCTATTGATCCTCAATCACCATGGGCAAGGGAGTTCCACCTTTATCTCAATACCGCTACCTTGATTCCGGAGAGCATGTCTATTATACAATGGTGGGGGGTAAGTATATTTTATATCCTTGTGTCTTACACTACTAATTTACACTCGAAGTTGAATGCTCAGCAATACCCAGTATGGGCATCTCTTGCCCGTGACTACTTATCTATCATGGCTACATCAGTCTCTAGTGAGCGTGCTTTTTCAGCTGCTGCTCTAACTATTACCAAGCTGGCAAAATCGCCTAAAGGGTGATATTGTGGAGGCTATCCAAGTCTTACGACATGTTGTACAATCGTGACCTTATGTTTCATGAGCCTCCCCCTTCATCTGCTTTAGAGTTAGCATTAGAAGAGCCAGAAGTTGGTGAGGAAGTTGATTCTGGTGTTCAAGGGAGGACTGCCTGGGATTTGGAGCTATCTGATATACCATCTGACTAGTATTCAAATAAATAAACATCATTTTTCATCATTTTCTTTGATTTTTATTGAGAGGCCCTGGCCTGGGTTTTTGCCAGGCCTGAGCCCTCTGAAGCCAGGCCCGGCACATCACTAGTTACAGTTGAGGAACAACTTGCCATTTTTTTATATATGTGTGTGACTGGTCTGTCAACCTGCCATGTTGGCGAGCATTTCCAATGGTCCTCTGACACAATATCAAGGTAAAATATTCCTACTCTGTTCCCATTTATATATACTAATTTTTATTATATATGTAGATACTTCAAGCGCATGCTGATGTTCTTCTCAGATGACCCTTTCTACTCCTCCCAAGTTAAATTTCTGACAATCAATTCCCCCATCCCTTTATCAATACAAAATGACCCCCACTTTCGCTTTTTTGACAACTGTATCGGTGCAGTTGACGGTACACACATCCGGGCATTCACCACATGTATTGACCAGGCCTTCATGCGTAACTGGAAGGGTTTCATATCTCAGAATTGTCTTTTCATATGCAATTTTGATTCTCTGTTTATTTATCCACTCTGTGGCTGTGACGGCTCATCCGCTGATGTGGCACTTTGGAACGATGCACGCCAACACGACCTACGGATACCTGCAGGAAAATACCTGCTTGCAGATGCAGGGTTTGGTACTTGTGATGCATTATTAGTTCCATGTTGTGGTGTGCGCTATCACCTCAAAGAATGGCATCAGGTGTCTCTCACGTCAGTTTTCTTTCATTATTTATCTTGCATTTGACAATTATTGAAGCCCACAGAATGCTAAAGAACTGTTTAACCTTTGCCATGCTTCACTGCGCAACATCATCAAATGCATATTTGGGGTGATGAAACATCAGTGGCGCATTTTTACAACTCCCTCTGGAGTATAGTATGGACATTCAGGCGTGTTTACCATTGGCCCTATGTGCCTTGCACAATTTCATCCATCGCCGCGATCCTAATTTTGGTCAAGATTTCAACTTAGATGGTGAGATCTTGGATATTACTGGTGATGATAACATGGATGATGGTGTGCACTGGTTGCCTGAGGAATTGGAGGGGAATCTGGCTGATGGGCCAGCAGATGGTAGAGAAAGGAGAAGAGCTGATCAGGGTCATGATGAAATAGCGGCTGCCATGTGGGTGGATTACTTAGAAGAACGAGCTCACCATGGACTTGCAGTACCAGTGCCAATGTAAAACTAGGCAGTATCAATACTTCTTGAATTACAGACTATCAACAGACAAAAAGTGCAGCTAATAACAGTGAGACTTGAACTTGAACATGAGAACACTTGTAGTATGACCAGCACCATGACAAAAGACTAGTACAATTTACTACTTACAAGGTAGTACTAGTAGCACCACAACAAATAATAGAAAGCTTCCTCTGTGCCCACATGGTCCTGTATTCTCCGCCCTTGAAATTAGCAAACACAACGGCCTCAGTTGGGTTTGACGATAAGTAATCTGTAAGTTCCATAACATCATCCATACTCAAACCCTCAGTCTGAGTAAGCAAATTGATTGCACGTCCAAGATCAGTGGAGGGAGGTTGCTCTTGCATAGCAGTCTGAACACTAGGCTCAGAGGGTGCAGTAAGGTTGTTGATGATGTGAGGTAAGATGTCTGCAATTGACATCAGCATTGTGCTACCCTCCTGCTGGGCTGCTACAGATGCTGAGGGAGGATGGGACCGCTTCAGGTGACTGCCATTCTCCTTCATTCGGCAGTGCACTAAATTTATACTTAGCGCAGCTGACACTTGTCAGCCCTGAGTCACTTGTAGTGGAGGAGAACGTCAATGATACAGTCCGCCCACTGACAGGTGGCCGGGAGTGTGAGCCTGAGGATGGAGGCATCATGGATACCTGGGCCAGCGGAGATGCTTGGTGTAAGTTGATCTCATCAGTAGCAGAGACGAGTTGCGTGAGATTCATGGAATTACTCATAGTGGGAGTGTGACCTGGAGGATATAGTGGAGGGGGCATGAGAATGCTGGAAGACGATTCAGATGGTGCAACGGAGGGCATTGCTGAGCTGGCTTGGGGCTGATGCTTCACGAACTTTCCTCTTGCAGTGCTTGGCCCTTGGGGCATGATCTGGTCAATTGTATTGAAGTGCGAGAACCCTTTGGTTTTGAACAGTTTTGCAGCAGGACTGTTCTGGTATCACAGGTAGTTCAATGGGAGTTCTATATTGAACATTGGTGTGCTGACTTACCTTGACATATTTCTCCCAAATGTCCCCATGTGCGTCTGTAATTCCTGCTCCAAGCTCATCACTCCATGAAAAACCCGATGTTTTCTTGATATTGATAACAGCATTGTAGGAATCCTTTAGCTATCAAGACATAGTGTACAGTAAGCTGCAGCCGGCAATGGATGATTGTGATAGTGCTTACATTGGTCCACTTTGTCTTGCAGACACTTGCAGTCTTTGCCCCACCATGTTGAGCAGGAAATGATTGATTGATATCATCAGCAGCTGCTTGAAAGGTTGTGTTTTTGAAGCTCATGGTATCTCCAGCTTGAGCCTTATGGGTGAGTAGGTACTGGAGAAATCTAGCTTCTTCTTCATGTGTCCAATGCGCAGGGGCTTTACAAGTTCTCTCTGATCTTGATAGCATGTCTTTCTCATTGACAGGTCCCTGTGATTGGAGGGAACGAGTAGATGATACAGAGGCGTCACTGGTAGACATGGTGGTGGTACGTTTCAATGTAGTGAGTCTACTAGTGATCCGATTTGATTTGAAGGCCAGCGAATAATGGCACGGAGATAACGGAGTTTCCACAAACGTCGAAGTCTGTTAAGTACTTAACCAATACTTAACAGTGAACAATCCGGCTTCCACTGGCAGTGCTTCTCGAACGCGTGGTAGTCTCTGGCACATATCAGTCATGTCAAAAACAGAACGCGAAGATGCTATATCAGCCATTGTAAGTTGTCCGACGGTTTGATATTAGTGCGGTAGCGCTAACCGAGAACCCATGCACCAGACATCCAAGATCTTCTCAGCCATGTTGGATGACCTTGCAATGGATGTGGCACTACAGGCTCACCACCAGCTTCTGCGCAGTAGAGCAGTTTGTCGTATATGTCACACACGGTACGTGATCAATGCATCACCAGTGTGGAAACTCACTGACCTGTTGGCAGGTGTGGCTTGGGTATGTTAGAACTTTCGTCCGTCATTTACTATCCTTACCATATTATCCTTCCTCCATAAACTCAGTTCATCCAAATGGGGCCCAGACTGTAACACCGCAATCACAGTCCGTCCTCCATGGCGATGTCGCAGGAAAGACGGCTTCAAGCACTGGAACCAACACTCCGAACGGAAGCAAATCCGACGGCAACATTTTCTTTGAATGCATGGTCTGCAAGCGTCAAGTGAGCACAGGGCTCAATGAACTTTACATGTTGAACTAAGTCGTCGCTCTAGGTTGCTTCCAATAGATTTGCCCCACACCTGAGCGCTTGTATGGGGACAGGGACCGGAAGCAGGCGTGCGGCTCCTCGCGGAACAAATCTCAAGGCAAAGTGAGCTACACGTCAATGTTACCGATCAAACGCACTCAGATATCTCCAGGATTCCCATCGAACCTGGCCGGTCAGCGTCTCCATACCCAGGTTCAGAAAATGGCAATGTTTCGGATGATAACTCAAATGGTAAGGGCAGGGCAAAGGGCAAAGGAAAGCGAGCAGGTAACATAATTCCATTTTTTGCTGCTCAAGGGGTGTTTTGATAAACTTGTCGTAGATGATACAGACTTCAATTTGAAGCGAAAACGAGTAGGGATGATGCAACTCCTGTTTGACTCCGAGATGAATTGTTGTCGTTCTAGCCCATATCGCCTCAGACATCACCAACGAAAAAGCTCACGAAGAAACTTAAAACAGCAGGTAAAAGTAACTTGCGCTTTGCATCGTCATTTCGTGATCTGACACTCTGACAGGGTCACCGGTGTCTCGCCTCAAAGCAGACCCTGACAGCAGCGGTACGATTGCAAGCAACGTGCGAGTCCTTTTCATCCTTTTATCCCTTCTTACCCGACTTCATCCAGACTCTTCAAGTGCCTTCATCGTCTTCCCAATCCAAAGTCCCATCAAAACTTCGTTCCTCATCCACTGCCTCTTTCCTTGAACGTGATCGCTCTTCTACCCCAGGTTCTCAATCATCTGTGGGCACGCCCATTGCCTCAACCTCATCTGCGATATCAGCTAGGAGCGTTGCAGGTACAGGTCCACCGAAACGTGGGCGTCCCAAGGGTAGTAAGACAGGGACAGGTAGGGGTGCGTTGGCCGCCCAGCAGAAGCGCCCGAGTCCCCCAAGACCACTTCTGCCCCCGCCCCCACCCCAACCGCCTGCACCTGCTGTGAGAATTGAACAAGACTATCTTGTCGGTAGGTTCGATGCTACATACATTCATGTCTACTTACTCATCAACCAATGGCGCCAGACGTCGAAGGCGACGAGACCGGGTCGTCGACCGACACAGACGGCTGATCACCATTTTTTTCGTCTCGCCGAATTGCTGCGTGTGCGAGCACTTCCTATTTATTGCTGCGCATACATGAATCAGTCCAGTCATGCTGCGTACCATGTTTATGAAAGCAAGGTCATGATACCCTACCAATCTGTAACACTCTCCGCTGACGATGTTGTTGTTATATATATTATACAATATGTGACATTGATTTTTGAATTTATTGGACGTCTGTACTTCTCGTCGACTTTGAGGCTGGATCACAGTTGAAGCTGAAGGTCTACGCCATGTATGATGTGGTTACCAACTCAGTACGCGACACGGAGGTGGCAAATAGATATATAGAAATATAAATAATTATAGATGACAAAAACGCAAAATTATTATATAACGTTTTAGTGAATCTCAAAGTGAATCTTGTCGTCAATTCTGCAATTACGCTAGGTTCTAGACAGCGCGAATCGATGTGCAGCCTGGAGCCAGTCTGGGTGACATCATGCCGTGTTTGGGGTGGACTCCAAGTCCATGTCTAGAATCAGGTCTAGATGATCCAAGCCGCTTGCTGCTCATCACCCTACACCACGCCGGCACACAGCGCGCGCTGCCCTCTGATTTCGGCTTTAGGCAATATCGACGTCCTCGAGTCTGCAACACCCAAACGTACGCCTCATTTATTCGGATGGGCCGCCTATCAATCGACCAAGAAGACAAAACTGGAGTAGCTTGAACCGAGTATCATAGAGGACACAACGTAGTTCTGGGCCAGGACTTAGGAAGAGGTCCTAATTCAATGTAGAAGTTTACGATGCGGAAATGCTGGTGCTTTTACGGGTGTCAACACATGGAGTACAGTTTGCATGGGAATATGAAGTGAATCACATCCATTTCTATATTGACAATCACCTCGATCTACTTAAACGGTGAACAACGAGCAAGACTAGGTACGGTCGATAAATTCAAACATCCATATTGCTCGAGCAAACGAAAATTTGTCCAAGAACAACTGTACTAATTGACTCCAAACTAGGTGTTGTACATGTGCCATCAACGTTGCAACCATGATACCAAAGCGAAAGCAGAAACATGAAGACGTGCCGCCAGCTCAATCTTGACGCGTTATGGGTATCATGCACAACGAAACTCCTGTACTCTAAGGCGCATAGGTGAGTCATTGTGATTGAATCCTGGTTGCGACCTGCTCATACTCACAATGTCATGCGCACAGCTCATGTTATCGCAACAATCTGCATCTGTGACGCAACTTTTATGGCTACATGCACTGACCGACATGGACGCTGTCAAAGTAGCAACGATGACGAGGAACAAGAACTGCATTTTGTGTGCAGTGTGATATAGAATCTTCCAAGGGGGATCTCCTTGAAGACGGGGAACACTATAGGACGACGACCAGCTTTATACACTTATGGGCACGATTCTGATTGGTTTGGTAGAATTTGTTGTTGCTGTCAAATGACACAAGTTTCGGTGGAACTTGCAGGGGCGTGTTCAATTGTGACCTCTGTATCATAACCTGTGGGGTCGTATTGTGTTCAAGGTATAGTTCATGGGTTCTCCCGCATGAATTACTGATTTGAACCGTCTCTGAATCCATCTCTTAGCAGCACTCCACTCTTTGTAATTTGGTCTACTTATGCTATTTGCATGCTGTTAGTGTTGAGAGAACAACTGATTCATTCTGTGACCTGGCGTCCGCTGCCACGTTTCTGCCTGCCGCAGACGTGACACGGCTGTTGCAGATTCACTAAAGATCGATCCTTGTACTCCATTTGCAGTTCTGGCTAGCTTTGCCGACCGAGATTTAAGGCGACTCAAGCCCGTGTCGCTGACGCGACCTTGGTAAGGTTCACACGATACCGGTATGGTGAAGCTTGACGGGGAACGATATGGGTGGATGGGACGAACACGACATCATCAGGAAAAACCTCTTTCCCGAAACCAAGGTGATTGTATTGAGATCATGCATAACTAGTTTTTCTGTTCTAACCCCAGTCGCAGTTACTTCACATTTATGGTCATCTGTTAAATTATCTGGAATTCGGTGAAGGCCAGGATGTGGTTCTGAGTAAGCCGTGGGTGGGCAAGTGCGCAGCCTGAGGTGATCAAGAGCGGATTCTCAGAATAACGTGACTCAAGAGTATACGATATGATTTCCTCGCTATTGACGCAACGCATGGCACTTGTGATACGCCAAGGCCTGCAATTTTAATCAGCCAATATTCCATCATTCACTTGATGCGCTGGATCAGTTTGCGCGTGATTCGTCGAGGCTTGTTCCAATTCTGCCATTATTTCCCATTTGTTATTATCATGATCGGACTTATTCAGATCTAGGCCGGGCCTGTGAACCAGTTATCTTCCCCAGCCTGCCTCCCAAGCTCCACAGGCTGTTCTGTTCATCATGTCTGACAACCCATCATTCGTGCTCAAGGACATCCTGGATGTCGAGATCCAACAAAAGCCAGTTCCAGAGAGTGAGTCTACCAAGGGCCAGATTCACGCGCGCTTACTTATCGTACTATCTTGTGAAGTTGACGCTAATGAAATCATCAGCGGGAAGTATCGCGCTACAGGGTGTTACAGGGTGCTACCAAGCACTTCGTAGCAAATTACGTTTTCCTGATGCACACTAACTTTTATTTATTGTCATTCAACCCTGTTCTAGATGGAACCTCTTTCCGTTGCAGTCCATGCTGTCTCGAATCTCGGTGCTTTGCTGTCAAACCAGTCCGTCGCCGTCTTTGGTTGTGGACCAGTTGGACTTCTATGTATGGCCCTCGCGAAAGCATTGGGCGCTTCCCGTATTATTGCTGAAGATATCATTCCTGATCGCCTTGAATTTGTTAAAACATACGCTGTGACTGACACCTTCCTACCTCCTTCTATGGATAAGGGCGCGTCGGGGGTCGCATTTTCAATACGCAATGCGCAGGAAATGAAGGAGAAACTCGGTATTGCTGAGCATGGCCCTCGGGCGATTGACTTGGTTTTGAATGCTTCCGGCGCAGAGGCCTCTATTCAGACAGGTATCCGGATTGCCAAGAGTGGTGGTACCTTCGTCCAAGTACTTTGGAATCCACAGCAGTGAAAGGTCTGCTTTATTGATTATGAATAGGTCGGCATAGGTAACCGCGATGTCACCATTGACATGTTTGCTGTCCTTGTGCAAGGAGCTCGTCGTCAGGGGTTCCTTGCGTTATGGAGTAAGCACTCGCTATTTTCATCGTGGCATTGCTTGATCACTGTCTAACGAAGCCTGGTGACTACCCTCTCGCCATCGCCCTCGTTGCGTCAGGCAAGGTCGACGTCAAATCCCTGGTGTCGCACCGGTACGCCCATTGTTATAAATGCTATCCAATTGTCGTGTTAAAAGTCGCAATAGTTTCCCATTCAGACAGGCATGTGAGGCATTTGAAATCACTCGCATTGGCAAGAGTCCCGATGGCAAAGGGATCATCAAGGTCATGATCTCTGGTCCTGACGTCGACATCAACGAGGTTTGAAAGTCACAGCATTTATCACGGATGCTACACAGGCAGATTTTTGTTGTTTTGATTGCATTGAAAGTGGATCCAAAGGAAGTTGGTACACGACGTAGACACAAATTACTTCCACAGGATCAAACACTACGTAGTTGATACACGCCACTCTATGGCCAAAAATTTGATGTCCGAATCTACAAGTCACGTCATTCCTTGATAGCTTCTCTAGGTTCATGCAGGACTTGAAACGCGCGCGGGCGGAGACGAGGGAAAGAAGAGCCAAAGGACGAACATGGACACAGTTTGAGAGACGGTCACATAGCAGAAGACCCTCATGCCGTCCTTGTTCGAGATTATGCCGGTAATGAACGGGAGCACGGCTAAACACTTCGGTTAGCCTGAAAGATTCTGGCTCAAGTCGAATAACGTACCACTTCCTGCGCTAGCAACAGCAGTGCTGGTATGGAAGTCGCGGTCAGTTATGTCTGGGGTGCAATGATGAGGCCACCCACAGAATAGCCATTGAAACCATGTGTACGTCTCTCGGCAGGATATCGTTACAAAGGCCCAGTGTCCCAGGAAATATAGGCCCATACATCAAACCCACTACGACAGATGAAAGGGCGTTCTCGATTGTCGAGTCAACAAGCCAAATGAGGATGGTCATCAGGAAGGAAACGCCTGGATATTGTTATAAAGTCAGGATTGTCAGTCGAGGGGCAGGCCTCATTGACGAACTTCTGAAGGTTAGCAATCAGTAATTTTCAGAGTCATAAATGGAGTTACGGACATGCATGCATGAATAATGCGTTTGCGTTGAGTAAAGTTCAAGCTACCGAACACATCAAAAATGAGACAAGGCCGTGACGATACACTGCGACCGACCCAGTGCAATAATAGCCCCATAAAATTCTGCCAGCGGCCATGCCTCCCCAAAAGCCGCTACTGACGTACCCGACGGTGTTCGGACTAGAACCCTGATGCATGTTCAAAATGGGACAGTAGCAAACCAGATCGACAGGAACACACTCGATTGGTAAGGAGATAGGTAACGATCTGAAAGAATACATTCAAGGTTCTGTCCAGTGATCAAGTCCAAATGAACACTTACAAATCCTTGAAAAGTAGTCTCGCTACCGCCGTAAATAAATGCGAACAACGAAAAGGCCCATTGGTATGGCATTGACAGAGCCAAGAGGAGAGCTAGTAGAATATCAGTATTGCAGATGATGTGCAGCAACAGCAGGCGCACTATTAGGTGGGGGCTCGGCATCAACACTGCGGGCAGAGGATTCTCGGACTTTCTCTGCATTAGATGGTTGTATCATCGTCTCAGTCCCCGGGATGTGGGCACTTGGCGAAATCTGCATGGTGTCGAGTGCGACCTTACGGTCTGCCAGAAACTCGTCGCGCGTCGGACGGAAAGAAAAGATCGTCAAGCTCAAAGCGATTGCAGAAATAACTAAGGAGCCAAGATAAAAATGCTTCCAGGAAATTCCCTCTGCCATAAGTGTTTGGCACACGAGCGGGGCCGAAAACGACCCAATGCCTGAAAGACATGAGCAGCAGCACTGTACAGACACGTATCACTGCTCACACCAACATCCAAGTAAAACCCCAAGGGGCTTCTTGGGTGTGGACACAACATAAAAATTCCTGCAACTTTTTAGCGTCAGAAAGATACCAAACGCGATGCTCACGATGACGCTAAACAACTCGTGTAAGTGAAGATATTACGATCAGAACAAGCGCTCACCGGTCCAGAAAGAGCGTGCAAACGCGGCAATAACATATGCCATAAGTAATGCTGGATAATTACGAGCGGTACCCATTACAATAAAGAACAGAGGATGAAGGAGACATCCAAGGACGAGCGAGGAAAATCGTGCTTTTGCAGGTGAATATCCGACACCACAAGGGAGAGCTGCTGGCACATTCTTGGTGAATAGGCGATCAAAAAATGGAACGACGGGTAGATAGGTGTGTTGGTCCAAAAACGGATAAAATCGACCAAGGAAATTGACAATCCGTTCAAGCAGGATGGTGCCGACCACAGATCTAGGAAATAGTTGTCGGTATTTTATACATATTTTGGCGAGAGAAGCTTACCCGACTGTACTGCCTGTAAACAATAAGGAGCTCGTCATATAATTAAGACCAAAGTCTTTCTCAAAATCTGATAAAACAATGCTGAACAAAATACCAGGAGCGAAACGAAGACAAACATACAGGGGAGGACGGTAGCGGTGACTGAATATTGCGATGAGCGTAGCCTCCAAACTTAAACCGTGGACTGACCTCCATCACCCCATCCGCAGACAAAATATATGAAGTAGGTAGTTAATAATCTTCGCGTCAGATGCTCGAACTCAAGGCTTGGTGTCGATATCTCTGCTTCCTGTTCGAATGAATTTTTGCGACTCCGCGCATCAGTGGGGAAAACGTCCACACACGTAGCCGTCGATGGGGTTCTGACCAAAGATTCAGGAGAGGAAGTGTTTTCGTGATCGTCGGGACTAGGATGGGACAATTGCGTAATAGTTTTTTTGAAAGTTGCGCTGGTTTTCGAAGAAGACTCCGTCAACACTGGAGTTTCGACTACAATGTTCGCGCCAAGTGAATGGATATGGCGAACATCATGTGATAGAATTGATGGGGTGACAGGCAGTTTATTGGATGGATACCAACAACGATCAGGAAGTGTGATTAATTCTGGGTGGGAGTCAGTAGCTTGCGACTGCGGAGAATCCATGAAGATGCTCTGTGAAAGACGTTCACTCACAGAGAGGAATTTTATAGTAACTTTGAGGTAGACATAGGGACTTTCAAGCCCCGCCAAGTGGTGCTGAGATTCTACGTGTGGGAGAGAGATGAGCGCATGAATCCTCTGGAATCTATGTGGAGTCGCAATCGGGCCGTGCGACTCGATTCAAGCAGTCAATATTCCTTGAAATTCTGCTTGCATGTCTCTATCTATCACCATATGATGTGTGGCCAAGCAACTAGTGCGTACCTATCATATGTGCAGCTGAGACTGACGTATCGGCGGCCAAAGGAGAGGCGCGCAGAGTGAGATCATAGCTGGTAGAGAATGTTCCTATCAAGAAACTTCTTTGGGCCTATGCTATTTCAAGTTCCCGAGCAGGGCTCGGAGCACTGGTTGTCAGTACAATTTGGAGGTTAGACCACCGTACGAGGCCATATGTGTCGCCATCTAGGAGCAGAGGTCACCTTCGGTAAGCAATTATGCTACTACATAGAGCGATTTTAGTATTTTAGATACAAGAACTTACCAGTTAGAGTTCTCGGATATCGAGGAGTCAGCGCTGAAGTGAAAGAAGGTAATCCTAAAAAGGCAAACTACTAGTATCAAACTCCGCCTTGAAGCTTGAAGCTCCACTCGCGGTTCTCATACTGAGTTACTTGAGCTGCTCCATATTATGTATGGATTACACTTGGATTTTTTCACTTACCTTATAGAAAGATTGACCCTTCCCAGCATCCTTGACGCAGAAGTTTGCCTTGCACCAGCGACATATTCGGCTGCTCATATACAATCAGCACGCGGAACACCAGTTGATCCACACTTAATTAACCCTACTGAAGAATGCAAACTCGTGAGTCGGCGTCCACTGGCACACTCACAGTTTAATGTAACTTCTTCGCAGGTTCTTTGCCAGAGGCAACTTGGACTCAAACGACCCTGGTGACCTGTACTTTGCGCAAACATATCAGTTTCATTAATATGCATAGGCGCTCGGGAACCGCATTCGTCCCTTTCAAGTTCGCTCAGCGCGTCCAAAAGACATTACAGGCCATGCAACTTTTGCATATTATCACGATCTTTCCTGGGCGACTTTTTCATCCACAGACTGGTGTGAATCACACTATGGTCAATCATTGTGCCGACTCGGGGTATGATAGGCGACTCCTTTCAAGGTTCAAGGAATACCGTTGCTCAAAAATATCTGTCAAACCAGGAGCACGCCACATTTGCTTCATTTAAAGAGGGAAGCTCGATCGCTCCACCTCTGTGCACATGTGATTCGAGACACACGTGAGTCTGCCCACATTGTTTGATGGTTACCTTTGCGGTGTTCCAAGCAAGTATTGGAGATGAAAGACACAGATTGGTAGGTCAAACAACTGTTTGTGGAATCAAACTCCCTACCTTCAATGCGACAAACTTATTATGACGAGGGTTTGAACAAAGGTTCGTTAATTAACTGCGAGTTTCATGATTCCGGCATGCCATCCCATTGTTACTCGGATCAGATACTTATAACTAGCTCGTAACATTGTGTCTTGAAATATAAACTTATTATTATCATCGCGTCCGCAGCTGTGGTCACGAGCACATTTAATAGACTCGGGCGCTTGAGGAAAATTGTTCGCACGGTTAGAACAGTGGTGGCGAACACAAAAGCTGTTGCTTCTGGTGGTGGTTATTCCTACGACTAGTACTGCCATCGCGCCCAAGCTGGGATTTCACACTCTTTTTACCCTTACGCTCGCAGGACGACCCGAAACATCCACAATTCCCTCAAACTAACTCTCTTTCTATCTCCCAACAATGTCACGCCCGTTCACAACCTACGGGGATCACTCAACAGACTATCTATCCACGCAACAGCCCAATTCGTCCTCTTCAGACTACTATAAGTCTTCGTATAATGACGACCTCAGCGACCTCATTGACCAGTATACGGAGCCATACTCAAGAACTTCACGGCATCAAACTTTTGCTGTATCGACTAACCCATTGGATGATTCTGATTCACGAGACCGCTCTTTTTCTATGGATCAAAAAGGATCATATTCGGTTGATAAAGTTGTAGAGGAAGATGCTGAAATGGACCCTTCGAATCATGACTATCCTCCAACACTGAAGCAGGAGAAGCCGATTGACACCAGGAGTTGTTGGGCGAAAGTCAGCACTACTGTTTCACAGATACCGGTTGTTTTTACTGAAATTCATTTAGATTCTTCCAGACTCCTGGGCATGTCGACTGTTTGTCCTGACTGTGGTGATCGAGACCGCAGTGGATCTGGCTATCGAGGGCGACTTGCTTGTTCGATTGCAGGACGACTCGGGGAAATTGGCAGTGTATCTCAGCGTATTCGCACTTGCACAGTACGTGTTTGAACATCTTTCAGCGTCTTAATCTGACACGATTTTACGGTCCAGCATCTTTCAACTTGTCATGGCGGTCGATGCGGTGTATGCACGAAATACCCTGCAATTTATGTCTCTCATGTAAGCACATCTTCTCGCCTACAATAGCAACTTCTGACACTTGGTTTACAGCATATTCAATCTTCTTTTCCTGTTATACGCCGTTATTGAAATTGGCGAAATCAGGAACTCTCCCACCACTTCCGCCGGGCCTGTACATGTATCGGTGAACGTTCTCACTGATATCATACCTGCCGTCATATCCGCTGCGGAGATAGCATACATTGGTCTTGGTTGGAAAATCTATAACGAGTTTGGCTGGAAGGTGTACAAGTTTCTGGGTGCCGACCGTCGCATCAAGAAAATGTATGCCACATATCAGATTTTCGAATGTCTTGTCAAGTTCGACGTTTTCTTTTGGGTTGGCTTCTCCGTGCAGTTCATATGGTTTGTCCTCCAGAAGGACGATTGGGAGTACTATGTCACCTGGGCTGCTCTCCCGTTATCAATTCTCCTCCTCATCGAAGGTCACCTTGCTGCGCGTCACGAGAATACGTGGATGATGGGAACGTTTATGTTTGGAAGTATGGGTGCCCTGGTTTATTTTACGTACAAGGTGAGCTTTCTTAACAAACTTGCTATGCAGAGCTCGTTTGCTCATGATGTTTCAGCTTTTCCGGGTCCTTCAGTACAGGGACACGCAATATGCCTTGTACTGGAAATCACTCTCCACGTTCTGTAAGTCCTTTGATATATAATTTTTGCTGGCAGCTCAAGATAATGGTAGCTGCAATCGCAATTGTCCTTCTCATCATCACGATCATCTTTTCCGTCATGGTGATGCGCAATTTCGGTCGGGGACTAAAGGCATCGAGTCAGTTTTTTTTTCCTTCATGGTTTTTTTTTTACTGATGCGCTGTCTGACAGTTGCAAGAAACAAAACCCATTCGCAAGGACATGGATCCCAACACTTGAACCGAGGACCAATGAGCGCGAACCCAAACCGGATGAGTATCGAATGAAAGCGCACGTACGTAACAGCCACGGACTTGTTTGTATTCTATAGCGCTATTTGCCACTCTCATCCTAACCTTGCCTCAACCAACATTCGCATTCACATATCATCTTCGCATCGCGTTCCTTAATTTCTTGATTTATAGGTATAAGTATTTACGCATATATTTGCACGCATGCCAGTAGCATGCAAAGCTCTCCGACTGGATCAGGAGGCTTTGTGTTACTTCTGGTATTCGTTTTTTTTTACCTTCCTTTGGGGTTACCTGTGCTTTGTGGATATTTTCATGTATCGATGACATTATAATTAGATTTATATACCACAAGCTGAACCAATTGCAACTCGGGTAGAGCGTGTGACGTGGAAGACAGTGTACTTCACCGCTTTTGTTAATTGGATCCATCGTCTTCAGGTCTCGTCAAAGCGTTTTTAATTATATTGTCATTCCCTTTCGAATTCACCCGTTGGTCGGGAAGCGTGGAGCTGCAGCTGGTATCATACACACCACTATATGTCCCAAAGGTGAGGCACTTCCGGGGGCTACTTTTCACTTTGTTCATTAATGCTTCAGATACAGAGCAACAAATGCAGCGCTACGAGATCGTTCAGCTCTCCTGGGTGTGACACCTCCAGCTTCGGGACGCTCGTCGCCGTACAGCAGCCCGAACCCAGAACCTTCTGGCCACCGCTACGTGGATGACCTGGAAGGTCAGAATGATGAGGCGCTGGAAGGCCTAGCAGCCAAGGTGAAGCTGCTCAAGGATGTAAGTGGTGCTTCCCGTTCTCGCCCGCCCATTAAACTCATCATTTTCATACAAAGATCACCGTTGGCATTGGAAATGAGGTCCGAGAATCGACTGTGCAACTCAGCCAGATGGTATGTGCATGCTGTTGCTTAAATCATCAGCGGTTTCCAACTTATCATGTGCTCCGCAGAATGACGCATTCGCGGAGACCTCTGGTATCCTAGCTGGCACCTTCCGTCGGATGAACAACATGGCACAGCGGCAGGGTTGTCGATGGCTATGGTACATTGTATTTCTCATGTTTGTATTCTGGTTCTTCATCATTGTATGGTGGTTTCGACGTTGACCCACTGCGGACGTCTATTGATATATCTGGATCATCAATTGCTTGTTCAGCACACCTTTCTCGTCATCCAATAACCCCATTTCCGTATCCACAGTAAATGCTAATACAGAGTATCATGAAATCATATAAAAAGAGCAATACGTGGAAGCCCATTGTCATGGGCCATCCAGGAACTTGGCATGACCAATTTCCCAAATCATCCGCCGCCGCAAGTACATCATGTCCCGCTGCGAGAAATGGAATCCTTCCTCCCCTCTAGACAAGGATTCCAAGAACTGGCACGTGAACACGCCACAATCATAACCATTCTCCTGTTGTGGTGTGTCCTCAGGATTGTAATTCTGCCACCCAGTGAAGTCGAAAGGTTTCTTTCGTTTGTTTCTATGTTCTGAGTCCAAATAACTCCGCAAGGTCTTGACGGACAGCATAAGGACCTTCCTGGGCACGCCAAGGCAAGTTAACGTACCTTGAAGACTTGATGTCGGTCAAGATTCATGCTGTCATACGACTCTATCCGCTTTCGACGGAAGTTTATGGCAGCCCCAGTCCAGTGAGAATTATTGTGGTTGATAGGAATAAGGATGACGTCTTTCGAAAAGATGTCAATCTGTGTGCGGAATGAGACATCATCTTCGATTTCACTGGACACTAACGGACCTTCTTTGTCCATTTCGCTAGCCTCCCCTGCTCATAGCCCTCATTTTTCAGCTTTGGCCAAAAGAAGGTGCTAAAATAATGAACATCCGGCATCTTTCTCTTTGCAGTAGAGTCGCGGTTGGACTCCGAGCGGGTCAAGATCATCGCACCATAAAAGTTCATAATTTCGTCGTTCAACCATTGACTGGGCAGTAACCGAGATAAATCTCGATCATTAACAGATTCTCGAGCGACCTTGGAAATGACTCCTTTCTTGCACAGGAGCGCGTTAACTTTGGTGTCAGCGTCAGGAGGAAGAGCCTTGGGTAGCTTTGGCCGCAGACGCTTCTCAATAGCCTCGTCTTTGTGGCGCGCCGACAAACGGAGACGATCGTGCGAGGGAGAGAACGGTTTGGGTGGTGGACTGTAGAAAATTGATTAAGTGACGGAGAAAACTGCAAGAGATACACTCATACAGCTCAAATGACTTCTTGGCCTTTCTAAGTGCACGTTCTAGGAAGTCAGGATCAACATCCTGGCACAATTTAGCACAGCAGCAAACGAAGTATGCACACGCTCACATCTGAGAACGAGTGTCTACGGGAGCGCCCAGGTGAAGACTGTTTTGCGCGCAGATCTGTCAGTGATGGTGAAGCTACGCACAACGTCGTAAGTGCGCTAAACTGAAGTAATACGAACCACGTACGGGAAAGTGCATGTCGTTCAAGGATTTCAAGTCGAGCTTGGTAATTAATCAAAGCTGAGATTCATGTAAATTAGATGTAGACATGGACAAGACAGAATGGACGCACACTTAAAAGAGTCAAAATCTGAGGTATATCCTAATCAGAGTGAGAGATAGAACATCAAGAAAAGTACTGGCATGCTGACCAGTGGAACGTTTGTAATGGAAGAGTTCTTGCACCAGCTCTTCGCGGTCCTTTTTCCTATCTTCTTGTACTTTAGCTTTGTGCTACGGAATCAAGGATAGTAAGATATAGGAACTAGTTAGCACTGCTTATACACTCACAACACGTGCGTATATATGATCTCGACCCCGCCGAGGGCAAATACCACCCACCACACCTCGTCTGTTCGCGGAACTTCCTGTGAAATCATACGACTGGCTGTGTTGAATGTGTTCCTTCGATGTCGAAGGAACCGGGGTGACTGAGGTGTGTCCGGTGAGGGTCGACGGAGGTGAATTTCCGTTTCCATTAACTGCATTCGAGGAAGATTCTGAACGCGATGGTAAAGAATATGAAAGCCGCGAGCGACCTGCCACTGGTTGCGAGTCTTTGGATTTATGAAACTCGTCTGGTATAGGTGGACGAGGTGGCAAAGCCGGGTGGGTAGCTTGCGAGGGTAAAGAGCCGGTTTGATTAGGTTTGGATACGGCTTGAGATATACCTGGTTTTTGAGAGGCTTTAAACACGTTGTCAGTGAACGATCGTGTCTGGCAATAGAGCTAATCTCACAGTTCATGAGGGACAGGTATCCGAGGCGGACCGTTTCGTAACCAAGTGTGAATGCGTCAGTTCCGAGTTGACGCCAACGATTCCAAATGCCTTGGTTCTCTTCTGTGCGTTGGTATTTGGCAGAACGCACTGGGAGTAGAGAATCTGCGGCCTGTCTCTTCCGACTGGTCATCCGAGCAAATGCTAAGGATGGGAGGGGGATATTTTGAAAGACTTGTGGCACGGAGCCAGCTCGAGGCCGTGCTCAATGAATGGCCGTGAGGACAGACTCGTCAAAGCAACGTGTTCTTGACGGTGGTTGTGTGCAATCACGATCAAGACTAAGTTGTGAAGTCTTGTCCCAAGGTTTATTAGTGCCAAAGCACAGCACAACAACTTTCTCAAGAACGTCTGATTATATAATCAAATTCTAATTTTAGTCCTGGGCTCGCTTGGCTCAGTTGGTTAGAGCGCAGGTCTCATACATACATATGACGAGTGTATACTCGGTAATCCTGAGGTCGCAAGTTCGAACCTTGCAGCGAGCACTGTCTTTTTGATCAATGCAGGACTCTAATTTAGACTCTAGCTCATTTCTTCGCAAGTCACAAATCTTCCTGCTGATCTTTTTCTAACAATAATCTCTTCACAAAGCTGTGCGCGGTACAAGACAAATTATCAGCGTGCAATATCAAGGGTGCTGTCACGGTCCCCAGGCGTTACTTCATTCCATTGGCAGTCGATCTTGCATTTGCACCAGAGAACAGGTGGGTAGAGGGCGGTCCGGCACAAGCAGACAAAGATGAGTGTTTTTCACCGAACAATCATTCACGTTGAAGGTTTGGCAAAAATACGTCAATTCAAACATACCCTTCAAAACCTTTCGAATCAAGGGCCGGGGGCAATCTCTTCCCCTCTTGAATCTAGATTTCAAGCCTTGTCATTGATGATATACTTATCGGTACTGCACACTAAATATTGACAGTGACCTCTTGTAATTGAAAAGTCTGGAACAGGTCTATGAATACTTTACTCTCGACAAACTCTCGGGATTGATATGTTTACTAACCTTGACGAACGGCTATGACATAAATTCGAACCGAACGACGAGTCAATCATCAATGGGATACGAACAGTTTGGCGGAGAGTCTAAAACCGATGAGGACTGCAGTAGACATCAAGAGACCCCACTCACTCTGCAGTGAAGCATGGCCAGCAAGAACAGCAAGTCATTGAGCATACCTGGTAGCTGCATGGTATGTAGTATCAAGACTGCAGATTGATTACATCGTGCGAGTGATGTCCTTGAGATTACTATGATACGAAGACTTGTCGTTCGAATAGGGCAGGAAGTTACTGTGGTGTCCCAGTGAGCTATCGCGGAACTAAAGGAAATTCGATATTCACCTAAGGTTTTGAATCGGACTCGTAAAGATAAAGAATGCAGACTAGGAACTCGAATCCTGTGTTCGCTGCATGCTCCTCACAAATAGTTGACTGAAAACTCCACAGGCGTCTGGTTCAAGAGGACGGAGTCACCCGTCTTGACATTTCCAGTACCGAGAATGTCATTGACAGCTGTCCCAAACGTACGAAACATAACAGATTCATCAGGGATCGAATAGTGTCGCGACCATAGGAGCGCTTGATTGTGTGTCAAGGACCGATGGTGCTTCAAGCTTGTCAAGCTTGAATGGTCACGTGACATTGACCCAGCCAGCAGGTACACTTAGCTTACGACAATAGTATCCGACAGTCATCCGACTCTTCCGTTAAACTTACTCTAGCCCTAGCTGGAAGGTTTTAGAAGCTCATCAAGTCAGAAGCGTGTTCTTGCCATCTCATAGATCAACAGTTCCCTGGAAAGTGCAACCGACTGTCCTCGACTCTCTCATTTCGGGGGGTCACATTACATGATAATTAATGAGCTCAAACCCGTCTCTTCGTGATCTCTACAACCCTCCCTCGTCTGCATGGGCATTCATTCCTCCTCCTCCTCCACCTCCTATGCAAAACGCAAGCACACCTGCACCCGCCACTTCTGCAATGACCAGCTATCAATGGACTACTCGTCCTGCGCATAACTCAGTTTTTGATCTGTCTCCTTCGCTAGACCTCAGCGAACCTTCTAGTCTTGATGTGTCCCTGCTGCTGCGCTCTCTAGTTGCTTCAGCACTGCTTCAGTATGCAAGTACAGCACTTGTGATGCCACTGGAAGTAGGGAAGCTACTTCTTCAAATTCAGTGGATCCCCAAGGATGCTCCAGCGCCATCCAGTCAAGAATACGAGGAGGAAGAAGAGGAAGAAACGGTAGGTGGGCATATGGCATGCGTAATTTATATCGTTGTAAGTTTCATCTTAGCTTAGCGACTCTACAAACGAGGACGAGTCCTACTTCGCGGACCCCGCTGCTTCGCACATAAAGTACCCCGCACCAAAGCCCGTTGATGATCAGGGCTATGTAATCAGGACGTCTGTGCTGGAAGACGGAACGCGCCCCGAATATATCATTCCTGTGGGTAGTATGAATGGCACTTGGGATATGGTGAAACGTGTCGTTGCCTTCCGTGGAGAAGGCTGGCTTTCGCTATGGAAAGGTGAATCGTTATCCTCTGATGGTGTTCTGTATCTGATCTCGGTTAATATGCGCAGGACTATTCACATCTTGCGTTCACGATGTGCTTTTTAGCAATGTGCAGACATTCGTCGACAGTCTTATGCATTCTGTATTCTTGTCGTCAGCCGTCGGGCTATATCGCCCACCACTTCTTTTGCCGGTAGCATCGCATGTAATCACTGGCTTTCTGCTTTCGCCTCTGGATCTCGTTCGGACGCGCTTAATTGCCCAATCAGCGATGCAACGCCACCGGACGTATACTGGGCCATTTGATGCATTAAGGCAGATAATAGCCCAAGAGGGAGGTATCAGAAGCATGTATTTTCATCCTCAACTCCTCATTCCTACTATTCTGGACAATGGTCTCCGTCCTCTATTGCACATCCTTATGCCCACGCTGATCGCTCCTCGACTTGGTTTCGGTCCACACGTCGCTCCAGACACCAACCCTGTTACGTGGGCATTCGCTCAAGGGCTAGGATCTGTGGCAAGCCTTCTCATCACGTTGCCCATCGAGACTGTCCGAAGAAGATTACAGGTACAAACACGGGGTACGGCGAAGGCGCTGCGTACGTGCGCCGAGACACGTCCTGTACCATACAATGGTGTCGTGGACGCACTGTGGCATATTGTGACTGAGGAGAGGTCAGACCTTCCTATTAAACGAAGATCAAAAGCGAGAAGACAGCAGACGGAACGCGCAGAAGAAAATGATTCTAATGACCTGTTTGTGGAGAAGCAAGACGAATCCAAATGGCTAAGAAACACGGGAATCGGGCAACTATACCGGGGAATGAGTATGCGTCTCGGGGTTAGCGTTATCGTATTACTGTTGACTACCTTCGGGGGTCAACCAGAGGTGGACGGGGGTTGGGCAGAACTTTAGGCAGACTTTACATGATTCTCTCGTTCCTCAGTAGCGATTATAACTCTCCTCAACACATACTACGTAGCTCTCTGTAATCAAAGCATTTTAGCTCTAAGGTCGACATATTTGGTATTAACTTTTGCTACTATCCATGTTCAGGCCTCAGGGCTGAGCGCTGAGCGCTGAAGAACGTCTGGGCCAATGGTTGGTGAATTATTACGCCAAATTAGGAAAGGCATGTAACACCAAACGAGCGACGCGTCAGTGGCCGCGCTAGTGAAAGTACTGTCTCTCTCATACTAAATAACAGAATCACCAACCAGAGCTAGCAAATATGGTCAGTCACTCTCTGACCTAACATATTCTACTATGCTGATTTACACTGTCTACAGTCGATCATGGAATACAACGGTGGCTCCGTTATAGCCATGGTAGGGAAAGATTGTGTCGCTATTGCTTCGGATTTGCGGTTAGGAAGTCAAGCATTGGGAATATCTTCAAATTTCCAGAGAGTATGTTTTTGTCCTCATGTGATACCCCCCATCCTTCTAAGCGTGATTGTTTGTTAGATCTTTCCTGTAACTGATCGGGTATATGTTGGCCTGCCTGGATTGGCCACTGACGTGACGACACTGTGAGCTGACTGCTGTCGATTTTATCACTCACCGGCTAACGTGGTGGCATCTAGTCGGGAGCGCTTCCGCTATCGGGTCAATATGTATACTATCAAGGAGGAGAGAGAAATAGAACCAGAGACGTTTGCCCACCTGGTTTCCTCAACGCTCTATCAGCATCGGTTTGGCCCTTACTTCATCGAACCAGTTATGGCTGGCCTATCGAAAACGCCTTCTGGAGGTTTCAAGCCCTTTATCGCAGCCACAGACCTCATAGGATGTCTAAACTTTGCAAAAGACTTTGTGGTAGCTGGTACAGCGAGTTCAAAATTGTTTGGTGTAGCAGAGGGTCTTTGGGAACCAGATTTGGAGGCAGAAGATCTGTTCGAAACCATCTCGCAAACGCTTTTAAATGCTGTTGATAGAGACGCGTACTCTGGTTGGGGAGCAATTGTCCATGTCATGTGAGCTCCTCCTGCTCCAGCTTGCTTTCTGTCGTTGATCTCATTTCTACCTCATAGTACCAAGGACAAGATCATCACGCGTACACTGAAAGGTAGAATGGACTAGATTGTAATATCACTTCGCAATGATGACCTGAGTCAAATGTATGTCCTGCATGCAGAGCTAATTATACTAGTGTATCGCTGCAGTTGGCGATGTTCCGAGTTACATACACTGGATCTTCAAGTTTGTATTTTGAGTTTGGGTCTCAGTCAAGTCTCAGTTCGAAGGAACAGATATATGAGTTGTGTGCAGACCCGCCTAGACCCGAGCCTCTAATTAGTATCTGCAGCGGCAAACAAAGTTACCAAACCCCGGCCATGATGCTAATTTATACATATATTGGTTCGCGTGTTCACAAGCAACATCGTGACAACTGGTTCGATGGTTCGCAGGACGATCCTCTTTCGTTGTCTCCTCATTACTTGTGCTGCTGCACTGTTCTGTGCCTATCTGCTCTCGCGTCGACGCACTCATGTGCAGCTGGCTAACTTAGATCAGACTCCATGGGAGGGCCTCGCTAGCCCTAGTCGTCCCCTTGCGGCGAGCTACTTGATTGGAGCAAATAGGTCTTCAAATGTTCAAAGAGTTAGCTCAGTTTCAGTGTCTCAATCCAATCCTGACGTGACGGCAGTCATCTTGAACTGGTCACGGCTCCCCAATGTTGTCCGGATCGTCAGTCTTCTTTGCGATCCATGGCTGGAGGATGTCATAGCGGAGATTGTGGTGTGGAACAATAATCCGAAGGAGATATCACTTGCACACCGTTTCTTGAACTTCTTTCTGGCCAGACCTTCGCGAAGACGGGTTGCCCTTCTGAAAAGTTGAAGATATACAACTCGCCTCATAACGCCTACTTTCAAGCTCGGTACATTGCGTGCGAACAGGCTACCACTCGTTTCTGTTTCTTGCAGGTCGGTACATAATGTTCTCTTCCGGGCTTCTAAAATTGAATTTTTGAATTTACAGGATGATGACTACCTTGTTATGCCTGAAATTATTCGCACTCTACATGCTCGGGTTCTAGAAACTCCTGACCACTCAATACACCTTCTGCCTCCACATGAGGTTCTATCTACTCAACTACGTGCAACGGTTACGTCCGACGGCGCGCATACTTCGTTCGCATGGCTTGGACATGGTACAATTCTGCCTCGGACTGGAGCTGTGGACTTTTTGGCGCTCTTACATCATTTGAATGCATCCGAGGATGAGATGAAGATGGCAGACAACTACTTTACGATCCTGAGCAATCGGATTCCTGAAGTTTGGTTCGACCAAGGTATCGAACTAGGAGGTGGTCAACCATTTACAGCTGGAATGGAAGGTGATGAACGTAATCGAATTCATATTGTCAGTGAAATTTCCTGGCACTGCTACGCAAATTATGAAATCACACTAACCATGAAAACGCAGACTAATGCTTGTCGGTACCTGGACACTTTGTTGAGCGCGTTCAGAGCCTCAGATATATCTCTTGAATCAAAATTACCGTTCATCGAAGTTGATGCGGTAGCCCCTGCTAGTAATCAAATATCCCAAGCACCGTGCCTTGGCGATTCTTGTTTACTGCAAACGAATATCGCATCACTACCATCAAACTTGAAGGCTGGAAGTCACTTGACCGATGACATAGTTAGGCAGGAATTACGAAGCATCCAGTCCTTGGGCCAGGATGCCGTGGAGCATTACTTGCGGTTCCCTCCTTCTCAGGCTGTCGACGGCCGCCCGGACACTGCATTTCGCAGTCCATTTCGTACGTTGATGGGCAATATGTAAGTCGAAGCATGTCGATTGATCTCTTTTGTAAGCGGCAAGACGGGGTGACTTCATAAGCCTGGACATACTGTCACCCATAGGCTCAGCAAGCTCCACATTTGAAGTAACGCTACTGGTCACGAGGGAAACGGTAGACATTTTGCACAATGTCCAGTTCGAATCCTCTTCAGATGCTGTCAACTGGGTAAATTCATTTGCTTCGGTCAACTTGGCTTCATCATGCTAACTTGGCGTATTAAGGTTGTCTCTACGCATGCATTGGTATGTGAAGAAACCGATTTGACTGGGCTTCGTGGATTTAGGTCCCGGCCTCGCAAATTGCAAGAATGTAGCGTGCAGTCGCAGGAGATAAACCATCGGTTCTTCCGAGCAAGTTTACAGGTTGATATACCATCTTCCCCTCACTGGATGATCTATGAATTTTGGATACGGTGGTTAACATAATATATTAATTAGTTCTAGTTAATAAATTGGAGTTGTCTGGAATTAGAACAAATTTTTAGTTCAGGGCAAACTCAGGGGTCGCTTACATCAATGCTTATATCGTTACGTAGTACCTTGTCACCTGTACCGCTTCTCCAACGTTAACCCTCCAACCATCTCCACTGCATTTTTCATCTAGCTTCCATCATGTTGTCAGCCTTCGCGAAGAGATCTATTCATAAAGTCGCGCTCTCTGGAGCGCGCAGAACGATATCCGTTCAGGTAGCGCACATGTAACCTTGTGACAGTTGTCCTGATGGAGTGTTTTCCAGAGTATCCTCCACGGATCTCCAGAAGCGAAGAAAGCAGGAGATATAGAGATTCAACAGCACTCAAGGATCGTTGCTAGGGGAAAATACGTTCACGGCTTCGAGGGTGAGAAGCGAACATGAGCTTCCAAACTTTGTCTAACAACTTGCATCCTAAAGTTCATCGCGTTCAGCCAGGGGCACTTGACGAGTACAAAGCTGCAGCGTAAAACAATAATTCTCTTTTTTTTAAAGGGCGCTTTTTTTAAAAAATGGTTGATTTATCCAGTGAGAAATACTATGCCGGAATAAAGGATGATCCACAGTTACATGTCAAGCTGACTGGAAGTTGGGAAACCATAGTGGGGCAACAGGACACTTTTGGTATGTTTTTCAAGGACATCATGAGCTTTTATTGTATTGATGTTGCGTGTGACGTCAAGTTCACATACTTGAATACGAGAATTACGCAGGCTTTGACAAGACCACTGCACTCATAAGAACGTCAGATGTACGAGTCTGCTAATCTTGAGTATGCATTGACTCATCGCGTATCTGTTAGCACGCCAAAGCGTACAAGGCCCTCCTACCTTACGTTACCTCACGGTCATCTCAGCTCACGCAAGAATTTGCTTTCTTCCCCACTGCACCACCCCACGCCCAAGGCGGAATCTTCGAACTTCGGAACTACCAGTTAAAACCGGGAACACTACTTGAGTGGGAGAATGCATGGTCCGTTTCAACTTTTTTCTTAAAAGTCATGTCGTTCTTACAAAAGCTCACGCAGGAGGAGGGGCATCGAAGCTCGTCGCAAGTTTGTCGCACCCGTCGGAGCTTGGTTCTCGCAGGTTGGAAGATTACACCAGGTGAACCACATGTGGCAATACCCGTTCGTTCACCAATAGATACTTCACGTTGATAGTACTGATGTCCTGTGAACAGGAGTCTCGAGGCAAGGAAAGAGTTGCGTGAGAAAGCATGGCAGATTGACGGTTGGGCAGAGACCGTGTCTAAGGTATGTGGGACAACCTTTCTGTGAAATGTACTTACCGTAACACGTTAAACTCAGACTTCCCAGCTTGCGACGCACATGGATTCGTTCATTCTGCTCCCGCTCTCTTACAGCCCTCTAAAGTGAGGGTGTATATAACCATGTGGATGATACTCCAGGATGTACTCTATCTACTTCGAACATACTCCTCATTGAATCCAAACGAAACCCGAGCCTCAGGATCCTGATCTCTTATTCTTGCGTCGGCTATGCTCTATTTTTATATTCCATCATGCTACTAGTAAGGACTAGACTCGCTATTCCAACTGTATTACCTTCAATACCTCTTCATCCATTTCGCGTAGTTGTTTAAATTTATGCATGATTCATTACTCACTGTCGCTTTGAAATGGAGAGCGCAATGATCGCGGGGCCTGTTTTTTTGTCGCAGCATGAGACTTTCAGCATAAGGACAAGGAAGTCATCATTCTCAATCCTTGAGACCGGGTACATATCGCATGTATAAGAACAGAGTTACGCGAGCGTTACCAACATGTACTTCTTGTCACTTTACTTCCCCTTTCGCAACCCCTGACGCCCCTTCACACGTCCCCTTGAAATTCAACCACTCCCCGTAATACACGCAATCTTGTGGGTTCGTAGGCCCCTTGTCGCGACAGAAGTCAAATACTGGACATCTACCGCATGGAGCTTGAGACCATCCTAGCGCTACTCGTTCTTGGCGGATAGCTCGGTAGACAAAGGCTCCTCCGACGATGATATTGTCATCTACCTCCGGAGGCTCGAACTTAACGCGTTTTGAACTTGAAGGTGGCTTCTTCCCTGTCTTTGTTTTTGTCTTTGTTTTCGTTTTCTTCGACTTTGATTTTGAGCTCGATTTCGATTTCGAGCGATGATCGTCGGAGTCAGATTCAGATTTAGAATCATCGTCAGAAGAATCATCCAGCTTCTTCCCTTTGCCCTTGCCCTTGCGTTTAGACGTCGAGGACTTACGATCATCATCATCACTATCTTCACTCCCGCTTTCATCCTCTTGTTCTCGGCTTTTTCGTTTCTTTTTCTTCTTACTCTTGCGATCCTCCTCCTCATCGCTCTCTTCCTTCTTCCTTCGCTTCCTCTTCTGTCTCTGCCGTTCCTCATCTTGAGACTCGTCATCATCACTGTCGCCTTCACTGAGACCGCTTGATTCCTCCATACGCCGCCGTTTTTGCGTTTTAGTTTTACTTCCTTTCTTCTTTTTTGATGAGCTGCGTTTACGCTTTGTGCGAGCAGCTGCATCTGAGTTCCGAGTCCGAGTCTGGGCTAGATTCAGAAACCGAACCGTCAGGGTCGACTGTAGCGTCCCAAGCAGATGCTGTGAACGCAGGTAACTATAAACCAATCAATCAGTATACATGTACAACGAGAGCGATGAAGTGAAGCAAGGAACTAACCTTCTCGATCTCTCCGTCCAACTCCAATACTCTCAAAAGCATCTCAACATGCTCAACGCCCAATTGCGTCTCTGTGATTTTGCTCTTACTTAAGAAATGCTGGATGTGCTGAGCAGATGGGTACGAGGGTGCAGTGCCTACGGAGTAGAGTTTGTATTCATTTTGGGAAGCTTTGGAGCTTTGTTTTGGGAAGGACTGCCAGAAAACAATGCTGTGAGTTTGAATTGCAGAGAGAGGAAAGGACATACGCGGTCCCGGATGTAATGCAGACATGCGGTTGAGAGGAGCTTGATGAATTCTGTGTCGAGTTCATTGTCAGTGTACCATGGCCCACCTGTGAGCTCGACTGAAGGTTCTAGGTGCGCAAGCATGTAGATCTTGCGGGTTGGGTGCTGGCGTACAGGCGTATGAGGAGATGTACCAGAAACTTTGAATGAAGGAACATACCCTGACAGCTTTGATAGCCTTCACAAGCTGCTTCTGAACGAGTGATTTGAGGCATCTATCGATGACAGTTTGGTGCAATTCTGTTTTGGCTTTTAGGTGTTTCGTCCAGATGCCTGTGCGTTACATGAAACAAGGTAAGTCTTGTCGCTTGATTCGACACGTAGCAACTCACCTTCATTTGCCGAAGCTTGAATATGACCAAGTACCATGGCCTCTTCACCGCTCATATCTTTTTTCCTGTGATATGCACATCATGGGCTTCTCAGGATAATGCGATGGAGATATTATGCATACACTTCTATCTCCTTTTTCATCACAGCTCGGAAGGAGATGATGCCTGCTGCATTGGACAGGACTTTGAGCATGCCCTTCGTGTTTGTATGTCAGGATCGTCGACAGATGCTTCGTGTGGAGGTACTCACAGCTCCCAGAAGGAAGTTGACTGCTGCAGTGCGCGCAGATACATCTGGGATGATTTTTTCAGCTTCTTTTGAGGTTAATACCTGATGAATGATTGGGAGTATGATCAGTGTGGTTCTTATGGGTGATCAGGAGAGTTGAGCTCGCCTTGTCTGGGCTGGAAAGCGCAGCTTTGTGGAGCTTTTGCTCTTCGGGGTTGAGTTTTCGCCCGCTCATGCTGCTCGACGGTCTGGATCGATCTAAGTCAAGCACTTTCGTGAGTCACTGATATCTAGCGTAATTGGCAGTTGATTAACAGCCACGTGGCTCATGTGTAGAGGCCTCTTAGTAAGCTTAGATCATTCTAATTTAAGCTATGTTGACAGAAGCTCGGGAGCATTTGAGGGGGTAATTGGTAACTAGCACACACCCGTTGTGCCTTTGGCACAGGAAGCAAAAAAGAGTGCTTCGCTCTTTTTGGCTTCCTGGCCTTTGGCTTCATCCTACTTTGGGCGTCTTAAGTCTTGACCTTGAATACTTGCTGTGCCTGTGGCACTTTGCCTTACTAATGATCATAGTGGATTTTGAAAACAATTACATTTTTGAGCAACATTTCGACACAACTAAAACTACATGATACATCACATCCAAGTTGGTTCTCTATATAAAAGTACATCATATGTACATCAATCATCTAACAGGAATCATAATTCTTCTAAGCACCACCTCAGGCATTAGTTCTCGGTATCAATAAAGGTCTCTTAGATGGTATTATTATGTAGGTGGTATATAGTCTCGCAGACCCAACCTCGTGGATGTTCTATTTATAGCACATACATAATATGCCTTGTGACCTCTTGCGACCCTCCTGAGCACCTCCCCATTCACCTCGTATATACCTCTACGACATTTGCCAATATCCTGTCCCGTCCTGTCGAGCCTCCAGATAGGCTCCATGCATGTGGTGCACCTGTCAGACCTCTACTATGCTCTGCAGGTGCTCAGGCTTGTCATTTTTATTTCCTAAGTCCTTTTTGTTACCTCTTGTTCTACACCACTACGTCCATCACGATGCCGCCCGTCTACCACACACGTGGTACTCAACCAACATCTATGGGACTAGGACACCACTTTATAAGCCCAAAGAAAGTTTGAGACCCTAAAAAAACATGGACTCTTGTTCACATTCCTGGCATCAACTCAAAGCATCAGTGCCTCCTCAACCAAATGGCTGCGTTGATGCAGCCCCAAATTTCAACTACTGAACCCCCCAGCTCTACTGAATCTCAAGCCCTGGTGGATATTGACCATACCACTAGTCACATTGACAATACCCTAAGTTATGACTACGATGATAATGGTCACCTTGCTGATGAGATAGCACAGCCTGATCAAGTAGCATCTTGCCCTATAGACGTGCCTAAGGCAGACCTTGGGCATTGCCGTATCTTGCCCAACAAGATGTCAAATAATCTATATAACACTTGGAAAGTGCTTATACCGACCTGGTAGAACCTCATCTCAAATATTCTGCAAGGATGCATGGGCATGCTCTTCCAGAAGTCTGTCCGGTCATATCTGCTTGCACAAGTCATCCTAGTTGTACGCATCGACAATTTTCCATAGTTTGTCTCTTTTTTGATCATAAGTAGTCCGTTCCTCATCTGCTGTCTTAATTGACAATTCCAGATTTCCTTTCTGTTGATGTATTGGCTTGCCAATGTTCGACACTTTTGCAAGTCCTCATTTACCATGGCCTCTTTCCTACTGCTCCCTCCCAACCACGCATGGCCATTTCCACAGACCTACTCACATTCTATTGTGCTTTGTTTGAGCGTTCATGTGACGCTATCCATGCGCTTGCCCATGCCCTAAAGACCCATTATGCCCTGCAGAGGCTTTCTCATGACCAATGCAGATGTGAGTTTTGACTTTTCAGACTTTCAGACAATTTCTCATTAAAATACAGGGCCAACTTATTCAAGAACCATTTTGTCATGGACTTGGCCAAGCTGTCCAGTGGTTCAACATCCTCCAAATTGAAGTTGAACGACAGATTGAAGCGACACTTCAAATATGTCGCGAACAAGTGCATGAGGCCCATAAACTTTGATCTCAAGAGAACCCTGGCGTAACCACCCCCACACAATCCAGTACAACATTGCTCCAAGGTCAGTATGCCTCCGTTCTCATGCAGCATTGCCCAGCCTGCTTTGGAGGTGTCCTTTTTGGTAGACCTCTTAGTGAAGGTGGCGACATACACATTGCAACAGATGGAAATTTCCATCATTGACATCGTCAATCTGCGGGCGACTGTCCACACTTTTACGACCCCATATATTTTCTTTCCGAGGCTCAAGTGGACAACGTTGGGCGACACATCCTCTCACAGCGTAAATGTACACCAAAGATTCGCACTTCTTTAGTGCCAGATGAGGCAATTGACCAATGCAAGCAATCATACGAGGCTGTGGATGGTAAGAAGCAGAAGGCTGCAATGGATTCCTTTGATGATACGGGCATCATGGCTCTGATATGCCATCACAATATCCCACTCTTCTTTGCTAACATTGATTCACCTAGCGTGCAACAGAAATACACCGTAGCACTCATTGAGCATCTGTTTACTCTATTACCGCAGGAAGCCACTGTCATCACCCTGTATGATGTTGGTTGTGTTCTCTCATGGTCATTATCTCAAGTATGTGCTTCTTTAATAGATACATTTCAAGCTTATATCTATCTATCTATATAGTATGATATTCTCCCCAATTCAGTGACTTCGCGTCTTCAATTTTTAACCATGGCTATGCATGCATATGGCCACAAGTGGGCGTGTCAGCTCAAGTATAACCCTTGCATGTGCACTGGTCTTGGCCTCTCAGATGGGGAGGGAACTGAAAGACTATGGTCAAGGTTTGTCAAATTAATTGGCATTCAAAGGTCATCATCGGTGAGTTGGTACTAGTACTCTGACAATTAGTTGTTGACTGTAGTTCATGGATAGTGCCAGAAGTGTCTGTGGTTGATAGACCGGCAAGCAGGTGCCATTGGTCTTGAGATGCGAGCAGATCTCGGCGATTGGATTAAATGGTGGCTCAAGGGTGGAGTGATTGGTCAGGGTGCAGCAGCACAAGAAGTTTTAGATAATTGTGGTATTGAAGCTCGAGACCTTCAGGAACAGTGGATGGATCAGAAGAAGTCCCAACAGTCCATTCGTGCTCGTAAGTCCATGGGTACCACTTCCATACTAAGATCAACATATCCCTGTTGACAGATGCTCCTGCACAACTGAAGAAGGAGCTTGTTGTCCTTACTCTGCAGGCTGATTTAGATGCATTGGACAAGGCATTGCAACTCACATGGACCATTGTAGAGAAGGGTTCGGCTAGTGAAGAAACCTTAGATGCTCTGGAGAGCCTCGAGCGCAGCCATGATCGTTTGATGAGCAAGGTTGAAACATTATATTTCTCACTCAACGTTCACGACAGATTTCCAGAACTACAGGGCGTTGATTTGGATTTTGTTCAAACCCTTCTTATGGCGCGCGATCTCAAAATAAATATCTGGAAGAGAGTGATAGGAAGCTTTTTTGAATGGGACAAACTTGACTGTGCAGTTGGTGGTGCAAATCAGGCACTTGGTAATGTAAAATCCTTTTGTTTTGATGCCTCAGAATATTAACTCATTCTACAAGGTACAAAGCTACATCAGCAGACACATAAGGCTATTGCTAAGCGCCAGCCAGCCTTGATGATAGCGATTCACAAGTTTAACTCCTATTGTGAGTATCTGGAGAGCATCTTTGACCCATCCTGGGGTGTCCCACTTCCTACTCCTCTCCCTACTAAGCTTGCCAATCTCCGCAAAGATCAGACACTGATGGAGGATGTTTAGATCACTCCATCGGTTGGAGATGTCCCTCGTTGGATTGAAGACACTGATGTAAGAGATAGCATCCAAGCATTGCATAAACAGCAACAGTGCCATGAAGAGCAGCACCACATTGGGCTCAAAGCAGATAACCTTTGTCGATGGTTTGGAGGTGAGCTTGCTGCGCTAGAACTTGCCCTCTGCTCTCCTACAAGTAAGTAATTTCATTTACATTGATGATCATTACTTATTTCACAAGATCATACATACGTATTCCCACTCCAACAACAATGAGATCACCTTCTCCAGTTACAGAGAAAATGGGTTACCCCACTGGCATCTGCTACTCGTTTCAACAGCAGTGCTAAGATGACAGTCAATCTTGCTATTACACTTTCCGAGAGCACAGGACCATTGCAAGCCATCACATACAGGCTTGTACCAACCTCATTGGCACTCGCAGATCCCTCCCCTGAGGATGATACTGACGAACATATTGCCTCTGCACTTGAAGAGATTACTGAAGAGGCTGTCCTCTTGGACATTTTACCTAACAATACCGCTAGTGATGACGAAGACGACAAACTTGTGGGATTACCTGAATTTACGATTGACTGGCAGCTTCCAGAGGTACGTCCTCGTCTCTCCATAGGTAGCTGTACTCATCCAGCAACATAGAATCTTTGCACGGATTCTTTCAAAGCTCCCTGTCCACAGGATTGTATCATTGTGTCAGCATCAAACACTCCCCTCACTCAGGTACGACCAGCCCAAGATGGCTTTCCACTCCAGGTATTCGATGCACGGAATAGTCTTTACTGGCACATCCCACTTCCTGCCTTAATGACACATGTATCAATGGTTGTGTGGCACTATTATACTCTGAGATACTGACAAGCTCACGTATGTGATCTTATGCTATTCTGTCTACCCACGATCTGCCTCGTATTCAATACAATGTGTCAGATGACATACTGTGGCGGAATACATTGTGGACATTGTTTTGGGAGAGAGAGATCTGGCTTTTACTTATTCATCGCCCCTCTCCAGTCGGACACTGGGTATTTTGTGCTATATATATTCTGTCCAAAGAACTCCATCTCTTCGATAGCCTGGCTGAACGACAGCCATGGAAGACAGATGTTAAAGTCAGTGACAGTTTGATTCACACACTATTCAACTAACAATGTTAACAGGACATTATGAGTCTTATCGCAAGATTGTCATTCATAGCTCACCAATGGCGTGGCTCGGATAATATTAATCTTAAAGGGTGGGTAGCCCATCCACTAATACTCAATCCTCTGCAGACAAATGACTACGACTGTGGTCTCTGGGTCTTAGCAGCACTTGCAGCAGTCCCTCGGGGATCCCATAGACCAGGCATGTGCGAGGAGGACATGATAGCTTTCTGACACTATATATGCTCACTTGTAATTAGTGTACCTACTGTGTGATATACAATCCATCCACTTCTTCAACTCTCCCAAAAATGTGCACAGAACTATGCTGATTCAAGTATGGTACCTGATTATGAATGATGAAGTTAGCGACTCAGGCAAATGAACACAGACGATGTCTGTAGTTTTAGGATAAGAAACTTAGAACAGAGAACCCTGCAGGGAGCAAGCTACCTAACTGACTGATTGATAGTTTGATTGCTGAGCATCGTGTAGTTGAGGAATGTGCGCAGAACTACTAACCAGTGGAATGATTCAAGTATGCTAGCCTCAAGATAATTAATGAAGGATGGAGCTAGCGACTCGGACAAACAAAATGTAGACATTCATGTAGTTTCAGGACAAGAAAACCCTACAAGGAACAAGCTACCCAACTGACCAATTGATGGCATGCTTGCTGAGTATCGTGTGGTTGAAGCAATGTGCGCAGAACTACAAGTACATTGATTCATGCTAGCTACATGATAATCAATGAAGGACGAAGTTAGCAACTCAGACAAACATACATTCATGTAGTTTCAGGGCGAGAAAACTCTTTAGGGAGCAAGCCACCCAACTGACCAATTGATGCCATGTTTCCTGAGCATTGTGTAGTTGAGGATAGGTTGAACTGAGCAAGTTAGATTCAAAATCAGGTCAAAGTCACATACAAACGACTTGGAGAACTCACAACTTGATGAAGCAATATTGCAAGTTATAACAGTGTTACACAAATTAAGGTGTCTGTGTCAAATAAAGCGCATAAGATTTATATCTCATCTGAACCAGGCTGATAATGGCTTCACTCTGGGCCTCATAATAGTCATACAGTGGGCTATATCATGCTGCAGAGATATGTTTTCAGTTTTGTAGGAGTTTTATTCACAATATGATTGGCTATCTGACATCTCAGGAGGGTGCTCTACAAGCCTCGTCGTGACTGAATCTAGCAATCGTAACAAGGCACGCTACAAGCAGATCTCTTCCTCTTCCATGGTGCTACAAAAGCAATCAAATACTTCCCTTTGAGTTAACGTCAGTGGCCTCATTTGAACTCTCGGCAGATTGTGTAATGCGAATCCAAGTCTTGATTGAACACAGGTACAGAATTTGTCACTCTACATGGAATACACCCCATTTTCCTATAGTTGTCCCTCAGAATATGGTACTTCACCAATATATCCTACATCATCAACAAGGCCATCCGTAGTCATCGAAACCTGGCCGAGGTGGGCTATCTCTGGAATTAGCTCACACGTGTTGACTCTACTGGCGGGTAGGGTTCATGGAGGAGATTCAGGACTCACCTCTCCACGCATGCTGGCTCTACTGGCAAGTATGGTTCATGGAGGAGATTCACGATTCGCCTCTTCCAGTTGCCGTGTGGCGATCAACTTCCAGAAGGGTGGGGCGAGTGGCACCTCAACAAATACACGGAGTTTCTGACGACAATGAGAAGGGCCAGGAGATGGCTCAGGGGATGATAATTGGAATCACTGAGGACAAGGATGGGGACAAGGACAAGAAGGTGCTGAAGAAGTCTCGTCCAGCGTGAGACGAGGGAGACCCTTGCGATCAATCCAACAATTGAGGAACTGACGTTGTCCATGAGAGTGGGGCGATTCAGCGCTAGGGGCTTCTCTGAAGATGACGGGGTCACGGGAAGACAAGAGTCTTCGGCAGGCATCATGATCAGTGATGTGTTGGAGGGTCAGTGAGTCACTTTTGAGAGCATCTACAAGTACGCTCCGCTCATCTGTACCTGTGTCTGTTTTCATCTTTGATGCTCACTATCCTTGCTAATCACATTCTTGGTACTTGCAATGCTGTACTATGATTACATGTTATCTTTCAGACTCATTCTTGATGTGCATGGCATCTAAACTCCACTATGAAGCAACCGACCCATCAACGTGTTCCAAAAAATTTGTCCAGCTGTTCCGATAAACCCCTCATCACCACTGCCTTCTTCCTCATCTACATCTTGATTTCCTTGCCTTTGTGACTCCTTGCAAAAGTGTAGATTGGTGCTTTTCTTTCCTAGCTCCTCCTTGATCTTGATAATGAGGTTGTGAAGAATAAGACAACAATGTGTCCACATGTTCGCATAGTTGAGGTCCTTTTGTGACTGTATTGGAAATCTAAGCTCATGAAGTGATTGGAACTGTTGTAGAAAGCTGATTTCCGCTGTGCTCAGCAGAAATTGTACTACCTAGACAACAAATATTTAGGTAGATCTTAGCACGACCTATGCTGCTATACTTGCAAAGCAAGTGCGTTCAATCCTAAAGGGATTGCTAATTGGTATTAGTAGTCAAAATGTGTCAGTAATGCAAATAACAGAATGTCCGATGGTGTGAAATGATGTCCGAAGGTAATCCGATGATGTCCGAAGGTACTTATCCAATGTCCGAAGCCAAAGTGCGATGTCCGAGATTTCGGACTTTCGGACTTCACAATAATGGGTCGGAAACTTTATAACGAGTGACGGAGTATGACGGTGAACGAATGGTAATATTTCGCAATGCAACTAAGAACTACGAGAATATTCTGGGTGATCCACAGAGTCAGGAAATGGCTCCTAACTACTGGATGATGATTGCTACGGGTCACTACAGAGTATTTAAGTAAGTACGTAGAAATTCGGAAAACTACAGGCGAAGATAGTAGCGATATATTTCGGGTCCGATGTCCTATGTAATAAGACACGAGGTGCTGCGGACATGTAATAATGCGGTCCGAATGTCAGAAAATGTGCACAGGAATAGCTACGCACCTAGTGAGGCTAGTTCGGATGGACAAGACACGGGATGGACAAGTGCACGCGAAGTGCGATCGGCCGATGCGATGTCCGAAGGTCCAATGCGCTGGATCTGATACGGAGTGGCTCGGACATGTGCAAAAGTGCGTCAGACATGTGCGCATATGTTTCGGATGTTGACGTGAGTATGAAAATACGTGGTTTTGAGCCCAATGCCACGACCATCGCTACACTGTCCTTTGAGGGAACCATAGCAATGTTCTGAGTGAACACAGACCTTCATTTTAGGTATGAGCACATATACAAGTCTCTGTATGCTTGATGATTTACTTTCGACAGGTGTGTATTAATTTTTTTTTGATCAGGCCTCAGACCACCAGCTGCAGGGCATTTAAAAGGGACAACACACCATGTACGTGATGCATAAGCCAAGTCAGCCCAGATCCACTCATCTACTCCCAAAAAACTTTCAGGATGTCATGCAATTCGTGTTCTTGAGAATGCATTGGCGTCATGGAGACTTCCTGGGACCCCTATCACATAGTCGACAATACGAAGGTTGTGAGGCATGATCACAATCTAATGTAAGGTTAGTACCAATTTTTAATTCTGTTTCTCAATCACTCACCTGTGCTGACAGTGAGTAATTCAATTTTCAGTCAAAGAAACCTTCTCTGTGCCATCCCGGCTTCTGGTGAACATTGAAGGGTGTGCTGTCAACACACAAAAATCCACCACACCATTCCGAACATGTATGCTCTTCTACCCAGTCCTTCGCACAATCTATCTCAATTTGGTCTTTAGCCTCCAGTGGGTCAAAGTGAATAACATTGTCGTGGTGCTGCAAGATTGCAATCATAACACGCCGGTAGCAGTTATACACTGTCCCGACTGAAACACCTGCCCAGTCACCCATATCTTCAGCTGTTGCTGTGTTTCTGTAGTGGCCGGCACCATTCAAAAAAATTGCCAGCTGAACAGGAACAGGTAATTGTGTGTTGTTAGAATTATTGTAGAAAACTGGATAGTGGGTGATTTTATTGACAAGTTCAATGAAAACATTGGGGTCAACTCGGAGTTTGCGACAAAACCTCCGAGGATTTTCCAATCTCCACTCATCAAGTAGATGGAGCTGTGGTGCATGTGTGGCTTTGGGTCAAGAAATGAGAGTATGTGCTTTTTCAACTTCATCTTCAAGTGCTTGTATTGTGTTACTGAACTCAATAAAGACTTGGCTACTGAATACAGGCCCGGAGGTGTCTGTGGAATTGGAGGATGGCATAATTTCATCCCAGATGGCATCAAGGGACATCCAAGTATCAAAAGAGTTGGTAGAACTTATGGAGGAAATGGATTCCATGCTGATGTTCGATGATATATCAGACTCAGAGCCAGAGTCAGAGCTGGACTCTGATTCTGCCTCATCGTCAGATTCAGACTCGCCAGTGAAGGTGAATCAACTCAGCTGTTGGTCAAATGGTAAATGCAAGGGAGGGACACAAGAAGCTGATATAGTGATCAGTGTGATGCCTAGTCTGCTATGCTTGCAGGGACAAGCAGTGTTCAATCCAAGGGGAAGCAAGGGAGACAAATCCACAGTCGCGCAGCAGCTGTGCGAGGCGAGCAATGGGTGAGCAAAGCGCATGAAACTCGCACGAAGGTGTGGGAATGCAAAATGCAAAATGCAAAGTAGCAATGAACGAAGGCTCAATGAGTGACAACAAAAAGACTGCTAATATCTTCTAACTCTAGCTATGGACATGATGGGGAACTCCACTAAGGTAAGGAGTGGTGTAATCTGGTAAAGGGTGAAAAATGTGGACCTATATATGTGTCTCGCTAAGTGAGCCGAGTGTGAGCAGGGAGACTTGCTGGACAGTGGGTGGATGCTCCTGGATGATAGGGTGATGAAAGTGCGGGAAAGCGAGCATGAGAACTGTCGTGCACAGGAAAGCATCACCTGATATGGAAATAGCTGGGAAAAGACTAGGGAATGATGCTGCGAGTTGGTGCTGCAAACCCAGGTGGTATGCACTGAAGTATAACACGTTGCAGACCTGCAATAGTGCGAATCTCTACACTGGTGATCTCACTTGATGAGTCATTGTCCATCAACATATCTATTAGTTCGAGGTATTGAGCAAGCTGCATGCTCTGGTTGGTTTCTTGGAGAGCCTGAAGTACCTGTTTACATTCTGAAATGTGCATCAGGATGAAGGATGAAGGGTGAAGGATCAAGCTATAGGCTTATCGATTATCTACTACTTTGAAATGCTCTATAATCAGATTGATCACTAACATGAATATTTCATGTGGAGCTTGAATATTGCTGCAGTGTTTGCAAAGTTTGAACAAGTATGCCTTACTTTGACTTTGTTAGACCTTACTTTGAAACCCATTATACTATCACAGCCTTCTGTCATCATTACCCACACTACAGCGCTTGCAGACAATGTTGGCTTTGTCTGCAAAACACAAGAGTAACAAGCAAATAAGAAGTAGGTAGTAACACAGTTAGACATATTATGGGCAAGAAACTTGCAAGGTCGACAAATGAGATATATTGGAACAAGTTCAATGATCAGCATGGCTTGTAGATCATGTCGGTGTGGCTGTGATGTTGAAACTCCGACTGAGACACCCCCTAAATCCTATCTGCGCAGCTGCAGGGTTGTAAGAGCTCCAGCGCTCCAACCTGTCCTACGGCCCCACTAACTTCTAAACACCCACGCCACCGCTCACTCTCACTGGCCACATTAGTCAATGCAACCCCTCCGATTGGTTCCGCCCTCGGAGTAAAGCTTGTCTATTTTCAAATCAAATTGACGGTCCAGTACATGCTTACTTAAGCATTCCCAAAAGCGGAGGAGGCGCGTCTTATTAATCCTTCTATAAACGCGACCTCTCAGACATCTTTCGAAACTCTCCTCTGATCGTCATGTCCGCTCACCAGTGGAACGAATCAGAACCTTCTGATGAAGAAGTTAATCAAGAAACATTTGCAACTAGGAAACGCAGCAGTAGAGGTGCGCCCAGTCTGGGCACTTGTTCAACTTGTAGTGAATTATGTTAGCTTGTGATCAGTGCAGAAAGACAAAGAGCAAGTGCGAGCCATCCGGAACTGCTGGTACTTGCAAGAGCTGTACGATAGCGGGAAACAGTGCGTAACATAACTGAGGGATATTCCATACATCTCAATTTACTCCATTTGATTGCAGCATGTACATTTCTGGGTAAGCCGCCTTCTTTCCATGAGCGCCAAAGAGGAAGTCGATGTTGTTTTCAGGTCCCAGTTATAAGCGTGGTCCTCCTAAGGGTTACATACAAGCAATCGAACAGCGATGGCATCAGGTGGAGTCCCTCCTCGGTGCTGTTCTCTCCTGTCCGGATACCCGAGTACGACAAGTCATAGCCGATATTATGCAAGATGATCTTGCAAGGGAAATTCTCAATCGAGTAGACACAGGCCCGTTTGTAAGTGATGACGTACATTCAACAATTAAGTGGATCAACTTGTTTGATCCGAATCTACAGGGACCTTCGGGCAGACTGTCACAGCCAGCAGGGGCGACAAAAGAAGACTTCTTCGCATGTATATTTCGAAGTAACGAAGCTTCGGCTCGTGATTCTCCTCGTTCCCGAAGGCAGTCCAGGATCTCAAGAGAAATTGTATCATCATCTAGAGGTGAGTAACTAGCCTTGGGGGTACTTGAATGCCATGCGAATCGCCTTTTGTAGACAATACACTTTCAACCATACCAACTTCAGAGTGGCAGGATCGTCTATCCGCGAGCCTGACGAGAGGACGTGTCGACCATCATGGTGTTTCGCCAGCCTACAACCTTAGCGGGCCTCCTTTGCAGCAACGGCGGCGGCTCGACGTACCGTCAACTAGTAGTGGTCCGCATCAGCCAAATTGGAATGAAATGTACACGATGGATGCACTTTCAGGTGAGGGTTTTACCTCATGCGCCTTTGATTCGATCAGCCAACACGATCATAGAATCAGAAGGTACAGATGAAAATAATGGCCCGGATACTGCTTTTGGTCAACTCTCTCTGGATGAGAATCAAGAGGTCAGCGAGCTGTAGAGTTTGTATTTGGAACCTATGCTCATATTCTTCTATTAGGTTCGGTACCATGGCAAAGTCAGCGGTCTCCACCTTTTGGGGCGTAGCTCCCGTTTGGATAGTAGAAATGAGGGGGGAATATGGTTCGGTTTTTGATTCTGATTCCTTCTATGCGTATTCACGACTGTGATGACAGGAAATTGCCTATGGCACGTTTTTGGCCCTCTGCAAAGTCCAACACCATTCCTGTTCCACCAGTCGAAGGTGTTGTTGTCAACTTACCTTCCCTTGCGGTGCAAGATCATTTGGTTGGTTTGTATTTCACTTATGCACACCCGTTTTTCCCCGTAATTCACAAGGGCCGTTTCCTGAGAGAGTATAGCGAGTGGTGAGTTCTGTCATTCTGGTGTTTATCTGTCGTTCTTCTGACCGTGATATAGGAAGCAAAAGTAAGCTGCTTAACAGGACTATTCATCGGGTCCTTGCTTACCATGCCAGCCAAAGTAGTAATCCAGCTACACCAGAGGCTGCGAGGGGCACTCCACAGTACGCCAACCCAGAACCTTCACAAAACTTGACCAAGCTGCTTTTGCTGGCTATATTTGCCATCGCCGCTCGTTATCTGGATGACAACTCTGCTAAATCTATTGATGCGATGTGGGACGCTGGCAATGACTACCTTGCTCAGGCGAGGATAGCTCTTGGTAAATAATATCTTCAGTCTTGAATACATGTGCTTACCAGTGGGACAGCGCAAGTCTATCACAGTTCTCGCGCAACTACTTGTCAAGCCTTACTTCTTCTGGGCCATCGTGAATTTGGGATAGGTTTGTGATTGAAGCAAATCATTTGAGTGGCATGTTTATGAGTATTATCTAGGTTCAATGGAGCAAGGCTGGTTGTACATTGGTGTGTAAGCGTCATTAAATTACACGCACACTATCTTATGGCTTTCCCGTTGCAGGTATGGCGATTAGGATGGTTAGTATGATGAACCGTGTGAATGCAGGGAGGTTACTTAGCTACGTGTAGGCCCAGGACCTTGGATTAAATCGTGCTGCGGATAACTGGCAATTTCACGGAAGAAAAATGTTCTCCCTTGAGGAGAACCAAGTCAGGAAACACATATGGTGGGGCTGTTGCATCGCAGACAAGTGCGAAATCGGTCACTCTCAGGGAAGATGTTGTACTAACGACTACTCACAGATACACTTCTATATATATGGGTATGTCTCATACATCTCCTTTGGTGCACCCAACCATTCATCTTGCTAGGTCGACCCGTATCCATCGGTGAAGGCGACTTTGATACCCTTCTTCCGGATCCCGCTGAAGTACGTTCAAACCTACGACATATCGGTTATACACTCACCTTTTCTTCTGCAGTACGATGAAGACATCTCGAGCGACCTAGCGACGTCACAGCACATATCTACACCGCTGACGATGAGCTGCTTCAGGGCTGCTGCGAAACTATGTTTGTATTCCTTATCTGCAGACTGCGTGCATAACTGATGGAGATGCAGCTGTTATAATTGGTTCCATTGTGACAATGATTTATCCCGTTCGCTCGACGGGAAAAACCTCGCGGCGGGCAATCTTAAATAGTTTGGAGTCTAGGCTGGACCAATGGTACCTCGAACTTCCTGATAATATTCGGTACGACCCAGCTAGCAAGCGAAATACTCCGCCACTGGCGGTTCTCTTTATCCATATCCAATATTGGTCCGCAGTATTATTGTTACACCGAGCGTTGTACGTTAAATGTCGGAATATTCAATTGGTGTCACTGATGCTTCTACAGTATTCCTGATTGGAAAGGGTAATTCATGTGTCACCTTGATACCTTGAAAAGTCCAAGTCTGACTTTCTTACTCTAGCTCGGAACAGATACTGCAGAATCCTCCCAACGGACCTGACACAGCCTCCCTGAAAGCCTTCGATCTCTGTCAAAGTGCCGCCACTTATGTCAGCACAATAGGTATGTGTACTCGAGCTAAAAAATTTCATATACGCTGATTCCAACCTAGTAACGACGTATCACGAGAACTTCAATATCAAATGTAGTTCACCGTTCTTATCATCATATATTCTCAGTGCTGGGTCTGTTTTATCGTTTGTATTAGTATTCTGCACTTTCTAATTCCTAAGCTCCATCAGAATTATGCACATCGTAACATGTATGTACTTTTCTTCGAAGGACATGCACCTTTCTGAATCCTCTTCCCTTACCAGTAACCCTCCGGCCATCAAATGTCCAGGCTTATATCGGCCTGCGACAATGTCTTACCGTTTTGAAAGAGATGCAGGTCAGTCCGGGCCACTGTTATCCGCATCTAATCTTACCTTAGCCAAGACCACTTGGCCTAGCGCCGGAAGGGCCCGGGATCTTCTTAATGGTGTTAGAGTGCAGGTTGACAGCAACATGCCACCTTTGGTGCATGGCCCTGATCGTCAAAAGAGAGCGGCAGATGATGCGTTTGGAGAAAGGAGCTCTGACGTGCTGCAGCGTGAGGCGTTTGGTGATGTTCTTCAAAGGGAACGTGCTCCACAGAACAGCGGTATCCAGGAGATTAGCACCCGAATGATGGCGCATATGCTTGGCCTTGACATTCCTGGCATTGAACCCTCGACCTCATATTACCCAGGTTACGAGTGGTGGCCACGAGCCAGCCAGCCTTCATCTCAGTCGTATCACGAATCATCCACAAGTGCACCTTCGCTGATAAATATGGATTATCCTCTACCAAACGACCAAGACTGGAGAGTCCAAAATCCCATCTCCAACTATTCATACGAGTATCAGATTGCGCCACATGATCGTTATCGCATGTAGTGGGCTAATCACCTTTGTTTCCTTAGCGTAAAACGCCACCAATAATTATCCACCGTCCCTCATCTCCTGCTCCTGTTACTCAATTAGAAGGTACAACATTGATTATGTAACTTATGTAATGGACCTACAAGAACCTCTAAATTGAACGATTGCAATTGTCTGCGAACCTATGTTTCGCCCTCAGAAATACTATGTCGAGCCTGAAAAATCTGTTGAACCCAGAAGATGACTCCACAAGCTTGTATCAGTATGTGGACCTGTTCTCGGATTTTTTTGGCGGCTTATTCTGACACCTCTGTTTGCTACCCCCTTTGTCTTCGCCAACAGCTCAACAACCAAACAACCTATTTCCACAAGCTCCTCTCCCGCCTCGGACGGCAGCGCCAACGCAACAGTAGAATCTCCTCAATACGATCCACCATACAAAGAGCATGCTCCTCATCCCAATTGTCCCGACACTTTGGCCTGTCTTCCAGATACGGATGGGCGACCACAGCATACTCTTCCAGTGATCTTGCGATGTGCAATTCTTGGCAGTGCACGTAGACGTCTCACTATTCGCGAGATATATGCTGCCATGGAGGAAAAATATTTGTATTTTAGGACTGCAGGGCCAACATGGAAGGTTAGTGCACTAGGGTGTGATGGTTAAAACTTATGCATCCAACCTTAAATTGCAGCAATCTGTCCGCCATCACCTGTCTTTGAATAGATTATTTGAAAAACAGCCTCGTCCTGTTACAGACCCTGGTTTCGGTTCTTACTGGACAGTAAATCTTTCTGCTCCCCCGGGCACCAAGCGGCCGCGGAAGCGGGGAAGACCTACAAAGGCTGCCGAAGACCCATCTAACTCCACTCAGCAGAAGAAACGGGGACGACCTCGAAAATCTATTGATCTGCTATCTCCCCTTAACTCACTGGCTGTGGGCTCGGGACGCTCGATCCCGCCGTGCAACATTTCCGCCGTACGCACCGGGGGACCTAACCATGATGACGGAAATGTCGAGGATGATATGGATCTAGGTGCAGACGTACATGAGATGAGTGAGGATGAATACGAGAGCGAGGAAGATATGGTTGTTCCCCCTCATCAATCATCCTTTGCAGGACTTGGGGCTTTTGGACTAAACGAGGCCCCTTCTCGTTTACTAAGTCCCTCGACATCCCGTGCGCTTATCACACACTCCGATGAGAATCTCGTGGACCGATTGCAGATTGAAATGGCGGGATTACGCAGGCAGTCTGCGGATGCGATATCTGTTTCGGCAAAGATATCAGATCAGCTAGCGGAAGCTCAGGCTGAGGCAGCTAGAGCGAAGACTGCTCTTAGAACGGTCGAGGCGATGCTGGAGGAGGAGGTTATAAAGAGGAGGGAAGCTGAATACTTAGCAAACCAGGAGGCTAAGTTGAGGCGCGTAGCAGAGGACACAATTGCACGCATGCAAAGTCAGTGGCAGGTTGACCATCGAGCTACATAAAGTATGTTTGTTCCTTCTCGTATTCATTTGATGTATCGATATTGACATATTCCTCGTACTAGTAGCACATTTCAGCGACTTTGAACCCGAACTCCTCGTCTGCTCATCCTTCGTGGAGGTTCCTTCTCCAATAACTAGTTTTCAGCTACTCACTGGGACTCGACAATGGACTCAACATATTCATATTCTACGAAATTTCTCTATTTTCCCAATTCATTGGTGCACACGAGTACTCCATAGGAATGTTCGAACATGTAGTATATTGCGGGGGAATGATGACGAGTAGTTCAAAAAGGAAATTAGAGGATACAAAACCAAATAGACTTGACAGAGACGGTGATTTTTGTATATGCCTCGACTCAAGTTACATTTTAGATGGCATCCATAGGTGGCAAATCCAGATTGAAAACAGTGTGAGTTCCTTTGCGTATTGTCTCCACGCGCCAGCGCTCTGAGTTTCTGAGCAGCTACAAAAACAAGCGTTCTATTGGACCACTTCATACATGCGGATCTGTCGCGGTCTCTGGTGATGGGAGCAAACTTATCACTTGTGTTGCGGAGGAAGCTGTGCTCACCAATATTTTGACTGGCGAAGAAATATGTCGGTTTGCAGGGGTGAGTTATTCCGCCCTCAAAACGTTAGAAAACGCCATAATTGATGACGGAAGCAATCCAGGACACTCAATCGATTACTTCGCTTTGCTTGACCCCATCGGCGTCGCAACTGATCATATTCACTTCTACTCCTTCTTTGCGCGTGTACGACGTCCCCACTGCTGCTGCAAAAAATAAAATTCATCCCGTTCGCGTGGTTGCTCGTGCACATGATGCCCCCGTACACGTCTGCACCATTGATCCATCCTCCACATATCTTGCTTCGGGCTCTGCGGACGGTGTTGTCAAGGTTTGGGACATCAAACGTGGCTACATTACTCATGTCTTCAAAGGGCACGGTGGTATTGTGAGCGCGTTGAAGTTCAACTTTCCCCAAGACCCTTCTGTTGTGGTCCCACAAAATATACACCAACTCATCACGGCCTCCGTGGATACTCGCATTCGGATATTTGATTTAACAGCCACCGCAAACAAAGGAGATCAAGGTGCACTACGTCCGATCGCTATTCTCGAAGGGCACGTTTCTGTTCCCCGGGGCTTGGACGTGACTCCTGACGGAAAATGGCTTATAAGCGGGGGAAGAGATTCCGTTGTTTTGGTGTGGAACTTGCACGCGAAGTCGACTGGTGCGAAATTTGCGGAAGCCACCAAGGGGAAAGGAAAAGGCAATTCACCTGTACTGGCTCAAACTATTCCTGTTATGGAACGCGTTGAGGCTGTTGGGTTCTTGCAGGCTGGAGACTCGGTTCCTAGTAGTAGTGCTTCCCAACTGCGTTTCTACACTGCTGGGGAGAAAGGTATCGTCCGGATATGGGACGTAAAGGGTTCCTCTGTCTTATACTCCCTCGGCCAGGTGGCAGACCCACTGACTGAAGATCAAGAGGAGCAGCGTCAGATTCTAGAAGCTGTGTTAGTACAACTCCCCTAGTGAGTACTTTTGTCACTGACAGCACGTCTTCAGCTACCTGCCGTCAATATCAACAATCGCCTCGGTACATGCAGACCAGAATATCCTGTTCTACGACTTGAACACCCGAAATCTCCACCGACAACTCATCGGCTTCAACGACGAGATCGTTGATGCGGTTTTCCTGTCTCCAAATGCCCCAAAATTTGTCGATTCTCACATCGCATTCGCTACAAATTCATCCCTCATCCGGGTTTATTCAGCTACAGGACTAGATGCGCGGCTTTTGGCTGGTCACACAGAAATCGTGTTATCACTTGACCATGGTGCGGGAGGCAAACTCTTTGCGAGCGGAAGCAAAGATCGCTCTGTTCGATTATGGGCGCCTGCACATTCGAACGACGACCTACCAACGGAATGGGGCTGCATTGCTATCTGTGAAGGTCACGCAGAAAGTGTAGGCGCCATTGCAATGTCGCGAACTTCCGACGAAGGTGGCACCACGGGTGTGCAATTCATGTTCAGCGGTAGTCAGGATCGCACGATTAAGATGTGGTATATCGGTGACGTGCCCCTAGTATTCGATGCCTCTCAGCATGGCGAAAACATCGTGAAGTGCAAGAGTTTGACCACTCATAAAGCACACGAGAAAGACATTAATTCTCTCGATGTCTCACCCAACGACCGCCTCTTGGCATCTGGATCTCAAGACCGCACAGCCAAAGTATATGAAATCAATTTTTCACGTGCAACTGGAGACCGCTCTGCAAATGGAGAGATCAAACTTCTGGGAACCTGTAAAGGCCACAAGCGGGGCGTTTGGACGGTCAGGTTTGGTCGTTCGGAGCGTGTGCTCGCAACCGGAAGCGGCGATAAGACTGTAAAATTGTGGAACTTGGAGGATTTCACTTGCGTGAAAACATTCGAGGGACATACCAACTCGGTGCTGAGAGTTGATTTCATCAATCACGACATGCAACTCGTTACATCAGCATCCGACGGCCTTGTAAAACTGTGGAATGTACGCGAAGAAGAGTGTACAGCTACTATGGACAATCACGAAGATAAGGTGAGACTTCTCATTCTCTCATTCCAGTTGAAATTAATCCACCTACAGGTTTGGGCACTCGCCGTCAGCTCGAATGAGCGTACGATTGTGTCTGCAGCAGCTGACTCTGTAGTGACTTTTTGGCAAGATTGCACTGAGGAACAGGAACAGGAGAACGAGGCTAAGCGTTCCGAGCTGGTCTTGAGGTTTGAACGTTGTCATGCATATCTTGTTCAAGCTCATTTTTTTCTCTTTCGTCAGGGAGCAAGATTTCATGAACTATTTGTCTCTTCATGACTATCGCAAGGCTATACAACTTGCCCTCGCTATGCAACAGCCTGGGAGATTGTTATCCTTGTTCAAAGACATTCGTGCCACCCCATCGGAATCTCCAGCTGATGTATCATCGGTAACTGGCAATGGCGCAGTTGATGAGGTGCTACGGACCCTGGGCGGGTCTGATCTTGCCCGCCTCCTACGCTATGTTCGTGACTGGAACCCCAATGCTAAGACAAGCGGAGTGGCACAAGGGGTGTTGTATGCAGTCATGAAGCTGAGATCGGCGGACGATGTCATAGCGGCATTTACGGACGAAGCTCAAGAAGGTATCTTACAATCCTCTGGTCAAGAGAGCGTGAAAAGTACTGCCAGCGGCAACACTGCATTGAAGGAACTCGTTGATAGCATGATTCCTTACACTGAACGGCATCTTTCCAGAATGGACCGCCTTGTTCAGGATAGTTTCGTGGTGGACTATATCCTGAGCGAAATGGATGATGGAATGTTTGATGGTCAGGACATAGATACTATGGACGTAGATACAGAGGTCCGTTCATAGATTGCATTTCCTGCATATCATCAAAAGTAGTCTAGTCTTTGGCATAATGATTCACCCTTGTCTTGGTTGAAGTGTGCAATTTAACCCGTCCTAACTGGCAACCAATGACACCGTTAGAAACAAGCACCCATTCATCATCCTTGATGCTATCAAGTGTGAGCTCGTCCTCTACTGCTTCAAAAATGCGGTGTTGTTCAATAAGCCATCGTCGCAGAACACCAGATATACAACCAGCAGCCAAAGGAGGGGTGACCCAACGACGGTTGCGATAGAATGCAACATTACACACAGATGACTCAGTGACAACATTCCGGGTATTGTACAGGATCACATCATCAGGTGCATCGCTGGCTGGTGGATCTAGCGAGCCTAGAGGTTGGAGGCCAACTCGTATACGTGCGTCGTCATAGGCCCGCCTATTTGTTGTCTTCAGCGATATGGTGTCTGATGTTGGCTGTGTATCAATATGAATGGTAAGGACGAGCGTCGGGGGTAGGTCTGTAGAGGGATTGAAGAGAGATGGAAGGGTTGGATCGCCCGTAAACGCTTTAACCGGGGTTGTAGTTGCAGAAAGCTCTCCAGAAGGATTTAAAACGACGCGAACCTGGTGAGACCGTGAGTTAGTGTTTCACAAATCTTGCGTTGAATGTTAATACCTTCAACGCAGTTTCCCCCCTAGAATCATTATGCTCACGGACAACCTTGTCACATAATGCCTTGACATTAGACAAGGTGGTTCCATGACGGAAAGTCTGATCATTGAGCGCGGCAGACGCGATGAGACGGTCTGCTTGGTAATGAAGGAGGAGATAGGGTGATGGCCCGTCTACATCATTGTTCCAAGCGCATGACATTAAAAGGGGGTCATATCGCGTGGACGCAAGGAGGGCGTATGACATCGTACCAGATACTGTTGGAAGAGCTGATCAATTAATTGGCAATTTGGAAATCGACCAGTCCTGATACCAAAGCTTACCTAAGCGACTCGCGGATCCCGTCGGCCTGCCTCTCCGCACGGGATAAAAAAAATCGGCACACAAATCCAAGCAGCGAATATTCACAATTTATAGCTCGCTCAAAATTACCCTCAGGTGCAGACCTCTAAAGAGGATGCCATGGTATTATCGTGAGGTGATCGTGATCTATTGCATGGCAGAGAACATACGGACTGTACGGGGTAAATAGACAGCAGTATGGATCACAAGGGAATGGATGTAAACTAACTGTATACTGTGTGAAAGGATCTATCGCATGTCCTGCGTAATAAATTAGATGAGCAAATCAAAGAAGGGATGTGGGCACTAACTAACAGCGCGGACACTACCAATGCAGACGAGTAAGCAGTTTACTTGCCACCAGTGGTGCCAAGACCCATCGACGCCTTGAAGGAGTCATAGATCCACCATTGGAAGCCTTGATTGATGTGTTGGTTAGCTATTTTGAAAGAGTACTATGCCCACGTACCGGTAAGAGTACCGATCATCAGTACACGGGTGCCAAGACCCTTGGTTGCAAGCGCGACGAAACCGGTTTCTGACGCGATTGTGCCAATGCTCTTGCCTCTGTTTGCAGGCTTGCCCATGAGGGAGACGACGGAGTCGGCCGGGTGGGAGACAATAGCACAGACAACACCAGCGAGGTAACCAGAAGCGAAAGTGACCCCGAGTTGAGTGGTCTTGGCATACGACTCCTTGGGTTCGGTGAAGACGTGAGTGTAGAAGACCTGGACAATCTTCTCAAAGAAGAAGAACTTGGCCATGGTGTAAGGGATCTGTATGAAAAAGTTATGAACAATACAATCAGAAAAGAAAAAGCCTGTTCTAACCTGACGAGACCAGAGCGGAACAAGTGAGCCGAAGGGATAGCGGGTCTCAACCTTGGTCTTGCTCATCTCCGCGAGGGCAGCACCAAAGGCAGTGGGGAAGGTGCCGCTAGGGCTGGTTTGAATCTTGACTTTCGTCATCTCGAGAGGGCAAAGGGCGATGTCAGCGAAGACCTCTGCCGATGCAGAACCGGCAAGCCAGATGGCGGGCTTGTATTTGTTAGAAAGCTCTTCGCCAGCCAAGTTCATGTACTGGTCCTTGAACACTTCATAAAGACCGTACTTGAACATGCCTTGTAACGAGTAACCGACGAAGGTGGGACCAAAGCCTTTCCAGATACCGGTCTGACCCTCCTCACGAATGAGAGTCGCAAGACCAGACGAGAGACCCTTGTATTTTGCAGGATTTACCTGTTCGCAAAAGCTATAAGACGCGACACGGTGTCTGGAAGGATAGGACTGACCTGCATGTTGCACTTGGCCACGTCAAGAGGTGTGATACCAGCGTGAGTGATACCGCATGCAAGAACACCACCGAGCATGCACTTGGCATAGTATGAAGAGTCGTGAGGGACAGGGCCAAGGTATCTTCGAAAAGCAGAAATGAAAATCAACTCCACATGATACGAGACAATAAATACCTTGCGTCCCACTTGCCAGAAGGTGCTAGATGCGACATCGCTAATATTTTATGAGATTCTAGACAAATATCTATAGAGGTCCTTGATTGAAGGAGCCTTCCCAACAAGCGCGGGCTTCAAGGTCGAAGTAGGAGAAAGAAGTGCTTGCCGTGTTACGGCGAACCAAAATTTAACACTCTTTCCGCAAACAGCCGATCGAACAAAGATATTTCGGCTGCGCACATGCCACTTACTTGAAGCCTACCATAATACATTTGTCCTTTTGCTCATCATGAGCGTTGCAGTGATCACTGATCAAGAGCTCACAGTATTTGCCGGTTATTACATCTGTCGAATTCAGCAGCCAATATCAAACCGCCGGAAGTAAATAAACTGATTTTCACTACAATGGCCTCAGCAGTTCAGGGCGCTGTTCCCGAGCACGATGCCACATGGTAGTACCTGCCAAAATGAATGAAGTGTACAAAGACCCCTACTAGGCTTCCCACTCAAGTGAAGGATGTCACACAGCTGAGAACCAATTTCTTCTTTGATACAGTAGTCGCTAGACGCATTCGCGCGGGGGTGAACCCACTCAAGTCGTCATGGATGTCAAGCGAAGAGAGAACGAGGGCGATATCATTTTTTCCGCAAGTCATTCCGTGAAAGCAATAGCATGGATGGTTAAGCACGCGAGGTATGAGTCCATTGCACCCATACATTCTGTCTTCGGGTAGTGGGCATATCTCTTCCTGTAGAGCGTCTAACAAGCTTGAAATTCCCATGGACAGTCCTCCATTGGTGACACCATATTACTATCCCGGCTGATCCGATGGGTAATACACAACGCACTTCAGAGCTCACAATTTCACGTACGTTTCATTCGGAACAGCTGGAGAACATATGTTCAATAAGACTACTGGCAAATCCAAAAAAAAAATCGATGTTGTGGACATCATGGTATCGATTTATGCGCCCTCACCTAGGGGGTTACTAGGGTGTATTATCCGAGCTAGTGAATGTCGCGGCGGAATGATTGCAGGACATTTGCTGATCGATGGCGCTTGAAAATGACCAATGAAAGGAATGATATCAGATACATGCATTATATGCCATCATGGGGTGGGTGTATTGAACCCGGGATATAAATATTGTAGCCACAACTCGCCCCACGTCACAATACGTCACGTCTCCTTGGTCACACTGCTGTCACGGCGCGATCAATATAAATCACTGCGTAAGCTGCGGGCGCCCCACCAGCTCCTCTTGAACACCACCATGTTCACAGTAAAGGCAACTTATAGAAACGAGACCCGCAAGTTTTCTTTCTCAGGGACTGTCTTGTTCCCCACATACGAGGAGCTTTACCAGCAGGTATGCTTACTGTTCTTTGCTTATCTGTTCTCACTGCTGAAGCGCTGACGTTTCACATTTGCAGCTGTATCGCATATTTCCTATAAGCCATAATTATTATCTTTCTAAACTCATTTTCTCTCCCGACGCGTCTCAGCCATCTCGTATTCTAATTGGAAAAGAAGTCCATAACGCAGAAGAGTACAGCACTCGTATTGCCCCTTTACGCAGGCGCTGGCCCAACCCATTGCTCAGGTTCTCCATCTTCGACGAGACTCCCCACAAAGCACCCAGTGCAACGGTAGAAGATTCTCGGGAGGTTTCTGCCCCTCTGTCCTTTATGGCGATTCCCCCGCCTCCTACACTTATGCCGACTCTTGCACCACCCAATTTGGTTCCCACTAAATCCTTCGATACGCGTTTCCAAGAGTTTCTATCATTCAAAGCGGCTCATCCACCCCCACCTTCTTCTAGACCACTTCCTACCCTTGAACGTTCTAGCACCCTCACGTCTCAAATTTCGCCTTCATTCACGCCACCACCGCCTATCATATTCCAAGAACCACATAGGCATCCCTCTTCTCCAAGTCTTCCTTCTCTCTCGCCCCGAGCAGCCTCTCCTAAGCCGTGTTGCTCAATCACCAAAGGGAAGTCAGAAATGGAAACCCTGTTGATATCTTTCAGGCAAGATATTGATCGCATTATACTCGATACTTTTGGCCAGTGCAATGCTTCAGCACAAGTCGACACATCTCATCGCCAGACCCCTCTTGGATCGGGAATATCCAACGAGGCTCATACTTCGTCAGAGGCATCGTGCAACACCTCAACGGAATCTACTTCATCACATTGGTGTTTTGTCTGCAGGAACGAGTTCTCTGGAAGTTGGTACGGGTGTGTGAAATGTCCATGGCACTATGTTGTAAGAGCTTTTATTTGCTGGTGACATTTGCTTAGCTTACCTATCTGTTAGTGTCCAAACTGTTTCTCCAAATCTGGTGCTATGCATACATTCAGTTTTGGACCAGCTCACGTTGTCCAGCAGCGTGAAGCTGTGCCGTCAATCGCCATAACACCGTCAGCCGCGGAAATACCCGCAGAGTCTCAGCCTGCCGGAACGGAGCTTGTTGATGCTCAGCCTAATCAACACTCTCCTGTCATTCACCGAAATATTGTTTGTGACAGCTGCAACGAAATAATTGTTGGCGTTAGGCGCAAATGCCTGGATTGTCCTGGTAAGATTATATGATCCAATGTCACAACACACTCTCTATATATTCTCCATTCTAGACTATGATCTGTGCACGCCCTGTCTCGAGTCAGGTGCTGCACAGAGTCACAACCCGTTCCATGAATTCTTCGACATCGAAACACCCGGACGAGTGCTCGTTCATACGGTCTTTAGTGGAAGCGGGGAGCGTGATACCTCCCCAAATAGTCGTAGTGCTACCGCAGATGGTCCTCTCACTTCCGCAGCGACTTCAGCGAGCACCTCAGAGACTATTCGTCATTGCGCAGCATGCAACATGTGTGACTCTCCTATTGTTGGTGATCGCTTCGTGAGTCTGCTTTCTGCATCTCACTTCCTTACCACTCATGATTATCCAGAAATGTGTTAATTGTCCAGGTAAAAGCGCATTTTTGGATGATCTAAGAGTGCTAATGGTGATTTGAAAGATTTTGATACTTGTGCTGACTGTTTCAAGTACGTGTTCTGTTACAAAGCATGGTCAGCATTGACACTTTGGCGGTCAGGATTACTGGAGAGCAACATCCCCATCACGGCTTTGTGCGGGTGAGCAAGCCGAACGATCTCATGGTAACAATGTCCTTTTTGTGAAGAGAAATCCGTCTCACATATATTCAAGATGCGCAATGCAGTGACTAACACAGCTACTTTTTACGCGACGTGTGATTGTAAGTTCTGTCCTATTGATTGGAGATATTAAATAATTAGCTGCGCTATCAGCTTGCCGCAAGCCTATTCGTGGTGTCCGTTACAAGGTGACTAGTCGGGTATTAGCGATGTTTGTGTTTCTAACACATGCATTTTTGTGTAGTGTATGCACCCTAGCTGTCCCGATTTCGACCTCTGTCAGAATTGCGAAGCCCTCCCTATCCCGGTCCACCCTTCCATTCATCCGTTGTTGAAGATGAAGACTCCTGACACCGTCATTCCTACCGTGTACAGAGTCGGAATGACTAAACTTCATTCTCGAAGGACGTCTCAGGGAAGCACCCCTCCCCATACTTTTGAACCCCGTCTTCCGAAACCTCCGCTCGTTTCTGTATCACGCACCTCCTCCGAGGTTTCTGTGAAAAAAGAAAGGGAGCCGTCTTTGGTCGTTCTCGAGTCCCTAAGTCCTCTTGCCATTTTAGCACAATGCCCCGACTGCGTCAGTGAAAACTCTGTCGGCCCTTGGGGTTATGGTCTAACTCCTGCTAAATTACTTCAATCTCCGCAGTCTCCCGTCCCTAACTATGAAGAACCTTCCTTATCTCCCACCAAATTAAGTGTCAGCTCTGTCAGTTCCTGCTACCAGGCAGTAAGGCCTGTGGAGGTCAGTGTAACACTTGTTGGCTTTTGGCGTCATTTCTGACTGTTTCTAAATTGCCAGTCTCAGCAACCTTTCGCTGTTGAGCGTGAACAATCAACCTCACCTTATAGTAACTTGTCCCGGACGATCGATCGACCTTCCGCTGAGGTGAACTCGCCACCCCTCGACCTGAACCCTTCACTTGACATCTTTCGTGAAGTTTGGCCAAAAGTTAATCGGGAAATGAAACATCTCACTGAAGCAAGACAATCCGAAGTAAATTCGCCTAGTTCTGTGGCCGACTCAGATGAAGTCGTTGAAACCGATCTGGGCAGGCTGGCGGAACCTACGAATTCTCCCCTCAAAGCAATTCGCCCTGAAGAATCTGCGGAGTCCCTTCTCAAGGATGTGTCGCCTGCTATTCCGACATTGTCTTTTGATGGTCCTCCGATGGATCTTGCTGCACTTTTACGTGGTTTCCGCACACCGTCCCCTATAGCCCCTGAATTACTCGCTCCATCCAGTACAACTTTTCCTTCCTTCCCTTCCAGTGTCATAGATGATCAAATAACTACTACGCCCAGCCCGGAACAGCAACAGGCCCAAATTACACCTCTCAGCTGTGTTTTTGTGTCCGACACGACAGTTCCTGACGGCCAGATTTTTCCACCCGGTGCCGAGTTCGTTAAGTCCTGGCGGATGTTAAATGACGGGGTGCTGCCTTGGCCAGAGACGACTGAGATTCACTTCGTTGCGGGGGAGTCTTTCTCACCTGAAGCTGACTCTTCGATGATTGTCAAAGTAGGACGCGTTGATCCCGGAGAAGCTCTTGACGTATGGACTGGTGATTTAAAGGTTTGTCTTTTGGGTGTGCCACAATCTATAATCGCTAAAGGACATTGCCTATCAGGCACCTGATGCTCCTGGTAGATATGTCAGTTACTGGAATTTGACGGACGGCGCCGGTCAAAGGTTTGGTCCTAACGTCTGGATTGAGTACGTTCGGTTCTTTGTCTCGCTGCATTTGAACTAATGGCTTTCGCAGTGTTACTGTCGCCGAGCCTCGTCAGTCAGCTGATGAAGCTGATGATCTTTCTTTAGCATCATCCTCTATGGTTATGCCAAAGTCATCATCGGACAATAGGTCTGCTCATTCCGTCGGTCCCGTTGATCACTTATTTGAACCATCATATCCTTCAACGTCCAAACCTACGACGGACGGAACGGATGATGGGGCCTCTGATGGATCGTCAGTGTCATTGGTCAGCGTCCCTTCGTCTGATGACTATGGATCCGACTGGCAGGATACGCATTCCCAGCCAGAGAACCTTGAGTACGTTGTGCTGTACGACAGCAATGGTTCAGAGGATGAATAAAGATATTGATAACTTGTTTGCTTTCTATTGACGATGTCCTCATATATGCAGCGGCACACCCGCAGTCTTATTATCATGTACTATTACAAGCTATCTGAATTCACATCTGTACAAATACCTGGCATATGGCTAAGACATGTGCGAGAAACGTCACTCCAACCACAAGACTTTCAGCTCAGGAGTGTGCAACGTTCATTGCAAGACGCTACTCGCAATATTAATATTACAGCTATATGCCAAATATAAAAGATTGTTAGTACGAGATAGACTGGTGGGGTAAACCGTCGATAGACAAACTGTATACTTTTTGTATTCTATTTCACACGTCGAAGACTTGTTTTCTCATTGGCCAGACATCACGTTACCCTGGAAATCCGCTCAATATCCAGTTTTACCACTGCCAGTCTGTTTACCAGCCTGGTCACCAAGTACGAGAGAATGAGGGGAAAAAACAAAAAAACACCACCAAATAGTACTATGTGAAGAGAGCCGAACTATTTCGATGGTATCATCACATCACTCTTTGACCGTCGTACATAGGCCGATGTCGCAATTGTGCCGTGTTCGGGACGAAGGTCATTCCCGCTTCAGGCTTGACGTGGCCCAGGAAGGGCAGCACCCTTCAGAGTCAAGGATACAGAGAACCCTGCTAGTACTCAGGCTCAGGGTCCTAGCAGTCTTGTAAGACTCGAAAGTGTCGAAAACGGTCTTCGTCCGTCTTCCCCGCTTCTGGTTCTGAGAGTCGAGGCCTGGATCTATTTAAATCCCGACGGGTGGACTGAACTGAGTACGGGGAAGCGAACCACTCTCAAGGGTGGTTCTTGTCATCGTTCGCTACCACCGGCACTCATGCAGCATGCCAGGCGAGAAGAAATCCTGGTCGAAACTGCGATCACCTTTCCGGAGGACTGTCCCTCACGAAACCCCTCGAAAACGCTCCGAGTCTGACACTCCGGGTGGCAGCAAGATCTCCAGTTCCGTCTTTGTCCCAGTGTTCCAAGTTGAGCCGCGTAAAACATCCGAAGATATCACCGGTACCGAAAGCGCTCTATCCTTTTCAACAGAAGAGTCTTGGGTGTCACATCCAGAGAATTCGTTGGAGGGCCATGGAGACAGCCATAACTCCAGCTGGAGTTCTCAGGCAGGTTGCACTACTCCAGGCGCTAATTCCAACTCTTTTTCTGGTGAAGCAGTTCTCCCTGCCGCTTACCCTGGAGCATGTCACAGCTCCCATAGAATGAGTGGAGATCTCGAGGGAAGGCTAGGCAATGCATATAGGCGCATTCAAAACATGCCCCCCTCGCCGATATCACCCACTATCAGTCAATTGGCTGGTGATCCTCGCACATATCATAAGCAACTGGGATTGCCTCAACATTCCGTCATCAACCAGCCAACGCTGAAGATGCCGAGCCTTCCAAATCCTCACACGACGCATGCAAGATCACAGTCACAATCCCCTCCGTCATCGTTTCGCTTTGAATCTGCACCACGTACTCGGGACAATATACCTGAATCGAGTGGTGCTCTGCGATTTCGTTATCCTCAATTAAAGGCACAATCCCAAAAATATCACCAACCATCATCGCAAACCGATATCGATGTCCATCCTAACGATCGCCATCCGACAGCGACTTCAGTTCATTCCTCCCAAACTTCGCCCGCCGTGGTCCTCGGTATCCCGCCCTATCCCGCCGGTGCTGTTACACCATCGTTGTCGCAGTCAGAGGATGGCCATATTCGATCAGAAGTTCCCCCTGGAAGGTCAAAGTTGATCAAGCAACAATCAGCAGCACTGTCGCATGTTTCAAGTCCATCCCAATTGTCACATCGCATTACTTCGGAGGAGGCTCGTACTACAGAGGGGTCAAAGTTGATCAAGAAACGCTCATTATCGGTTTCTTGTGCCTCAAGTTCACCCCTTTCATCATTATATCACTTTGCGTCAGAGGAGACTAGTACCCCTGCGTCATCCGACCAAGGATCAAACTCCGATAAGGACGTCCGCGACGACCAAAGTTATCTGCCACCCATTAAACATCCCTTACCATTACGGCTAGACATAGTGAGTCGCAACACCAAGTGCACCTGGTCCATCATTAACTTGTGATCTTTTAGCCGATACATCAACCATGGCACAATCGGAGAACAAAATTCGAGTTATCACCCATGCGGAGAAGCCACTACAGTAGTGCATCCATTGCCTTGCCAACATCAAGCACTCCAAAAGCTAGTCCCAGCACTGAAGCACTTGCATCTTTGGCATGGATTGGTACATCTCCAATGAGCACTTCTGCCTCGACATTTTCTGGCACTTCACATTATACCCAATCCAGCGTTGTTCCCACGGACGAGATCAATATATCCATTGCAATGGATGAAAATCTATCAGACGAAGCCGTGGTGGAGCATCTCGAAATCATACGGAAACGGAGTTACAAGGACTATCAGTCACTTCCTGTCCCGAGGACCACCAGCCGTGGCATACCACTCTCTCAGCAAGGATCGAGCCATTCATTTCAACTCGGAGATCACCTCGCCAATCATTCGAGTTTGCAATGCGGATCGGAGGAGTCCGAGTCTGTGACGCCCTTACCTGTGATTTTGGATGATGTCGAGTTGGACATTGACGACGCTGCGATCTGGATTACTGCCAAAAAGGCATTGCTTTGCATCCGAGAACTCGTCGGGACGGAGAAAAAATACCAAGGAGCCCTTAAGCTGCTCCAGACAGGACAGGTTTGTCACCGATATGACGTCTGAAGGGAATATCGTGACTGAGGTGATATATTTAGACAGTGAATCAACCACCTCCGCTGTTGTTGACATACCTTCCTGGCCTCATACGAGTATCAGAGGTGTTGCTAAAGGCCTTCCTTGATGACCCCTCTGCTTGGGGCGTATCCACTGCCTTTATGGCTTGCGAAGATGACATTGAAGCTGCTTTGGTTTCGTGGTGCAGCGTGGCAGGCAACTTCTTTACTGATGGTAGCCACGAAGGCGAGTCAGCCATCACGGGAGGGAAATGGCGTTCGCGCAAGTATCTGCTCTCCGCCACAAACAATCCCTTCACTGTGGTGGAGAAGTCGAGTGGAAACTCTGCTCCTTCTAGTTCCTCTCCTCCTCTTCTAACGTTAATGAACGAAGCAGGGAGTAGAATCAAAGATAGACAACGGAGTTTTGACCACTATTGGAAAGTGCCTGATGATGGTGGCGCCGAGTCCCACAGTCGATCAAAGGGAGAGCCTCCAACTCGGAAGCAAAGCGTACGGGATCTTGCAATTCAACCCACACAGCGAGTCATGAGATATGTTTTGCTGTATCGAGGTATGTTCCATTCTCATTCCACGGTTTCTCGTTTCACATCTTGTGGGGATAGATCTATTGGAGAGTACTCCCCTCACTTCTCCTTCCCGCGCTCTTGTTGAGAGAGCACTCGAAGCTGCGACACGCATTGCTAATAAATGCGACCACGCACAGGATACTGCCTTTTTCCGTAGATAGAATGGTTCGCATCGCATATTTATTCTTAATATCCTATTAGGATCGAACAGCCGCGTCGATCTGTATCACATACTGCAACTGTTATACCCAGCAATTATCTCATTGTATATACGTAACTTACTACAAGTCCGAAGTTCTGCCTTGCTTCTTTGTTCTCGTACTTTCTTGCTATCCTATGGGGGCCAACGCTCACTCGAGTAAAATTCACTCTAATGCACTGACAACAACAACATCTCGCCCCATGACCTCAGTTTGGATGTGCTTCAAGGAGGGGATCTAATATAACTTGAGGTGAAAATCCATGATCCTGCATGACCGCGTCCTTTCTCGTACCTGTGGAGCCAATAATGTTCCCCCATACCCGACACCATCGTCACCAATCAGCGTTGGAGCAATTGTGATGATGAGTGTGTCAATAATGATATTAGGCTTGGTGCGTGCAGATTCCGCCAAGAAAGAGCCGATAATAGTTGCACCTCCTTCGACCATAAGGGTCTTGATTCCAAAGTTGTAAAGGACCTTCAAGAGATTTGGGATCATGATGAAACCTGAAAATATTGATATGATCTGCGCAAGATAGCAAAGAACATGACCTACCGTCCACCGAGGGCACGCCTATCACTCTTGCTCCAGCGTCCTCAAGGGTGGATTTTCTTCCGTCATCGGAGGCCAAATTAGCATCGCAAATTACCCATGGACGGCGACCTTTTCCCTCCCGATAATTTTTGAGCAGCTTGCAGTCTGGTCTAAGGCGCAAGTTTGCGTCAAGTATCACAGGACGAGGCAGATGGCTTGGTCGTTCATCCTCAGGGATATGGCGACCTTGTGGTACCTACATAAGTCACACGCGCAGATGAGATTTAGGACGTACTATTTAGCTGGGGATCGTCATTTAGCGCAGTACCGATGCCAACTAGGATAGCGTCGTGCTTGGTCCGCATCCTTCCTTGGGAATAGTAAGGGATAGGGATATATGTGAGTTTTAGATCAATACCATACCAATGAGTCATGAGCATGCTTTCTCTGCCGCTGAGAATAAGCTGTTTGCCCTCCTTGCCTGCTATCTTCCCGTCAAGAGATTGAGCGAATGTGAGGGTCACTAAGGGTCGCTCCAAACGACCATTACCAGGTACTGGTAATACCGACGAGAGGAACTCTGTTATACTTTGACCACTCACTAGCATGATGCTTAGCAGTCAATTGATCTGGTAACTCTGGAACGTCAAGACCTGACATTAGCAAAATTAAAATGCCAGCATCTCTATGTCACGTGATGCGTGAAAGGCCATTAAACAAACGCGAAACGCGTGCACAGAAACAAACAACTCTTTCTTCCTCACCACCACAATCAATCTTCGCAAACGTCGAAGTAGGGTCATTTTCTTCAGCCAATTCTCATCACACTTCTGAAGCATGTCTGGTCGTGGAAAAGGTGGCAAGGTGTGTAACTTGAAGTTAGGTTCTGACCCGCAGAGCTCACTATTTTGCGACATTACTATTCTGTAGGGTCTCGGCAAGGGCGGTGCTAAGCGTCACCGGAAGATCTTGCGTGACAACATTCAGGGTATCACCAAGCCCGTGTGTATTCCCTGTACTCATTGTGACAATGGCACTGACACTATCTGCAGGCTATCCGACGTCTGGCACGTCGTGGAGGTGTCAAGCGTATCTCTGGTCTTATCTATGAAGAGACTCGAGGTGTTCTCAAGATCTTCCTTGAGAATGTCATTCGTGACTCCGTTACCTACACGGAGCATGCTAAACGGTGAGCCGTCCTTTAACTCGTGAATATCGTATCTGCTAAACTATTGACGTGCACACAGAAAAACTGTTACCGCTCTCGATGTTGTGTACGCACTGAAGCGCTCAGGGCGCACACTTTACGGTTTTGGAGCATAGTTAACCGTATTTGTATTGGAGTATATTTTTTATTGGGGCATGACTCCTTTTGCGATATTATTGTATACTACGTAGCCTCCTCTTATCTTTTCTCATGGTCACCTAGATCAATGACTTTTATTTGTCTTGGGCTTGTGGCCTCGTGCGAAAATTTGCAATTCCCTGATGTAAGCGCTGCGCTTATGAGAGTTGTCCGTGGAAATTGATATCGTTCGTTATTGAACACTTCAATGATATCAAAGGATGATAAACAAGTTGAGCCGAACACCTTCGTGCCACAGGATCACGAAGAGGACGATATGGAAGAGGATGAAGTTGTAGATGAAACGCCAGGCGCCGGAGGTGAGCCAATTGAAAGTGATCTCAAGACTATCGTTTATGTTCAAATTTAGAGGAGACCAAGAAAAAGAAGAAGAAAAAGAAACCTAAAAAGAAAAAGGCGCAACAGTCAGATCCCCCACGAGTCGGTCTGTCGAAGATATTCACGAGTGGTATTTACCCAGAGGGGGAGATACAGCCTTACAAGGATGAGTGGGTATTGCGATCCCATAAGTTATACCTTAATGAGATCGACAATGTCTTGTTTGCAGCAATGCATGGAGGACGACGTCGGAAGAGAAGCGCTATGATGAAAGAATGGCAATGGAAGACCCAGAGATCACTTACAAGAATATCCGTCGTGCCGCAGAAGTTCATCGGCAGGTTCGACAAAGCGCACGGAAGCACATACGTCCCGGGATGACCATGACCGAAATTGCAAACCTCATCGAAGATGGCAGCCGTGCCCTGGTCGAGGAAGACGGACTGGAGTCGGGCATTGGTTTTCCGACTGGACTCAGCTTGAATCATTGCGCTGCTCATTACACACCAAACGCTGGGGACAACATTGGTGCGTATGTGTTTAATGGATAGAATTTGCTGCTTATGGATGGTAAGTTCTTCAAAGCGGTGATGTTTTAAAGATCGATATAGGAGTGCACGTAAAAGGACGCATAGTCGATTCTGCTTTCACGCTCAACTTTGAGCCTACCTATGACAAGCTCATTGAAGCAGTTAAGGCAGCTACTGATACTGGTATCAGGGTAAACCAAGTCCAACTTTATATGTTTGACTGCAGTTCACATGAGTATGTATAGGAATCCGGTATCGATGCGCGCTTGGGCGAAATTGGAGGTGCTATCCAAGAGACTATGGAGTCATACGAGGTTGAAGTCAACGGAAAAATATATCCGGGTATTCATCTTTCGTCCTGTGTTTCGGACTCCTCTGACACATTTCCAGTCAAGTCGATAGAAAACCTTAGCGGGCATTCTATAGGACTTTACCAGATACACGGCGGAAAATCGGTTCAACTCGTGAAGAACGATGATCAGACAAAAATGGAGGAGGGCGAATATTTTGCTATCGAAACCTTCGGCTCGACAGGTCGTGGACGTGTGGTTGAAAGCGTAGGCTTGGCTTGCGGATGAATTTGCGAGGGGCTCATTCCGTTGACAGGGCGAGTGCTCGCATTATGCAAAAATCATTGACGCTCCACACGTTCCCCTAAGGTTTGTTGTTCCTATTGCTGCAATCTGACAATCATTGACGTCCATAAATTGAAAGACTAATGTCTGCCAAGTCGCTACTTAAGTCAATTGGCAAGAATTTTGGAACTCTTCCATTTTGCCGACGGTACTTGGATCGTGTGGGTGAAACCAAATATCTACTGGCGGTTGGTCGCACAATTTTCTCGGCATTCTATCGTTAATTATCCATCCCAAACATTAGCTTAACCATCTAGTGCAACAAGGAATCGTTCAAGACTACCCACCGCTCTGTGATGCTAAGGGGTCCATGACTGCTCAATTTGTAAGCCTTTTCAATTTCTAGATCAGACATGGTCTCTCAACGTGGCGAATAGGAGCATACGATCCTTCTTCGACCCACCGTTAAAGAGGTTATCAGTCGAGGCGATGACTATTGAATATGTTAGCGTAAAATAAGCCGTTTGCATGATGCTGCCAGCCTGAGATACACTATAAGGTTGATGAAATATTATCAAGAGAATACAAGGGCGTTTATACGGGCATATATCATAAGTAACAATTAGGACGAAATTGATCCTTGCGCTTCTTGGGGCCGGCATGCTCAAAAAAGCCTTCGATTTGTACCGTTTAGTGATGGACGCAAGCAAAGCAACTACCAAGACCAGCCTGTACTCTCGGATATTGAGTAAGTTTTCAGTCATCTCACCCATGCTGCGGTGCTCAGCCCTTTTTCGCTCAGCTCACTCGTTGTGATGGAGATGGATGACGCAGCACGCCTTCCTCGGTTATATTTGTGTATATGTGGTGTAATATGGCTATGGATTTCCTTTGGCAATTCCTGTATCACGTATACCTGCTAAAATAATGTTAGGAATCCTTAAGCACCATGCTGAACGCGGGAACGTGCCCATTCAGGTGGAGGGGGGTTTCCACCTTGTAAGATCCGCGATATCCCCGTCGAGGTCTGACGCAGGGTACGAAGTACTTTGACGAGAAGTCTGACTGGGGATCACCAGGTCTAAAGGATGCTTGCGTGTCAGCACGCTTATCCTCCTCATCGACCTTATGTTTCGATGCTTGTGCGGCTTTGCGTTCTCACTCTTTTGTGCCTTGGAGGTATGCATCATATTGTGTCATTTTGCGCTTCCACTGCGGACTATTTTCGCGCCATTCATCTTCCCGGGTCTCGAGCACGTTGTTCAAAAATTGGGCCATATATTCGCAATCGCTTCGATCGAATGAGAAGAAGATACCGTGCTGAATGAATAAGCATCTCGTGAACATAGAGAAGAAAGGTACGTCAGGTACTGACCGGGTCCCCTTGTGTTTGAAGATCAGCGACCAGATGAATGAGATTGCTGGCAGATACAACACGATCAGGTTGAGAGTTTAATACTCTGTCTGGGACACAAGATAGAGTGTCGTCTTGAAGCTGGGTGATGACGCGCGACAGCGGTGCCCCAGAATCTTGCGAATTGAACAAGGACAACAGCGGGACGATGTGCTGTTCAAGAGCCTCTTCGTACCGGATGACGTCCTTCTGCCAGAGAAGTTTACCAGACGAAAAAATGCCGCAGGATCGAGGGCAACGAGATCAGAGGGCTGGAGAGTTGTGACAAAAATATGACACCGCTGTATGAATAGATATCACTCTTGAAATTTGGTCTTTCAGGGTCATCCTCGATTCCAACTACCTCTGATGCACGCCATCGAGTGTCGAAACTGTGTTCTGCAGTCATCGTATTCAATTGTAACTTTGCTTCACCTTCGACTGTTGCGAGACCGAAATTTGTCAGGCGTAGATTCCCTGAATCATCTATGAGCACATTATCCTGGGCCATACGAATGAGTCTCACATCCACAAAAAGACAACAATACTTACATGATAAAGGTCGCCGTGTATGACGTTCTACGAGTGAACTAAATAGGCATCAAGAACAAAAAACAATGTCGTGATACAAATCGACGAACGACAATCAACGCTCTTGGCCTAGTAACATAAACCCTCGTTTAAAAATGTGATTGGAGGGGCTCACCAATCTCACCATAGTGGAGATAATTATCGCAGTAGCTTCCTCAATGTAGGCACGTAATGTTTCAGCTGACATTCATTGGGAAACGAGAGCTGGCAATGGGGGCCTAGCATATGTGCCACTGAGTGGTACGACAGTCGGGGGTTTCAGCCTAAGCCGCACCTTAAGTTCTCGACATAGGTCACTAAGAGAAGATTCAATTCGGCATACGAAGGACTGACTTTTTGAATTCGCGAACACCTTCACTGCGACTTGGTGAAGTGTTAGATGGAAATTTCATAATTTCAATTTCCAATCGAGTTTGTATGTTACACATGTAATGGATACCTAAATTCCTTGACACTGGCGGAGTCCTTGGAACCTCTTCTTGGGGTCATGACCGGTCATAGAACGCAGAATTCGTTTGCATGATACACAGAGCCACACGAGCTATGAGTTTGATGGTAATACATTTGATCGGAACAGGTTGAAGTAAGATAGGAAATATGGCGATCACCGTCGAGAAGGAAATATGGAGGCGAGACACTCAACTAAAATAAGTAATGAACATCAAAGTCAGTTGAATGATGTTCGAAAGAGATATGGGTACGTACTCCCAAAAGTGAGGGTGATGGTAATCCACCCACCATCCCGGTGGGCGCCGAATCTTCCTCTCCAGGATACGCACTTGGCGTTGTGTGGGACAGTAATCATCACTATCTGTATCCTTCCACACTACAAGTAACTGCACGGTTGTGGGTGTCGCCATACACTCAGACGGAATATTCTCAGATGATCCATCCACCTGGCCACGTGCCACTGTGCAAATGGGGAGACGGAGAGATTGCTGGATGAATGTAGGGAAGTTAAAGAACATGAACGTCGGGGTATCAAGTGTTTCGCCTGGACGAAGATGGTTGAAAGCGATGGTGGCCAGATGCTTAAGATCTTCGAGGGTAATTGGAAAGCCGAACAACTGACGATGCCCATTTGCAGCTGGGAGAGGTCTCAAAAGTACGAACTGAGGTATGCCCTTTTTGCGTTTGGCAGGCACCCACTGCTCCGAATTGGACTCTTCTTTTGAGTTGGAGATCTGAATGAGAGACGGTAAAAACCAAACAGATGATATTCATGCGAAATCTCACACGAAGTGCTTTTAAATCTTGTTCCAAATTATGAACGCTTGCAGAGGGCATTTTCGAGGTGGTTGAGTTAATTATGTAATGAACAGTGAACCTCGATGTATTTATTTATACCGCTCCGTGTCACTCTACCACGCCACCATCGATATGTACCCATCCACCCTTTCTACTCCATTCTACTCTTCAGTCTTGATCACTACCAGCTGATGGAACTAAACAATAGGCTTCTGTGGGCAGAAATATCATGCATGGCTGCTGGAACCGCAGCCGAACGCTAGAAACGCGCTCGGACTGGTCCGAACCACACTCGACCTATGATAGTGACCAATCAGAATTTTCTGCACACGTTGTGAACCAGACTTTGGCGGGAATGCGTTGTCCTATGATTGTGACTCGGAATTCTTCTACTTATATCATGTGATCTTGATCTTTGGATTGTTCTTCTCGCTTGATGGTCACGGTACTGTGGATGTGGATGTCCTATTGATCACTTTATAGCCGCGCTATTACTAACCACCAGTGGCGCAAGCCACTTCCAATCAATCCATAGCTATGTCCTCCAGCAGAGCATTCCAACCCAATCAAAGCTCAGCACCCTCATCTACGTACCCCCAGGGACTTACGATATTGGATTCTCCCATTGCGCTCCGCCAACCACTCTCAGTGCCAGTGGGTATTCAGATTTCCTCCGCATCTCGCAGCGGTGGTAGGAGGCTTTTCGCTGGTGAAGGCCTATCCACTTCAGACGCATCATGCGTAAGTCAAGCGTCACAAATACTGGAATTATCCAATACTCATTTCATAATTTTAGGAATCCGGGCAAAACCAACTGTCTACCCAGGAGACTCCTCCGATTGTTGTCTTGAATAAGCGTGACTTCTCTCTTGCGCTATCCATTCGGGCTGCTCAAGCCGATGGAAGAGAGTGCCCCTGGTATGGGGTATGGGCTAAAGTCCTGCAGAATTATATATTTCATGATGCGGATGGGTTCCAAACAGCATGCACGTGCATTCCCCAGTATTCACTGGTTGCATCTTATGGTAGTGGCAGCTCACCAGAGACCAATACTTCTGACTCACCATTGGAATCACCGAGATCTCTCTCGGACATCAACATGGACAGTCCTCCATCGGATATATCCGCAGGCAGTCTCCCCTCTTATATTCAAAAGCCCCGCTTTACGCCCCACAGTTCTACCTTGAATTTCAGTCCCAGATCACTCGAGGTCTTCGGTGGACCCCTGCCTACATTGACCCCTAGCCCTCAGCCTAGCCCTCGAAAGCCCTACTACTCATCATGTCAATTCCTTGAGAGCTCGTGTTCAGCATGCGTCCACCGATATAATTCACGCCCGTGTTGATGCCCATCCCTTGCCACAATCATTGACCACACAAAGTTTCTCAAACATCATCCTTCCATCAACCCCATCCAGGCCACGCACTGGTTTATCAATCGGATGTAATTACAAATCTGCCCGAGTTCCGGACTTCGTGCAAATGCTCGAGCGCACGCAGCAGTTGTACCCAGCAACACCCGATAGCGTAATCCGCCGGGTTATCATGATAATTGAAATCAAAGCAGAGCCGAAAGATAGCTATAGATCAATTGATTGGTCCAGACTTTGGAAGGATCAAGTGGGGGAACAGGCTGCTCATGCTTTCGACGCTGATCCTACTTTACAATACTTGGGGGTCATCATGGCTTATGGTCGTCGTTGGGTGTACTGTATCACTCAACGCCCATCATCGCATACTCACACCATGTCGGAGAAGCGCGACCCAACTTTCCAAGGCATTGGATCGTCAGAGACGTGGGAGTCACCAGAAGACTCCGAGGACTCAAACACGATACTAGAAGACTTCAAGGTTGACAACCCTTCATTGCCACTGTTGGAGTACCCGCCTTTTGCATTTGAAGTGAAAGGTGGTGAGACAATCGTGCATGACCTCTATCTCCTTGATCCCAAGCAAAGGTCCCTTCAACTTTTTTCAAAGATTTTAGAGGATATGCGCAATCACAATAACGATATGTGGGTCTAGGGCGTTCGAATTGCGTGTGCACAAACTAGTAGTGTTGCTTCACAGAGAACGGAACGAATTAGACCAACAACTGCGCAACTATGTCCAAGTCGAACGATACAAATTGATGTACTAGTCTACGATCTACCGTTGCGGCCTTAGTGATCCAATAAAAATATGGATGAATGCCTTCCTTCACCGCGTTACTACACGTTGTGCGGTCCAACCTCTTGGAGGCCTGAGGCCTGATCGATGTGATACATCAGCCACAAAAGCAACTTGCTCGTTCACTTCGCCATCGGTATACAAGAATCCAGTGTTCTATCATCCTGTGGCCTGCTCTCCAGTCGTATGTTGTTCGCAAAAATATTGATGCAGCTAATACTCTGTAGGGCTGGCATATAGCGACAGGGACGTCTACAGCAGCGTGGATGGCAGAACATATCTAACATGGGTCATTTTCAATGTTTGGCATCCAACGTCGACTCTTGGACTCACCACTACCAACATCGGCATCGACGCGGTTGATGTGTGTTGTTCATCACTCGACACTAAATGCTTGTCATATCTAGCCCCTTGTTGCACGTATCCCCGAGTGCCTCAGGATCCGCGGGAGAATTAAAGGTCGATGCACCACCGCGAACTTGGCAAGAACTGTGGGTGCTTCAAGTGGATGGCCGATATTACCGCACACGAATTGAGCAGGTAATGGACGGCACGGTTTGTGAGTGACTTTAGCTGCTGTTATCGTGGACTCAAGGGGAAGTTCGTGTTGACATAGTTAAGCACCGCGACAAGTAGCAGTGCAATCATAGCACCATTCTTTCCGTTCTGCGCTCTCCCACAATTTCTCCTGCCAAATTCGAACAGTCTCGTCCGAGTCGCCGGACGTGCTTAAGACTTCAAGTTCATTCCTTTGTTTTGAGAACAACGGTCTGCTCGGCCAATCAGCATGACCTCTGAACGATTGAGCGGGGACTATAGGCAAACTTATAGGGATGGCTCAAAGTCATCATTGATCACAGTCAGCATTATTTATGTGATGCCCGGTCACGTGATTGCCGATTCGGAAATTCGTCATGGAGTTTCATGTACACTGGAGCACTCCCAAGAGCAGCACCCACCGTGAAGTTACGAAAGGATCGTCATCATTTTCATTATTCTAACTGGCATACGTCCAAACAGCACCGGATTTTAACACCCCCCCCACCCGTCCCAAGGTGCAGCGTTGCCCATCGAAGATGCTCCGGGATTCATTGCGACTTCTGTATCACGGCGCCAATGCTAGTTCTCCCAGCGTAGTAACAAATAAACCCTCGACGGTAGCTCTTCTACAGGAATTTGATTCCCCCGGCGTCTTCCCAGCGTCTGCACGCCTTGACCGGAGTCTCAAAACAACGAATGGTTTCACTATGAAAGTTTGGGACGCATGGAAATATCCTGCCTTCGCATTCAATAAAGGTAAGCATCGACAGTATTCTACCAATAATTTAATGCATTCTAGACCCTGACATTTGCATCCAGCATCATCCCTTGCTCTTGATGTGATATCTCACCACGTCTGGGGCCCCCGCAGGAAATCATGGGGCATTGAGATGACCATCCTCTCTAGTATAATGCGAGATGTTTCGAGGCATTCTGCACTGGCTGATATCGTGAGTGCCGTCTGTGTCGTTTGCAATCTTAGCAATAACAATAAATCCAGGCTATGGTTCGTAAGGCAATGAGTATCGGAGGGCTAGTTCCCTTGCCCTCAGATGCTTTGGTCACTCCAGTGACCTTCTGTGTGCGTAAACGCAACCTTCGTGGCTTGCTGGAGACTTGCGATGCGATAGAAGACGGAAAACGTGAACTTTCTGGGGAGTGGATAATTGGGAAGAGACTCTGGCAATCTTTGCAATCAGATTACAAGTCCACTCGCAAAACAGAGGAATGGACTAGCTTTGTCGACCAGACGAAAATCGATTACGATTCTCGAAAGGGGCAATCCTCGAGTCATCCTCTACATTCACGGCGGTGAGTTCGTAGCGCCCTCTGTACAAAGCAGCGTCTGATTTTTTCTTTCAGGAGCATATTACTCGTCTAGCGCCGCAGCACAAAGGATGCTAACCATACCGCTGTCCAAGTATACCAACGCACGCGTATTTGGTGGGTCCCTTGATCACAGCTTGCACTGCCATTCTTGCCTCATTTCAATTCAAGCAATCGATTACCGGCTTGCTCCGGAAACGATTTTTCCTGGACAGTTGTACGACGTGGTTAGCACCTACTTCCGCCTGACGGATGACTTGCGGGTACCGCCAGAAAACTTACTTGTAGCAGGCGATAGTGCGGGCGGTGCACTAGGCCTTGCACTCCTGCTCTATCTACGAGACAATGGGTACACTCTTCCAGGGGGTGCCATGTTATTCTCTCCCTGGGTTGGTATGTGACGATTGATGCACTTTTTTTGTAGGTAGTCTGACACATGATGACAGACTTGACCTTGAGCTGCGAATCGTGGGATACTAATGCTGCCTACGACATTATTCCTACGCCCGGTCCGACCGCTCACTTGCACCCCGTTATAATGTATCTGGGAGATGGACTCGAGCAGTACATTACCCACCCGTACGCCAGCCCATTGTTTGGCAAGTTCGATGGACTACCACCCATGCTTATCCAATGCGGTGATGCGGAGGTTCTGCTTGACGAAATCGTTCTTCTCTCACACAAAGCTTCACTGGCCGGTGTACAGGTTCAGTTGGAGACCTACGAAGATGCTGTGAGTTCATTGATTTACTCGTTTGTTGTACTAATCATTGTTTTTTCAAGGTTCACGTTTTTCAAGCATTTCCTTTCTTGAACGTTGCAACAACAGCCTTCATCTCTTGTCGCGAATTTGTGCGACACAGGTTGCCTCGCATCCAAATCCATTCGCCTCAGGCCTTAGACAATGACACCGAGACTTTCCTTGAGAACGACACAGACAACGATAATGTCCGTGTCGTCCGCGGCGATGGTGTGGAGACTAACTCGGGATGGCAAGAGGTTCAAGAACAGATGGCTCGAGAAACTATCGATGCGAGTTATGAAACGCAATTGAGCTCAGCAGTGACTCCAAGCTGGGGTCATACTTGGCTAGATTTGGAGACTCCTAATTCCAGCGGTAGTGAAACAGAACCAAGCACGCCTTGCGTAGCCGTCCCTGATCCGTCCCGAGTTCTTCGGCATGCGGCGTCCACCCCAGCTCTGCGCCGAATAAAGTCTGCTCTTTCCGTTTTCTCCGAGAGATCAGTCGCATCTCAATATCCGGAGGACTGGCCCACTCATCGCAAAAAATTTACATCATCACCCACACCGACTCATCCTTCATCTCCCTCCGAATCCTCGCATACAGGCATCAATATTCCTGCTCTTGCAACATCTTGGGCAGCTATGACATCAGTTGCCTCGACTACCTACCTTGTATAGTACCACCTTAAACGCATCAGCGTTATAGTTTTATTTGCATAATTCACATCCGTGTATATATGTATCAAATAGTCCATTCCGTTGTCTACATAGGAAGTTCGCAATCGATAAACTATACTCTCTACCAGTCGTGTGGCGTCTGTGATGCCAGGATCTGCTTGTAAAGCTCAAGCTCTTCTATAACATTCTGTAAAGCTTTCCTCTCCCAGTTCCCAAAGATGAAGCCTTCGTAAAGTTTGGTCGTAGCCTGCCACGATAAGTAAATGACAAGAAGGACAAAAATTGGGTTGAGCCAGGGAACAACAACCCATGCGGATCCAATGATGAGACCAATCAACGTCAAGATGCTCGTTCCAAAGATAGTCAATTCCTTGCGAGAACGATCTTGCGACATCCTATAGGATGTGTTGAAGGCGCTCACCACCTCGGTTATGGTATTCATAGAGAGTTCAGAGGGGGAGTCGAACCACATTGCCGAGGTATCCTTCAATGACGCCGTATCATCTTGTTTAACCTCCGCCTGCGTGTCGATGGCTAGGGTCGCCTCGACACCAAAGTGATCAGAATAGGAGCATGAGTTGCCGGGAATGGAATCGGTGAAGACAACCTGACTATCTCGGCAGGTTAATCGGGGAATGTGGTCGTTGGATCCGTTGGGGTTGGGATGCCGGAATAAGATATAATCAAGGCGCTTCCCTTGATATTTGCGAACAATTGGGTCACCAGAGGGCTCTGAGTCGCGATAAGAATTGAGAGGTGAGTCAGCCGTGACACCATAGTTGACGACGCCCTCTATGGGAGATAACATCCCAGAGGGCGCGGGTATGTGTGCATGTGAAGTCGCCCACGAGTCAACCAGTCCGGCGTGGTTCAGGACGACATTCATGGGGAGGCTTGTTGGGATGCTATTAAAATCACCCATCTATTTATGTGTCAGCAACGTTCGAGATGCATATATCATATAACTCACGGCGATAACATACCGCCCCAGTTCAGCGGCTTGCCGTGTAACTTTAGCAAACTCCCAAGAATTTACCAGGCGATAGGTCCTATTGTACTCAGGACCTGATTCTCCGCCGTTTGCGCAGAACTTGGGTGCATTGTCAGCACCAAAAGACAGTACATGTGTTGGCGGGCTTACATGCGTGACAAAAAGTTGGACCTGTCCAAGAACAGGATGCATGATCGTTACGCTCCCGACACCCTTTCCCACGAACCAGTCTCCCCCGAAGACATCTGTGGGTTCGCCAACAAGAGAGTATGGTGTCATGCTGGTAGCAATGATGGGCCATTTTGTAAGGATAGCAAGTCCGGCACCAAGAGCACCACTATGATAGCATAAGCCTATGCACCCACTACTGGCAGACAAGAAACGAAATACCTATGAAAAAGCTTCGTGTAGGGCAAGCGAGAGACGACGCTTTGCCGAATTTCGTTGTAGTCTGCCTCGACCCAGATTTCTTGGAGAGCAATAATGTCGTAATCCGAGCGAGCGAGTGCATTAGCTATTGCGGTAACTCGTTCGTGCCGGTCTTTAGAGACATATTTCAAGCCCCTGCGTCATTCTTGGAATAAGCCTGACCGCGAGCTTGGAGACTCGGAGATAACATACCAGCAGTTGAGAGTAACAACTCGAATTTGTTCTGCCATGGTGGTGGTGGAAGGCAACCGCGACAAGGGGGTTGTTACCCCGGACTCGGACTGGTGCAAATTTATAGGATGGTTATTGGATGACATTAATGGATGCGGTACACGCCATGTTGGGCGCCCACGGCGATGTTACTTGTTCCCAGAGGCCCGACGGTTAAACCGCCAGGAATTATTACGTAATGTGTTATAGGAGGATCCATTAATTCTCCCAGTACTAGTACCCGTGAACCATTCAATGATTTAATGACAACCGTGACCGTATCTAGCAGCTCTGGCTACAACCTCCCAGGTCTCATATATATGGCATTCGCCATCAGTGCACCAGAAAACTTCCGGTGAGAAGATTCTATGTATTTGAAACTGTGACCATTCTGGAGCCTTGCGCCCAACAGACTGCCGGAGCTCGCATGCTGGCATTAAGACCGTTGTTTATCTTTCTGGTAAGTCTATCTTTTAACAGTCTTGGCTTGATCCCCCTAGGCCATGACTCTGTGTAAGAGTGTAAGTCTTTCGTTTAGGTGATCCTGTGTTGTTAATCAGGCAAGCAACTCGTTAAGATTTGTTTAGTGTTCAGTGCTCAGCTGGCGTACTAAGTAACCATCTTATGTTCAAGGCCCGAGCTCTACGACTGTGCTCGCAAAATCACTATAAACACTATTCAAAAACACTTACAATGCATCCACCATGCTCCTTTCACCAGCCCACAAGTGCCTTGGGTCACATCTCCCACCATCCTGTGCCATCGCTGCCGCTGATCCGGGGAGAACGCAGTCTGTCGTTGGCAACTTTTGGGATCTTTCGATTGGATCATAACAACTTGGTTCTTTGTAGATTAATTCAGTCTGCTACCTATTCCTAGACATACGATACCAACGGAATTCTAAAAAATGACGTACTGATTTGATAGTACATACTCTCCTCAAAATTACTTTATTTATTTAAATAATCTTGGCGTGAGCATTAATCATGATTCTTTGTCTTGAACCATGACCACGGCTACAACTTTTACTCGAAACGAGTAGGTGTCATCATCAAACCCTGTATCATCAAAATCCTAATCTTAACCGCGATAAGCATCGAGATCGCGACGAGGGCAGCAGACGCATTCACCCGTTTGTACTACACCACATATGACTCTCCTACAAGGGTGGATGACCTCCCCAAGTTCTATCGCTCCTCGTCGACCCTCACCTGGAACGGAAATCCATGTCAGGGTGCAGAAGGCGTGAAAAAACTTATCCAAGATATGCCAAGCACCAAGCATGAAGTTCAGTCCTACGATTGCCATCCTATACCAGGTCTGTTTCTTGTGATACCCTGCAGCGACATAAATGCTCACACATGTTTCATGCCATCGCAGGCTCTCAACCCCCCTCACTTCTTGTCACGGTCTCTGGTAATGTCACCCATGGACGCGGTCCTGCTGGCAATCCAGTATCGACACCAGTCAAATCAGTCGATGGGCAGCCTAGAGTCTTCTTCCAATCATTCATGTTAGTGCCCGATCCAACAGCACCGGTGGTCAAAGCGGGAGAGGTTGCAAAGTACTATGTAGATGCTGATTCTATGCGATTTGTGGGCTAATGCTCGTCGACACAAATATACCAGTATGTGATCTCATCGCTGATCCGTTCTCAGAAATGCTAATCGCCGTTCTTAGTTTTTAAGACTTTCATTATCTGTCGGTTATCACCAAGTCATCACGAGTTCTGGTGGCCTAGCAAGCAATCGCAGTATCAGAACTATGCCGCCACCATCAGACATCTTTCAAGCGATCTAGTATGGACATCAAGCGAGCAGCAAACCGCAGCAGGCTGGTCAATGGCGGCATTATATTTTACAGTTACAGATAAATGATATAATAGTCCAACAATCATGCGAGGTTTTAACCAAATGTTTGACTCTATTGCCAGGATTAGTACACAAATCGAAGCAGCATTTGTATGTCTACATACCGAGCGTGCACTTCGTTTAACCTTCGATAGTCGCCATTCGTCAGGTTTCTCGTACTAGTAAATGCGTGAGCTTTAGAATACATGTCTCGAATAGATGCGATACATACCTTGTTATACAATGGTTCGATCTTTTCCTGCCTCTTCCGCTTACTGATCTTGTTGGCGTCGGCGACTTTGAAAAACTGAGGCGCAACTTCCACGAGCCATTTCGGCTCTATAGTAGTGACGTTGTGACAGTATTCGCGAGTGGTCAGTACCAACTCGTTGTAGATTAGCCATTCAGGCGCGCGGTTGAAGAGAGCGGAAGAGGGATGGATATAGACTGGTGTTCCTTCAACAAGTGTCTTGTAGCCTTCTTGAGGATCCTTCTTAGCCGCATTCCGGAAGAAACCAGAGCATATCGCTTTCCGCACACGGTTATAGTCATTTCCTGCCGATAAAATATCATGCTTGTATCTGACAAGATAGTTAGAGTTATGAAATCGACCATTCAAGAATTTAAACGCACCTGTCCATGATACCCACTAGCTGCTTGCGAATATCCTGTGCACGCCGCATGCTTCTTGCCTGGATGAAGTTCTCATAGCACCAAGGATTCGAAAAGTTCGCGCTCTTCCAGCCATTGTATACTGTCAGAAGGGTAAGGTGATCACCCTCTGGCTGATGGAACTTCGCCTTCTTAGAGTCGGCTTGACCTTGTTTCTCCTTTGGACGATAGAAGACAGATTGGACGGACAACATGGCCACAATGGAAAGGATCTCTTCAGAACAACCGAGCTCGACAGAGGCGATGAGCATCTTCGCAAGCGGCGGCTCCATGGGGAAGTCGGCCATCTTGCGGCCCAAGCGAGTCAAAAGGCCTTCATCATCCAATGCCGAAAGCGCGTATAATGACTCCAATGCAGTTAGCATGGTTTGCGCTGGCGGTGGGTCCATGAAATCAAAACTAAGAAGATCATTGATACCCATTGCCTTGAGCATCAGAATAGTATGGGAAAGATTCGTACGCTGAATGTCGGGAATAGACGTAGGTAACATCTCGTTCCGGTAGGCAGCCTCTGTGTATAGACGATAGCACTTTCCTGGACCTGTGCGACCAGCACGACCAGAGCGCTGCCGTGCTTGTGCCTGGGATATAGGCATGACTACCAATGAATCCATTCCTAGTCTCGGGTCATATGCGTTCTGCTTCGAGAATCCGGGATCAATGACATAGTAAATCCCAGGAATAGTCAAACTAGTTTCTGCAACGTTGGTAGCGATTACAACTTTACGGGCACCAGGAGGAGTGGGTTCGAAGACACGCGACTGTACTTCGGATGGAAGGGCGGAATAAATGGGGAGGATAAGAAGGTCTGGCACTTTTGGACCCAGCGCTTTCATACGCTCAAAGAGAATTTCGCATGATGTGTCAATCTCCTCCTGACCTGTCAAGAAGAGGAGAATGTCGCCCGGGGGCTCAGACAGGTGGATTTGCATGACGGTGATTAATGACGCGTCCAGGTAGTCGGATTCCGGCTCTTTGGTGTAAAGAATCTCTACGGGGTATGTGCGACCAGGAATAGTGAAAATCGGGCACCCGAAGAAGTACTTCGAGAATTTCTCAGCATCCAAAGTCGCTGAGGTGACGATTAGCTTTAGATCGGATCTCTTCTTGACGGCCTCTGCAAGGGCGTCAGAAAACGTCGACCAAACGAAAGTGCACAAACTTACTTTTAAGAAGTCCAAACAAAACGTCAGTTGAGATGGTCCGTTCGTGAGCTTCGTCAAGCATGACCACGGAGTATTGGCTGCAGAGCGGGTCAATCAACGACTCACGCTGCAGCATACCATCCGTCATATATTTGATTTTTGTTTCCGGACTTGTACAATCTTCGAAACGGATAGTATAGCCAACTTCTTGGCCAAGACGACATCCTACTTCTTCCGAGACACGCTTTGCGACTGACATAGCAGCCACACGACGCGGTTGTGTACAGCCAATGCGTCCTCTATCAGCATAGCCAGCCTCAGCAAGATATTGAACCATTTGCGTTGTCTTGCCAGAGCCAGTGTCTCCAACGACAATGAGGACTTGATGCTATGAAAAGTGAGTCAGAAACTATTCGATTTGCAGAAAAACAATTGATTTACCTCGTCAATGGCCTTCAACAGAGCGTCTCTAAGCTTATAAATGGGTAGACTCTTCCGCTGCTCCTGTATACTGAGGCTTGTAATTTCACCATATGTTGTAGCCTTGTTGAATGCCGATTCCCTCCATTTAGGTACTTCGCCAGCTCTTCGATCCTTGAGATGACCTCTCATGTCTTGAGCAAACATTCTGTCTGACTCCTTCGCCATAGGATCGAGCCATGGTGCACTAACGTCTCGAGTTTCAGAGTCAGCTTGCTCATTAGCTTCTTGCTGACGAAGCTCGCGTCGCTCTTTAGCTAAAGCTGCACCCCCGAGGGCGGCTCTATTGAGCGAGCCATCAGGAGCTTTGATAATTTTCACAGGACTGAGATCGAGAGTCCGTTTCGTCTGACCAGCCAGGAATGCCGGCTCCTCTTCCCTTATTTCGACGTCAAGCTCTTCCTCAACCTCCGCTCGAGCCACAGGATTGACGAAGTCTTCGTCAAGGTCAGGATACTCGGAAGCATCAATGACACCAGACGATATAAGCTGCTTAATCTCCCATCGTTCAGGTGAGGTCAGACGTTTGGCAGACCGAGTCGCTGATGGTTCGTCTTTTGAGCGCAATGGCACAGCATTGGCCCCAGAGGACGCGCGAGCCGCTCTTTGGCGCTCTTCCTCCATCTCGGTTTCAGATTTGATCCGCAAGTGAGGAGTGAGATCGCGACCCGTAGCTTGGTCTACATCCTTCATAGATAGACCAATACGGCTGCCCGCAATGCTCATAACCTTGACCTTGACCTGTTGTCCACGGCTGAGAAGATCCGACGCGGAGTTCGCACGTGCACCCTGCTGAATATTTGAAACATGCACCATGCCTGGAAGTATGTTGACAAAGTAATGCTGAGGACCAAAATGCTTTACGCACCTTCTATACGCCCTGCAACACCCTCTAGTTGCACAAAAGCGCCGAAATCCTTGAGACTTGATATTCGGCCACTGTATATTTTGAACAACACTGGCCACTCGTCTCCGTTTCTCCCCCTCCTATCATCCCTCCTTGAGTTGTAATTGCGACCCCTGTCAGGGCTTGGACTACGACGACGTGGTGACCGTGACCGAGATCGGTCTCTTCGCTCCCGCTTGGCAGGCCTCTCATCCTCGTCTGTTGTTTTTGCCCGCTTCGCAACACCTTCAAACTGAGCCATCATATCGTCCACCTCTTTCATGAGTACATCCTGCTTTATCTCCTTGTCTGGTATAGCGAGCCCACGATAAATTCGTCTCTGCTTGTCCTTTTCACGATCAAGCGCTTCTCCGGCGTTTGAGGCGTCATGAGTAACTAAAGTAGATTTCTTCTTGTGTTTCGGATGCAAACTCAGGATTAAACGATCCACATTCTCAACGAATGAGTCGGGGAATTCGGCGCCAGCATTACTGAGATGTGATTTGAAGTCGGGAAGTGATTTAGATTGGTCGTGAAGGGAAATGACAAATTCAGCGAGTGTTTTATCGTTAGTGCCAGTATAGTTGTCAATCTCCTGAGTAATTTTGGCGACTAGCGAGAGTACTTCAAGATTGTAAAGGTCATTGTCTGCCATAGCAAGGTTGTGGTGAGAGCTCGAGTTGTTGAGAGTAACACCTGAACGAGTCCGTGACAGTGAGGTAATAGTGCTTACATAATTGTAAAAGTTTAACCTCTTCAATTACTCGGATCAGGCTTTCAATCCTGGGCGCTCACTTGGAATTTGAAGAAGCTGAAGAATTTAATGCCTCCTCGCAAGGGCATCGTGAAAACTGGGAACGCAGGAAATTCATCAAAGACTAACAAAAACTCTGGCGCAGGTTTACCTTCGCAGTCAGCTGATGCAGGACAAGAAAAACCACTCTTCCCACCCGGATCCAAGTACCCTCTGAGTCTACTCCAAGAAAGGTATGGATCATGCGTGCTTTTTCGCCTTTGTCGTAGGAGTTCCGTCGCACTCGAAAATGATGCCTGCCGCTTATTCGAGAGCATTAACGTGCCCTGCAACATCATGACCTGCAGATTTCGAGGCTAACTCCCTTATTCATAGGTGCCAAAAGAGTAGCTGGGACAAACCAACCGTTGAGACGGTGAGCGACTATTTGATCAAGCCTTATATTATAGCTCAAGATTTGCAAGCGTAAACATGGCAACGATTGGTCTTTTGTCGTTCACATCGCCCGGTTTGATAAGAAAACATCGCAGACAGAAAGTGTCCGACTCGAACCTCACCCACTTTATTTGAGACCGACTGCACTAGAAGCGCGTCATTGGGGTGCCACATACGCTCTGTACCGTGTCAGTGCTTTTTGTCATGCTTCACACGGCCAGTAGGATTGAGTACGAGTAACCCGGCAGTTTTGTAATGGGCTTCAGCTTAATCGCGTGTTGCCACCTGGACCTCGTGATTACTGGACCGAATTGGCAGCAGAACATAAAAATGCTCCAGAACACATGAAATGGATGTATGATGCTGATCCTTTTGCTGCACGTAGAGCAGTAGATGAGAGACAAGCGAAGGCAGCCCAAAATCGACAACAAGGAAGTTCAAAAACCTCCATGATGCTGGGGTCAAAAGAGTTTGCCAATTCCCCTGAAGTGAGGATGTCCACTGAATTGCGAGATTTGGTGGAAGATGTTGTCAAGAAGGTAATTAAACTTCAGTGATAGATGCTGTTGTTATTAACGAAAGTTCCAAGGGAAATGCGCTGCACTTTGGTGACGATCTTGTGACATCTGTATTGCCTGCGGAGGTCATACCAGCTGTTACCCAGCAGCTCGGTAACTTAGGTTTCAAGTCTGATCAAATACGCAATACGCTGGCCTTTTTATCCAAACCTTCGGTTATCGGGGGTAATTTGTTGAATTCAATGAGCCCGCTGGAGGCGTGCATAGAACATCTAGTTCTTCATCTCCCAGAATGCGACCTTCCCGAGCGCTTCTTTCCTGGAAATAATTCCTCTGATCCATTTATTGTCTCTGGTCACTCTGGCTCTGATGACTTGGCAAAGCGATGGGTAGAGGATAAAATTATCAAAGAGGCTGGATTTCCTTCACGCATTGTCAAGGAGTGTACTGCTGACAGTCACTCGGTAACGAATATGGATCTGCTGGTAGCCTCTTTAGACCATCGCCTCCTAGGTGAGAGTGCGGGTGCCCAAGCCAATCCAGATGATATAATTCTGGCTAATGTCGTGGGCGGTCTACGAAGTAATGCGGACGAAGTAGAGGCCCTTGGGGCCCATTTTCTCGACGCGAATCATGTATCGATGCCTTTGTTCAGCGCGCCCGTGGAGTTACACGTCTTGCTACCGACCTGTTCTGATCACTCCTTTCACAGTTATCCTCCTGTGTATATCACATCCAAGTCTGTCCCGCCGTACATGCGACTTCATCTTCTCTCACAACTGTTGCAAGAAATGAAACAGGATGAGTTTATGGAGCCAGGAGAAGGCTTTCTTATGGCAGCAATGCGGGTCCTCGAGGAACAATGGGCACACGTTCAGTCCCAAGGTTCGCCGGATGTATCGGAAGTATTAAAATTCTTGATACCTTCGCCCATTTCTTCGCCCACTGTCCATGCGGCTGCTACCTTACCCACCAGTCTTAATGAACCAGCACGTCACAAAATGCTGCGTCGCGGTGACAGTCGATCGAATTTGCAGGTTAAGTTAGATTTTCAGGAATTGTGCCAATCTCAGGCATATGCAACGATGCTATCAGCTCGTAGACGCCTTCCTGCATTTGCTGCCAAGGACAATTTTTTGACCTTGCTCGGGCACAACCGAGTAGTTGTTGTGGTTGGAGAAACAGGTGATGCTTGTTATCCGTCTCCAGTCCTTAGGCTGAAGAAATACATATACAGGGTGTGGCAAAACCACTCAGCGTAAGCCATAGTTAACCTTTGTCCATGCAATATTTCCTGAGAGGCGTCGATTTAAAGTTCCACAATTTATTCTAGATTCCTTGATACTTTCGGGACACGGAGCTGAAGCTTCGATCATCGTTACCCAGCCTCGCAGAATTTCTGCCATATCCGTTGCTACGCGGGTTTCTGCGGAACGGATAGACGACGGTTCTGTTGGATATGCCATTCGTGGAGAGACCAAGCATAACCAAGCAACCAAGTTGCTCTTCTGTACGACTGGAGTTGTTTTACGAAGGCTAGGCTCCGGCGATGGGCTAGAGGATGTCACACACATTGTTGTTGATGAGGTACATGTCAAACTTTCATAAAATACAATCCACGACTGACTGACTGCATGTAGGTTCACGAACGTTCTGTAGATGGTGATTTTCTTCTTCTAGAATTGAAGGAATTGTTGGCACGACACCCTACGCTCAAGGTGGTGCTCATGTCGGCAACAATTAATCATGAAACATTCGTGAAATACTTCAACAACGCCCCGATGTTGACTATCCCAGGCTTTACACACCCAATCGCAGATATGTACGCAGTGTCTTTGTCTCGACTGCTCAAATGCCTGACTACGACGGTCCTCACTCAAAATGAATTATCACAGGTATCTAGAAGACTATATGTCGTCAATTTCCTATAAACCGGCATCAGTCAAACCGAATAGGAAAGAATCAGAATCAGAGAAGCATGCATTCCGAGATTATTGCAGTTCCAAGGGCCTCAACGAAGAGACGACAACTGCAATCCAAAATATTATGCAGGGGGATAGGATCGACTATCAGGTTGTATTGATGTTGCAACACTAGACCAGCAAAACTCATCATTTTTGTCTTAGTTGATTGCTGCTGTTGTTCAGCACATTGTTGCAACGTCACAGCGAGGTGGAATATTGATTTTCCTTCCCGGAGTTCAAGAAATTCGTTCCTGCATTAATGTAATCCGTGGCCTTCTTGGTGAGAAGGCTGAGATATTACCTTTACATGCGAACTTGTCAAACGACGAACAATTGGCTGTTTTTGCCAATACGAAACGATGGAAAATCATTGCCGCAACAAACGTTGCCGAGGTCAGTTCGTTGTATCATTTGGTCCCTGCAGCTGAATGCTTCAAAGACGTCCATTACCATTGAAGATGTTGTCTATGTCGTGGACTCTGGAAGAGTCAAAGAAACAGGCTATGATCCACAAAGCGGGCTGTCTCTCTTGAAAGAACAATGGGTTACGCGTGCTGCAGCCCGTCAGCGCAGGGGTAGGGCTGGTAGAATGCAACCAGGGGTTTGCTACAAGCTTTATACTCGCAAACAGGAAGAAAAAATGGGCCGTTTCCCAATACCAGAAATACTACGAACACCGTTGGAGAGCATTTCGTTAACCGTGAAGGTGATGCGCGAGAGTGAGGATGTGAAGGTTAGTGATTCCGTGTGATAGGTACAGTGCATTGACCTAGCTTCTTTTTCAGCATTTCCTGAATCGTGCTATCGATCCTCCTGAAGTGTCTGCGATGGATAAAGCCTGGGATGTCCTTCAGGAGCTTGGAGCCATTGATGCAGATGGCCGCTTGACTGCTCTCGGGCGACATATTGTGCGTGATTGCTGCTTGGTATCACGCGTCCATTGTTTGACTAAGATACGCGCTCTTTGTATAGTCGATGTTACCTGTGGATTTACGACTCGGGAAGGTTAGTGGTATATTGAAGATAGAACAGAGTGACTTGTTGACGATGCCTTTCAGATGCTGGTTCTTGGCACGATTTTTCAATGTCTTGACCCAATTCTTACGGTCGTAGCTTGCCTATCGTCGAAACCTCTATTCTTCAGTCCTATGGAAAATAGGGACGAAGCCACCAAGTAATAATCTCGTTCCAATGTCCACGTCCGGAACTCATTTGCATACGTAGTGCGAAATTACGTTTTGGCGAAGACAAAAGCGATCTACTCACAGATGTCAATGCGTACAATGAATGCATGCGCCTTCAGTCTGAAGGCAAGAGTCAACAAGCGTCGAGACATTTCTGTGAAGAGGTATGACTTTCTGATGCTAATACAACTCCAGAAATGCTCAGACATGTACAGAACTTTATCTCAATAGCGACCGTCAGGGAGATCACCTCATTACGCCGCGACTTCCTCTCCTCTCTTTCAGATCTCGGTTTCATCCCGCGTTCCGCAAGAGCGAGTTCAGAGGAACTGAACACAAACAGCGCAAACACAAACATCGTCAAAGCCGTCATTCTCGGCGGCCTATGGCCTCGCGTCGCTCAAGTGCATCTTCCACGTTCAGCGATCAAGTTCGATAAAGTGCAAGCGGGCACTGTTCAGCGCGAAAATACCGCGAAAGAGTACAAGATCCACGATCTGACAGGTGTGCGCGTCTTTTTGCATCCGTCGTCTGCCCTCTTTGGAGAGTCGACGTGGAAGTCGCCGTTTTTGGCGTACTTCCAGAAACAGATGACCAGCAAGGTTTTTATCCGCGGTGCGACCCAGGTGTGTGATTCGATGTGATCGTGTTCGGTGCGCTAAGTTGCGATTAGGTTCCGACGTATGCATTACTTCTATTTGGTGGACCCGTGTCCGTCAATCACATTGCGGGCGGTCTCACTGTTGGAATGGGTGGCAACGTCGTTAAATTGAAGGCATGGCCCCGCATCGGAATTCTGGTGAACCACCTCAGGTAACTTGTCCCTATCACCCATCGATATCAAATACACTGATATTCGAACATCATATACAGGCGTCTTCTTGATGCGCAATTGCAACAATGTATTGGAGAGGGATCAATGTTAAGCGCGAGTCAACACAGTGCAGTAGCCAATGCCATGGGCGCGCTCCTCGCCAATGACGGACTGTCTGGATAATGTCTGCCAAAAATGCGGCTCTCAAATTCACAGTGGTTGCTGGTTATAGAGTAAGTAGGGAGGGTTGCATCGAAATATGTGTATCTTGGAGTTGAGAAGCTCAATAGAGGCTGCTGCGAAATGTGATTATATCAATAATTGTCGTGACCCAAGCGTATGCTATATGCACATGTATGGTAAGGAATATATGCTAAGAACGTGGTATCGACCATAAGCCCGTGTGTGCAATTGCGACAACGTAGAAAAAATCTGACTAAAGAATCTTTAGCATGTTAACTAATCAAACAGCATATGAAACTCGCCATAACTAACTGACAGGATAAGTTAGCTGTACTCATCCGATGGGACGTCAACAGCTTTTCAAAGCCTGCATGCAGTGGACCCGCATCCCGCATGATCACTGATGGACTTCAAAGCCTCAGAGGTGTTATCTGAGCTACTTCGGCAGTGGCACCTGTAATGGCATCCTGAGAGTGCGTCAATTCCGACGGAGGCTGAACTAGCTCATCCACAAGCTTGTCGGGCGAATATTCGCTCTCAGATGAGTCTATCGGCGTAAGGGTATGAGAGTGCAACTTGAACCCCCGACGGTCCTCAGCCTCTTTGTGTCCGTGACGTGGTCCCTTGATAAGAACGTCATCTAGGCTGCCATTCACCAGATCGTGATATTGCCCTGGCATCACAGCATTCCAAGGAGGACCATATGGCTGCGTGCGATGCACAGACCGCAATGAATACTTGCCCGCCAACTTCGGCGAGCTCACCTGTAGCTGCGGTGAGGGCATGGGAGAGAGAGACTCAAAGCTTGAAGGAGAATTGATAGCGGGGGACTTGAAGAAAGGAGTGAAGTGGCTCGTGAATGTCTTACGAAGTGCAGATGGCGAGTTCGAAAAAATGGCTTAACAAAAAACCATCATTACATTGTCCCTGTAAACCTGAAAAACTTGGTGCTTACAAGTTGGCGATGTTGAGGAAGATGCCAAGTCAGGCGACAAACCCGCAGGTTTAGTACTTGACCATGGACCAGACAATGAAAACCTCGACCTGCGACTGGATTTCGAACCCTCAAATTCTGCAAGTGTGAATTGACATTTGGTTCGACATCATATCATTTTGATAAGGCACACGTACTGGGGGTGACCTTTGATTTCTTCGTCCGGAAAGGATTCACGTATTCTGCATGATACATTTCACCGGACGTGGGGGAGAGAGGAGGCGACGATGTCCTCACGGGGTACACGGCTGTAGGGTTTTGCTGTTGAGACTGCTCCTTCGCGTTGATGTTGACCATAGCAGGCGTATGCGGTGGAACGCTTGTTGGACGACGTTTTCTACTCAAAGCTTTCCGAACAGATGGCAATCGTAAAGATATGGCTCGGGATGAGCGCGTAGAAGTTGTTCCTTCGGAAAAAGAGTCCCCTCGAGGTAGGTTCATCCTGCCATCTTCATCACAGGCCAAACTATTTCGACGACCACCACGACAGCATTCATCACGCTCATCAGAACAATCGAGTCGAAGGTCATGCACACAGGTACTCTTTGAGGTGGGCGACGATCTGTGATTGCACGCGGTGGTATTACTTTCGTCTCGTACGGTGGGTAAGGATGGAGGAGATTCCTCTTGTGTTGACCGACGCCTGGAGAATGAAGACATTGCAGGTGGCCAACGACGCTGAATTGCCGGCGGCATAGAGGATGGGTTCATGCTGACGGACCTCGCCAAACTTGGATTGTGAGATTCTGGAGCTCCGATATTGAAAGAAACATGCCTCGATGTCATGAGGGGTTGTCGCTCGGGAGAAGGCGTTTTATGGAGGTCAGGAAACGATGCTGCTCGCCGAAGGGAAGGAGTCTTGGACGCGGGAGGGATCGGCGGGAGGGTCTGAAGCATAGATTCTGGGGAGGCAGTCAATATAAGACCACGGAGCTTCTTCGGGCTACGATGGATCGGTTCTCGGTAGGGAGGTGCCTGCGTCCCCATCGCAGGGACGATCCAAACTACTCCGAGGGTAAATACGCTCTATTGCACGGTTCTATATTTAAAACATCATAAATCAGGGTGTCACTCACGATAACAAAGCCAAGGAGACCGAGTAGTAAGGCGAGGATGCCTGCGAGCACAGTTTTGACTCCAAGTTCATATGCGTAATTATCAAATATGATGAAGATCATGGGAACGAAAGTATCGTTAAGGTTCCTGAAGTGAGGACAGCCTCGACTCGGAGGTGGAGAAAGTCGCAGAAACAGATCAAGGCGGCGTCTGAGAGGCGTAGACGGTGAAACGAAATTACAAGGCATCCATGTAGGGTACCTCAGATGGACCAAGGCACTGGAGGGATATTTGACTCGGACGTGTGGTGAACGACGTTGCCACTGAGGCATGCAAAGCAATGGAATAAACAGTGGTATCAATGCAGGGCGGGGACGATGAACCACAAAGACTGTTCGTAAATTCGTAAAAGAAAAAGAGAGAGGAAATAATAAGACCTTTATGATTTACTTGGTGCCGCGGGTCGACGTGGGGGCTCGGCGACGAACGTCGAAGTGGTTCGACGCGAACAACGGCAAACCATACTAAGACTTAAAAAGTGGAACGACGTCCAATTTAATTCCTTCTCCCGAGCCCGAACAAAGCCCGAGGTCGCACGACATGAATATTTATACACAACATTTGAACTTTGCGCACCTAGATTTCGCACTCGGATAGTATGGGACACGATATTTGCATGCTACCAACATGTCGAACGAACACACATCGATCCAGACAACAAAGATATAGGGGCCCGGTCACGAGCTCGTGCCAACTCGATGCCAGGATGGGAGGGTGCGCAAATTTTTGCTATACTACTAGCAATCGAGTGCACTCTGAAACGCTCTATAGCTATGCTACGTCTGGAATGCTCTAATCCCGGGCAGCACGGTTGACGCGGGTGCCTCGGGGCGTAATTAGGTCCAGACTTTGCAAGCGATGACTGTGCATCTAGGTTGAGGACTGTCACAGGCCGCAGCATGTTGAACAATCCGAGTTACGCCACAGGGCAGGGCTGGCCCAAGGCAAACATATTCGATGTCTGCTATAGGTATAATTACCCTTGGCCAAGTCCTGATATGACAACCCACTCCTGGCTAATACAAATGATAGATTCCACATGCCATGGTCAAACCCACTCGGAACATTCCGACGACCTTAGCCAGACTCGACACGTCATGGTCTGAAGCAGAAACCCAAAATTGGCTAACATCCCTATAGGTTTTCTGCCTTGGCACCCACAGCTAGGGTCACCAGGTAGAACAGAGTCCCACACTACTCCCAAGAGTGTACATTTTCCCTTGGACCGGTATTCTCTAGATACAGCATTTACTATGTAGGACTAGACAATTTACAGGATTCTGCCCTAAAAATGGGTTCCCGGTGATCCGGTCATTTGAAGCAGTCCGCAACGTATTTTTCTTTGAAGCTCAACCAAGTAGCAATCAAAACAAAAGTCCGCAAACTATATGGCAAAAGGTACGAGTGGCCAATGTCTAGATAGGAACGAAGGAGACACACGTCAGAGTCGTAACTAATCTGCTAAGTCGTGAAACATGTGGGGGAACGTAAGATCGAGAAGTATGGAGCACAACAACGTCAATAGTCCAAGAATAGCCGATAGAAGTCCTGTAAGGAGAACGTGTTGAGATAGCATAGAAAGAACGAAAATTCCATGAGAGATATTCAATAAATCTGCAGGCCTACTCTGTTGCAATTGGCGAACATGTGAGACCATCGCCTTCTACCGAATAACCCGGTTGGCAAGATGAGACTTGGCATTCACCAGCGACGCAAGCGACGCCTTCAACATGTGGGATCATCGTGCAATCATGCCTAAAAAAATTCCGTGGTCAGCCAAGTCGAATCAGATAGTCCATCAGATGCTTACTCGATAGGGTCAAGACTGGAACAACCCCCGCAGGAGCTGAGATCTGCCGCAAAATCGACACACTCAAACCCTATCGCTTCCCACTCGGCAAATGTGCGAGGGAATTGCCCAGGTGTGCTCAAGACGGGGCAGGCTACAAGCCCGTCGAGACAGAAAGAAACCGCAGCACCCTCCATGATGTGCTGTTCGTCTAAGCTGCGCTTTCGTGCAGCTGCGGAGTTCTCAGCAGCGCGCTTAGACAGGCCTGGTGCAGCAGCCAACTGTCGAGTTGACAGCCACTTTGAAGGAAAGGCTTGACGAGCAGCGAGACGTGGACTAGCCTCACGAACAACATAAACTGCAGAGGGCCCCGCATCGGGTGCGCGGTTGACCAAGGATCGCTTACTAGGGACTTTGGAAGGTCCTGGCTGCCGATTGACAAGGGGGAGCGCATATCTCTTTGACGGTGTGGGGTTGCGAGCCTGGACATCGAGTGCAGATGTCACAGCGACTGCAAACGAAAAGAGAAGCACAACGAGGAAGCAGTTCTTCATGATGTTGACCGATGTATAGAGAAGACCTGGAAAGTAGTCTCCAACGAACGAGATAAAAGACAGGTGGATGTAAAAGAAGCTTTGTAGTTGAAATTAATCTATGACGAAGACTCGGAGGGCAGTGAGGTTGTGACGCAGAGCGGCTTAGACTCTCACAGCACGGTTGTCCTGACAGTACAGGGCAGAGTTAATTAGTGAATATTGGAAGTGTTTGAAAGAGACGCGGGTACTAGATTTGTTTCTCACATCGGCTGTGGCTAGATTCAAATCATCTGCTCCACACCTTCAACGTGAACTGCCACAACACCCCTAGAAGCTTCATGCCGGTCGGCATGAGCGATAAGCATGGAACAATGATAAGAAAGATATAAAGACCTGTAGATGACCTACCCGGGGCCCTTTATGTAAATTTTTGATAGAAGTTGGATGCATCATGGGTTCTTGCCATATCCATGAAGGAGAAAGCACCGGGTACCCTTTATTTAATTATATATAATAAATCTTTTATTCTTAGGATCACGTGATCGTTATATATTCTCAGTCGCGAACTCACCTGAATTCTTCCAACCCACATGTCTGACGACGAATTTGAACATTACGACCTTTCAGAATTCACCGAGGAGGAACTCGCTCGTTTTGATGTGCATGTCACGAAAACTCCCTTGCCGAAGATACTCGATGACAGTCCAACTTTGGAATCGCAGCGTGCGGGTCCCAGTAGCTTTGGTGGTGGACCTGCACTTCATATTACTATTGAGTCCCTGACTGACGCGAATCCTGTTGAGGAAATCCCTAAACCTACTTCCAATACGAGAGTGTCTCGTCTCTCGGCTAACACAAAGGCCCTGCAGCTAACTAGCACCCCTGTTTCTGGAATGCGCCTGCAACATCATGCGATAAATCTCTTCGAGAAGTTTTTATCTTGGAAGAAAGGGTTTTCCGTGACAGACCTTGTCTCACCTATTTGGTTTGTTCAGGCAGTCCTTCATCCACCCCTTCTTACATTGTATTACAGGTGTGAAGTACAATATGAGTATGGGTTATATGGAGAGCGCCACAAACCGCTAGAAAAGCGACCGCCCTCTTTTAAGTCAAGAAACGGCAAACAAATTCAGGTCAAACAAAATGTCGCACAGCAGCAGGACAGGACACTCAAGAGAGGGGCCGTATGTCTTACTATTTGCTATTTTTGCGGAAGAAACGACCTTTTATTTTAGTCTATTCACAAAATTCTGGAGCTGGAATTGCGGCCGAAAAAAGTTTATGTTCGTACATCAACTGATGAAGAGCGTTGGGCGTTACGGTATGAATGTCGCATTCCGGTTGCTCAAACAATTTCCTAACCTTTCAACAGTCTTTTCAATTTGACTGCGGGCCTAGAACAGCTAATTTCTGAGGGGCTAACGGTAAATTTTTCGACGATGAGGCGACCATCATTAGTGATAACATCATGCAGAGAGAACTTCCAGTTTTCGGAATTACGCATGGGCAAGTTGTTTTCGGAATCATTGTAGGTATTTCCGCACCCACACTCAGTCAATGGACGATTGACATATGTCTGATCTGGCAGGATGAAGTAACTCGGCGTGTTCCATCCGAAGTAAATGAATTTCACAATTCCGTCAAACGTAGTCCGATCCCCCCCGAATCATCTCCCGTCAAGAAGAAGCAGCGCGTATCGTTGTCCTCGTCCCAAAACAATGCTATTTGTCCACGTCAGTCTACTCCCGAGGAGACCTGCATAGCGGATCAGTCCCCAACCGAGGAAGAAATTTGTGACATTTCTGTGGCAGGAAGTTCAATCACAAGGCCCATCCATCCCGAACCCACGTTCTATGATTTGACGATTGTAGACTACAAGACTCGCCGCCTATCATCGCTACCCCCAGATGAGGATACGATATCATCACAGATGCAACTTATGCTTTACCACCGCCTGCTCTCGCCGCTCCTCTCACCGGAAACCTTTGATTTTGATGTACTATGGGCAAAGCAAGTTGTCGATCCGCATCGATCATTTTCCAAGAACTTTGTGGAAGATATCGGTTTGCTAACAAGAGATCAAACAGACCTTCCTTTTCATGTAGATCTGAACTCCATGGTTGCCGCATGGGTGTCTGTCGTCCACTCGGCTCGGAGTAGCGGTGAACGACTGAGAGGCATCCATTCCGAGCTGCAAATTATCTACCGGAAAGCTGGGGTCAATAAGGACTCGGTTCATGATCGGAAACAGAAGGCGGAATCTAATGAAATGGCAGTTGATAACCCCCCGAGGTCTTCCTCCCAAGAGGAATTGGATTTAGCTCGTGCCATTGAAGAAAGTTTGCGCCCGCCTGATCAGGACGCTGGAGAGGCTAGCACTTCTCAGCCTGCGAACCACAACTCAAAGATCATATGTGCTGCATCAAGCGAAGAACTTCTAATTGATGAGGTTATTGACCCCACTAGCACTGTTCGTGAAAATCCCGAGCCGATATCGGTAGTGCGAGGTTCGTTGCCTGCAGCAACCTGCGACAATCCCGACCGCAATGCACAGTCGATCACTACGAAAGATCTCGGTATGAAACCTCATTGAAGATTTTAGTATACTAACGCTTACGTATGACTCCAGCGGCTGATAAGTTAACTGACTTACGGGAGAACTGGACCCTTCCTGATCAAAATGGTGACTCTCCAGTCGAGGAAGATACCTCCGGCCTTTCGACCATATTAGGTACCAGGAAGTTCTTCATGGACGAGAACCGGCTCGATGCATATCTTAGAGATGTTCTCCAATGGTGGTTTGGCTTTCGTCTGCCCAGAGGCGTTGAACTCGCACAGTCTGGTCGGTGTGGGTGAGTTACCTCAGTAGGCAACATCGTGAAAGCTGCTCACGCTTCGATAGCACTTGCGAATATCAAGACAGTTGCGAATGGAGAAAGCGGAAGGCTTCCGAGGCTAGTAGTGTCGCTCTCGGAAAGCGTAAGGTGACATAGTCTTCAAGCAGCTAAATTTGTTGGTTATAACCCGAAACAAGCAAAGAATACAACTACGGATGTATTCAATTTGATGCATAAAGGGCTACTCGGTTAAACGACTGACTACTTTGTGGACCTATAGACTCAGGCTTTTAGAGATGCAAGAAGTTCAATGCCTATTCTTACCTTTTCTCGGCATCACACGTCGCCCCCCATGATGTTTTGACAGGTCTCTTCTCACCTTCTGCTTGCATAAGCCTGTGCGTGAACGTCAATTTGCCGGTCTTCAAGGCTTTTTTCGCGTCTTACTACTGTGGCGAAGATTTACAGCCTTGCACGGACAAATCCTTGTTATGAACCCTACGTTCTTGACAACATGGCCACCTCGACCAATCGTCATGTCATACGCTCCTATGTCAAGTTTTGGCATAGTCAGCTCCAAGTCAGCCAATTAGTAACTGTTAGTACTTCCTGATCATTGTACTATCCAACGAAGGCTCTTATAACATGTATTAGTAGTAGATGAAAGTCCACCGTGACTGGCTGGATCTACCGCTGGGATGATGATAGCGAGTTTACAGGATGTCCATCACCGTCATCCGCTTCAAGTTAGATGTACATTTTCTCGAAAATTTGGACGCCTTCAGGCCAAACTTGAAGGAGATCATGGAAATTTTCATCATTGTCATCGCGATGATCTACTAAACGGTGTCACCGTATCATTTGTGGTCATGCAATATCTACGGTACTAGCCTAAGAGTACTACTGAACGGCGGCCCGATTCTTCCAATATTTGAGCGGTTTGTGACGGCATATCTGGTAGTAGCAGTACTTGGCAACACTACCTTTCGGACTATTGCGGTCCCGCATTGAATGGGCACTGAACGTTGAACCCACGTCATCACTAACCACGACACGTATAATTAACCTCCACTGTCACTGCAGTCACGACATCGTGATGGATGGCTGGGTCGATTACGTTCATTTCTCATTCCTCGGTGAACACATCCTCTTGAGTTCTCTGCGCCTAAAGACCGTCTGGGAATTTATCCTCGGTGTCCTCCTGACTTCTGTCATATGTCTATCTGAGAGGTTCGTGTTAAAAACTCTACCTTTCACCCACTCCAAGTCATTGGAACCATCACAAGATTCTTGTCGTTTGCTATTAGCAAGCATTGGGGCCCTCATTTCATCGGTCGTTCGCGATTAGCAAAAGCAGTATGGAGAGCAATGTTATACGGCGTTGCAACGACACTTAGGCTGTGAGTTTGCATCTTCATCAATCCATGGAAAAAGAATGTCGAACCGTGAATTATCACTAGAATTTACATGCTTATTGCCATGTCATACCAAATAGGGTGAGTTTGCATTTTTTTTTCAATGGAAGCTGGCCTAAAAGGCTTTGAGGAAGTCTCATCCTGGCCGTTGTGAGTGCCACATCATGTGAGATTATCGCAAAGAAATTTATTCTCTAAAAAGGTCGTCATGTTGTCAGTCGGACAATTCATCCTCGAGTACGTTGATGCTGCCCCAGTAAAGTCAGCCGCGTAAGTTGTCTCGCAAGCTAGATTCTTATAGAGGTTGATCCCCCTCCCAAGCTATGATAGGATCAGAGGTCCTCCCCCGGACTCTGAGAGTGAAGATGGCTCATATAACATGCCTACACAATCATGGCAGCACAAAACACGCCGAACGAAGTCAAAACCCGAAGCTATTCTTATTCACCCCGGTGACTCTAACCTCGCCCGCGCCGATGCTGCGGCGCAAGAGCTTGGCATAGCTGGTGACACCGAGAGAGTGAAAGCCAATCGCTATCCTGTTGATCAGGATGCTTGGGAGTGTGGGAAGGGCAGAGATGTAGCCCGACAATTACTTGGAAACACAGCACGACGTCCCCGGTCCCCGCAAGATCATCGCGTGTCCCATATTCCCGATGGGTGTTGAGCCTCAAGGGTTCAAAACTTGTAGCACGTCAGATTGTTGTATAAATTATCTTTACAAGCTATTGCAAGCCTTACGTGAACGAACGCGAGCGAATATATTATAGGTTGAGTGATTGCACGTGTTTAACTGTCCTTGCCAACTTCCCCAGAGACGAGACCAGCTCGTTTGGGGGTATAACCACCTCTACGAGGGATAGGAGCCCGAGGTGAATCAACCTCCGTTTTACGTTGCCATTGGTCGATAAGCTTCCCTACTCCCTGATAAGGTTTATCAGGCGATGGCGAGCGCGGCTCCTCCGGAGGTGCGGAAGGTTTTTTCTGGGAAAAAGATAGTGATGCTGGAAGGCCGTCTAGGGGACTGGTCTGTCCTACTGATGATCCAGGTGTGAATCGACTGGGTGTGCCAAAGGGTGACCCTACAACAGGATTTCTTATATTCATGTCTGTCTTGCTCTGGTCCTGACCGGCAAGGGCCGCCCTGGCTAAATCAATCGCAGATGGACGTAGCTTCCCTGAGTCAACTCCAGGACCCGACCCTTCAGGAGCAGGTGTAATGGCTCTGGAGGCTGTGAATCTCGATACTAACGGAGAGCTTGGGCTTGTGCCCGTGACATCCACAGTACGACCAATACCAGTAGACGAGGTTGGCATCTTCAAACCTGTTGGTTTGGGAGTTATCACAGGCTGACCTGAACCTGGACTTTTGACCTTGCCTCCGATAGCTTCGAAGCGCTGGACCATGTCTGTTATTGAGGTTCGCCGAGCGCCGTGACTGCGAGGGTTGTCTTCTGGAACAGAAAGACCCGTAGGGTTTGACGGCGTGTCCGTCTTTCCATCCGAAGTAGATTTTGACATTGGAAAGGCAAGCATAGACTGCGGCCTCGCGCGAGAGGATGAGGCGGGGGTATTGCCAGACGAAGGGGTGCTTGTGCCAGACGCCTGCTTTGTCTGAGGTAAAGGTCGCCTGGGAGACCGGCTTGGTGAACGACGCTGGGAAGCATTGGGCTCTGAGGACTGTGACTGCATTCGGGGTGATGCAGGCCTCGGCCTAGCCATCAAAGGAACGGCAATTGATCTGCTCTTTTGTAGTTTTACACCAAAGTCCCTGGTCGAATCGCTGAATGCAGCAACGGCAGGACTGTGAACGGAATCCTTTGGTCGCTCTTTCGTCTGCACCACACCTCCTCCCCATAGATCAACGAGGTCATGCACGGAACTTTTCCGGCCCCTTGTCTTTCGTCTTCGCGATGAACCCGTCTTCTCAACTAGTTTTCCCCATCCAACAGCATCCTCTGGCTCCTGTTCCCCGTCACTCGACGAATCATGAATCTTAGCTGGCTTTGGCGACTCAGAGATAGGGACAGCTCTCCACCTATCTAAGTCATCCTGCGATGAACGCTTCAATGGCTGCGATGTCACTCCCTGGCGAGACTCTAGGTCCGGCTTCAGTACAAGAGCAGCAATTATGGGTTTAGGCGCCACCACTGGCAGTTCTCTAGGTTTCTTCGGCGTCACAGGAGCGCTTTGCTTCCGCTCTCTAACACTAGCACCTCGCGCATGCATCTTGGACGGCGATGGTGGAGTCTTCACTCGATGAGGAGGCTGCTGAGCGGCGACAGCTTCCTGTGGTGATTGTATGGTTGTTGTGTTCTCCTCAATGAATGATGATCGCTTGTTCGTAAACTCGCGCAGAACGGGCGTTGTAGGGAGGTTTCTAGTTTGAGCCTGAGCGAAAGATTCGTCCTTGATTGGGGAGATGAGGGTATCAACATCGCCTGTCAGCCAGTCTTTGGGTTTGCGTGACACCGGAGCTGGGGTAGTAAGGTCCTGAGTACCAATGTCATCGATGAGCTGTGCCTGAGGTATGGTTTTGACAGCAATACTGCTGCGATGTCTCCTTGAAGGCGAGGGACGGGAGATAGGCCGATATGACGCGGGCTTCGGAGATGGCGTGTTTTCACCAATGCCATTACCCAGCCCAACGGACCTCTGAAATTTGTCCTTCTCCGAATCGCGCATCGCCACCCCGGTGACATGCTCTGAGCGCGAACCAAGGGTGGTACTCGGAACGGTGCGCTGAGAGACCGGCTGAAACGACGGGGAAGGTGCAAGGAAAGGTTCGGACAAATCAACCACTTTTTCGCGCTCCTTGGGATGCTCAGGGGACTCGAGCTGCCAGCTTGGATGGCTGACACGAGGTGCCGACTCGCCAAATGTTGCATCAAGCTCTTCTACTGAAGGAAATCGTGCCTCGGCAGAAATTTCGCCCCTCTGTGGAAGCGTGGGAGGGGTGGAAGCGGGGGGTTGCATTGATAAACTAGAACGCCACGAAGCGTTTGTAGTTGTCAATTGTGCTGGAGGACGGGGCGAAGGCGTTGGTTTGATTGGGGCCAGAGATGGTTTCGCGGGGTTTATAGATGGAGTAGAAGTGATGACAGCGCGATTGTTTCCATTAACCGCAGCAAGGCCAGTCCTCAGCTTTCGCGCCTCTCCAAGAGTAGGCGTGGGTGCCGAAGATGGTGTTAAACCTAGACCATCAAACGCGTCCTTACTCTTCGTGACTATCAGTCTTGTGTTACGCGACCCCTCAGGCGGGGGAGCAAGCTTGGAAATACGCTCTTTTCCAGAACTCGAGGATGACTCCATTCCTGTCACAACGGTAGTCCCTCCAGCCTTTGCACCGTGAAAGACACTCCACAGCTTTTCTCCGAAATTGTCATCAAATGCAGTGACCCCTGGTGTGGGTGGATCATCTGAGACCGCTTTTGATGCACGCGTTTCAACACTCCACGCATCATCCAAAGGAGGCGCGGATATCTTGGGTCTCCAAACGCTCCCAGTTACACCGCCTGATTTGTGAGCCCTGATACCCCCACCAGCAGGAACTGCAAGAGAGCTTTTCATCTCTTTCCGCGCCTTGTCCTCCTCTGCTTCAGACCTTTTCGGCAACTTCGGTGGACTAGGAGGCTGGGAGGTCGATGAGGGGACAGTGGTGTCATTCTGTTGCTGCGAATAATATGGCCGGCCACGACGCATTGGTGCAATAGCTTCTAGTACTCTATCACGCGCTTGAACGCCTGCACCTATGTCCTGGGGCTGAGCTGGCGGGGCTTGTTGCATGGTAGTATCTATGCCTGGCGCTCGACGATAAGAGACAAGATTGTCAAGAGCATTCGTGGATGAAGACTGTAAAGCTCGAGGAGAAAGGGGCGGAGGCGGAGGAATGTCGTAGGTGAAGCACGATTTGGTACCCCGTATGGTGTGCACTTGAGCGAGAAGTTCTAATACTGTAGGTCGTTGTGTGCCGTGCTCGCGAAGCATGGAGGCTAAACGATAACTCAGCATATTCGGACATGATGGAAGGGAAGAATAACATACCGATCAGTGTGTTCATTTGCGATGAGTAAACGGGGTATGGTGGAATGCGGTACTGTACGTTCAAAATCGCTAAGGGACCATGTTCTTCGAAAGGAGTGGTGTAATAGCACAGTTTGTACAATAGCACTCCGAGTGCCCAAACATCAGATTTCTCATCAACAGAACGGCGAAGGTATGGGTCGACCATTTCAGGCGCCCTGTATTGTAGTGTCGTGTGTCTGTTCAAGTCCGCCTCGAGAGCTCTAACCTCGGCTGTGGTAGATGGCGGTCGGGGCGCAACTGGTGTGGCAGAGCCAAAGTCACAGAGCTTGAAGACATTATTTGAGGCCTGGAGAATATTCTCCACCTTCAGATCACGATGAAGAAGGGCGGGGCGAAGATTATGCATGGCAGCAACACCTTCACAGACGTCTACAAATATGTGAAGGATCTCTGCTTCTGTGAGGCGTTCGCGAAGACGTCTGTTCATCATGTCAATGATCCCACCACCTGTATCTGAGTAAGACCACATCAAATGTGCAAATCTTGTAAGAACTCTTGCCTGGACAGAACTCCATAAGGATGAAGACTTCGTACATGCCGGTCGCCATTTTGTGCCAGGCAGCATCGATCAGATGCACTACATTTGGGTGCCCCTTCAGTATCCTCTACAGGCAGATTCAGTAAGCACCGAATAAGCAGCTTGGGTGCTTCGAACCATGATATCGACTTCTTTCTTGACCTCCGCAAGCATAGCCTCATTAGGAACGCCAATGCGTTTGAGAACATGATGTGTCGTGTTATACACAGGAGTGGGAGTCCTGACAAGGTACACGTGGGAGAATCCACCTTTGAACAAAATGTTAACACTTGAGGAGGCCACAGTTGAACTCGACACACCTTGGCTGAGATACCGCTCAACCTGAACAGTGTACTTATTGACAGAGATGGTTTGACCTGGGACAAGAGTACCCTTGTTCTGCTGTGCATAAGCTTGTAACCCCTGCTGCTGCTGCATGGTGATAAATGGGCAGCGATAGAAATGTTAAACTGCTGCTGGCGCAGCTACAGCAGCTGTCAATTGCTGAGACTGTCACCGTAAGTAGTCCAAGTTTGCGAAATACTATCTTTGGTCAACACGCTTATGTAATCAGTGCAAAAATCATACTGGCACTCAACTCACTTTGAGTCTGAACCTCTCCAAGGCATCTGCGTCATGAGGATCATTGTCCTGGGGGTGGATATGGATCCTGGCCGGCATGGCCCCAAGATGACATCTTTGCATTTCTACTGACTGACCGGTCCCATCTTCAAGGAAATGTGTCTATCACTCATGTCTCCAACACTTGTGCAGCCGTGGTGCATCTTCTGTATGAGTCATTCATCCATGTGTTACAGCGCAACGGTTACGTACATCTGCGCGACCCCTCGGCGTCTGGCTCAAAACGCTAGCATTCTTATTTGTGTTGTGTTCTCATACACATCTTCGTACCACCCTCAGGCAACTGCATTAGCACGAGATGTCTTTATAATACTTATTGACGCACTGACGGCTCTATCTATCACGGATATTACAGCAACATCGGAACCCTTTCATGGCAATGTCAGGTTACTTCCCTGACATGAACAACAAGTATCCGCTGAGAGTTTGCTTGTTTCGGCGGTCATGTCACAATGCCTACTTTACCGATGAAATATCCAACAAGGACGGTTAGTTCATAATCGACATACTCAGGCTGACAAATTACGCAGATGTCACTGAATATTACACACAAGCTCTCATCAATCGCAGTGCGTGCGGAAAAAATACAACCTAGCATTTAAGCGGACACCTGGTCGCTAATCGAGCACTTCAAGAGTCATTTTGCACATGATCATGATGCTAAACCAATGTTGCTGCAGATTACTGTCGAGGTCAAGATCCTGCTCATCTCTGTCTTCGTTGCCGATGCATACTGCCTGGTATACATTTTGCTTATCATTTCTCTCATCGTTAATACTTCGTCAACCTAGTTATCGGTCACAAATTTACGCTCAAACATACAACCCCCGTGAAATGTCCATCACAATTCTTGAAAAATTAACACCTGACTTCGTCGAACACAATGATCGTTGACGTTGACGATCCCGTCCAAGCATGACTTATCTACCTTCGCTTTCGACCAGAGTGCACTCGCTTCGGTCCTGCCACCTTTCGCCAACTCAGAACTATCAAAAATTCAACGAGATATAACGGCTGGGGATTTTATAGTGAGATCCCTCATCTTTTGAGCCCCTGGTGCAACAACCATACCTATGAGGTCGGTAGGAAACCGATGACTGAAGCTCATCTTTGGATAGATATGGCAGTTTTTAATCATCATCTCATGCATGTTCGGGCCATTCCATCTTGAGCGACAATGCTGACATAAACTGATTTTGCATACACGTGACTAAACGCGTCGCGATCGAGCTTGTTTATTTCGTGGCAGTGCTGATTTAACCACAAGGCAGAGTATAAGAACAGCGTGCCCGCGAGCAATACCTCCCATTTCCAGTCCTCGATTTACGTGCATTACTTTCTTCACGACTTATTCTCAACTTCAACTCGCCTTACAATATGATTTCCGCTATCTTCGACAGTGCTGCCCATGTCACCGTCGCTGGGTGCCTCGGAGCCTTCTTTCTCAAACATACTGTGGTGGATCGCACGATCAAGGCCGTCAAAGAAGCGGAGAACGTAACCGCTGGCCTCGTTATATCCGAATTATGTATCTCTATCGCGGCCCTGGTTCTAGCTTCCCACAAGACCGCCGGGATACTCCTCAGTAAAGAAGCTCAACCCCCTCCGAAGTACAATTTGGCCGAGCTCAACGCGCCTCTCATCGGCAGCAAAGTGTCCGATTTTTCTACCGCATCAGACTCAATTTTATCGAATCCAATCGCAACTGAATCTTGCAGCACTCCGCCATGCCTGTTAACTTCACCGAACCCCATTGCAAATGACTCCGACTACTGCACTTCACCATATACATGTTCAACACTATGCACGCCAATACTGCCGCCCTCACCTGTTCAGAATGCCAAGCGCTTCTCAATCGATTCCGACACCACTCTTGTTGACCACGATAATGATTTCGTGAGGGATCTCTCTGACGCAGACATTCAGGAAAGCACTTGTCCCCAGGTATGAAGTCGTACAGTCGCCTCAGCTTTGTCGCTTAATGTTTGAATATTTGTAGGACGACGATGACTTGACTGGACCCTCTCCGAGTCAGCGGACGCAGCTCCAACCGATCATCCCAGAGGACGGACCCCAAACGATCGCAACGCTTTCTCTCGGCAGCAATATGCCTCAGATTGTCTCGCCTCAGCTGAAACCCCCGGATAAGAAACGGCATCGGAATTTCCGCCCGGGCAGAGACAAGGTATAGACATTCTTTGTGGAACAAAGTGCCGCACTCATCGTTTTGTTAGCATGCGTCTAGATCCACACGGGTGGTCGCTGTCCGTGGCAGCATCGAACGCGCTTACGCTAAGCAACAAGTGGAACACACTGCTATCATAGGTGAGTGATTTTTGGTAACGTCCACTTTATTTGTTGACCTAAAGTAGATCACCTTGAACAACTGCACAACGATCTCCTCGGCGACCAAACTGCTCTTGTCGACGGCTGGGCAGCTGCCATGTCCCAGCTCGGACTCACCTCTGCGTTGTCGACTGCCTCACCGCCTCTGCACCGGAATACGCCCAACCCAGGAATCTCGATCGACATTATTCAAGACTGACATCTCTACTATGCACATCGCTACTCCTCAGGTCCCCTACGACCAAATACCGAAGACCTGCAACGGCCTCCCTCGCTGTCCCCTACGACCTGGAGCTTCAATGCCCGCGAGGTTGAAGGCCACCTCTGGCCGCGCACGATCTATCTCTCCGCGCCGCTTGGATATCTCTGCAGCCTTCGATGTCGGATGTCCCCTACGACCGAATCCGACACAACCGCAACTAGATGACGGCCTCCTTCCTGTCTCACGATTTGGAGTTGAAGGCCACACCCGCGGCTCCCATCCATCTATCTCAAGCTTCTTCTCTTATCTTCGCCATCATGTAAATGGCTCGATGTATCTCTTTTGTCTTTGTATTTCTCTTACCGGTATCTACTTGGCAGATCATGGACCGCCTGTGACTTGTGGACGCATCTTCCTTTTATCGATATGTACTCGACAAGACTGCTCATTTTTTTTGTAACATGTAGGCACGATTTCTCTTGTTTCTTTTATCTCTTGGCAATGTTTCCATATTTTCGTATATGTACGACAAATGTATGATGACCAGTATTGTATATCGGCAGTTTGTGGTTTTTGAATCCAAATTTCTTTGCATAATGCGCTCCGGAACTCGAAGACACGCCTGAGGCTGATCGTGAGCGCAAATGAAAAGTGATCAGTTTTGCATGTAGATCAATAGCACAAATAAAATATGTCAAAGAGATCAATTCGATATTGCAAGGTAGACGCGCAAACATACCTTCCTAGTGGAAATAATCATGAGTGTGCATCGTCAGGATTATAGGCCCGCTCTTAAAATCGTCAAGCTGGACTACAGTTACAGCCTGAGGATAGGTCCGCATAGACCAAACTTGTCGCAACGGTCCATGTAAAAATGCCAGTAATAAAGTAAAATCCCAGACAATCCAAGCAAGGTCATCGCCGGCAACGGCGCCTAGTACCTATGAGGTCGGTATATAAAACTCTAATTTACTGTGTTTCGTACATGTCCTACCGTGATCCAGCCTACTTTCGCCCATACTATCACCTGATTCGGAATGCACAATCGATGGATAATGCACAATGCACTCCAGAGCTCACCACTCTACATATATTTCATTCGGAACAGCTGGTGGACAATTATTAGCATACATTCAATAATACTACCAATTCAAAATTTTAAAATCGGTGCTGTGAAGCCTTCCCGAGATGAAACATTGTGCGAGTGTGCCCAAAATGAGTGATTTTTGGACACTAAATCCAAGATCCACCCAGATCCCATTAACCTATCAACACAGAAAGTTCAAAATATGTGAAATGCACCATCCTGAATCTACTCCAGGTGTTTCTATGTCAATAGGACACCACCACAGCATGCTATTCGCGATTCATGAGCAAAGCGTGACGGTCAGGCTAGATTGGGAAATCACACTCTCGGCTTGGTTGAGTCTCCGCTTTCTTTGCATTCGGCAGAATCGGCACATACCAGCATCTGTTCCTTTGAAGACACCAGAGGACATTGTTACATTACAAGGACAGTCGACCAATGCCAAGGACAGCTCGAGTTTTTCGCAACCGCCCTTCACCACATTCACAACCTCCTCTCACACGCGAGGATCGTGAAAAACGTATCAAGGATGCAATCGATACATGGCGTGGGGGTGAAACTAAAAGCCTTCCTGCACCATTAAATAGAGTTTCAGCAAATAATGATCACTCAGCACATCCTAGTGTTTATTACTAGATATTATTCCCTCAATGAAATTTGATTTGGAGCTCGTTATTGAAGCTTGAAGTTATGAACGGTGCGGAACACTGGACTTTCATTCGCTTTGCACGCTGTCGGACTGTGAATATCATTGTGTATTGGCCGAGGTGCCGCGCGTGACATAGTGTGACGAAATTGTGCATTTCTATTGTGTTTTCGACACCTCAACTTCCAGTGCTGCCGCTGCAACAAGCTCGCAACAAAATTAAAAAATTCTTGTTGGGCCTAATGCACAGAGACCTAAAGTATACACTACAGTAGATCCGATACGAATATGTGTTGTTGTTGTGTTGCTATTCAGCAATAAGTGTAAATTGTGCATTTCCCGTCGAATGATAGTATCGTTAACCAGCACAAAGATCATTTTGTGCATCACGAACGTGTGCTGTTATCGTAACCGTCCACAAATGAGATAGTGCATTACAAAGAGTCCGACAACATATTTACAGGAACTACGAATAAGGCCTCTAGCTGTCAACATCTCCGACCAGCGAAGGTCATAACGTTAGAAATAAATACGGCTACCATGATCTTACACCTGTCTCAATATCCGTCGTTTGAACGGAAAATCAATGGTCGCTCGAATGCTCCAGGAGTGTGTACATCTTCAGGTAATGGATTTGAAGCATTAAAATCCGGTGCGAGCTGTGGCCTCTGCGAGAGGCCAGTCAACCTTCTTGACGACCGTATACCAGTCCTGACATTTAACGACTGGACATGAGGCGTCATGGACGGAAGTATTAGAGGTCGCATCCCACGTTGTGCCAGAGGCACGCACGACTCTAGGTCCGGAACTGAAACTTCCTCCTCAAAATTTGAGACAGGCGATAGCCCCGTCTCCATTGAGAGTTGCGATCTCCTACGGCTTGCGGAGGGTGATGGCAGATTCAGTATTCCTGCCTCTCTCAAAGGCGACGGACAGAAAGGCAATACGGACAAGTGGGGGGAAGCTTCCCGAGATCCGTGGCTTTCAGCTACGTCAAGGTTGAACGCACACTCTCCAGACACATCCGAAGGCTTATACACAGTCGCATTCCTGTGGCTAGCAGGAGTTGTTAGATCTACAACAGATATTTTAGAAATCGTTCAGAAAATTCAAGAATCAAGACTTGCCACCTATAAAAGACGTAATCTCGTACTGCGTTCCGCCAGAATTGAACCTATAAGATCGCCCTGCGTCCGCGGGCACCATTCCGTTGTCTTCCTGACAGGGAGAGTCTGACGCGAGGTCAGAACGAGGAGAGCTAGGCATGTCTTCCAAAGCTGCAGGTATTCTTGGCAGCGGAAGCCCAAGAGTGTCGGAAATCGAGCCTTGACCTAACCGAAGACGAGTCAGATGGTCTTCCTTTGATCGTAATTTGACAGCTGGCAATGTTGCAGGAAGAGGAGCCCAGGAGGCCGACAGTGGCGGGGAGGGGAAGTTGCTCAAAGAGAAGTCGGACATCGTCTGCGCGCCGGTGGAGGATGACTGACGCAATTTTTCAGCCTGAATTGAACTGATTCTTGGTGATGAAGGGGAGCTTGGAGAAGTGGAGGTCGGAGAGCAGGAAATTGGAGACTTCGGAGAAAACAGTCGAAGCATTGCGATTGTTTTATCTAGTTCATTCTGCAGTTCTAGCAGTTCTTCAAGAGATCTGCCGGATGAAGATTGCCTGCTGGGAACTTGTGGAGGTTGAGGAGTGAAACCCTTGATTACAAAGATAGGCGAATCTTGAGCTGGAGGATCTGGAGGGGCAGTCATGACAACGGCGGCTCCATTTTCATCGGAGGATGTTGCAGTCGGCGGGATAGTAATCATCTGCAACTTCAGAGGTTGGGGGCGGGTGGGTACGTCTGCACGAACTGCATGCCAAATTTGTCCACTGCTCAATGAGGTGTTCCTAGATCTGGTGCCTGCAGACTGGGTATCGAGCATAGATAGCCTTTGGAAGTTGGAGACAGAATCGTTTACAATGTCTCTCCATTCTGTGGATACCCTGTCCGTAACAGAAGCGACGGAAGTCATACTTTGATTTGCGGCACTGCCTTGACCCACGGCAGGCTGATCTGGGGCCCCCTTTCCAGCTTCGCTCTTGTTCCATAGTTTGGCTTTCTCCTCATCTTGGTCTGACTGACCATGGGACAGGCTCCATGAAACCCAGGGAGCACGGCTTACGGTGGCAAGCGTAGAATGACGGGTGACATTAGCATTTATACTTCTGCTTTGATTTTCGGAACTGGGAAGCCTGGGTGTAGACACCACCGGTGGGGATAGCCTGAATGTCGATTCACGGGTCCGTTCTGGCAACTTGACTTTCAACAGTTCCAAATCCCTGGGTTGGTAAGTAGCTGGGGTCTTTTTGTGACGGAGAAAGTGAAGAATCATCATAAAGACGACCAAGATGTAGAGCTCTATTGCTTGAAGAAGTCGACCAAGTATTGACTCTGTGAATGCGACTGCCGAAAAAAAAATCAGTTAAGCAACGCATGCATGAACATTTAACCTACAGAAAATCAAGTTTCCGACGGAAATCCCAGTATTAAACGTTAGCGCCAAGATGGGAAACCCATACTCCTCAAAAGTGTGCGATCGGGCAATCGACGAGGTTGGAACGGTGTTGAATAGCATCTTCAGAAGAAGCAATAAGGAGACCACGACCTCGAGTGTAACATCCGCTGCATACACCGGGCCATAAATATGGAATCGTTGAATTACGCGCCAAATTATTTGCAAAGCGGCGATAGTAGGGATGGTGGCCAACAAAGTAACCTTTACATATAATCCTAGAGCACCCCACCGAGACCAGCTGCCACTGTGGACGTTGTCCCGAGAACTGAGTGTGAGAAAGTTGTTCCATCGATCCTGGAATGGAGGATGTCGGGGATCTCCGATAGGGGGCTCAGAGACATACAGCCAGTAAGACAGAAAACGTAGGCCGAGGGATAGGGCAAGTAAAACCTCCCTTGTTGTAATCAATGGCTGTACGATGACCTGAGTCAAGTCACGGATAAGGATTTGTATCAGGTCGATGACGACAGCTGCGAAAGATAGCAACACCGAAAAATAAAGGGAGACGACAGAGCTGAATTAAGCATCAGCTCTGGACGGTTAAGAAATACCGTGGCCACTCACAGCGTGAAATGTCTGACGAAGAAAAAGAATGCAGATGCTCCAAAAGCTAACATTCCGACCGAGATGAAGGGAATGTCAGATAATATGGATTCAATCTTGAAGCCTTCATGAGCTTGGCGAATAACTTATGTCATCGGACTCACATCGCAGTCATTGTTGCTCGACGCTACAGAAGAGAGGAAGCTATATCCCAAGTTGCACGTCGAGGACTCAGATGCATTGTTGGACATGGAAGCGGATATGACCAAAAAGGAATGAAATGGCGTGTGTGCCTTTGCAGTGGAAGCGTTGAGTCAAGCTGTTCACAGTTGATCCCAGTAACTAGATGAACTGGAGTTAGACGAGAAAAAGAAGGGAAGCAGTGAGCTGGTGTGAAAACCAGCTGGCAGTGTGCGAGCAAAGCTGGGCAAAGACTGATGATATCAAGCATTCAAAATGGCGCCTCTAGCCTAACGACTTTTGGAAGGAACGTTACTTTGAAGTTAGGAACTTCTTCTGAGGATGAGGGGGGCGAAAACAAACATAATGAAGCCAGGATCTATTTTTTGTCTTGAATACATCGCGGGATCCTCTAACGCAGAGAAATCATTTGCTTGACAACAGAAGACAACGACAATAGCAACGAACGGATAGTTCGCAGATTTCGGAATGTAGCCATGTGGAACGTGTAGTAACAACCTGTAACAAGGCGCTGTGCAAAGACAACCTGGGGTAGCTTAACAGGAAATTATGATCGATATTAATATAATAACCGGCCGGCTCCGTAAAATTATCATTACATAATGCACTACCACCAGCCTCATTATCCAGATCAACAGAAAACTCAAGCTCCATCGACGAATTTTGAAAGTCTATTACCCAAGTACTTGCAAGCGAATGTAGAATGCAGAGGTTCATCAATCGAGTATCTATGGATAAAAAACTATAAAATTGACGTCCTTCCCCGCAGTCATTACCTACATATTGACATTTATCCCTGATATTCGTCAGAAAATTTTCAGTTCCCAGAAGTTGGCTCCCTCGTGCCTATGCAAGACCCCGAACCTCAAGCTCATCTTTGTTAGTTCCAACACCTGATAGGCTGCTTTGCTTCCTCACACTGCTCCCGTTGCTCACTCCTTTGAATATTCATGTCACTGCCAGTGAGCTGGGCCCCACAGGGATTATCATGGGTCCTGCGATTGCTTATATCTTGAAGTGATGCAATTCCGGGGAGCCGAAAAATTTCAGACAAGTAACAGGGGACGGTAGATGTAAGCACCTGACTTCCTTCAGTATATATAACTACCGGCGACCGCTGATACTGAAACAGTGTTCTACATTTTGGTGTAACGGTTATAGACTCCTCAGCCCAGTATATCCTGAAGTCTGCATCCGACAATGTTAATGCGATAAGAATTAAGCACCCACAATACTTCGATCGGAAACAAAGGTGAATAAGTTCACCGTGCAATGCCCAAATTGTGCTTTGAGGCCTCACGAGTCAAATTTTGAATTTTCACAAGGCATGATTGGACCGATAAGAATCCTTCCGTTGGCGGAAACACCCAGGTCGTTTCACAAGAGGACTACGAGGAACGGAGCTACACAGTGGGATGAAACTTGATGGAGAGGATTTGTGATTGTCAACATGTGCTCCTCACGGTTATCACTCAATTGAGGTATTTAATCAGTTCGGCATTCCATTTGCGAGTCTTGCCATCGAGGATACGAGGTAGGAGAACTGTGGTACATTTAGTATCGTGCGTCACTTTTCACGACTTGTACTCATTTTTTTTGTACTTTTAGCCCCGGTCAGCCAGACCTTGCCAGAGTTTGACATTCTCGACGTCAGGCACGGACCTGGGTTCCATGGGTAATTTCAAGGGTTCTGGCGGGAACTTTCACCGAAATCAATAAGCCTAAGGTTCGTAGCAAATGGAACTGGTATTCCGATCATCGTGTCGTGTACCACAACACGTTCTTTTGCCTGAAAATAACGTACCACTGGTACGCTCTGTTTTATAATATGATCAATAGAACCAGTTATCGAGCACTGAAGTTACGCGACCCGGCTGTGCAGTCGCATCTATGGCCCATCAGCAAGAGAAAGACCGTCATGGTACCGATCTGGCGCAAATTTAGCAACTTGGCACCTGTGCAGCAGCATTTTTTGGTCACGAGCCCTAGTTACAAGTGATTCAGTGTGCAGAGGATGATAAATTTCGAGGATATAATTATGACAGTTTCTACCAGCCTCCAGGGGCTTGTTCGCGGCGATCCTGGGTTCAACTCTAGGATTCCGTTGGGATACTAGCCCGAGTGATTCAAGAATAAACGTAAAGTTCGTGCAATACCATACTCGACACTGATTCGTACTACAAAGATGGGACTATGTGATCATGGTTATATCTACGACTAGGTAGGTGACCTGCATGGGTCGCCAAGACATTGCTCTGATTCCGAAGGCTCGTAAGACGAGTCACAAGAGCGCTTCGCGCGTCTGAAACGCCTCGAGTGCCAAACGACGTAGCGCCGATGAGCAGTAAGGTCCACTGCGGTTAGGATTCCGAGCGCAACAACATTCCAGTCAACAGGGAAGGGCGGAATGACGAAATCTTGCAGAGTAGAATGATTGGCCTCTGACCGAGGATCGAGCTTTTTCTGAAAGTCAAGGAAGAGGTCTCTCATCTCTGCCATCCCTCGGTTCAGAATCTTCGAAACCTCGTCCATGCGTACCACGGGCATCAAGGTCTGCCAAAAAACTTGGATATATGAGTGCGTACAATGATTGCAAGATAACTTACGCCATGCGCTCTGTCCTCCGGCTTTCCATTACGCATGTCAATTGCTTTGTCTTTCTCACCTTTGATCCATATAAAATACTCGACTGATTCGACATGGCACCAATTGTGATCTGCAACTTTGAAAGGCTCGTTGAAATCCCGTGGCGTTGAACGCATGTCGGTGAATGCATGACGAGATATAGGTTTTTGTATCTGGATACTCAACGATCATGGATTCCATCTTCTCAAAGACATGATCCCACTCCTCCGTCATTGCCGTTTCTCCCAGGTAGGGAATAAGCACAATATTGCCGGGCCCCCGTGCGGCGGTCAGCGATATGACCATATCTGGCGTGACCAACTTGTCCTCCATCTCGAGTTGATAGTTCATGTGGACCCGAGGCCGAATCGTCATGCGATGATACGGGAGACTGTTGAATGCAAGCGCAAAGCAATCTTTCAGTTGATCATAGAACACTTCATGAAGAATAGATGGCATGTCGACTTCAAGAAGTTGTTGGGTTATAATCGTAAGTCAACCTAAAGCGCCCACTTCAGAACCACTCAAAAGAGAAACAAATCAATCGACTCAACCTGGGCTTTGTCAATACGCGGCCTGTGTCTAGCTCCTGTTCTAATATCTCGAATTCTTTCGCTCCCACACCAGGGAATTCCTGTGGTATTTGGTAAGTATATCAGTTGTGAAACTCACTAGAGCACATACCATATGGCTACTATTTGCTGGAGCTGATCCAGTTACGTATCTCAAAATTTTCCGTACATTTTCAGTCAAATCAGTTTCAGAGCGCTTGTAGCTTGTGACCTTTGGAAAAAAAGAGCTGTAATCATGATTAGGGTCCGGAAAAGCTACTCATGAGTATTCGATGGGTTGAATGTTGTCTTCGAGGTGTTGCGCTGTGAGGTTACTTGGAAGCTCCGGGAAGAGGGGAAGAGCATCACCAAAATTCCCCTATGCTGAACTTGCCTTATGCGGACACTTTCCCGAGAGCCGACAGTGCGATGACGTGTGATGCATGTGATGACCGTCCCGGCCCGTCAAAACTGTTCCTTCCTGTTCCGCATCCGTTGGTGACATTTCCCGCCCCGCTCAATACCTGTGTCGTCTCTTCGCCGCCAGCAATCAGCCGCCGCCAGTCTCACAGATGGTTCCGCCATAAAACTGGAAGACCTCGATGCAAACAAGCCCCTAGAAGTCTACTGGATGGACAGGCCCTGGAGGAGTTGTCATTTCCCGGACGTTCTCGCGAATTTGAGGATTGCAATCGCCATTCGGTTACGCCCTTGAGAATGGTTTTGAGGTGGCTGCCGCATGCACTCGACTTCTCTGTGATACATAGTATAAATGTAAAACAAGCTAATCCAACTCCGAGATCAGTGCTGTTCTCTATCATGCAGTGCCCTGACGATTAACTTATGGCCAGGATTTTTCCACAGTAGCTGAGCTTTTCTCACAAGATACTTATACGTTTGATGGTCACCACTTCACCCTCGTCCGTGGTCCGTCGTCACCTCACATAAACCCACACAACACTATGTTAAGATCATAATTACATATCATAGACTCCAAGAATTTGCTAAGAATCATTGTCCCTTTGAGTTTAGACTCCAGAGCCTTGAAACAGTTTATACACCAAACGAACTTCCTCCATTAGTCATCTGCCGAACTAAGAACATCCCCCGACCCTCATCTACGCTCTGTCCACTTCTCATGCCAATCACGCTCTTGGGTCTGGGGCGAGGTGTAGCAGTGCCCAACTGTTTCGTCGGACTTAAGCCACCACCGGTCAATTGTCTCGCAAGCGCTGCGTCACCGCCACGCAACCCTGTAAACTGACGTGCGATTGTGGTGGTACCTGTGAACTGAGGTTGAACGGCTCTAGATGTGGAGGTGCTACCGCCTATGCTGCGTCCCGTCAGTGATGGCACAAGTGGTTTGGTGGGTGAGTCTGCTTGAGGGTTTCTCAGATCCAGGGGAAGCAGAAGCTGGTTGTCGATGACGTTATGAATATTTTAGATCTGAAGATGAACATCGCGTGGACTTACGAGGCATTCCCTACACCAGACACCCCCATCAATATCTCGCTTCGCAGCAGAGTCCAGCTTCTTGCCGCAACCAGGTTGCAATTTGTCACGTCGTCCTTTGTTTGCTCCCTTACCGCCACACACAAGACAGGACGCATGCCATCTAGAACCTTGAGGACCAGGCACTACACCCACCTCCATCGGAGAGACGGATTTGGAACATGCCGGGCATGTCGTTGAGCTGCCAAAACGAGGGGGCGTGGTCAATACTGCAGGTTCAAACGGCCTGGGTGGTGGTCTTTCCAGACGAGATGATGAGTAGGGAGTGGTAGTGGCTACCATCGAGGCTCGATTGACGGCCTTTGCAGCGCTCGATGCCGTCGGTCGTTCAATGCCCCTACGTGATTCTGACGGTGAAGGGGGCGAGGGCAACAAAGGGAATGCGGATGTGATTGAACCTGAAACAGAAGTGGATCTGACCTGAGCCCTTTCATGAGGGGCGCACTGCAACTGGTGAGTCAATAGTCCAGGTAAATAAGTGAACGCACGAGACTGACTTCCACATGACAAGCCCCTCCTTCCCCTCTGGCAAAGACTGCTTGGCCGCTCCCAGACACCTTAAAGGGGCCATCGCACATCACACATCTGAAACACTCGGGGTGATAAGTCTTCGGTGGCCCTGTAGTGTTAGCATCAGGGACAGTGACAAACCGGCCTGCTGTTCTGCTTGTAGAAAGGGACCCCCCACACTTCGCGCACAGTGAATCAGGTGTGAGGCTAGTGGCAGAGATAGAAAGTTGATTTGCTGCGTGTTTAGCTGGTTTTGGTGTCGGTGCTGAATTAACCTCTTGAGCGTCATGTTCTGACTCAACAGAGTCGTTGGGTCTGTCGGGCAAGTAAAGTGTATTACCATTGCCGAAGATGTCGACATGGCGCGCTAGTGGACTAAAGGGCAGGGGAGAAGATGGAGATGAAGCCTCTGTCGTAATGTCTGACATATCGGACATTAATTCCGGTGTAGATGGAGCCCAGGAAAGGCGCGGAGACGACAGGCTTGAAGTGCTAGCTACGCTACGAAGTGCTGGAGAACCGCGAGACCGCCTCGAGAGCGGAATTCGTGATCCCTCCAGGGGTTTGCCGACAGGAGAATTACTGTAGAAGGAAGGCGAAGACGAGGAACAAGCTATGCTCGCATTTGTTCGCGAGCCAGGTGACGAAGGTGATCGTGGCAAAAATCGGCTCTTCATCTCCTCAATTGCTTCAGCAGAGGGTCGCCCAGATGAGGGACTAAATCCGCTCATCTCTGGAGTCCCAACCCGTTCGCGAATGGTTGTGCTAGGTGTCACCCTGCGTTCACCAGCATCGGGACTTCTGCTCTGCCAAAACTCAGTCCGTGGAGAGCTGTTGCTTGAGTCGACACTGTCGAAGGCAGAGGAAAGTGACCCCATTGGAGAGAATGTTTGGGGCAGCCTCCTCTCCGAAATGCGACCAGGAATGGGACTTTCTTCTCGATAGTTCGCATTGGTATAACGCGACGTTGAGGCACCAAGGGCACTTGGTGTCGGAGATGCGTCATTAGAAGGTGTGCGATTAAGCACTGCATTTAAACGTGCGGTGAGCTCTTCCATCACAGGGCTACCTTCTCTACTCTTCATGATTCCAAGTCGCTGTTCTAGGTCATCAATTGCAGGACTTCCTTGCCAACTTATCGAGTCTCTGCGGAAGCGGCCTACGTGATTTTTCTCTATTCTCTCTATTCCTGGAGATTTGTGAGGTTTGGAAGGCGTATTGTCCCTATTCAAGCAACTTTCGAAGCAGTCTGCGCAGGATGGTCGACCTAGTAGATCGACCATAGGAGTGTCGCCAATGTTTTTGTGACACCCGTCACAGCGAAAGCATCTTTTATGCCAAACACGACCTGACGTTTCCACGAAACCACCCTCGCTCTTCACAATGAGCACTGGGCGATCACACGAAGGGCAGTCGCCTTTGGATCCACCGTGCTTGATGAAGCATTGACGACACAGGAATCTGTCTGTATCTATTGCAGGAGCAGAAGGGTCTGGATATATGGTCGCATCTGGTGGGAATTCAGAAGAGCAGATAGCGCAGCAGTAAGATGCAAGGGATTCTTTGGGCTGAAGAACTGACCCATAAGCTTTGGAGAGTTCGGGCGCGTATGGGGAAGGAAGTACTCCTGCAGCGGCGGAAATAGTAGTTGGTGATGGAGGGGCTTCATGATGGATGTTGCTTAACGACACTGAGTGCTTCAGCGGTGAGGCAGGCCGCGATGTAGCTGATCCAATGTGCACAGAGGTGCGGTTTCCGAAAGGATCTGAGTACTTTCGAGGTAGACGTTCTAGGGGTGAAGACGAGGCATCTAGGGTAACACTTTCTCCGGCAGTCAGCGAGGTGGAGTCGGAGTTGAATGGTTGTGCGCGGCTGGGAGGTCGAGACCTCTCACGAGAAACGTAAGTCTGAGACCATCTGTCTGCAGCGGGCTCTTTGGAAGTTGTCCATTGTACTACGGGGGCTGAGACCTCGTTTGATATGAGCAGTTTACTGGTGCATAAAATGGGACAAACCAACTGCTGTACCACCACATTTGCACCGTTCTCCTATGACAATATTTCCGCACCTCCGACAGAAGCCCATCCTTTATCTGTTGACCTACAAGGATTACTTCAGTAACGTTAATGTTGGTAAGATCACGACAAACGCAAGTGAAAGACAAAGTATTTGTGTAAAGAGAGCCGAAAACGCGCACGAGGCCACAGTTGAACATTGATGTCGCGGTCACATGACTAGTCACTTTCCTGTTTGGTCGAACTTCAAAACAGCTCTGTGCAAAATTGCAAATAGTACATACTAGGATGAGCGATGGCACCAGCTGGCGCATTGTGCGAACACCATGTTCTAGATTTCGAGACTCAAAATATAAGTCTTGCAGGGTCACAGCTGCAACTGGGCCCGCTACCTACTTCTTCGCTTTTTATTATTCGGTTACGTTTGAATGGGGGAGCCGAACGTTACGCATCGGTCGCTGTTTTATGCATGTCTAAGCTAGTGTGAAGAAAACAAGCCATCTTATATTGTCAGCCATGGAACCAAACCGTTAGGACGAATATGCTGATCTGCTGGCTCTGCATAATTTGAATTCAAGACATGTCCACAATTGTGCAGTAACTTTGGCTGGTGGTATCACTTAGCAACAATATTTGTTGTGCCCACATGGACCCCTATAGATGCAATATCTAAATACACGGTAGGCATGTACATATAACAGAGGATGTTGTAGCTCAGCGCTCAGGACTGCAATCATCTACAGTTTCGCACGGGTGACTGGCTGCCAGTCGACACGCTCAACCTGCAAGGAAAGTCGTTTAACAGACGTAAGAAAGCACACAACTAGTACTTACCATCTGCGGTACGAGCTCGCCGATGTTTCGAACACCGAGCGACTGCATCCCAAAGCGGATTTCGCGTTGAAGGATACGTACCACATGAATCACGCCAGCCTCACCATATGCCTTTACGTATTCTAGTTAGACATTATTCACATGCGACTTGATAGAAACAACATACACTCTGGGCGTAGAGGAACGCGCGTCCCAAACCGACAGCTTTGGCACCCAGACATAGTGCTTTAATGACATCGGTTCCACGGCGGATTCCTCCGTCAATGTACACTATCAAAGATGTGTATTAGTTCAAGCGAAATGTTGTCAGATACTCGGGAGACCAGCCTTCAGTCTTCTCAAACACGTCAGGGCGTTGCTGTCGTATCCTGTACAACAACTCGATTGGTGGCAGAGAGTACTCCAATTGACGACCTTGTTTATAGCGTTAACTTCAGTGATTCCAGGAGGTGAATATACGCGGCATACCTCCATGATTCGATAGCACAATGCCTTCACAACCAGCTTCACAAGCCAGAACAGCATCCTGATAGCCCCTGTCACCATCTGGGACCTTTATACAAGGAGCCATACCTACTAACCTGAACACATTGAACACCTGAAACAGGGATGAAACGGAGTGACAGATGAAGGTGTGGATGCACAAACCTTTGATGACAATGGGTAACTTCGTAATACTTCGTATCCATGGTATCGTCTACAGAGGGAAGTCACTCCTGGCTTCTCATGAACTAAGCTATAACTCACCTTTTCCCATGTCATGTCAGCATCATTCATTCCGACAAGTGCGCCAGAGGTACCAAGTCGGTCAGTCTCGCCTTGATCCTCATCCGGCTTTCTCTGAGTGGGAAGACCTTGATTCTCAAAGTCCTCGAGATAATGCGGTATCCTGATGTCCAGCTCGCGATTACCAGCGACTAGAGCATCGACTGTCAAGAAAATTGCCTTGTAGCCTAATCCTTCGATTTCTCTTATGCATCTCTCGGCAGTGACATTGTTAACGTTTTTATATAATTGGAAAAAGAGAGGCTGGTCTGGGGACACACGTGCAGCGGATATCTCTGCGTAAGAGAGAGAAGAGTTGCTGGACACCATTTGTATAATGCCGGTCTTATAGGCACCGCGCGTAAGATTGGCCTCGCCTAATGGATGGCCTAGTCGGGCTAGCGCTGCACCACTGATGTACACGGGTATCGTGCTATTGTAACCGAGTATGATCGTCGAGGTATCACATTGGGACACAGGTTTCATAATCCGAGGATGAAAAAAAAAGCGCCCAAAGGCACGACCGTTCTCTACATGCGCTGTACGGTTGACAGCCGTGAAAATGCAATTCAACTAGAAAAAAGTACATGCTTACTTATACAGTCGTCCCCGGCTGAAGAATAGTAAGCCATGGCCCTGTACGGCAAGATCTTCTTCGCAACCTCCTGCAGATTGCAGTGATTAGAGTGTGGTATATAGTATACTTGAATACCCTACTTCCATGTCCTCGACATTGATTATCCTCTGAAGTGATGGTTTGTTCTTGAGCGCCTCTTCGACACGCAACTCATCTTTGGTTTGAACTTTGTTATTCTCTGGTTCCTTTAGACGATTTATTGACTCGTTGTCTAAAGTACCAAGGTGCTTTTCCGGAGCAAGGTTCTTGTCCAAAGCATCAGATGGATGGATAGGTATGTATGCAGCAGTGGCATCCTTTCCTGCATATCTGAGGATGACATTCGGCCCTCCGGGATGATCCTGGTGCATATCAGTTTAACGTATGCGCAACAAAAAAAAATGAACGAAACCCACAAAGATGAAGTCGGTCACATCGTAAACTTTGTTCTGGATGATGACCCAGCAGGAGCTGAAAATGTGAGGATGAATGATTGTTATTTGATGAAACGTGGTATGTAACACACCCGGTTGTAGTATGCTGGGCAACTTGTTCAAGAGTGAACGTCTGCATCTTGACGGAAGTGCGGAAAGGTTGTGAGCCGAAATTGGGTTAGAGCATGACGGTATTTAAAAGCATGGGTCGATGCCGGGCCGGGTGTCCGCGAGTGAGATTGGAAGTGACCCCAGTCAAGCAATGCGAGGTGTGTGCCTTGTGGAAGTTGATGTCATCGTGTTAGTGGACTAGAGAAAGAAGAAGAAAAAAAACAAATAACATCTCGCGAAGTCGAGGTTCAATGGATTAACCGAATCCTGATATCACGTGACTGTGGTTGGGCTCGCGTTGTGGATTGGCATCCGTTTATTGTGTAGCTTCCATTCTTAAACCACGCGCGCACCAGCAACCACAAGCACCAACTTGTTCCATCCGTTTCACTTCCCCTTCATCTCAACGCTATCTCTCAATGATTTCAGTGCCAGGCCGTGAGGTCCTGCAGGCAATGAAGCGAGTCGATATTCAGAAGTTGTGCAAAGTTAGATAAATCACTCATGCTATACCTGTTGCTAAATCCCCTTCATTAGGAATACGGTGTAAGAGCCAACCTCAAGACAGAAGCTTTGATAGACCTTCTGCTTGATACATCCCAGTGAGCCAACCCCAATATTAACACCGATCCAGCAATTAATCACAAGCGTAGACCCCAACCTTCCCGAAGCACTCTGCCGCAGCCGCCTCAACGATCTACATCTGTCAGAATAATAAGTCAACCCGGTGCTAGACCTCGTGGTCGCTCTAATGGATCTGTAATCATCCATGATACAGACGAAGAAGAAGGTGAAGAAGCTATCGGAGAAATAGAAGTGAAACAGCAGCCGAAAGAACACAAACCTCCGCCGGCCCCTGTTGGCCCCACCCCGAGAACCCGCAAAGCCAAAGATACTCAATATCGTCTTGGTGTTGGTCGACCAATCATTGCTGGAGGTAGCGGCGCCCGTGCTGTAACTAAATCTGTCAGTGGCTCACGAGGGAGCAAGAAGACGAAGAACATGAAAAATGTCAAGCCTTCAGAAGACCCCATCGCTGAAGGTAAGCGTTAATCTTTATCGAAAATCCATCAGTGATCTCAGCATTTGCAGAGCTAGAGCTAATCCCCGCCGCAACATGTCAGTCCATTAAATAAACGAATTCAAGTTGTCGAGTCGCTCACTCTCCCATAGCATCAGAACAAACAGAACTGAGCGATTCTTTGCCAGTGCCCCAATCACACTCCATACCGCTAGAAACGCATCCCGCAAGCATAACAGAGCCTTCCTACTCACAGATAGTTGAGAACGCTGTGGCTGCAGCTGTGAGTCCAATACATGTACGGTGTCTAACATTTATCTTACTTGTGCAGCTTGCTCCAGTACAAAAGGAACTGGAGGATCAGAAAGCTCAGTTATCTGACTTAAGAGACAAAGTCTCGGACATTATAGAGACATTCGAAACACGAATTTTGGGCCTCGTGGCGGAAATTGAAGGCCTGCGTGCACGAGCATCTGGACATTGTGCTGCTGAAATTCAAAAGCCCAAAGAGACTCCCCATCGGATACCAAATCCTCCATCAACCCCTAAACGCGTACGCAGTCCAGTCGATCCTCTTAGGTGAGAATTTTTATCATTTGTCATGCTGCATCGACTAACTAGATTTCAGTGATGCTTTGCCAGAGTCATCGGCAACGTCTAGCGATTCTTCGAATCCAAATGGCTTAATCAGTCATCAAGAGCGAGAGACAGATAACCCGAATCAGGGGGTGTCGCTTCTTCCTGGCTTTCGCACCACTCTTGGGAAACGCCTTCGAGATTCTACTGCCAGTAATACTACTGCGTTTTTTGAGCTTGGACAGGAGGAACAGCTTTCTGAAGCTGAGATTGCGAAAAGGATTGCTCGTCCCGCTCACAAGCGAGCGAAATTAAGTTCCTCTGCCATTACGGAGGATGCAGATGACTGTTCAGGTCCATCATCAGGTGCACAGGGAAGTCAAGATACCATTTCTGGCCCCTCACAATCCTCCGCAAGACCTGGTTTCCCCATATTTGGTGATCCTGATTACGTAGAGATGCCTCCACCCACAGAAAGCCTCCTTGATTTCTTCGTGCCACCTTCACCTCCATTGATGAGCGTGTCTACGACTATGGGAGCGCCTCTGGATGCTTTCCGTTTTGGTTGTCTGCCTACATCCACACCAGCTCGTTTCACTTTCCCCACTGCAATGGGAACCTTCCCGCATCCAGAACCCCCAACATCCCCATCCCCAGCAAATAACGTGGATCGACCACGTAGTCGTCAATCAGAGCAGGTCGGAATTTTCGGACATCGCCGCGGTAGTTCTGGAACGACCGGCAGGAGTAGGTCAAGGGGACCGACGGGTGGACAAGAAAGTGGTCTAAATCCCTCGATGTGGGCCGGTGGTATGCAGAGACAGCCGTCGAGCAATGAGGTAGCTTCGGGCTTGGGACTAACTGTACTGCGCACGGCGGCGACGGAAGAGGGCACTCCAGTACCTCCCGCACGTCGTACCATGTACGGGACCGAGTTAGAAGGGGATACTCGGTTTGGTGATTTTGGTGTTGAGGGTGTAGCGACTGGCTTTTGGGCTGGAGGCAGGCGCTAATAGTCTCTCGTTGGACCCTTATTTTGCTTCTACTGTCGTTTCGACTATCTACCTTTTATCCTAATATACTTGATTATCATTCGTACACACACTGCTGTCTCAGTAGATCCGATGTATTTTTGCATTTTCCTATATTGTTACTTTGCTCCGTTCTCCATTCTATCGTGCAGATGAGATTACAAGTATATAGTGATGATGTCGAAACCAGTGCGACAGTAAATAAATAAATCAGTGAAATAAATCCCGCAGTGTGGTGTTGAGTTCAGGCTAATAATATATGGCGGAGACCTGTGCAGTTGCTAGGAGTCGAATGATGGATATCATAGTTTAGATCGCCGGGACGAAGGACATGATTTCGTCGTATAGAAGTTCTGCAGACAGTTGAAGAGACCAGCTATTGAAAGGACTGGAGTCACGTACCTTTCAGTTCCGTTTTCGTGAGGTCATCTTTGAGCTCTAAGAACAGGAACCGAGTGAGTGAGCACACCGGAAATATTTGAATAAAACTCACGCTCAAAGTCGAAGTAGTTCGGATCAAGGGATGCTACGATTGGTTCGTCCTCTGGGTCATGCTATTTGTCTGAGTCAGGTGTGACAGAGAGTATAAATATATCTGAACTTACATATGCAGTAAGATATGGATGGTTGAGAGCTTCATTGACTGTCAAGCGCTTTTTGGGATCGAAAGTCTAGAAAGATGTATACCATCGCTCAACGGTTTTAAAGCAAGAAGGTGTCATACCAAAGTTCTCTGCAGGAAATCGATGGCTTCGGGGGATGCTTTCGGGAACAGCGATTGAAACGTCCTTCGTTTGCGGATTGGAAGAGTTCGGATATAGTCCCTCGATCTCCTTGAAGTGATCGAGTAGAACTCGTCCAAGGTTGGCGTACCTTGGCACAAATGTTCATCATGCCATTCGCTCCAAAATCAAAAAAGGACATACCAATTATATCCAGGATGAGATTCAGCTGATGTGAGTAGTCGCGCCCGGGAAACAGAGGTTTACCCGTCAGCATTTCAGCAAGGATACATCCAACCGCCCACAAATCAATAGCCTTCAAAACCATGCACGATGAGGGATGCGACTATCGTGCAATCGTGAGAGACTAACCTTCGTATACATCTTGAAAGAAAGCATAATCTCTGGTGCACGATACCACCGCGTTGCCACATATTCAGTCATCAAACCAGCCTCCTTGGCGCCCGGGGTTGTTGCTTTGACGCTCCTCGCCAGGCCAAAGTCACAAACTTTGAGATCGCAGTTAGCGTTGAGCAACAGGTTGGCCGGTTTTAGATCACGGTGGACAATATCGGCGCTATGTATAGATTCGAGGCCACGGAGAATCTGGTAAATAAAGTACTGGATAGTAACAATCAGGTCACATCGGATATCAGATGAGTCACCAAAATTCACCTGGCAATGATCGTCAGTCAGCTGCTGCGTCCGTATGACACGGTGAAGATCTGTCTGCATGAATTCCTGGATAACTTTCTAGGAGTCAGCGAGACCGGGGTAGATGAATTGAATAAACTCACAGTACACTTCCTTGAATTCTTCGAGTGATGGTGGCCTCGTTATATCCAATATCGAGATGATCTACAATGACCACTCTATAACATATCCCTGATTTATGAGTAAAGAACAGACGAACATTCTCATTGACACAGGTCTCCGAAAAAAATTTCAGCAGCTTCAGCTCTCGCAATGTTCGAAGGCAGAACAGTGTGTGCTCAAAAGGCAGGATCTTTTTGATGGCTACTTGTCGGCCAGTGGGTTTATGTGATGCGGCTACCACGGTTCCATATGCTCCTTCACCCAGACAGTACAAGATTTCATAGTCGGGACCTTGAAGGTGATTCAGCGCAAGGCATCTACAAGACGATAACCCGCCACTCACCGACGTCGAACCGAGGAAGAGACTTTACTATCTTCACTTTAGGTGCAGGTGCTGCGACCATTCTGATGAGAAACGAGATCTACTAGGGATTCAGAACTTTGGTGAAAGTCGCCTAGACAGAAAAATCGTCACTTTGAGATGTGGTTGGGGATTCTCGTGAAACAATACAGCGACTCTAAGTATGCAGATACATCTGCGGTGTGAAGAGGAATGATGGCTTGGGAGGCACAGAAACAGTACTGGTAACGGGCAGTGTATGTGTCTCTTCAACACCCGCCAGCCGGGAAAAGCTGAAATGATTCGCATATCGATAATAGCAGGTAGTATATCAATCACCGCATGGCTGCTAATTACAGGGGCCATCAAGACACAGCCCAACTGCAGGCGCTTTTTGGGAAATCATTTGCAGAAAGCCATCAACTTGAAAGGCTTCAAGCCGACGTTCTAATTTTGTCAAAGTCCACAGCCCTGTGGGCCCGTGATCACAGGACCGACAAAATGGGGCAGTCTGTCGAGTTGATTGCACGTCGTTCTGCTCGAACTATCTGAGCATGCAAGACCTTGTCGAACAAAATGGTTAAAATCACTCGCTGAGAGCATGCACCTTGAAGTCGGGTACTACGAACCTACAGAGCGCCGGATTCCAATAGCGAAGTCCTTCAATTTGGCATGCACTGGCAATTGGAGGTAGCTGTGACCTGTCAAAAACTGGAAATCATTCGATCCCATGACAGATGCACTCGGGAGTGGGCTTTTTCGTGACCCGTACCCAGTGCAAACAGGATTTTGCAGCATTTGCACATTAAGGAGTGCCATGCCCCTTGAGCGCTGAGCCCTGGACCCCTCGTGGAATAAGTCGGCGGCGGCATACGGAACGTGTTGACGCATCAGCTGTGCTTACTCACTGGCAGTAGTTGAAAGTAGTATGCATCAAAGGGCTGTACCCTGCGCCACATATCTCATGGGATTTTGTCTATTTTTATTATTTTTGCTACTAGTTGCCTTGGTCTCTGATATCGTTTCATAGACCGTCCCCACAACATTAAAGTTCACACAACAAGATAACCGACGGCGAAGGTTCTGCACTGGTGAAAACCGAAAAAGACGCTCCAAACCACACCACGAGTACCCCCCAGGCTGACAAGCTTTATTTGCAAGCGAGCATTCACGGGCTTTGACAATTCACCTTCATACTCATCTCCAGCTTCACGAAACTTCACCCATTCGTATCGAACATGGATCGGCCTCGTATCGCGCTACCTAAACTCCACAATGCATCAAATCAGTCTGTAACATGTTTTCGCGCTCATCCTAACAACCGACAGTTCCCGGGTACCTTTCCTGCGCATTATGACTCCTGTTCGCTCTGCGTAACATGGCTGGTTATCAGTGCATTTTATCAGCTTAACCAGGGCCCTTGTTGCTGTCCAACAAAGGCCTTGGCCCGGTGGGCCAGAGTATCAAAATTCCCCGAGGGAACTTTCGCATTGGATGCTAGTTGTCCGTCGGACATTGATAAGGACTCGAGAGGCACGCTGTCCCTTGGCGAGCGTCAATGTCAGGCTCAGGGATTCGGCTCATCGATTCGGCTCATCACGAAGCGTCCAAATCAGTGCCTATGAAAACAAGGTACTAAGTGGAGATAAGCTTACCGCACGGTAAAAATCAGTATGCAGGGGGAGGTTTCAGCTGTTGAATTTCAAACGGTGCGTTTCTAATATCCTGCATTATTTTTGCCTACGGGAAGTCACCAGGTACTGAAGGAAGCCTTGCTAGGGCTCGATAACTGGCGCCTGATTTCTAGGATGGCATTTGGACTGTCGTCGGTTAACCGGTGATTCCAATTTGCTGCTTACTGAAATAAGTTGTATATAAGTTATAGTTTATAACACTACTACTTAGTATACCAAGTATACCAAGTACTGGTATTTAGTGAATATGCCGAACGTAACGACGGCACTGGCGAAATTGTCAAGGATTGCAAAGCAGTGAGCTCCCTGTTACTTCGTCATCTCGAACTTCATACCTACCAAACTCAGCTATGTGAGTGACAAACCATGGGGAACGACCACAGAATACAAGAAGAAATAACATATAAAAGCACAGATTTTATCCAAAGAATTACTCGTCTGCAGCTGCCATTGACTCCCTAGCTTTTTTCTCTTTTTTGAGCCGTTTCCTCTCCCGTCGGGCCTCATCATCCTCTTCTGCACTTTCTTCCTTCTTCTCTTTCTTCTCCTTCTTTTCCTTCTTCCGCTTCTTCCGCTCTGCTTTATCAACATCGTCCTCCACTGCAGGTGCTTCCACCATCGACACATCTGCGACAGATTCGGCCGCCTCCGACTTCCGTTTTCGTTTTTTCTCCTTTTCCTCTTTCTTCGGGGAAACAGTTTCGACAACAGGCTCTGCGACTACCACTGTTGGGGCGGGTGCAGGGGTAATCGTGGAGGGGCCGGATTGCTAATGAAGGAGATGATTAGGGTCCTCGAGTTGTCTCAAAAGAATCTCGCGTACCTCTCGATTATAGTCCACGTAGTCCTTGCTCCATTCCGCAGGCGTTGCGTCATTCTTCTCACCATATTTGCCCAGCTTCCCCTCCTTGACCATTTTCTTTTTCTGAAGAGCCATGGGTCCAAGACCCCAACGGCGTGGGTAGGTGTCACGCTCCATGATACATCGCTTCACTTTTGCAACAACTCCATGATCACAAGTAGCAAGCTCAACCGTCGACATTTGTGCAATAGCAAGAGCTATAGCTTCGCCTGACCGAGGATATTAGAGGGATACCTGAATATGTGACTAAATATAGCAAACCTTTTGTCGTCATTAAGACTACTTCCTCGTTAACTGCGATGTCAGCTTCATAGCGTAAAAGCCCGGGAATCATGAGCTTCGCGCCGTAGCAGACTGCATTGACCGCGCTGTCTTTGACAACAATGCGCTTATAGCCCACGAGCAAGCTCTCCAGAGGCCGGATAACACGACGCAAGTATGATTCTGTAATGATATTAGAATATTCCCTGATAACAAGTGGAGAAACTTGCCATCTCGTGTGTTATCATACATCCACTGAGCATCCAGAACATCATGCATGGTCACAATGTCATCGTTTTCCGACATCGCACCACTCCTTACCCTCCTAAGCTCTTGCATGTGTCCACCCACGCCCAGTAAAAGGCCAAGATGGACACAAAGTGTTCGGATATATGTACCAGCCTCACATGACACCCAAAATACGGCAAGATTACGCTTCTCATCAAACTCCAACAACTTCGACTCGTATATCGTTCGAATACGCAACTGCCGTTTCACAGCAGAGATCAGTGGGGGCCTCTGGAAAAGCGCACCACTGAGTGTCTGCAATGCCCGAGGGAGGGCAGTGGGATCCGGTAGACCTGAGTGTAAGCGCAACACGCATACATATTCCTTCCCTAAACCGTTTTGGTAAAGAGAGTTTCGAACAGCTGAGCATCGATGTGTACTAACCTGCGCCTTGCTGGGACTTGACCAATCGCGTAGCGCGGTCGATGCAGACAATCAAGCACCCAGTGACCTTAGGGTCAAGCGTACCGCTATGTCCAGTTTTCTCAACGCGTAGAATGCGCCTCAACCAGGCCACGACTTCATGCGATGAAGGATTAGAAGGTTTGTCAAGATTGATCACACCTGACCTTCAAAGATCTCAGTATTGAATACAAAACGCATGTGGGACACTCACTTGATGTATGAGACAAGGTCTCGTTTCAGTGGACTGCTTCCAGACGGTATGGGTGTAAAATGACTAGAGCGAACGAGTAACTTGTCATAATTTTTAAGCAGGAGGGGCCATTCTGATGTATCGAGTTTGGGCTGCGAATTCTCAGATTTTATAGCAAAGTCACCCTGCAGCTGGGCAGAAGCAACTTGCTCGCGAGAGAGTGTTGAAGTCATCACTCAAAAGTTTTACCAGTAGTGATCTAGGACCGTAAGTATCAAACTAATTTCTTCGTTCGATCAGAGAAGAAATATCATGTGAGAAGATATTTCCAAACTTGAAATCATCGGCATTTTCCCGAAACGTGATTCGGAACTGTACAGTTACATATATACAGCAAACCTAATTTTCTCAGTCACGATTGCAAGAAACGAACGTCAAGACTTCAAGCTTCCATCCCTCGTTTCCAAGATTCAAGATGGTCAGTTCCGGCACCGCTTTGCTGAGTTACCTTCTCAGTAGGCTCATGTCCTGCGGACTTCCGCTCGTTTTGTTCTTTTGTTAGCCCAAAGCCGCTGGTGGAAAAGCCCCTGCTGTAAAGCACAAATTCGTGATCGACTACTCTCGCCCAGCAACCGACGGCGTCTTCGATGGCGCTGATTTCGAAAAGTTCTTGCACGATCGTGTAAAGGTCGAGGGCAAGTCTGGTCAGCTCGGCGAAAATGTCAAAATCGTTCGGGATGGTGGGATATACTTTGTCAACATCAGCTTGTTATGTTCTTACTTATGTTGACAGGTAACACTAAAATCACTGTTACCTCCAACGTCCCTTTCTCAAAACGCTACCTCAAGTACTTGACAAAGAAATTCTTGAAGAAAAACACACTGCGCGACTGGATCCGGGTGGTCGCATCATCGAAGGATACGTACGAGTTGCGTTTCTACAACATCGCGTAAGTAATCTTTACTTCTCAAAGCACTTTATCTCACAGAAGATGCAGCCGTGATGGTGAGGAGGAGGATGAAGAGTAATCTTACTACTCTACATGTTTGTTGTTAGCCAAGTCTTGGCTATGTTATGACATCTGACAGTGTTGCTGTGCTCTGTTATATTTTTATATAGCTTTATTATGCATGAATGCAAGCAAGTGTGAGTGCTAGGTCTTTAGGATACATCATATTATTTAGGTCTACATCGGAGGCCGATAAGCTACATCACGACAGTTTAATCATCAGCTTCGCACTGTCATCTTCCGTTTCCAGTTTGATTTTTCCCAACGCTGCAGTGGCAAGATCATACCACAGTACTTGAGACTCTGTTAACGGTTTGCCACGGAGTTGCAGTGCAAGCATCGTGGTTAGGTGTC